AATCCCTTTTTGATTGGTATATATGGTCGGCATATATGGTCGGCAGCTGCAATAAACATAGAATATATTCCTATCAAATTCTACGCTCTAGGAATCAGGTAGTAGGTATATATCCCTTATTAATATTTCTTTCTACTATTTTGTAGGTATTCAACTCGTATTATGTAATACCCATTGCAATACCCATTGGGTATACCCACTGGGTTTTTACCGTTGGGTTGTACCCCGCTTATAAGCTGGGTACCCAGCTTATTTGTAGGGTTGGGTATTTAAGTTGGGTTGTACCCAACCCATACCCAACCCAACCCATGACGAGGCCTAGCCTAAACCCTCTTAAATCGTAGTAGCCCGTTCTAGCCTATCTTAGGTGCTCCCGGGCTATTCCGGGTCTGTCCTACGATGTCTATATCGCTGTCTGGCCTAGATCCTAATAGAGGAGTATAAAAAGCTAGGACTAGTACTACCCCCTACCCTAGTTTAACAACTCGATATTATAGCTAATAGTCTAGAGCTCCTTCGTAAGAGAGACTATAAGTACTATTAACGCCTCTCTAGAAGGAGTTACTCTACGCTACGGCGATATATAAATACTAGGAAGCCAAAAATTATTAGGTCAAGACAGCGACCTTTAAAGGAGATATTAGTAAAGAACAAGAGCGAGAGACTTCGGTATAGACGAAAATATATAGATACTACGGTAGAAAGCCTCTAGGCATCTATTATATAGACAGATAAGGCTTATATCGATCGTACTATAGCTATAAGACAGTATATCTTCCGTAAGGAAGGTAACTACTATAGTTTATATATAGAGGTAGCTTAACCTAAGCATTTAGTACTCTATATTGCTACTAACGTGTCCTAGTACTACAAGAGCGACCTCTTCTTCTATAACGACGATTACTAGACTTACTAGACTCTTATTAACCTCTATAATAAGTACAAACCTCGAAGGAATAAGCGGACTAAGACAGAGGAGGAATTCTAAGCTAAGATACTTAAATAGAAGAGTAAAGCTCTACTAGGGTTTACAAAGAAGGGAAACAGTATAACCAATGCCTACTATACTAAGAATATCCTCTAGAGACATATCTAATAGCTTAATAAGCTAAAAATATAGGGTATTTACCTTACTCTTATAGAGGATAGTAATCTAAGCTATAGATACCGCTCTAAGGACAACCTAGCTAGTAATATAAGGAAAAAGCATAGTATTCAGCTTTATAATTATCCAGTATAATTACCTAACCTTAATCCAATTAAAGGAGTGTAGCTACTACTCTAAGAGAGGATAAAAAAGTACTATAGAGAGTTACTTTGGAAGATAGGGTTTAAGGAGTTCAAAAAAGCTATTCTAGATATATAGGAATCAATTATACTAGATAATATTAGACTAATTATCTCTAAGATACTATAGAGGTATAAGCAGCTGCTTAGGAATAGCTAGGTATTAATAAAAGGCTATGTATAGTAAAAAGGAGTTGATACAGTACTAAAATAAACATATTGAACTAATCTAGACTAGCGTAATTGTTAGCCGATCTTGCGACCCCCTATAGGTAGTCCCTAATCAAAGTTATGCTAAGACTTTAATTGAAGTTTGATTAATTAACTAATTAAAGTTAAGAGACCTCGGGTTTGACTAAACTCTTAGTAATCAAAGTTAAGGGGGCCTTAACTTTAACAACTTTAAGGTTTGACTAGGGGTAGGAGAGGGAGAGAAAAATCCTGACTAAGAGAGGAAAAAGTAGGCTAAAAAGGTAGGAGAGAGAGAAAAAAGTAGGCTAAAAAAGGAGAAGAGAGAGAAAAAAGTAGGCTAAAAAAGTAGGATTTCTAGGAAAAAATTCGAGAAAATCTAGGAAAAGGTGTCTTTTTTTCCTATATAGAAAAAAACACCTACTATTTCTAAATCCTATATGTTCTTTTATATAACCCTAGGATACCCTGTAATCCTAGGGAAGCCTACCTCCTAGGCTCTAGGAAGCCTAGAAAGGGAGGGCTCTCGGAAGCCGGGAGCCTAAGGAAGGGGAGGATTAGGTAAGGAGGAGGATTAGGTAAGGGGGGAGATTAGGTAAGACCTCGGGACCCCGGTAGATTAGGTAATAGCTAGGTAATCGGAAGCCGTTCCGGGGGGGTATCCGAAAAGGGTAGTCAAAGTCAAAGTTATCAAACTCAATCAAAGTTTGAGGGGGTTAACCAAAGCTCAATCAATATTTCGGGCTCTGATTACATAATCAATCAATCTTTGACTTTTTTTCACTTTGGTTTGATTGGGGACCACCCTGCAATAGAGTGGAGCTGGTGCCGGTAGATATCATCTCTTATCATCTCTAGGAATCACGTGTGAACGCTCCCCGGAGACCGACACATCCTCCGACATCCTTCCTCCTACATCCTTCTACCGATCTTGCCGACCTCCTACTTCTACCTCGATCAACACCTGTTCCGGCGCCAATAATGCTCGTGTCGCGGAGAACCGCTCCAACAATGCCCATGTCGCAGAGGACGGCACAACAATGGGGGAGAAGAATGGCGCGAACAACACTGACAATGACTCTCGATTGTCAATCCTTTGTGTTTCTTCTCCTCAATGCCTTGTCTACTCGAGTCAAAGAACTTCTTTATAGAGAAAATAAGAGAGAGAGATATATATATGACCTCGAATCCCTCGAATACTGAGTCTCCACACATTCACCAAAGTCACAGTCACCAAGCCCACGTTGTATCCGCTCAATTGTGCTAAAACAGCAGGACTGTTCAGCTAACATGGATATGCCACGAGAGCAAGAAGCCTCCCAGGAAACCGAACGGGCCTCGCAAGAGCGTGATCTTGCAGCCAGAGAAGAACAAGTCAAGGTTCGAGAAGAACAAGTTAGGGTTCGAGAAGAACAAGTCCAGGTTCGAGAAGAACAGGTCAAGGTCAAGGAAGAGCAGCTCAATAATAAGGAACAAGAGCTGTATGACTGGGAAGCCAGCGCTTATGCCCAGGAGGCAGAAGAAGAAGGTGATGATGATGATGATGATGATGGACAAGAAGAACATGATGATGATGATGATGGACAAGAACAACAGGAAGCAGAAGCAGTAGAATGGACAGAAGAGGCAGAAGAGGAAGAACAAGCCGACCCGGAAGCTAAGGAGTACCAAGTAAACTTCAACATGTGCACCGCCTGCTTCAAGTGGGACGCCCAAAGCGCAGCCCGCGCCCTGGATAGTGACAGAATTCCCTCCGACTCAGAAGTGTTCCTCGCCACTCCCGCTGCCGTCGTCCGCATTCCATTCGATGATCAATACGACGCATTGAATGAAGCCCACATCATCGCCAAGCAAGTATTCTGGTATGCTTACCAAAAGCACTGGCCCATCAACTGCCTCAGACGCTACCCCGAGTCCTACAACCAAGTCCGATTTGGCCGAGAAGAACTCGAGCGAGCAGGTCTGGGTACAGGCTCATTCAGGACGGGGCCCGAGAAGTGTCAAATGTGCGAGGAAACGCGACAATGCGTCGTGGGAGAGTGTTTTTCCATGACCCACCTCCGTAATGCAGTCAGTCACCCTTCGGACAATTTCGACATGGATTCCCTCATCCGCCTCCTCAATCGCGCTCGAAGATTTGCTGTCGATTTGGATGATGCTGCTCGTGCTGACCAAATTCAACAGGTGATGGAGCGCGTGATGCAAAAAGCTCGTGCAGCGTACAGGCAGATTGAAGATTGCGTTGGGGCGGATTATTGTTGTCCTGGCCCTCAACGAGACCCGGAAAGAAAATGTAAGTCGAGCTATCCTGTTGAGTCTTGTTCTTCTACTACTACTACTACTACAACAACAACAACAGAAACTGACCCTGACCAACCACCCCCACCAGAACCTGAACCTGAATCCTCACCAGAAGAACAACAACACCAACAACAACCACCCCCAACAACCCCCAAAATAAACTACTCCGCCCTCCCCTACCACATCCAATACACCCTCCACATCATCCCCTCCTACCCCGCTTACCACCAAAACAAGTACTCTCCCACAATTCTCCTTGCAGCAAAACTCTGGAAAGCCACAGGTCTCCAACCGGGCCAAACAGACGAACACTTTGCGAGAGTGGATGCTGCTCTGGCGAAAATTAAATCTAATCCCGAAGAGTGTACGGAGAGGGAAAGGGAGTATTATGAGAGGTTTAAGAAGAGGAGTGGGGGGACGATGGAGAAGATATGTTGGTGATGGATTGAGATGGATTGATGGATTGATAATGTATAGATCTAGTAAGTGAAAAGCTGCTATATTGACGAGACTGACAAAATCTAGCGCATCACCTGTACAATAAATGGAAAATAATAGACTTTGAAATCCTTTTGATAAAATGTCCCATGTTACCTTATCTCACCTACCTTGTTCAAAAAAGAATTATGCTTCCTCCCCCTTTCTCCTCAACCGTACATGAATCCCCGTCTGCATGACAAACCAAAAACATTTGCATTCCCACTCCTTCTCTGGCTCCGCCAACTCCATCTCAAACGTCTCAAACAGGGTCGGAATGAGTTTGCTCATTTCCAACCAACTGATATTTCTACCCAAACACATGCGCGCTCCACTTCCAAAGGCGAAAAAGAAGCGATGCATATCTCCCACCCGCTTCTCCTCCGCCGGCGAGTCATCTTGTTTGAGCCACCGTTCGGGCCGGAAGGCTTCGACATCATGTCCAAAGATTTCCGTGTTGCGATGAATCACCCACGGATTGGCCCCGATGACGGTCCCTGCAGGGAGAAAGGTGTCGGCGATGGTGGCGCCGCCGGGGGGCACGACGCGGGGGAGAGACATGCCCACGGCGGGATGCAGACGCAGCGCTTCATACATGACCGCTTGCAGATAGGGCATCTTCTTCTCCGCCTCATCGAGCGTGATGATGGGGCCCGACAGTTCGCCCCGTGCGCGCAAGAGCGCAATTTCTTGCACGAGTTTCGCTTTGCAGTCGGGGTTTTTCAGCAAGTAGTAAATAATCGATCGGGTGGAAATGGCAGTCGTATCCGATCCAGCAAAAATGTTGGAACTCGCCATACTCGTCACGGCATTATCGTCCATCTGTCCCCCCTTTTCCCTCTGCGTGGCCAGCAACAGCGAGAGAATATCTTGATGGTCGCTCCCGCGATCTTTCCTCCCTGCAATCGCATTCACGGCGAAGGTGCGAAGGGATCCATTTCGCGCGGTAATGCCCAGATGGTTCCCGATCCACGGCATGAGGGCGTCGTGCAACCAATATAACCAAGGGATCTGTCCAATCCACGCCGCAGAACTCAAGGCGGTTTCGATTTGTTTGAATGCTCCATCGTCGTCGCCGACGTCGAGAAAGCCAAATCGTTTGCTAAATGTGATTTCTCCAATCACGTCAAAGGCGAAGAGTTGCACCCAGTAGCCCATGTCTATGATAGTGTTCCTTGGATTCTCACCACCAGTATCATTCTCAGTACTACTGCTACTACCACTTGCCCTCTTCCCCATCTCCCGCATAAACACCTCGACGGCATCGTTCACAAACGGCTCCAACTGTTTCAGCGTACTCATGGCATAGGCACGACTGATCAATTTCCGCTGTTCGCCATGCACCTTCTCGTTGCGTTCGGCGAACAGATCGAAGATGCGATGTCCTTGCCAGACGCTATACCAATCGGATTTGCGGAATTTGGTTCCTGCGCCGTAAATGGTTTTGATGGCAGTGGTGTCGGAGACGGAGACTTCGTTGGGGCCGGTGCGGATCAGAGGGCTGGTGGGGTCGTGTTGTGCGTGTAGGGCGATCATGGTGGTGTTCATGTCGCCCCGGAGGGAGTGGTGGACCATCCATGCTCGGCTGAAGGATGCGAAGAAAGGCCCCGGGAGGCGGGAGAGGGGGTGGAGGAGGATGAGGTAGAGGGTGTAGAGGAGGGTGGTGGTGAGGAGGAGGGTGATGGCGATGAGGATGGTGGGGGTGAGGGCGGAGGGGAGGATGAGGGAAGAAGCTGAAGACATGGTGTTTGGCTCAGCCGGTGAAAGCAGGAAGGAGCGATGACGGGGCAGCAGAGGAAGGGACAGAGAGGATGGATGAGCAGGTACATGTAGATGTAGGTAGGTGTATAGGTATATCAGAGGTGTGCATACATACCTGAGTGATATGAGGTTTTTTTGGCGCCAATACCTCCTAACTCATACACTTCTCCTCTCCTCTCTCTCTCGCCCAAGAGGTGACGAGGTGGGTGTGCACGAAACGACGTCTTACAGCGGGCAGATGGCGATCACTTCTGCAGCTGTGCAGCTGTGCAGCTCTCTGTTCGGTTCTTGAGCTCTCCCCAACTCCCGGCCCGCTCCCTCGTTTTTCTTTCGTATCGAGAGCTCAGGTCAGGTACCTACTACTCCCAGACTCAACTAGGAGGTAGGAGGTACTCCCATGCTCTCCTAGGTACCGTACTATACCTGTGACACAAGCGAAGATGAGAACCCGGTATACGATAGGAGGTATGGTTATAGAAGAGTGTAGAATAAGCTCTACTTCTAGAAGTCTGATAGAGCGGTAGCAGTGTACGGTTGTGTTTGCGGCGGCTAAGCCTTTGACCGTTGCCCTCCCGTCAACCGTCCTCCTACCAATGACTGCACTACCCAACTGCGGATGGTATTATACCGTCTGTGATTGGCTCCATGGACGATGAATTGCGGAGATGTGGAGTGGACAGGCATCATTGTCATGATTTCATTGATGTGGGAGAGGCCAGGCAGATGGGTCGGCACTGCGGCAGAGAGGCCTGTTTGGCGTGTAATAAAGTACGGTAAAGTACATGTATAATGTACCTACATGTACCTGTTTGTACGACCAGACATGTGCTCTCAGAGTCTCTGGCATCTGCAGTCTGCACCGTTATAACTCCGAGCCTTTCTACCAGAGAGAGTGACTAAGGCACCTGTAGTACCCGTCTTGGTATGCCGCTGTCATAATACAACAACGATATCGCAGGGTGGCGTGGGAAACCGGAAACCCGGAAACTGATGGAATGCTGATGAATGATTGTCCATCAATTATGCTCCATTACCTATGATTATAGCCTTTGTAGGTACATTATACACGTAGACTGTAGTAGTTGGTAGGTTACTTCAGTACCTCCTACTGGAGTTATTGCTTCTTCGGCCAAGAAAAGACGGGCATCCCCGTCGTCATGTCACGTGACCCAGCCCGAGTCAGATTCGAGGCTTACCGTGTCTGAGATCCGCTCCCATCTAGCTCCATCGGCAACACAACATGGGAAGTCCTCGAACTACGCTGCCCTTGATTCTGGGCCCCGATTCTCTATCCCGCTGCTCTTAGCCGGCCATCAGATCATGCTCTAGCATACCAGCCCGCCATGGTAGCATGGCTTCATAAGGTAGGTCTGCTCCCTCTCATTACCTGTTATTCCATTCTCCTCTCCTTCCTCTCTGTTCTACCAGCTGCTTCTGATATCATTGTCTGCGATCCCTCGACGTCTGTCTGTCCGTCAGCTTATTGGGACTCGCACCACTTGAACCCTTCCTCTCCCCTCTTCCCTCTCCCCCTCTCTCTACCATTCCATCTCACTCTACAGCAATGCCCGTCGAGAACTACGACATCGTGATCGTGGGTGCCGGCCCGGTCGGTCTGTTGCTCTCGACATGTCTGGCACGATGGGGCTACAAGATCAAGCACATCGATATGCGACCTGAGCCTACCCTGACTGGACGTGCCGACGGCATTCAGCCGCGTTCCCTGGACCTCTTGCGCAACATGGGCCTCAAGCGCGCCATCATGGACCATGAGCCCGCAAAAGTCTACGAAGTCGCCTTTTGGGACCCCATGGGCGAGGGCAAGGGTATCGGGAGAACGACCACCTGGGCCTCGTGCCCCAAGTTCATCGATGCACGATACCCATTCACGACGCTCCTGCACCAGGGACTGATTGAGAGAGTCTTCATCGCCGATATCGAGAAGCACAACACGCGGATACAGAGGCCGTGGAGGATTACGGGCTTCAAGAACGATGGCAAGGATGAGACGTATCCCGTCGAGGTGAACATTGCACACGTGGATGGCGACGAGCGAGAGACGGTGCGCGCCAAGTATCTCTTCTCCGGCGAGGGTGCGCGATCGTTTGTCCGAGAACAATTGGGCGTCGGCGTCACCCACAAAGACCCCATCGCATACGTGTGGGGTGTGATGGACGGTGTCGTGCGAACCGACTTTCCTGATATCAAGGTATGTGCTCTGCTCCCACACGGGATCCCGCACTTTCACTAACACACGCTGTAGATGAAGTGCACCATTCACTCCGATGCGGGCTCCATCATGGTCATTCCCCGCGAGGATAACATGGTCCGCCTCTACATCCAGATTGCATCTTCGACCGACAAAGACTGGAACCCTAGGAAGTCTGCCACGACAGAAGAAGTGCAAGATTTCGCCAAGAGGATCATGAAGCCGTACTACATTGAATGGGATCGCGTCGAATGGTTTTCCGTCTACCCCATTGGCCAGGGTATCGCTGATCGCTACACCCTCGATGAGCGCATCTTCATGGGAGGCGACTGCTGCCACACACACTCCCCCAAAGCGGGCCAGGGCATGAACACTGCTTTCCTCGATGCGCAGAATTTGGCCTGGAAGATCCACCATGTCGAGCAAGGCTTTGCCGACCGCAGCATTCTCAAGTCGTACGAGTCGGAGCGCAAATTTGTTGCAGAAAACTTGCTGGACTTTGACGCTTCGTACGCCAAGATGTTCTCGCAACGAGTGCCGTCGGCGTCGGAGCGAGATTCGGCAGCACAGTCCGCGAATAAGGGCGGCCAGGAAGACAACCCATTTGTGCAAAAGTTCAAAGAGTCGTGCGAGTTCACATCAGGATATGGTGTGGCCTATCTGGAGAATGTATTCAACTGGTCCGAGTCACATGCCGCACAGTCGCCCGCTTTCCTCTCGACCAAGAATGGTGGCACCAAACTTCGCACCGGTCGCATTCTCACTCCTGCCACCGTCACGAGAGTCGTCGACGCCAACGTGGTCCACCTCGAGCAAGAGATTCCTCTCAATGGCTCGTACCGATTATACCTCTTCGGCGGCAAGCCCGCCAAGACGAAGAAGGCCATTGCCGACTTCGCAGCCGGCCTGAGGAAGAAGGGTTCCTTCTACGACACATTCAAGCGCAGTGACATTGCCACTGTCAACTACCACGAGAAGCACAACCCCCACTCGTGGTTCTACACATTCAACATCATCTTCAACGCCCACCGACCGGAGATTGACATTCGCGGTCTCCTGCCCGAGGTGCTCGCCCGCTACACGGACCACGTCTACGCCGACGACGTCTGGGATCACATGGTTCCTGATGCGAAAGCGTCGGCACACGCCAAGGTCGGTTTGTCGGAAGAAGACGGTGGTATCGTCGTCGTCCGACCCGATGGCTATGTGGGCTGTGTAGTGAAACTCGCGGAAGGAAGTGTGACGATTGATGCTCTGAATGCCTACTTTGCCTCTTTTACTGCCAAGAAAGTTGGGAGTGAGAGGGCACAGTTGTGATGAGTGGAATGAATTGGAAATAGAAAAAACACGTGGGATGGATTTTTTTGAAGAAATACATCTTTTGCATGTCTTGTGAGCGTTCAATGTATGTACGGTACGCAATGAAATTGTATCAATCAGTGTTGATGTAGCTTTTTTTCTCGAGAATGATGAAGACAGCAATGACTGGACTTGTGACAAAATTCTCAGATTTCAATATCATCCATCTCGATCTACATGTATCTCGCTTATCTTATCTTCTCCCATCTTCCCCTTCTCCACCTTCCTCCTCCTCTTGTCCCTCTTCTCGCTCTTCTCCCTCTTCTTCCAAAAACTCCACCCCAAAATCCACAACACAATGCATCACCCCCGGAGCATAACTTTTCAATCGATTAATCCCTTCAATTTTCACTCTCACTCTACTTGTCCTCTTTTCCCTTTCCTTTTTCCTTTTCTCCTCACCTTCCATCTCATTCCTCTCTTTCCATGTTATATTTTTTTGATAATGTATGATAGATAAAAATCCATGAATTTTCTCTTCCAATTCTTTGCTTCGCTCGTTTGCTTTGGCGAGGATTTCTTCTAGAAGGAAATTTTCGTGCATGTGGATCCAGGAGGTGGAGCCTTTTCTTCTTCTTCTTTTGCTTTTGTCTTCTTTTTGGCGTGTGGATGTGATTTGTTGTTGTTGATGTTGAAGAGAAAGGATTTGGGCGGCGAGAGATAGGGATTCGCGAGAGGATGGGAGGAGACCGAGGTTTATGTGGCGGATTGTTATTTGTGGGGGATGATGATGTGGTTGAGGGAGAGGAGGAGGAGGAGGGAAAAGGTATTGTTGTAAACGCTCTGGGGCATGGATGTTGGATTCATTGAAGATGAGGAGTTTGGCCTTTCTGATTCCTTTTTTTAGGGTTTCTTTAGACATCGAGGTGGTTGCAGTCTCCTGTAGCAAGTCCCCATCGAAATGATCCATGCCATGAGAAAGAAGAACTGCTTCCCATTTATTGGCCTTTGCGCCTCGGAGTAGACCTTCGATGCTCCAAGGATTGATATCCCAGCACCAGACTTGGTCTGCGCCGGCTCGGAGGTAGGAGAATGCAAAGTAGCCGATTCCTGCGTAGAGGTCGATGGCTGCAAAGCCGGGGGGTTGGAGTTCTCTTTCTTCTTCCTCCTCCTCCTCACCTCCCTCCCTTCCACCTCTAACAGCAGCATCCTCCACAGCCTCCCTCACCGACCCCAACGTCAACAAACGCGCCTTCTCCGAAATATTCCCCCGACTAAACATCGTCCATCGCGGCGCCCACACCTGATAAATCCCATTCTGCTTCGCCGTCACCCAGAAAGCCTTATCGAAATCTTCTTGCGTAGGATGCGGTTGGGAACATGTCTCGGGCCCGAAATCTCCGTACAAGGGAGTGAAATTGATGGGTGCTCGGAGGATGTTTTCTGAGGAAGTTGGAGTAGTTTCGTTGTTGTTGTTATTATCGTTACATGTGTCCGTCACGTTCGCGGGAGGAGGATGAGGAGGAGGATGAGGATGATGAGGATGAGGATGATGGAGGGGAATGGGCTTGTTGGAGGCAATGTGGGTAATTTTGAGCTCTTTTGCTATGGATTTGTAGAGGTCGTTTAAGGCGGTATTGTTATTATTGATATTGTTGTGGTGAATCAGTGGTTCCAGAGGCGACCATTCCGGTCCTTCGAGGGCATTCTGGGGAAGAAGAAGCATGCAGCCGTAAACGGTGTAGGATTTGCAGAGTTTCTTGGATAGAGGTGCGATGATTTCTTTTTCGATTCCATGCTGGAGTCGCCATGCTTCGACGGCTCGATCCATGAAAATTGATGGAACGATTTGTGATGATTGATACCTTACCTCCTAGAAGAGGAAGAAGAATGATGTTGTCGCGAGTGGAAGCTTGGCGGGATATTCTCGGCCTCTCTCTCCCTACCAACTTACGAAGTTTTCATCGCTCGACGCACATGCTCCGTCAATGTGCCACGATGGAACAGATGAAGCACTACACGTACGGTATAGAAGTACAGTCCAATCAGTGTGGATTGTATCAGCCTTTCTTTCACTATAAGTCTCTCGTTTTTACGAGGGTGTGGCGCCATATCGGATAACACCGTCTTCGCAGTTCACTCTCCTACTACCTTTTCTTTTTCTGTTGACTGAGACGCTGATAGATGGGCTCCCGTATGCGCTTGTAGCCGGTGCTGGGCATCGGGGAATAAAGGATGGTATAACAGGTTACGAGCACGCCGGCGCACTAGCTGCGACACTTGAGACCCGCCACCCGGTATTGAGCAGCATCCCGGTCTATTAAAGGGCACGACGACCAGGTACCAGGGTAAAAGCAGTTGTAAATCAACGGGAGGACACACTGCGACACCTTCTACTTGTACTTACTTACCAGCACCTCTGATCAACATCATCTCTTCTCTTCTGATGCAGAATTGCATCTGACCTCTATTCCCTCTTCCTCCGCAGCAGCAGCACCCAAGATGAAGTGGTTCCGCCATCTCCCGCCAGCGGCTCTCCTCCTGGCCAGTGTTCGCGCAGAATCCAACACGGAGGAGGATGACGACTCTGACTCCTACTGCGAGCTATATGGCTTCACTTCCCAGTCGCCGCGCCCACCCCTCACATCTGGAGTCTATCAGCTGTCCTCGATGCGACCGCCCAAGCACTGCAGAACCTTTCGTAGTCCCGAGGTGGACGACGCCATCGACAGTACCGTCGCTCAGATTGCTGATCCCGACCTGAAACGTCTCTTCTCCAACGCATTTCCCAATACTCTGGATACGACCATTGCATGGCGCGGCGTCTCCGAAGACAACCCGGATGAGGAGCTGGCCTTTGTCATCACGGGCGATATTCCTGCCATGTGGCTCCGAGATTCTGCTAATCAACTCCAATCATACGCGCCACTATTGCAGAAAAACGACAGTGAGGACTCTCTCGCCTCGCTGTTCCGAGGTGCCATTAACCTGCAAGCGCGTTACTTGTTGGGCGACCCCTACTGCCAGGCCTTCCAACCACCCAAGGAGTCGAAAAGACGTCCGGAAAGAAACTGGGCCTACAGTGGTCAGTACAAAGTGACCCCGCCGTATGACAGTAAGGTAGTATTTGAGTGCAAATGGGAGCTGGATTCCCTCGCCAGCTTCTTAGAGCTCTCCGAGTCGTATTTCCGCAGAACAGGCGACCTGGAATTCTTCGAAAAATTCTCCTGGGTCAGCACCGTCGAGACCATTTTGGAAGTCGCGGAAAATATGACAGAGCAGACCACCTACGAGGCCGACGGAAGCATCAAGAACTCTTCCTATCTCTTTTCATCATCCCTCAACGGTGGTTATGGAAGTCCCACCGCGGGAGGCACCGGCCTGATCAAAGTCTTCTTCCGTCCCTCCGACGACGACACCTTGTATCAATTCTTCATCCCTGCAAACATGCAATTCTCGCACTATTTGAACGCAAGTGCCACCATCATGGAGCAACTCTCTGGTAGCGGTGCGAAAGACCTCGCTGCACGTATGAGGAACAAAGCCGCAAGTCTCCGCCAGGCCATCAACGACCACGCCATCATCTCCACCCCACAACACGGAGACGTGTACGCCTACGAAATCGATGGCTATGGCGGTGTCATTCTCATGGACGACGCCAATTCCCCATCTCTTCTGAGTAGTGCCTATTTCGGCTATTCCGACAAGAACGATCCCATCTACCAAAACACCCGAGCACGAATCCTCAGCACTTTGAACCCGTATTGGGCACACGGCCCGGAACTCAGCACCATCGGCTCACCACACAGCGGGTTCGTGAATGGCTGGCCCATGGCATCCATCATGCGCATATTGACGTCCGACGACGACGCCGAAATCACGCAGCAAATTTATCAACTGCTCAGCTCGACCGACGGTCTCGGACTCATTCACGAAAGCGTCAATGCCCACAACCAATCGCAATGGACGAGATCGTGGTTTGCGTGGGCGAATGGTCTCTTTGGCCAAGCCATTTACGAGTTACAAGCGAGAAAACCTCATATTCTCCAGCAAAGTTTCCAAGATACTTCGATTTCGAAAGATGACGTGGGAAATCTCCAATACATGCCACGAAAACCTACCCTTTTTACAAACAAGGTGAGTACTTGAGCAAAAAAATCAGACGTTTGATATGTTTTTTTTTTCCTTTTTTTCCCTTTTTTTCCTTTAAATAAAAAACAATTTCCCCAGCGTGTATGCTGATCAGTGACGGAATGAAATAACGTTGTATGGCGAAGAACAAAAAGAAACAACATACCGCCTCGCTGAACTCGCAACAAACTCACGCATTATTCGAAGAACATCTGAGATGGTTTTGGGTCATGGCTACAGGTTTAATCGTGGCAAGTTTTGTCTCTGTTGTACTTTTTGCTCGGAGGACGACTCGGAGTAGAAGTGGGAGTCCATCTTGTGCGGAAAAGTTCAAATAGGTCCGTTTTTGCTTTTCATGTTTTTTCCAGCGTGCACGAATTTATTACATCAAAAGTGTCAGATGTATACCTGGTAGGTAGGTATATGAGGAGGGATGCGGGGATTCTTTTTGCAAAGCATAGGTGAATGGTTGGGCGGGCATTGGGCGGCGCTTTTCTTGTTGGTTGTGGTATATATCTGATGGGAATAGACCAGGCGAATGAATATGAGTGACGTTTTTGGTAGTGCTTTGGATTGCTCGTGTCATCGTTGACTGATTTGGCTATGTATCTTTTGTATGGGACGCGGATGTTATTTGTTGGTGAAGAGAGAAAAGTGCGTGAAAGAGTGACAGAGAGAGAGAGAGAGAGAGAGAGAGAGAGAGAGAGAGGGGGGGGGCAAAGGTGTCTCGTCTCGCCAAGAGATCGTAACTGATTTCTCAAAACCTGAGGCAACAACCGGTTATGCATGCATGTTACCTCCTAGCTACAGCAAGCTCACGCTCTTGCCAGCTTTATAGTTCTACCGTTCCCCATTGAAACCCAACACACACCACAACCACAACCACAACCACAACCACCACACCAATCCACCGCACCACCACCACCTCCGCATCAACCACCTCAACCCTCACCCCTCCCCAAAACCCAGAAAACAGACAAAAACAAAAAAATGATCTCCGACGCCTCCCTCTACTCCCTCGCCCTCCTCCTCGGCTCCGCAGCAATGCTCATGATCATCCTCTATCATTTTCTCGAAATCAACAGTGATGAGCATGATCACCATACGACCACCAGCAACACAAAAACAACTACAACGACAGCGACAACAAAACAAGGCTCATCGCCGCTGAGTACATTCGATAATTCCAAAGATGTTGTGGGAGGGGGGAATGTGGGGAGTTTGAAGGGGAGATAGATGGTTGGTATGGGGATATTGTCTTTTTTCTTTTGAGCTTGAGCTTGAGGTTGGGTTAGGGTAGGGTACGTGTGCTGGTGGGGATTGTGAGGAGAAGGAGACGAAGAAGAGGAGGAGGATATGTCATGGACAAAGTCGAGGCTTTCGTGGGAGGGGTCGGGAGAATGATGAGTGTGAGCTGTTTCTGTACGTATGGGGACATACAGCCCGACGAGCTGTTATCTTCAACAAGGACATGAGCTTGCCCGGTCTTCTACATCTACATGATGCGCAAGTGAGAAAGGCATGGATATGTATGCGCTCAGACTGGAGCACATGGCAAAGGGAAATTCAAGGCTACCTGAGATACCTATGGGATCAAGCGGCATGTCAAGAGAGGCTCATATTGCAAGACTAAAAGGTGGATTCACATTGATATCATGTCATACTGTACCAAAATATGATTTTCGCACGGCTTGTACCAATGCTCGTCCTGAGACATGCCATCTTCACTCGCTGCTGCTGCATCACACCGACCTTCTCTCGCACAACCGTCATGTCCGCTTTTTGTCAAATCTCCAAATCTTTTAGAATTCCGGCTCGCTGTCCTCAATGAAATCTTCAAAGTCCTCGTCATCGAGGAACCCACGTCTCCGTTTGGCGTTCGCCAACCTACTGCCTTCGAGACCCATAGTCACTCCCTCGTGACGTTTCTGGTCCTTGAGCTTCTTCAGTTCAGCTGCAGCTTCACGCTCATTCTTGTCCAGACCCGTAGACTGCAGCCCCAAGGCTTCTCGGCTCGTGAGACGTCGTTCAGCGCCACGCTTGAGGGCGGCTGGGGCCACAGCTGTCATGACTGTGCGGACCACATCATCCATGTCATCGTCAGCACCCCCCGCAGTCGCATCTGCTTTCTGCTTTGCAAGCTCCTGTGGCGTTAGTATGATTGGCGTGACACTTCTGCCTGAAGCGTCGCTCAGATAGGCAGCACTATCGTCGCGGATTTCTGTCACGCGAGCGTCAGTCTTTACTGGCTCGAAAATAAGATCACGAATGAAGTAGTGTGGTGTAAATCGTGGAGCAAAATAAAGTCGGAAGCATGATACATCGCGCAACGCTTGTGGGATATGGCAGCAAATTGCAGCACAGGAATTGTCTAGTCGTCTTATTCTTGCTCACCTGCCACACTGCCACCTCGTGGTCCATCGCCCAATTTCCACGCGATTGCCTGAATGTGTGCCTTGTTGACGTGCTTGAACCAGTGATCGAGTGTTTCGAAGCTGGTGACGCCTTCATCGCCTGGGCGGATGTTGTTGTTTGCGTCAATGTGATCGCCAGTGCCGCAGTCTCCCCAGCTGCATTCGTAGTCGCCTTCAGAGTTCGCCTCGCCGTGGAGCTTGAGAATATGCTTCTTCAGTTTTTCAAGATTGTCGAGCTCAGAGTTGCACCCTTTCCACTTGCACGGATAGACCTGGTAATGCGGCATGACGTTCTCAGAAGACTCTCGTACTCCGGTCGATTGCCTCAGTTTCGACGTTGTCTTCGGCCCAGCGACGCCGTACGGAGTCAGGCCTTGCGCTTCGCGAGAATGTACCGATTTCCGCCAGCCAACAGGTCGTCCCTTCTTCTTGATGGGATTGCCATTTTCGTCGAGTGGGCGGAAAGCGGCATACCCGGTTGGCGTGCCGGTAACGACAGGCGTGCTGGACGCACTTTTCGACATGCTGGAGGGCTTCTTCTGCCTGCGGACAATAGCTCTGGGAGTGTGAATTGAAGCAGCAGATTCACGACGAGCGACCGATGATCCACGTGAGGCGCGAGATCGTAAGTCAGATGTAAGTTTTGGATGTTCATTGGCAAGAATGTTTGGAGACGCGTCGCGAGCGGAGTCGCGGTCCGCTTTCGGCACTTGCCGAGGTAGACCATCCTGCTTTCGGTCGGAATTCCGAAGCTCACCTGGTCGTTCGGTTGTGCTAGATCTGAGTTTTGCGTGTGAGTCTGCATCACTCTCGTCGTCGACCTCTTCAGATTTCTTGGACTTCAACTTCGCCTCCTCATTCGGTTCTCCTGGATCGATGAGATCCCAGCGTATGGTTGCCAAATCGCTCTTGTTGCCAGCACCGTCAATCACACCTCCACGATCGCCTAGCAACTTTTGCATAATATTGAGATGACCATTGAGCGGGCGCATGTCGGGATGGCGATTTGTGGCCAGCAAGACGTCTCGGGCGATGGTTCTGCTATCGTATTTTGACTTGCGCGCAACACGATCCCGCATAATGGGTTCGACCAACATTTTGCCTCGAATCCGCTCTGCCTGCTTTTGCTCCTCAGATGGACCTTTTGGACGAATCTGGGGAGGATGTACCGGCGCAGGTGGCTGCATCTGAGGTCTATTCCACGTCTGTTGCGGAAACAGATCTCTTGCGGGCACGGCGTTTTGTGGAAACCCAGGCGATGGATGAGACTTCTGCGAGACGAACTGTTGATACGGAATGGGCTGCCGAAACCCGTCATTAGACGGTACTGGCTTGACACTGAATGGGGCAGCATTAGAAGGCAAAATGACTTTCTTTGGTGGCGGTTCGTCGTCCGAATCGTCATCTGCAGTCAAATCTATCAAGTCGCCAAAGCCACGCTTGCGAGCAGCTTCTTCCTTGTCCTTTGGTGGTGGAGGGGGTAGTTCTGGAGGCTTCTCTTCTGGCTTGAGCGCTGGTGGCTGGGAGCCTGAAGGTCGTGGGTGATCGTCGATGATCATGGGGTCCGCATGGTAGAGGGTTGGATCTTGAGTCGCCGACTGTGATGTGAATCCGGTACTGATAGTTCCGGAGACAGACCCCGGGAAAACGCCACCCCCCGTGTTGATCGAGTTCAACCCTTTTGCTGCATCCGTAGGCGATGTGAAGGAAGGTGTAGAATATGAGACTATGCTTGAAGATCCCCTATCTTCCGGAGGCAAAAACCGTCCACGTGGTCGGCCTCTCTTCCTTGGTGGCGCTGATGCAGGCGTGCCAGCTCCATTAAAAAGAGTTTCGGTGCCATTGGCAGCTGTTACTGGTGCAGCATTTGCGCCGCTTTTTACACCACTTTGGCTACCTCGCAAGTCGTCGGGCACAGCCTTCAGTAGCTGCTTGGCCAGAGCAGATCGTTCAAAACGAATGCCGTTCTTCTCGACAGCTTCGCACAATTGAACGTACGAAGGATTGGTATCAAGGATCTTAATGACCTGTTCGGTACTAATTGTCTTGCCACTGTCAACATTTTCCGGCAATGTAGTAAGCCACCTGGCCGCAGCTTCAGCTAGACTGCCTTTCTTGTGCGGTGGCCATAAGGAACTAGCCCCTTGTGACGAAGTCGAGAGCGGTGCCTGCGCGTTCTTTGTAGGTAATGCAATATTTGGTCGGCTAATTGGGACTGTTGGCTGCGCAGGAGGAGGGACGGTAGGTGGAGCAAGAGTCGGCGCCGTGGCGGCAGCTTTATCCTGGTTCTTGGTCAATTTCGGCGCCGGAGGCTGTAGTCCTGTCTGTACCGGTTGCGCAGGCGGCGCAGTGCCAGGCGGCGCTTGAGCGGCATGCTGCTTACGCTCTTCTTCCCACAACTTGGCAAGCATGGCTGGGTTCTTCTGATTGAACTCGCGCATCTTCTTAAACATTGCGCGCATCTCTGCTTCCTCATCGTTGGCCGGCGGTCCTGACATGTTGCCCATCATTGCAGCCATGGATTCCATGCTTCCGCCACCACCACCACCACCACCACCACCACCACCGCCGCCACTACTCCCTGCGGCCATCTGCTGCAGAGCAGTCGCAGCAGTTTTACTCTGTTTCTCTTCGTTTGCCTTCCGCCTAGCCTCTTTCTTCCGCTCCGCTGTGGCCTTCTTCTTCGCTTCCGCCTCTCTTGCCTTGCGTGCATCTTCTTCGGCCTTACGAGCCTCCGCCTCTATTCTCTCTTCCTCCGCTTTTCGCGCATCCTCTTCGGCTTGTCTCGCATCTTCCTCGGCCTTTCTAGCTGCCTGCTCGGCTTCAACCTTTCGCCGCCTCTCTGCCTCTATCCGGGCAGCCTTTTCGCGCTCAGCGCGTATATCGTAAACCTGAGACGGATCGACAGTGGTGGGCATTGGCTCGACCGACACGCTCTGTTGACGTTGTTGCTGCATGTTTTGAGCTGCTACTCGTGGTGATGGCTGCATCTGGTTCGAAGTCTGCGAGGGCTGCTTGCTGTGACCAGGGTGTTGCTGATGCTGCTGATGCTGCTGAGCTTGCATCGCGTGTAGAGGACTAGCATACCGTGGCGGCGGTTGCTGAGTCTGCTGGGATGGAGGCTGGTAACTGCTCTTGTATCCTGCACTGTTAGGGGCATTTTTATAAGAACGACTACCACTTCCACTTCCACTACTTGGCGCGGCCGGCGTTGTCGACGCAGTCTGATAGTTCTGGGAGGCAGCGAATGAGTTGGAACTGGAGTGCGACTGGTCTGGCAGACTCGATCGACCAAAGGTGCTACCAGAGGACTGAGTAGCATAGATTGGCGACTGGTTCGCTGTAGTCCGACTGGTCGCGGAACTGTACGTATTCGATGCGTAATTTGGAGTTCCCCATGTCGAGTTGGATGTGTCGTATGCGACGTTGCTGCGAGAGGTGTTACTCGCCGCTGGCTGCGAGTACGTGTGGCTACTGAGGGAGCTCAGACCGGCAGCTGCTGTATCTGTATTTGCGCTCGACTGCGCCTGCTGTCCCGTAGTCGCATATTGGTTGTCATAGCCAGAGCCATAGTTGTGCGTGTATGAGTTGCTCTGATATGCCGAGTTCTGGCTCGCGTATTGATTGTTGTTCGCGTTGGCGTAGGTGTATCCGGACGGCTGATTCGACTGGCTCCCAACAGGATCATAGAAGTTGTTGGCAGGATAAGGTGCCATTCTATCCTGCCTCCTCTACTGCGCGTATCGTGTGTCGGGCGGCGCGTGGGTGTGCAGGCTGTTCGTGGTGAAGTTTGGTAGACGATCACACAATCCAGTGTTCGCAGCAGTCCAAGAAATCCCTATCCGCCGGCGCCCTTCCCATGCTCATACACCTTCTGCAACGTGGATAGTCGCATTTGTGTCTACGACCTCTTACCACCATGTCGATGCGGTCGCATACATGTACCTCTCGCTCAGTAGTCGCAGCAGCTCGGGACGGGATGACGGGATGTCGGGATCGGGAGCGGCCGAACGCCAAGATCTCAGCTCCACACGTCCATTTTGAAATTTGGTGCTCTGTCTTCCTCTTGCAGCAGAGATTGTCTATTCTCGCCATCACCCAACGACAATACACCAGGTCATCTCACCTACCGCCACCATGACCAAGATCAACAGCAATCTGCACTCCAGCAGGAGCAAGAGCCGCAAGGCTCACTTCCAGGCTCCCTCCAGTGTGCGCCGGGTCATCATGTCCGCGCCATTGAGCAAAGGTATTTATACCTGTCAATAGCATATCTCCGGTTCAGGAGCATTGCTGACAGGAATTGAATCGTAGAACTCCGCGAGAAGCACAACGTTCGTGCCATTCCTATCACCAAGGGCGACGAGGTCATCATCAAGCGCGGATCCAACAAGGGTCGTGAGGGCAAGGTCACTTCGGTGTACCGCCTCAAGTATGTGATTCACATCGAGCGTGTCCAGCGCGAAAAGTCCAACGGCCAGGCTGTGCCTCTCGGCATCGCACCAAGCAAGGTCGAGATTACCAAGCTCAAGCTCGACAAGGACAGGGAGAAGATCATTGAGCGCATTGCCGCTGGCCGTGTTGCCAACGAGAAGAAGCGCAAGGCTTAGATATTTCACCGCTCGAGATCTGGTCAGAAAAAGGTTACGCATTGGTGGAAACGGTCATGAATGAGTTCAACGATACCACAAAAGTGAGGATATTGCCAGGCTGGCTTCACTTCGCATTAGGAATGGTCAGATGCATGGCGGACTGTGCAGTTGCATGGAATCGACTATCGGCAATCGAAAGCGCTTCATACACACCGGTAAAAAAACCACTGTTCGACCTCCACGCGCCGTGCCCAGAACGGTGTGCTGGTTTTTGCACCTCTTTTCTCTTCGTCTCGCTTTTCTCTACCACCGCTATGATTATCAACTTCACCGCCTCATTCACTGGCAGAATTGAAGCTAAACACATGGCGAAAAGCAAAACCTCCTGCCACAGAACACTGCTCGACTACCCTCTGGGAGATGGTGCTTTGAAGGTGGGGAACATATTTCTCATGACACTTTGTAGTTTACTGATATTTGACGCGCCTTGTGGAGTCCATCTATGTTCGACCATTTTACTTTGCAAGCTCCATTGCCCCGGTTTATCCTGCATGAACAGGCTGTGACGGAAGTCAAGTAACTAGGCGTTCTCGTTGACGCTTTGGCGTGTCACGCGCCTGTGGCAGCGCAGCGACAGACTAGGAAGAGAGATTTCAACAAATTTGGACGTGAAGACAATCGGGTTCGGCTGAGACTTGTGTGTGTGAAGTCATCTCTTCGCCCCGCGCATGTCCGACCGACTTCCTGCGAAGATTTTCTCTGGCAGTCTCTCTCGTCCAGCAACTCGTCGAGTTACCCTAATTGAAGGAGACGAAAGTCGGCTTTCGATTACCTGATCATTTATTGCTTATGAGGCAATCTTTGCGGCACCTAGATACTACCTGGCATTGGATTCGATGATTCACGCTGGGCGCAACAGCACAAACACCCAATAAAATCATCTCCGAAATGCATACTCTTGACAGGAGCTGATGGTTAGCATTGTTGCGAAATCCAAAGTCGCGATGTTTCCAATGCTCGGAATCTGCAATGCGCCTTACATATCCGACGAGGCGTGCTTGGTCGAGCCGACGATTGCGGAGCCAGTGATTGATTGAGGACATGTGCCGTTGCGCACTTTGCTGGACAGCGGAAGTCGGCATACGCGTAGAAGAGGTGACACTTGCTTCTACAGACAAGCTATCAAACAGCCCGGAGGCTTTGTTGCTGGCCTCTCAAGATCGTTCTGGATGCAATGACTACGACGAGGTTGCAGATGGAGTTCCTTCCACTCGAACGGAATTGCCAAGAGTCGTGAGAGAAACCTTTGTCACAAACTTGTGTCGAACTGGAGTCTGCCATATTCACTGCTGACTAGATGACGATCAAGGTGTGGGAGCTTTGTCCAGAGTATCGTCTGCACTACCGGTTCATGCGCGGCTGCGCCAACAGATCAAGATCAAATGCACTTGGCCTTTTGCCGGATCCGTTGGTATCTTGAGGGTGCTTAGACTGCGGATCATTTTACCGGGACTAAGATGCCTCTGTGCTGTGCATCTACTCATATGGGATCGTCGCGAAAAACCCGCCCCCCCCGTGAGAGTCGAATATTCCTTGGTCCTCGCAATGGCAACACTTGCACACGCTCTCGATGGCCTGGTCGCTCGTGATACTACGGGTCACTGCCGCGGCGGGCGAGTCCTTCTAGGTGCTCCAAGTCTTGGTCATGGATACGCAACGAAACTGTTCGCGCAGTACTACTCCCCCTCCGACAAAAGAAAACTGCCTTAAACGAGACGGCGAAAGAGAGAAAAAAGGTCAAAAGAGACTCGAAACAAAAAGCGAGCTGCAGCATCGCACGTGGCTGCCACGCAACCCCCAAGCCGTAGTGCTGAGTGCTGTTACCTGGTACTTCCTACATTTCTCGGTTCTCACACCATCTTCGGACATGGCTACTCCAGAGGGTGCCACACGGCACGGATAGGTTCCTATCTTCTGCTCGATACCCGAGAATAAGAGCGGCGGTGTTACATGCATCTCACGCGTGGGCTCACATTATTCGCTAAGGTACACTGTAGGATCTCACAAGGATCTGCCGTGACGACAAATAAGAAACTCCGACGCCGCGTGGTGGTAAGGTGAGGAGGTACATAAGGTCTCGGCCCATGTATTTTCTTTTATTTTATTTTCTGTTGTTTGTTATCCGGCAAGATTTGTAAGAAATGGGGTTTTCTTTCCGTCTTTCAGAGATAAGGAAAATCCAGCTTATACTTGGCGTGCATGAGATGACATGCATGCACTGAAGATCTCCTGTCTGTCCCATCGACATCCCTTGCCCTTTCTCCACGCGAGCCTATCTCTGCCCTGTGATTGGCTGACGATGTTCTCTTCAGCCTTCAGGATTTCATCCATCTCCGGCTGCAGATTATTTGTTACCCACGACTCCCACGAGGGCGACATTGTATCAAATAAGAAGTTTTTAGTGCATTTATTTTGTTGTGGTAGGTAGGATAAAACCTTTTTTGGGGGGTGTGTGACCCACGATGGCAAGATACCTAGATATACTTTGATCTTTTATCGCCTGCCACTGACTGCATATGCATACACCTAGCCAGGGTGCTTACTTACTAGTTCCTAGCTAGTCGCTAACACTTCTACCTCTTTCACTTCCTCCTTGGACTGTCTTCTTCTTCTTCTTCTTCTTTTCTCTTTTCGAAACTTGTTCGTTGTCGCGGCCGGAAAGAGTCTTGGTCACTGGGGGGCGAAGAGAGACATGTCTTCTGAACATTTCTCGTCGTCGGAGAAGGAGAATGAGCAGGAGAAGAAGAGGGCGTTGTGGAATACTGGGGACGATAATCCTGATACGGAAGCTGGACATGTGGCCGTGGAAGTGAACGTGTTACTCGACAAGAATGGCTTCAAATTATTTCCCACACCCGTGCAAAACGATGGATTGGATCCTCTCAACTGGTCTTCATTTCAAAAACATGTCATTCTTTCCATCGTGATGGCATTGTAAGTTCGTTCTTCTCCTTCTCCAAATCCTCTCTCCCTCTTTAACCAAAAAAAACTGACCTTCCCCTTCTTCTTCTCCTTCAAAAAAAGATACTTCATGTTCACCTACATCACAACCACCACCGTCCCCGCCTTCGTCTCCCTCCAAACCCAATTCTCCGCCTCTCTCGAACAAATCAACTGGACCCTCGCCATCCCCGCCCTCGGCCTCGCCGTCGGACCTCTCCTCTGGTCCAGTCCAGCAGACATCATCGGCCGCCGCCCCATCATGATCCTGGGCACTCTAATTTCCATCGCGGCCACAATCGGCGCCGCCAAAGCCTCAACCTACAGCAACTACATGTGTGCGCGATTTTTCCAAGGCTTGGGAGTCTCACCGGCTGCGACAGTGGGGTTAGCGATTATCAATGATATTTTTTTCGAACATGAAAGGGGTCAGAAAGTTGGATTGTGGGTTTTGGCGATTGATTTGGGACTGTTGTTTGGACCGTTGATTGGGGGGTTTATGTATCTGGTTTCTTCTGAGTGGATTCAGTGGCTTACGGCGATTCTTTTGGGCGCGATTTTGCTTGCGGAAGTCTTGTTTATGCCGGAGACGTTGTATCCGAGAGATTGGATGTTGTCGCGGCAAGTTGCTGCGGGAGGAGGAGGAGGAACGAAAGTTGGAATGGTCGATGCTGTTGGTGCGGAGGAGGAGGAGAAGGAGAAGAAGAAGCAAATGACGACGGGAACCATATCTCGTGAAGGAGGAGGAGGAGGAGGAGATGTGAAGCGGACAAAAGGTCTACCATATATCAACGTGGTACCTCTCCCCGGGATGAAGCATCCCAAAGTCTGGGACACATTGATTCGATTTGGCAAGACGTTCAAATTCGCCGTGGTGCCGATTGCAATTTTCACCTATTGCTTCGGTTGGTACTGGTGGGTATTATCAGTCATTACCCTGATTCCCGTCGCATATGCAACCTACTCTCCCCAAATTCAAGGGTACGTCTTTCCCCCCCTTTTCTTTTTCACATTCCACTTTTGGCAGTGCAAAAGGAGAAAGAAAAAAAAAGGCACAACCAAAAACGCTAACAGCAACATCTCTGACAACAAAGACTCTTCTTCATCGGCCTCATCGTGGGCACGCTCATTTCCGAAATCTTCTTTTCAGGTCGCTTGAGCGATTGGCTAGTAGTCAAACTCGCAGCAGCAGCAGCAGCGAAACAATGCGACTCGACGACGACGACGACGACGAACAACAACAAGACCCCCGAGATGCGAATTTGGTTATTGTATCCTGCAGCGGTTCTGACATCCGTAGGATTAATCGTGTGGGGAATTTCGATTGATCGGAATTATCATTGGATTGTAGGCCAAGTGGCTTTTGCATTATGTGAGTAAACAACACCTTGAACCTCCTAAAAGAATTCTTCATCTCCATCTTCATCTCACCAGCCCCATTTTTGTCGAAACTTGCACAAAAAAAAGAAAACTGACCTTTTTTTTCTTTCCTCTCCTCCCCAGTCGGAGCCGGAATCCAAATGGGCAACTCCGCCGTAGCCGCCTACGTCCTCGACTGCTATCCCTACCAAAGCATGTCCGTAATCGTCTTCTACGCAGTCCTCCTCAACCTGTCAGCGTTTATCGATCCATTCTTCATTGTGCCGTGGTTGGATGCCGTGGGTTACACGTGGACTATGGCAGGACATGCGATGATTACGAGTTTTTTTTGTATTCCGACGTTTGCGATGTTGCAGACGTTTGGAGGGGAGTTGAGGAGGTGGAGTGGTGAGCCGGGTTGGGTGAATCCGGAGTTTGATGGGGAGGTTGGGGTTGGGGTTGTTGGACGGGGGGAAGGGGGAGGTTAGGTAGTGGTTTGGTTCCCCCTGTGGGGGTTGGTTGATGGATATTGTATAGATGTATATATACATACTCTTTTTTTCTCTCCCTCTCTCTCTCTCTCCCTCTCTCCCCAAAGCAAGAGTAAACCCCTAAAAAGCAACAGCAGCCAAACTATCCAAATAACTTCCCGCCGCCCTCGCCCGATGTTCCGGCCACCTCACAATCGTATCCCGCATAACATCCACGCCCCAAATAAACTGTTGAAAAGTCGTATCCGCCCACAAATCCGGATTTTCTCCACCTTTCCCATTCCCATTCCCGGCCCGTTGAATCTGTTCATCCCGTTCCCTCTGCGCCGCTCCATCAGGTAAATGCAAAGCCTTCCGTGTCGAAGCCGCCGAACCCTGTACAGCCTCCGCTCTCGCCTTCCGCACAGATTCAAACGCTGCGAGAGCCAGCGGGATATCGGTGCTGCTTTTTGCGAGAACGCATTGCAGCACGCCGGCGTCTTCGATGGCTTGGGCGGCGCCTTGCGCGACGTAGGGGAGCATGGGGTGGCTGGCGTCGCCGATTAAAACGACTTTGTTTTCGATCCAGGACGGGAGGGGAGTGTGCGAATTCAGAGTCCATTCCATGACGTCGCCGTCGGGGACGTAGGAGAGGAGGTTTTGGACTTCGGGGGTCCAGGCTTTGTAGAAATCTAACATTTCTTTTTTGTCGCCTTTGCGCGTCCAGGACTCTTCGGCGGCGTCTTGGTCTGGAGTCTTTTGGGGATGGAGGAGTACCATCTTTGAGAAATTGTGAGCAAGCTTTGTTTTTCTGATCACACGGACGGCTGTGTTCGATTTTTCACTCTCACTTACATTGTAGACGGTGTTGTTCTTGACTGGATATGCCATGATGTGACCGCCTGGTCCCATCCACCTCATACCTGTTCCTGATTGCAGCAGTTGCAAAGCATATTCATCGTGTTCCAGCTTGTCCTTTGGTATCATGATCCGATACGCGGCGTCCCCAGTAGGTGTCGCATGGTCCTTGTGGTTGTGGTGCTCAGCGATCTGGGCTCTAATGTGCGACTTGATGCCATCAGCAGCCACGATCAAATCGCCTTGCAGCCATTCGCCGCTCTTCAATTGCACTTTTCCAGCAAATTCATCGTCGACTTTGATGACTTTGTGATTAGTGAGAATTTCGGCACCCGAGGCTTTGGCCGCTTCCAACAAGACTCTTTGTAAATCACCCCTGTGAATTGCGCCCAACGGAGCACCGTACTTTTCTGCAATGGCGGGCATGAGAGGCGCGGTGCCCAATTCACTATTGTCTTGCCATCGGCGAAGGGAATTGTTCTTCATGAAACTGCAGTACTTGACAATCTCTGGAAGGATACCGAAGCGGCCGAGGATACGCATATTGTTGGGTGCCATCTGGATCCCGGCTCCCACTTCTGCAATCTCCTGGACCTGCTCCAGAACGCGGACTTTGTGTCCCGACTGTCGAAGCCCTGGTGATATATATCGTCAGTAAGTCGCTGAGAGTTGGTCATGAGGAGAGAAATTCACCAATGGCAGTGGCAAGACCTGCTATGCCAGCTCCGACAATCAGCACATCCAGCTTCTTCTCTGGTGTCGCTTCCAGCTTCCACGTTTCTTTGTAGTACTCCATGTTTCTTTTGTTGCACTGCGTTTCAAGGACGGGAAGTCAATTGCTGAGTATAAATGGTGTATTTCCGTGAACCGATAGATACTTTATATTTGTTTGTCCTATACAGCGAGAGGTTGGGATCGAGTTGACGCATCTCGATAAAATCTTCTGCTCTTATTACGCAGTATTCCGTTACTCTTTCAACGAATGGACGTCTCCGGAGCACGCGGATGTCTTGTGGCTGTACTTGAGTGGTTCTGTTGTCGTCATGATGCTGCGAAAACGGCTTTGAGTTAAGGCGGGTGCTCCATGCCGCCTAAGACTAGATAATTATCCGTTGCACCGTAGGAGCTGGAGGTAGGACATATTTCCAAACCTCCTGTCCAGAGCCTGCCATGAGACGGCAATGGGTTTTTTCTGTGCAATCATTTAGGACACAAGTTCACGCTTGCTAGGACTCTGATATAAGCTGTCGAAGTACGGAGAGAGAGGGTAATGTCGCAGCTGATAGACCAACATCAAAGGCGCCGCACTCATAAGTGGAACACAGGTGTAGTCTGAAGTTTAAGAATGCATACCTTATAGCAATGATAGCATACCGGATAGACTATGCGGTAGATAGGTATAGAAGACTACCTACGTCCCTAGGGGGAGAGTGAAAAACCGAGCATGCTTAGTCATTCCATACCATCTCATAACTCAGAAGATCGTCTTTCACTTTCCGGGGAAACCATAGGTATGCTTTTACTATATAGCAAATCCCAGATGATTCTTCTCGTGCCTCCTCTACCGCGCAAGATATCAACAATCTGGCCGATGAGAATCTCCCTCACGCAATACCCCGCCAAACCATCCACGCCTCAGCAACTTCAGGAAAACCTTCCTCTCCCAACTTCCTCTGCATACGTGCCCTCCAATCCGACGTATCTCCCTCAGGCAAATCCATGCTGCTGCACATACGGAATTTGGTCCGAATCCAATGTCTCGGGAAAAAGCCCGCACACTCCCAATCAATTACGCCCACCACGACTTGATCCGCCACAAAATCCACAATGATGTTCCCTGGGCCCAAGTCGCAATGGTAGAATTGGAAAGGTAAAGAACAATCCATCCCTTCTACTTCCCGACAATTTTTCAGAAACGTCTCTGGTCGGAAATCGAATTCGTACTTGGGAGGTGTACCCGAAGGACTCCGTGGCGAATTGTCAGCTAACCATTGTTCGGGAACGTGGTTTCCATCAATGCCAGTAATCTGTTCAGCGTGCGTTGCGGCAAGTTCTTTACAAATGCTGACAACGCCATCAACGCACTGATCTCGACAAGTTTCAGACATGTATGGCCACGCTTTGGAGAGTGTCTGTCCAGGGATTTTGGATACGACGAGGTAGTATCGTTCATTCCATTCGCCGTGGTAAAGGACTTTTGGGAGGGTGAAACTGAGATTCATTTGGTGGAGTGCCTCTAAAGTCACATGTTCTCGTGTGGTGTCGGGCGATAAAGGGATGAGAACTTTTAAGAATGCGTCGCCCATCTCCCACACAGCGTGCGAATCCCCGACATCGTAGACTAGCGGAATAGGCGGGATGGGAGAAAGTGATTCCAGTGTTGGTGGTTTTGCCTTATTATCGATTTTTTAGTTGTATTCGAGGCAGCGGGAACGGCGACTTACGTCGGACAGGACGAAAAACCCGCCGTGGCCATCTTTCCAGGAGGTACAGTCTGGTGGTTGAACGGATTGACGATATAGGAAAAGGTGGTCTGCAATCGTCCACAGATTGACAGCGACTTCTTTCAGTGATTCTCTCACGGGATCGATGGAGTCTAGAAGCATGTTGAGAATTGAACCTTTTCAAACGTTACGCTGGAAAGATTGTGTAAAAGCAACAATATGGTTGTCGGGACAACCGCCCACAAAAACTATTTGCGGCACGGCTGCGGCGTCGACAAAGATATTGTAAGGTACTCACTCCACCAGTCAACGGAAGAGCACCAGCTTAGTCTTTTTGAGAACTTGCGGATATCATTGGACCTCCGTCACTGTGCTAAGCGCCGAAAACAGTTTCTGCCATACGCCTCATCCAGAAAGCCGATGGAGAGAGTTCTTGGCCGATACAACGCTCAAATCAACCAGTGCTGTGAGCATCTCCTACATAGCCAGAAGAGTATGCAGTACGTAGTCCCGTAAGGAGCATGATAAAAGCTGTCTTGGTGTGCCTTTCCACAGGGTACCCCGATCTCTGCTATGAATCTTCCGTATTTTGCAATGGATCAAGTCATCATTTCTGCCCTTTTCCCCCTTTTCTCAACTAGGTGTCGTTCTCATCGTCCGCTGTCGTTGAAATCTTGGGTTAATTTTTGTCACATTGAAGACAACTCCATATATTTCAGACATGGCGACGTAGGAAAGGGATAGATGAAGAGCTTCATCATGTTGAGACATCAAGAATGGCTTGAAGCTGTTATCTGCAGCTGAGAAAGTCCAAATGGAAGCAGGAAAAAGTGAGATACTAGTACGGTTATCAAAATTCAAATTTTCGTACTGCATTCCAATGCATCGGCGCACAGCCTATAGATGTACTGCCACTCGCTTGGTCATGTACTTGTCAATTCCCCAAAGTCCGAAGCAGCTCAAAATTGCGAGAACACCAAATGGGATGCTAACGTAGAAAAGCAGCTGAAAGCACTCCGAGTACATCGCCTGGCCCGCGGTAACAATCGATGCCAGCTCTTCGGGTGTGTTGATTTGTGGGAACAGTGGGAGATAATGACTCAGTGGTCCTGCAGTCATGGTGGTGACTAGCTTGGTGATGCCGGGAATGTCTGGAAGACCCTCGGGAGTGACAAAACCGGCCAGGACTGCAGGCAAGCCGACGAAACCAGCTGCTTTTGCTTTGACTTGTTGTCGGAAGATGTTGTAGAACATGGACTTGCCAATGACTTGTCCCATCATGCGAATGACGAGTGACAACGCCACAGACGTGCCAATTAGATCATCTGGACTGATGACGGAGAAGACCACTTGAGATGGCAAAAGTACGGCGCCCACACCGATGAGTCCCAGAATCATCGGCGCCCAGACAGTGTTGATGTTGTTGGGGTCGTAGAGCGACATGCAAGAGATGCCGCAAACTTGCATGATGCAGAAGAACAGCAGCACCCACTGAATGTGTCTCTTGAACACTGTGATCAGGATTGCGGAAATGATTGCGCCGCCGGCAATACAGAAGCCCAAAGGTAGGAGGTTGACGCCAGCCTCCATGAAAGAAGAGCCGTAGACGGAATAAGTCATGATGGTCCAGAAGACTGTCAGAGGAATGTAATTGACGCCAGAGGTGAAGCAGAGCATAGAAACCGAGAAGAAGTGTCGCTTGCTCTGAATGAGCCTGGCGGGGAACATTGGGTATGGTGCCACGAACTTTTCGTAGAGGACGAAAAGGATGAAGGTGAAGATGCCAAAGACGAGCATGCAGATGACCTGTGGCGAGTCCCAGGTGTAGTCACCGCCTCCCCAGTTGATTCCAATCAGGAAAAGGACAACGCTGAGGATAGACAGCGCGCTGCCACCGTAGTCGATACGCTTGAGCAACTGCATGGTGCTCACTCCTTCGAGCATCGCTGGACGTGGAGGAGGCTTGTACCAGATCTGAAGTACTACTAGGGAGAGGAAAGACCAGGTGCCCAGCAGTACAAAAATGTACCTCCAGTTGTGCTCTGCAATGAGCTGACCATAGAGCGAAGATGGTGCGAATGGCATGAATCCCATGACAATGTATCCGATTGTGGCACCACGCTTCGAAACCGGTACCAGCTCAGAAGCTGCTGCAACGACGGTCAAGATCTGAATACCAATGGCTGCGCCTGCCATGGTGGCACCAACTAGGAAGCATCCAAAGTTGGGCGCAGCGCCCTGCAGAATGAATGCCACGATGGCGAGAACGAGACTGGTCTGGATACATCCTTTACGGCCCATCAGATCCGATAGAGAGCCGACGAAGGGTGCCACGGCTCCTGTTGCAATGTATGGAGCGACCAGGATCCAGACGACTTGCTCAATGGCCCCTAGGTCAAAGGCGATGACAGTGAAGCATGTTGCAAAGAAGAGGGGAGTAACCTCTGCTACGACGAATGCCATGGCCAGTCCCAACATCGTCATGAAGAAGGCAAAGGTGAGCTAGCAGAGAGATCAGCACGTCGACCATACGTTCGATGATTGATGTAGGGTACCTTGTTCTCCCCTTCATCGTGTGAGATGCCAGCATTGCTCACAGCATCACTATGGCTGTCCACTGGCTCGAGCTTCTCGACATCTTGACGTTTTTCTTGATCCATGTCGGCGGTGATGGTTGAGGGGAGGGTTGGAGAGATGCGATTGAGGAGGCAACGCTCGCATGGCTATAGCAGTCTTTTTATTCACAATGGCCAAGCTCCTCGGTGTATCTAGGTGCCAAGATGGTTCGTCTCCAGGTGATTGATTGTGTGGCGATGGTGTGCAGCGCGCGGAGTCGCAAAGCAGCCAAGATGGGGAGAAAATATGGGTGGCTGTGGAGGCGTACCTTGATCGTCTAGATCTGCTGTACCCCACGGGATGTGGCGGCTTGGCGCGATGCCGTCGACGAGTCATCGTTCAGCGGAGTGCAGTCCTATATCATCCTCGTTCCCCTCGAGCTACATCTGTAGTTTTATAGTTCTCTTGGGTAGTCTGGGTACTGTACCTCTTGATTACCAGGAGGGGCTGTGTCTATGGTCTAGATGCTGCTGCCGCATGACCTACCGCCGCGGAGAACAGTTTGGTGAAGATGCTGCACTACATGTATGCTTTCAGGTATATGCAACGAATGGTCTAGTGCGGACCGCTTGTATAGCATCACTTGTGATGAGTTCCTTATCAGATCCTACTATACTCAATTCTCATGTGTAGAGCTTATAGTACAATAATCACCTGGCTGGGTGTTGCGCAAGCAAGTCGCGCCCATCAAGACTCATGAGGTATCGTCCAATCTTGCGCAAAGGTGTAGATCATAGGCCTCGGCTGGCGCTAACCACCAAGATGTGCCAAGTAGAAAGGAATCCTTTCGCTCTTCTTGTTTGTTCCTGAAGTATATTCAGTGCTCCGTGCCCAGTCACCACATGGGACCGAGAACCTGGAAACCAACCATCACATGCTGCGCTAAGTACATGCACTTGTGCCATGGAGAAGTCTGGGGTTAGGCTACAGGTAGGTAGCGACCGATTGCCTCCCGATCCTTCAAGCAAGGCATCGAACGGTGTAATATACACCATCAAGCTGTTAAGGTTCAAGGACTCGACCTTCGAGTTGCCACGCCCACAAGAAAATAGAGAATATACTCATGCCGAAAGGCTTTCTGATCGTGTTGTTGGCAGCATGGCAGAGCTGACAAGCCCACGCGAGTAGAGATCGATCTCGACTCTATGCACCTGATGTTCCACCTACTTGTAGACTGGCTTGCTCGCGCTACCTCCGTAGTATCTTGAACTCATCATTGGAAGTAAGCTCATATGGCTAAGGCTAGGCCTCTGATGAGATGTAGTATCATGGTCCACATCTTGCAGTGGACCAAGCAACAGACTTTGTTTGACTTCTTATATCAGCTCCAGCATGACAGGCTGTTTCGTACGTAGGCATTGCCAGGGCTTGACACGCGAAAGACAAGATATCATTCACAGCTAAGCTGGAGCACGTGAGGCGAGCAATCCCCTGCGTGCTGGTTATGTCTCACCGCTCCGCATTAAGATTGTCCGGCGTATTGTGATTTTGTTCACAGGGCATCGCAATGGAGTTCTTTCCTGCACATGCTCAAATGCGATTGTTTATTCTTCTCCGGTCCACGGTTCGTTCGACGTATAGTGTTGCTGCTGAGTGGCTTCATGCGGTTGTCACCCAGATACCGTTGCCGCGCGGGGAAACAAACGCGTGTTGACCTGGGCGAGTTGCAATGAGATCAGATGCGCTCTATAAGTTGCGGTTCGAGATCTCCTATTTGCCGTGCTACCATGCCCACGAGCTTCGTGACTCGGCGGCCCTGGTAGTGGAATCATGTCATTAGCATGACGAATATCGTCACCATGCCGTGAAGGTGGCCGCGCAGTGCGGATGGGACAATGCCAAGCCCTTTTTAGATGGCAAAGGGTATGCTCGCCACCGTGCCAGCTACTACCAAGACATAGCCATTGCAAATGACATTACTGAGATGCCGAGTAAGATCCATTATAGGCAATGACCTGGCATGTGTTGTTGTTGCAACAGCTTCGAGGCCAAAAAGAAGCAAGACGTATTGTTGGGGCAAAATCAGTGACCCTGCAAACTGCAAAAGCAGACACCATGGTTCGAACCCCAGCGTGGAAAAGTCCAAAAAAGTTGTTTATACTCGTGGAGTGTGTGTGTACCGTATGAACCAACACACTGTGATTATGTGTCACAATGTATTGATCCAATGCTGCCATTCGCGCTCCACCGGTAGAATGGAGGCGATATGCGTGTGATGAATAAGAGATATGTTGATACGTACCTGCTACGCACCCAGAGGGTACTGGCCACGAAGGCTGCATCTGTGTGCTCATTGGTTGGGAGAGCAGGAACTTTAAACCCATATATAGGCTGCTTAATAGCGAGGTCAGTCTCCGGCAATTCTAGTTGACAGGGTGCTATTTCTCGACTCGTTACAACGAAGAAGCCGCTCTTCGTCCTTGATCACGTTGACGGGCTCCTTGTGTGAGGGAGTCCTTTGTTAAGTGTGCAGCACCTCGCGGGTCGAGGACGGTGACTAAGAGGGGGCTGGTGCGCGGAAGGCATGCGCTCGAGTGACTCGTGAAACGCTTGTCAACACCTATTGCCTCTTCATTCAGCAACATCACCCAACAATAGACTTGAGATACTACACCAAGAGTCGTCACCACTGCAGACGCGGCCCCGGCAGCTATACGTAGTGACGACTCTCCCCTGGACGGACAAGAAGGTGCGGCTGGAGGGCTTCTAGGACGGGTCAGGATGAGCGTCGACCGCCAACACCACAGACCCGCAAAGAGACGGCCTACAGCGTGAGTTCCGTGGCTGACAGGTCTTCCTCAACGGTGATCCTTGCGCCAGGTCGACAATCGAGCTTGTCGCAGCTGTACCCTCTTTCCCAAGAGAGGTGAAGCACCGCGGCTGCAGTACCAGTCAGCACAGACGCTGGTTGTGAAAGAGCCTATGCACCAATGGCTTCTGAGGGGCCTCGTCTCCGTCCTACGATCATGGGCACATCAGGATTCGACAGTAGCAGCAGCGCGCTCCTCTGCAGCGCCTTCAAGAACGTCAGACGCTTCGCCAGACGCCGCCACAAAGCAATCAGAGCTGCCAGCGCTTCTCCAATAGCCTTGTCATGCGAGTACTGCATGAGACAAGCGCCGCCGCCATAACAGCGGCCTCGTTGGTACGTCTTCTTGCCGCTGGACCAAGCACCGTCTTCAGTGCTGAAGTTCGCCCATCGAGACGACCACCTCGATCCGACCAACATGTGCGCATCAGACTCCAAAACGACGGCAACGACGATATCAACGTCGTCTCGGACCCATCCGCCCAGAACGCCATACACCTTGTCAGACGCCTTGTCGCAGTCGCGAGCACTTTCCTCCTCGCTAGATCGCCAGGATAAAGTATATTGCGAGCTGCAATCGCACCGAAAAAGGCGTTCCGCGTGACTTGCGGTCCTCCTGAGTCAGTCTGTCTGAAGACCTCACTCTGCCATTGGTTCGGTAGGGGCGGGGGCGATATGCACAAAGACCAACAGCAACCTGTTCGTCCCATTTCCCCGTACCGTCAGGGCACATCTGTCTCGCCGGTCTTCACCGCAACATCATCTTTGCCCGCCTGTGCCAGTTCGAGACTGTCAAGCTAAAGCTAGAGCGAGAGCGAGAGCAGAGGAGGACTCTTCAACCAGGCAGTAGTATACAGCAGCTCTTCATAGCATAGACCGACCGGGCTGGCGCAGCCATTGCAACAGGAACAACCCAGCAAAGCACATCTATCGATCGTGCTGCTCTTCCATATCTCGCTCGCCTGACCACATTCCTCGCGCAAGAGATATCCCATCTTGTCCATTTTACAGGCGCGCCCGACCTCCGACTGCATCCGGAGTCACAAGGAACGCTGAACCGTCACACATTCTCGTCGTTCTGGGTGGGCTGGCCTCCCGCACCGCTGGACACGTGCATGGAGGCGGTGGGAGACCATCGTTGCTTGCTATATCGAGTGCATCGGTCTGACTCTAGTACGGAGGCATGAGTCCAGCTGAGATGGGTCCCAGGCGAGGGAAGCTAGTAGCTGGAAGGGAGGCTCATGACCACATTCATATTGCAGCTCAAAGAGAAGCACAGTATGCTAACATTCAAGAGATACATCTCAACGTCTGGTTAGCAAAGCAAGAGAGGTCGAAGGGCAGTTGGCAGGGTACCTCCTAGGGTGGAGACGAGACTTCCTCGGGAAAATCGTCTTGGCGTGGCTGGTGTTCTTCCACCTCATCTTCAACTTTCAAGGCCTCCTTGTTCCTGACACTTGTCGCTCTTTGTCACCTCCAAGTCTAACAACTGTACATCAAGCTCAGATTGCAGCCGGACCCCTGGTACACAAGGGATCTTAAGCCATCGGAAGAAGGGATGAGCACAATGATCCAGCGAGGACGACGAAACCATGCTGGCAACATTGTTTGACCAAGCATATGCCACCTGAGAGGGGTGGGAACCACCTGAGAGGGATGGGAACCACCTGGATGCCACACCATCCTTGCGACTGCCATGATTCTCTCGTTCGATAAAGATCATCGCCTCTCTAGATCGGCGCTTTTCGCCGTTTTCCTTCGAAGCTCATATTCGGCCAAACCCGGGGGCACCAAAGTCTCGGCATCGCCATTGCCAGATCTGCGATCGCAGGTCTCACTTCACTTGTATCATATACAGTCGTTCGCGCAGTTGCTTGTATTGATGATCCAATTCCGGACGATTGGAAGCATCCCTAGGAAAGATTGCTCGCATATCAATTCTGGTCTATCTCCGGTCCCTCGATGCTATGCTTAATCTCTGGTATGACCTCTACTGGTATGGCGCGACGATGACTGTATGAAATCACCGTTTCAGTGGCGCCGCTCATACGTCCTTACACAATTGGCTGGAACTCCTCGAGGCATTACCGAAAAACTTCTGTGGCCTACCTCTGCGCGAGCGGCAGCTTCGTCCAGGCGTCATTGCTCGTTGAGGGCCATTTGTGTTGGAAGTTTAACACTGCAGCTTTGTGCGAGTGTCGAAAATGCGCTGGGGCTTTTGTCCTGGCGTCCATAAATTGCCCACTGCTCCAAGTTTATTCGGGATTCTTTCCCGATATTTGAGGAACCTCGGCGCGCTGAGTTTGTGGAAGAGGCAGTGCCTTTGGCGTGGTTTGGCTGTGCCGAAAAGCGGCGATACTCACTGACCAATGACGCATCTACTGCATGTTCCTTTTTGTGCACCGGTGCATATCTCAAGGCTGTCGAGGAAGTGATTGTTACAATGTGAGGTCGCGAGCGAAGCCGAGCGTAGTACGAGTCCACCATCTTCATCCAAGCCTCGTATGTTCGCGCTGGTTCTCTGATGGCGGCCATAAGCGGCTGGCTACGGGACGAGCGAATCCACATCAACTCATCACTTGATGCTATCAATTTCTGCGTTTTGAGGAAATAGTTGGCTTGTCAACACAAGATCGGGATTTCTGACAATGTACGTTTCATGCTATCTGCACGAGCTACGTACTACATAGCTCGCCACACTCATGCTACATCATGGCATTCTCATGCCTTCGAAGAACCGTCGCATACTCGGCGACTTCTTGAATCACAGCAGTCTTCCTTCCGGTGGCAGACCTGTAAAATGAGCCTTTCATCGTTCTACATGGACCTTGACGCCGTGGATTCAGCGTCCTCTCATGTTCGTGCTCATGGCAAGCAATGCTCCATTACGGCAGAAGTATAGTGGTGCTCCACCTATTGGTCCGATCAAGCTCAACGATCGCCGCGTCGAACTTCTGCTTCATGTCGACCCACTTCGGATCATCGGGTGCCATCTTCTCGATCACAGTCTTCCAATGGGTTACACTTGGAATCTTCCTGCTTGAATTACGCTCAGAGTACTGGGTGGCCATAGTCTGCTCTGGCACAAAGGCGTTACGAGCTTTGATGGTCTCAATGTCCTTGACCGCCTCGTTCCAAACATCGGCCTTTCTCTGGGGCGTATTGAGTTGAGATTCGTACTCTTTAGAGTACACCATGCGGAGGGCGATCTTCAGCTCCTCGCTCGACTGCCAGGCCACATTCTTCGCCGGTCCAATCGACCGGGATGGCATATCATTTGATGATGATGCGACTGCTGTCTTCCTCGTGGATGATGTTGTGATTCCACGCCTGGTTGCCATTTCATTGGCCTCAACCTCTCCCTCCTCCTCCCCTGTTTCTCCAAAAGTGTTGACGCTGGTGGCAGCCCCAGAAAAGTCACTTCCTCTGCCTTGTCGATTTGCTTCGGCCAGAATCTGCTTGCCCTTCGTCGAAGGCTCAGGAATTCTGCCTGACCTACGAGCCACCGTGCTGTTCTCTGGCCGGGTCTTCTTCCGGGTCCTTGTGCTGCTTGGAGCCTCGTCGTCGTGGTCGGAGGACTTGGTATTGGAACCCTGGCCCCGCTTGTTGAGATGAGGTTGGTCTGGGAAGACGTCTCCTTCCCCAAACTGCACTGTCCTCTTGTACTCTTCCGACGCTGGATCTGGCGGCGCACCTAAGTATTCGAGGCCGACCGACGACGCACCTCTCGCTGATGCTATGCCAGCCTGGTCTGGGAACACGTCCGCTTCGCCGAATTGCACCGTGTCTGCATACTCGTTCGAGTTTGGATCTGGTGGTACCCCTAGACCGAGGCTTGGGGAGGACGAATCTCTTGTCATGATCATACGACCCTCGTCGTCGCGGTCGTGGTGGTTGTCAATGTCCATAGTCGGGGTGTGGTTGCGGGTCTTGCGAATCGATGTGCGGTCAGAAGTTCATGAAGGGCACGAAGCAAGTCAGTGCCTGACCCTGAGAACGCCTTCGCGCGCTCCAGCTGTTGCTCGGGTATACCCGATCTGCCTGTCAGGTTCCTGGCAACAAGAAGTGGAAGGAGCCAGCACGATGAATCTAGTGAACATAACATCACATGGCATGAGTACAGCTCCGCGGGATCATTTTGAAAATGCCTAGCTATATCTAGCACTTTGCACTACGGCTACGGAAAGACAACTGATCGAGAGAAACCGCTTTCCCAGGCTCTACGAGGCAACAATGCCTGCTCAGCGACGTCTCTTATCCAGCAGTTCTCGATTCTCCCTATTTCATGCTACAGCACTTGATCCTCTCTCTCACGGAGTCCACCCATTGGTGCTGTCCAAACTGGTGACAGCGTCATTGATTCTCTGTAGCATAGTCGTATATCGGATATCCGATCTCGCTATGGCCATAATATCTTTCCACTCGTCGACACCCGCCTCGCCAGCTCGCTGGGTCCTCTCGGAAAATTGGCTTTTCAGTCTTGCGCTAGGCACAGGATTGACGGCCGTCAGCTGTACGCTTTTGTTTTGGAACACATACTCGCCGCGGAATATCTCGTTCCATACATCTGCTCTGCGCTTCCATGAAGCGAGGTTCGGGCTGCTTTCCGCCATCACCCACATGCATAGCTTATAGTCGAAATCTTTGCCCCACGCTATTTGAGGCACTGATGACATTGATGTAAGGCGCCGAGCTGTACGTGAAGACGGTGATCCTGCTGATGCCGGTGTGGCTGGCGATGATCCTACTGTAGGGCGCCGAGGTGGACGTGAAGACGGTGATCCTGCTGATGCCGGTGTGGCTGGCGATGATGCTACTGCAAGGCGTCGAGGTGGACGTGAAGATGGTGATCCTGCTGATGGCGGTGTGGCTGGCGATGACACTGGAAGTGAAGACGGCACCGCCGCTTTTGGTCCTGCCGGTGCCGCTGTGGCTGGCGATGATGCTACTGCAAGGCGTCGAGGTGGACGTGAAGACGGCGATCCTGCTGGTGCCGCTGTGGCTGGCGATGATGCTACTGTAGGGCGGCGAGGTGGACGTGAAGACGGCGATCCTGCTGATGCCGGTGTGGCTGGCGACGATGCTACTGCAAGGCGTCGAGGTGGACGTGAAGACGGCGATCCTGCTGATGCCGGTGTGACTGGCGATGACACTGGAAGTGAAGACGGCACCGCCGCTTTTGGTCCTGCTGGTACCGCTGTGGCTGGCGATAACACTACTATAAGGCGCCGAGCTGGAGATGAAGACGGCACCACTGCTTGAGACGCATCCGACGACTGAGTTTGAGGATGTACTAGTCTGGTCGAACGTCGCGTAGCTGCCCTGTTGTTGAAACTGTTCTCGTCCTCAGTTTCTGGCGCATCATCATCATCGGCTGTCCCTTCGTTCTCATCTGCGGATAGGCTGTCAGGCAGTCCCTCGTGAATAGAGCTTCGCCTGCTTCGGCTATCTTCAGTCGGTGGTAACATGGATTCCTCGTCGTCGTCTGAGTCCTTGTCATCGTTGTCGACGTTCCTCTCTTGCATGACGTGCAAGGGCTTGGAGATTCTCTTTGATTTGCGACGTCCACTGGTCCCACCTTCACCCGGTATGATATTCTCCGGTGCAACATCACATAAATTGGCTACTCTGCCTAGGGTCTTGTCACCTTGGCCGAGAGCGCTACTCCCCGATGCCTGACCTCGATTTGTACCTCTCGACGGCGCTGCCACGTTACGATCTTCGGCCGCCCGATATTTCAGGACTACACGTCCCCGAGATGCTAGACGAGAAGGTATTTTCGTGTCGTCTTCGTTTGATTCGGTTTCGTCATGGTAGGAGTCGTCATCGTCAATTCCAGCGTGCGCGGTGTCGTCTCCTTCTGTTTGACTTTCCTCACGGTAAGACTCGTCACCGTCTGTTCCATCGTGCACGATATTGACTTTCCGCCTGGTTTTCCGCCCTGAGCGACTTTTCGCTCCCTCTGCCGATTTTTCAAGCGGTGTTAACCACACCAAAGGGTCAGTCCATCCCGGAGCAGTGAAGTCCTCTGGTTGTTCGGCACTGACGTTCACCCCCCAACCAGCACTAATCGTGGCAGATCCTGGCATAAAGCCCCGTTGGATGTCCAATTTTTCGTCGACTCCAGGAGACAGTATTGGAATGGCTTTCTTCCGCCCCATCGTGTCAAATGTTCGAAAGCAAGCTACCGACCCGCTTGCAGAGCGCTTGATGTGGTTGTCGATGCAGGTTCTACTTCAAGAGAGCTAGTCTCGAGATATTTGTACAAGCGCCTACGATTTCAGATTCCTGGCCTGATTACCCGAGGAGCTTCTGGTGGACTGCAAATGCATTGTCTGATTGTTTGTCGTACATCGAGAAACTGCTGCACGTTGATCTATGGTCACCGCGATGGAATTCCCTGGGTAGTCTGGGCATATTCGACCTTCTGGTATCGGTTTCCCGGCTTGATTACCCTAGGAACTTCTGGTGGGCTGCGAATGTACTGATATGATTGTTTGTGGTATACCAAGGAAATGCTTCAGATTGATCTATGGTTACTGCGATGGAACTCCCTGGGCTATATCTGCGCGGCGCGTATCCTGCGTCTCAAAGCCACCACTGTTGTCAAGTCTGCAGCCGCGACCCTGTCCCAGCTCGCTTGAACTCCCACACCATTTAGGTAATGTGAGTACTGCCAGCTCAGCCTGCCATATGCTACCGGTAACTTCACTCCCATATCGACAAGCTCAGTCGCAAAAGTGTCGCTGAATAACTGAGCTGTCTCTCTGCCGCTCCAATCGCTGGCGAACTCTTGCTTAATCAGCTTCAGTCCCAGACGAAATGTATCGTTCCATCTGATCCTTCCCTCTCTGGGTCGTTTCGGTTTTGGTAATGTTCGACCATAGAGCTGCTTTGCCCAAGGATTCTTTCGCCAAGTACTGGGGAGCTCAGGCCGCCGACGACGCGAGTAGGGTCTTCCGGCGTAGAATGGAGTCTCTGGCTCTTGTTTGATCTGGGTCACCTCACTCTTGACGGGAGTCACAGTGCGCGTAGAGCATTCCTCATTCGACAAATTCGCAGGAGCAGCTCGTGGGAACGCTGTCCTGCGTCGCGGTAATACCGATATCCTGCTGCCGCTGGCCTGGTATACTTCTCGCGGCTGGCATGATGCTGTTGCTCCTGCTCTCTCTCGTGACTGGCCAAATTTCTCGTGCTGTCGTACCCATCTTCCCTCGTCTTGCATGCTCTCCCCTGGAAAACTCTGGTACAGTTCTGGCTCTCTGGCATGAATTGAATATGGCCTTCTGTGAACTTTCGGCATTCTGCTGCCCAGCCTTGGAGAACGCCCGACAATGGTATCGAATTGGAGCTGTATTGTGCGGCGGGATAGTCGTAGTAAGTGTGCGATAGAGGGCCCGGAAGCTGCTAATCTTACCTCGAACAGATGCGAAGTGTCCCGAAATGTCTCCAATACTCTCTCTGCGAGCTTCAATCGCCACGATTCTATCAATTCCGCAAATCAGTGTTCTTTATTTGGAGCATTTTACGACCATTACGTCCCATGCATGGCAAGCTACTCGGCCCGACTGCACAGAAGCCCGTAGCATGCGTGGAAGTCAAGATCTACGAAGACGCCCAGTCATCCGATAAACTGCTTCGGCAGCTCTGGATACCCGCATTACTTGTATCAGTGCTCGCTGGTGATTCCCTTGGGAAACGGATGCCGTGTGGCTGGCACTTCATCCATTGATATGATGTGATGTCGAGCGACTGTCCTGTCTACTCACATATGTCGGCATTAGATACGTCGTCAATATATCAAATAATTCAAAATTTTGTATTACACTTTCTCCATTTTATGCCTTTTGTTCCAATATGAGAGCGAGAGAGGCTAGCGATGGTGATGGTGATGGAGGATGAAGTAAAGACATATCATGTGACCTGTAAAACAAGGTTTGCGCTGGATGATTGTTTAACCTAGTGTCGTCAGAGCTTCTTCTGCAGTTCTGATTGAGTCACTGAAGTAAGGGACATATGAGGAACAAACACACACAAACACACATGTACACCTAAACACCAACCCATCGACCACCACCAGCACTGCTGCTGCTGCAGCATTCGCTGCCCACATCCCCTCGAAATGCCTTCCGCCGCCCCTCCAGACGAAGATGCACCCTTCGACATCGTCTCCACCTACCACCGCCTCCTCGCTTCCGACCCAGACCTGACAATGCCCGTGGCAGCAATCGAATCACTCATTCTCGGCCTCGCCGCCCACCCTTCCACCACCGTATCCGAAACCCTCGACAGCGTCCAAAACCTCACCAAACAGCTCAAAGACTCCATCCCCAACTCCCTCTCCCTCTCAGCAGGCACCGACATTTTCCAACAATACCTCATCAGCAATCTCAACCGTCCCAACCACAGCTCCGCCATCACGTCGATCCCCGAAATCCACAAACATCTCGTCCAAAACGGCAAATTATTCGTGCAACGCGCCAAAGCCGCTCGCGAAGAAATCGCCAAATTCGGTAAACTCTTTCTCAAAGACGGCGACACCATCCTCACCAGCGGCGGCTCTCGCGTCGTCGGTTCATTTCTCAAAGCCGCCGCTTCCGATCCCTCTCTCAGTCTCTCCCCTATTGAATTCCGCGTCATTTACGTCCTTGACAACCACCCCACCACCGCCTCCGAGTCCGCAAATAATATTTCCGCACTCCGAAGCATGGGGATTCCCGTCGCTACAATCCCTCCCACAGCTATTGCGTACGCGATGAATCAAGTTACGGCAGTGTTTGTGGGTGCGGAAGGCGTGGTGGAGAATGGAGGGATAATATCTCGAATGGGAACGTATCAGATGGGATTATTGGCGAGAGCGGCAGCGCAGCAGAAGCCGTTTTATGTTTTGGCTGAAAGACATAAGTTTGTGAGATTGTATCCGCTGAGGCAAAAGGGTTTGGGGGTTACGCAGAAGGTGATGGATTTTAAGATTGTGAATGGAGAGGGGGAAGAGGTGAGTTGTGAGGAGGAGGATGGGAAGGAGGAGAAGGAGGGACAGGAACGGGAGGATTGTTTACAGGTGGAAGATAGTGTGGATTATACTCCGCCGGAGTTGATTAGTGGGATTATCACGGAGACGGGTGTCATGTTGCCCAGTGCTGTGAGTGAGGAACTTATCAAGATTTGGTTCTAGAAAGGGTTCGGGGAGATGATGGTGATGACGAAGATGACGATCGATGGAATGTGCTACTAGAGATGGAAACTGACACGGCAGTCAAATGTCAGACCGACCACGAATGAGGGAGAGAAAGAGGGTCGAAAGAAAAGTGACATGACATGTCCATTACTCTCAAAAAGTGATGTAGAGCCCGAGCAGAGAGCACATACCCACCCAGCCCACCAGAAGGCATTGAAGTGGTCTAAAGCCGAAAAAAAAATTTAATATCTTAAAACCACCATCAACCCCCTTCTTCTTCATCACTCAACTCTGCCAATTCCCGTTCCTTTGCTTCTAACAAGGCCCTCATCTTCTCTGCTTCTCTCCGCAACTCTGCACGACGATCGACCCTCGACTGAGCCACACTCGTTGTCCGATGCGGCAACGCAGGGTCAATATTCTCATGCAAAGACGCTGTCCGCGGTGGTGGCAAGTACGGCTCGGAATCCTGGTGAGTGGCCGAGTACGTGCGCTTCCTGCTCTCTCCGATATCGTCGCGATGTCGGAAAGCATCGGTGAAATCGACAGGTATCGGTCCCGAGACATGTGATGTGGTATGTATGAATGGGCTGCTCTCGGGCTGTTGGAGAGGGGTGTTGAGGCCGCCTCGATCCGAATGACCAGATGTGTCGCTCATGTTATCGCTTGGAAAGGGACTGCCTGGGTGGTGTTGATTACCCATCGCCGCAGGTACGACTCGTTTCCGCCGCTTAATCTCTGCTTTTTTCATTTGCACTGGTCGATGCGCGCCGTGAAGTTTGTGATATAGTCCACAAGCGTTGCATATCGTATGTCCGTTCTCGTCTCGTCTCCAGAGTGGGGTGATTGTCGTACCGCAGTTTTGGCATGCGACCACTACACTGTTTTGCTGCTGAGATTGCTGTGAAGGCGACACGTAATTCTGCACTACAGTATGCATGTGCCGAGAACCAGACTGTGCCGAGGATGAATCACCGCGCTCCGAACTAGACTGTCGGTACGGGACCTGGGTGGTCTTCGACACCCGATTATTGTACGCTGGACATCCGGCACATGCATCTTGACCACCAGTACCGTTACAGCGGCCTCCTCCAGGACACGTCCCCTGCACGCTTTGGTCGGCTGGCACATATGTCGCGCCACCTTGAACGGATGATGGCGAGGTTCCTCGCTCGCTATTCGGACCTCCCGCGGCTTGGTTCGAGTTCGCGCCGCGTTTGAGTCCCACAGGTCGCATCTGATTTCGTGCCTTGTAGTATAGACCACAAGCGTTGCATATGACCGCTCCAGCTGGCGATCTTCTCCATAGAGGCGTTTTCGTTGTCCCGCAATTGCTACGTCAAAAGTTAGATCATGTTTGTTGATCGCGTGTGTTCATCATGGACGAATCAAAAGCATACCTGCACATCTGCGCCCCGGGAGTAGTCATACCATTCATGGCAGAAGGTGAAGTCCGCGAGGGTTGCATGATTGGGGCGCTTGTCAAGGGCGCAGTCGACGAGCCTTGCACAATCTGCGCGTGTGCGTTCGGATACTCGGTCGCATCACGATATCCATGTGAGACAGAAGGAGTAGAGTGCTGGTGTTGGTGCTGATGTTGATACTGATGCTGAGTGGGCGATTTATGCAGTTCCGGCACATGCGGTTGCGGTTGAGATGCAGTCGACGACAGTGAATGTTCGACAAGCTGTCGCGCAGCTTCCAGTTCTTGCGGAGACGGTTCGCGATGCAGGAGATTTGCCATCCGCGGAGAAAAAGGCTTGTTATTGGTCGTCGCAGCGCTTGTGCTGGCCATCATGTTGCGCGCCTTGTCCAGTTCAAGGGGCTGAGTACCTCCTATGTTGTCAGGGCTCAGTTTATTGGGGCTAGTTCGAGATGATATCGGGGCTGAGCTGTGTGTTATCGGCGCATGGGTCACCGCCGTTTATCCTGCCCAAGAGACGCGAGTTCGTCCAGGAACACAGGTGCGGAGTCTATCTGATCGGAAAGATCTGATAAGGATTGTGCAGATGAAATCGATGAAATTCGCGATTCCCACGCCGTCTGGCCGCTGTCTCGCCACCGTCTTGTCCGCGTGAAGGAGTGAAGGGGTGAGATGGGATCCGGTGGGGAGGCTGAGAAGGAGATGATCGGGTCCAGGGCACAGGCAGTCCGAGATTCGTGTCCTTGCGAGGCTCTGGGCAAAACGTGTGCGAGGCGGTGCGACAATGGCCGTGTCGCCGGGCAAAAGAACGTGGTTGTTTTTGCACGCACACACGGAGGATAGTTCCTGGGCTTAGCGGCGAGGTGTGCAGATAGTGGGTGGACACTGTGTGGCTGTTCCAATGTCACTGATGCAATGTCGTTGGGGGAAGAAAGCTAGTAGGTCGAACGAGAACCACAGACAGCCGCGATCCGCAAAGCGTATTTCGGGGAGCAGAAGAACCATTTGCACAGCCAATCATGGCGTCTGTATTACTACCACCCTCTCGCCTTGGCCGCGGGCAAGGGTACCAGCTAGTGTGTCACTGTGTACACTGTACGAGAGTGCGTTCGCAACCATCCATACAGGTACCTTAGAGGTAGCATCCATATTCGCCAGCGCTGGAAGTGGATGAGCCGGCTGGAAATACTTGACCCTTCTTGGCGACTGACTCCCTAGCCAGATCGTGCAGATCTGAGATTCGTACAAGTGGAGATGCTCAACGTGGGATGCCATTTCTTCGACGTGGGCTGTCCTCCGGCACCTTTACGGTTGATGCACACGGAGGTAGGAGGTAGCCTGTAGGAGGTACATGCCAAGGCAGGGCAGCAAGGCTCGAATTCGACGCCCTCTTCATCATAGCCCGCGTACACGCTTATTATTATATAAACTTAAAAGCATCTAGGAGGTAGGAGTTAGGAGGTACTGGTATCGTTCCCTTTCCACAAACCACCAGTGACCTTTACCATTACCATTTCTCTCGTCATATGATCCCCAACTTCTCAAACAAAAGCGGATTGCCTTGCACAGCCAGCCAAGCAATACCAGCATACACTACCAACTTGGTAATCACCTCGACATCATACCTCACCCGGGGCTTCTCAATGTTGGAGAACATGCGCCGATCACTCTTCTCTTCTTCGTTTCCACTATCACTGCAAGTGCCATTATCACTCGCCGGCGGCGTCAGCAGAGATGCACGGGTGGTGTTCCTGGTATCCTTCGTTGTGGTCGTCGAGAAATGAGCATCACTCCGTGTGACGGCAAGGTACGATGTCGACTCATCGTGGGGCTCTTCTGGTGTCATCACGAGAGCCTGTTCGTGAGCTGAAGAACGCGGCACCTGTAGAGATGATGTTGATGATTGCAGTTTTGGTCTTCGTGCTTGTTCGCGATTTGCGATCAGCTCTCTGGCATCGGCTTCAGATTGCGGTCCGACTGAGATGGTCCGTTTCCGTCGCCGAATTGCATTGAGCATGCTAGGGATATCAGAGGCGGGTGGGAGGACTTTATCATCTTTACGTAGATACGGTACGGTCTTGTAATCCCTGTTTTAGGTGTCAGCAGAGGCGTGATACGGACGCGGATCCGATGGTACCTTGATTGTAGGAAATATCGTCGAGGGATATGCACACCATAGTGTGAGACGAAACGAAATGTGGGAGGAAGCGTGCGTAAGAGCAAAGGCTTCGTGACTGCACGCCAGGCAAATATCATTACAATTCCCAAAACCAAACGTGCGCCAACTTTGAAAATATCCCAATTCTCAAAAAGGTACATATTATCGAGTGCAGGTGCTGAACCATCCAGTGCACTTTGCATTTGCGCATAGTTCCAAATCCCGATGCTTACGCCCATGACCACTCCGACAAAGGCTACGCTGTCATCGAAGCATGGGCAGTTATCGGCAGGTTCTGGATGAAACCGCACGGCGAGCGCCATGAGGAAAGCCACGAGGCCTGGTCGAGTCCAGCCATCAGCCAATAGCCATGCATCAAAAGCCGGTCCCAGAGCTACTCTGCAAACTGCAATCAAGGCGCCTAGTATAGCTCCGAATATGACATCCGAGAAGCCATGCATGCCGCAGTACATACGCCCGATGCTGATAGATGTGGCATAAGAGAGACATCCAAGCACACTAAGCACATATGCCCAGGTGGAGAATTGGTCTTGCGTCGTCCAAAGGTAATGTAGGCAGTACACGGCCACGGACACAGCATTTGTTGTATGCGTCGAAGGAAACCCATATTCTAAAGCTGCCGAACCAGACATGGTGATTCGTTGCAGAGGCGGCGACAGTGGTCTGGGCAGACATACCATGTCTTTGGCATACCCGCTGAGATATACACCAGCTGCAAGCATTTGCACCAGCGCGACGCCAAGAACAGGGTAACCACACCAAAAACAGACGGGCAGTGCAGTCATGAAGAATGTGTGCGTTCCAAGGTTGGCAGTCATTGCAAAGTAAGAATCCAGCAGAGGCGATCGTGCGGCCTGCTGAACCTTGGCCAGATATGCAGTCTCCTTCCGAACGATAGGAATAAGCGCTTGACGGAGATGGTATCGCCATCTTGGGAGTCGTCTCTCATAGTGGGAGAGACCTCGAAGTCCAGCATCGGGATCTGGAGACGCAGTGCGCAAATGGGCCTGGAATCTCAGGTTGATCGTTTTGTCTGCCATCTGTAGGATGACCCTCGGTTGGAGCCGAGATTGGACATTTGCAGAAGCTGGATTGAAAATTGTTGGCAAGGTCGAACACTAGGGCGTAGCACAGGAGCGGCGAGTCTGTCCGGAACGGCGATGGAGGTGAAGTGGTAGTGCGTCGCAGAGTGGCCTCTACGAGCAAGTCTCCCCACACTGCATATCACGGAGGTGGACGTGAAGTCAAGAAGAACAGACTTTGAAGCTGACGAGAGGCAGCTTGACTGAGCCAGTGAGCGCCAAGGCGGAGATGAGAAGCTCGCAGCTCTCACCACATCCATCGCCAACCCGGTTGCAGATACAGAACGCACGAGCAAGACCTTGAAACCGGTCTTGATGCTTTTCATTATGATCAACAGACAGCATCAGCATCAGTCTCTACCAATTGCAATGGCGCCCTGGCCGGAGGGGTTGGTTCTAGAGACTCCCGAGCTGGCTTGGGCGCGCGGGACGGACGTTACCTGGTCGACCAGTGTTGAATCGAGACTATTCTTGGAATCGGGGATTCTTTGAGACAATCCCATTCACCCCATCCGCACCGCATCGCATTCCAACTACTGAAAGAGGTTCCAATCAACACCGCGACAGCATCATTCCAGCACCATATTACACGCTTCGACTTGACTTCCCCGCCATGTCTGTCACCGCCGTGGGAGGCAACCCGTCCTACGACCATCTGCGTCGGAAGAACAGCAGCAAGTCATTTCTCGCACGCAACGACAGCTATCGGAGGAGCACGCGCGGTAGTGATGGCACAGTAAACACTACGAGTAGCGCCAGGACAAATATCACGGCGCCGCCCGAATACAGCAAGAAGTTTGTGGTGGTGGGAGATGGCGGCTGCGGGAAGACGTGCTTGTTGATTAGCTACAGCCAAGGATACTTTCCAGAGGTAGGTGACGGTCCGTATCAAGGGAACAGGCGGGAAGTTGACTTGCTACAGAAATACGTGCCTACCGTATTCGAGAACTACATCACAACGGTCGAGCACAAACATTCCGGGAAAGGCGTGGAACTTGCACTGTGGGACACAGCTGGGCAAGAGGAGTATGACCGACTGCGACCATTGTCATATCCCGAGACCGACTTGCTTTTTGTGTGCTTTGCGATTGACTGTCCGAACTCGCTGGAGAATGTACTCGACAAGGTGAGGAGACAATCTATGCGCTTTATGGACGTCCACTAACACGGCCTGACTCGCAGTGGTATCCAGAAGTCCTCCACTTCTGCCCGACAACACCCATAATCCTTTGCGGTCTCAAATCCGACCTCCGACATAAACGCACCTGCATTGAACTTCTCAAAACCCAAGGCCTCACACCTGTCACCAAAGAGCAAGGCAAAACTGTCGCGCAGAAGATGGGCGCCTTATACATGGAGTGTTCTTCCAAAGAAGCCACAGGCGTCCAAGAAATCTTTGATACGGCAATCGACATTGCAGTACGCGGGCAAGACGAACTCCATGAACAAGACACGCGACTGGGCAGTCGAGGCAGCCAATCTATGCCAGCGAGAAAGAAGAAGCGGAGTAAATGCCAGATTCTCTAAGTTTCCATCTCTTCATCACCACAATCACCACCAAAGCAGGTGCGTGGGAGAGATGGGACTATCCGAATTGCATTTATTGACAGCTTGTTCTTTTTGTGTTTTTAGCGTACAGAGAAGAGAACGAGAGACCACAGCCTCCTCGCCTCCCACAACCCCTTCCCCACGAAATATTGCCAAGACGAGTCAAGACGGTCGCGAAACTTCAGCCCATGGAAGTGAGCCCTCCATCGACACTGATCAACAACGTTGGCCACTTCGGCCTGCTGTTCCGAGAAATGCGGCGTCTCCTGTGGGGAAACAAGCGTCGGTGAGGAAGAGAGGACCAAGGGTGCATTGAGAGTATTCGTGCATCAAGATTACGCCAGCAGCAAGCATTTTTCTTCATCTGTTTTGGCGTTGAGGATAGTATACGACTTTTGGGGGGAGCAAAGAGTGCTTTTGGAAATGAAACATGCATGATGTGGCTTTGTTATGATTCATGGAGTGGACCTCTGGAGCCGGGCTCGAGTTTGGTCTGCGAGGACTGATGGGAGCCAGCCATTCAGGTGTTATGCGCTTTATTAGAGTGTACGGTAGTTTAATTCATGAGTACGGTTCATGAAAGTTCAGATACAAATTTCAAATTGTCATCGCCATCGTGCCTTTCCCTTTGACACGCTGAAGTCGCATCAGTCATCTTCCAGCCATGCTTACTTGCTCGCTTCTCCTTGGGTATCATAAGTGTCGTATTTCTCCCCTCGCATGCTTCGATGTCACACCGCCTCTCCCTCTCCCTTCAATTCTCCTTTCTCAGCACCAGCAGAAGAAGACGTCGACGGCTTCGCCATGACGTTCTCAAATTGTGACCAGAGTCCTTCGACTTGACTGAACTCATTTCCGACCTGTAATTCCCAATCAATTTCTCCTCTCTTACTCATGCTGTAGCTGTAGACTGGAGATCATACCGCTATGACACCCTCTAAGCTCCGGTTTAGTTTGTTGATGTTTTGGAGGACGGTTTCCATGCTCTAGTAGCTTGTTGTTAGGCATGTGGGCTGGGAGCTAGCCCAGGGAGAGGACGGGGAGCGTACGTACGGCTGCGATGTCTTGGATTAGGAGGGCTCGTTGTTGCGTGAAGAAGGCTCGGCCTTCGTCCTGTTCTGTCATATTGAGGGATTACCTAGGTAGATAAGGTAGGTAGGTACTGTGGGTGGTAATTGAGATGACGCGACTTTTGGAAAGTTCGGGAGTTGGGACGCGACTGGAAATTGTGAAGAACCTCGGCAGCCTGGAGCGTGGTCACCTTTGTTCACTTCGCTTCCAATCACTTTGGACATACACAACGAACAACGATATGCTCCTCCAACAATCGCATCGAAAATGGAGTTCATGTCCGCCCTCTCCACCAACTATGATGACCAGAAGCCCTCTCTCTTCGAAATCCTCTCCGAAAACGAACTTTCCGCCCTCATCCCCCCCTCCCTCCGATATCTCCTTGCGGTAGCAACCCATCGCAACCCGCGCTATCTCCTCCCACTCCTCAACAACTTCGACGAACTCTACTCCGTCCTCTCCTTGGCTGTAGAACGCTTCTACCTCCGTACCTATGGCGGAAGCTTCACCGAGAACTTCTATGGCCTCAAACGCGAACGGGTGCTAAGGATCAAAGGCGGAGAATCCCCACGCGCGCGACTTGGTGCGCAGAGAGAGGTCAGAGAGACGTTGGCGCTGAAGGATGGCGATGTCTGGAGGAATCTGGCAGTCATTGTAGGAATACCATATCTGAAAAGAAAATTGGACGAGAGTTATGATATCCACGCTTCGGGAATCAATCTATTGGGACCTGCCTACCGAGATCGAGAAGCCTACCCCAGTTCTATGAAACTAAAGGACAAAGTCATGTGGTTGTATAAATGGTTTTTGAGGAAATGCTATCCTACTGTGAATGCCGCATACTATTTCATGATGTTGGCGTTCAATTTGGCGTATTTGTTCGATGGGACGAAATATCACAGTCCGTTCATGTGGATCCTGGGAACGAGGATCAGAAGGTTGAATAGCGCGGATCATAAGGCTATTGCGCTCACATTGGAAGGAGGAGTTCCTGCTGCCGCGAGACCGGGATTGTCGACGACCACGAGCATCTTCTCTCCAAGGACCATGTCGAGACTTCTACAGCCCAGAATTGTGACGGCGTTGAAGCTGTTGCTGCCTACAAGTATTTTTGCGCTCAAATTCTTGGAATGGTGGCACAATTCGGACTTTTCAAGACAGCTGAGCAAAAAGGCGAATGAGGGATTGGAATTGCCTCCGCCCACCATCAGTGGAATGCCGAGAATCGCAACGACTACGAAGCTGAAGAAGGACAGCGAGGAGAAGGCGAAGAACAGCGACAGTGTCGACAAGAAAGCCGCATTCGCGGACGAAAAGGGTGAAAGACCACCCCAACACCAACAGCAGAGACGAGACAGTGCAATCGATGGCCCACCTATATCAGCTACAAGTATGCTACCTATATTGACAGTCCCGCCACCTCATTCCGACACCAACAGTGGCGTGGATGACGATACGTCTTCCCTATGTCCAATCTGCGTCCAACCAATCCAGACTCCTTCGGCTGCTCAGACGGGTTATGTGTACTGCTACACTTGTATATACAAGTGGATTGATGGAACACATCCGCGTCAAGAAGCCTTTATGGAGGGATCAGGGGAAGAAGAAGGCGCAAAGGGATGGGTCGAAGAGGGAGGTGGCAGTCGCAGGGAGAAGTGGGAGAGTGGAGTTGGGAGAGATGCTGTCACAGGTAGGAGGGTATTGGGAGGTACGAGTGGTATTAGGAGGGTCATCGTGTGAGCGAATATACCCAACTACCTGAGACTTGTCGAGGGTTGGGGCCAGCCACGCAGAAGATGGTGCTCGGAGCATACTTGACACCACCGTCTACATCCACACTCGATATCTCACCGTTACGAAGCCGAATTCTGGACGGTGTCCAAAATTGCCGCGCTTTGCAGAAAGCGGACCTCAGCGCACGAGAACCCACTGCCGGTGAATTGCCGAAGATCCCCACGGCTATACGGTACACGGCGCGCGAGCGAACATACCTCCTAGGTGGTACCTGCATAGCCTGCACGTCTAAGATGCGATTTCGCAGGTCCTCGTCACAAACAACACTAGACCGTTGATGTCTACAGTTTACAACGTACAAAATCAAAGCTACAGCCTACAGTGCCTGGCGAAAGTCCCTCTTCGCCGAAGAAGCTGACGCCCAGCTACTTGCAAGCGGCACTGGCCCTCGCACCCGCGTTCGTCTCGACATGGGTGCTTTTGAAAAGGATTCCTACCTTCTCTTGAGCAAATTTCTCCCCAGAAGCTCGTGAAGCTCTATCAATATCTCCTAGCGGTTTTGCCCGAAGCGGCACAGCCACACAGCCACTTGGAAACTCTGATAGAATTCTTAATGATTCGGATTCTGCTCGGCAATCCCGCAGGATTGGTGCAATCCTCGTCACTACAATCTGCATCCAAACTCATCCTATCATTAATCAATCCCAACTGGCATCGGGAAACCACAGATCAAAAAGTCGCCGTCCAAGCCTGTCGACGAGCCCGCGAGGCCTGGAAATTCATTTCCTCGAAAGTCGATGATGAGTATCTCTGGGCGAGAATGTCGCTTTCAATGCAGGGTGTTGCTCATGCGCATGCAGAGAAGTTGGTGGATAATGTCTTGGGTGATAGATTCGCTGGGTTGTAGTAGTATAAAATAGATTGTCCATCAGTGTCCGTAACAGTGGAAGCTTCACACTGGCTCTCCAACAACACTGCTTACCACAGAGCCCCACGTGAAGTTTCGGTATACAGTAGAGCTGAGCCCAGATCAAAGACGTCGACAATATTAGTTATACCGTACTTGGCACGATGAGATTCACTTGCAGTTCGGCACGAAGTCAATTAGCGTCAAACTTAGTTTACCCCTCATCCTGGTTCATCGGCGGAGATAACAGAGCGCCGATAAGCACTCAACGGCACTGCAAGACATGACATGTGAACTGATGCACAGCCCGAGTCCAAAGTCCATAGCACTCCCAGTTCTGCCCTTCGTGCCATCACAACATCCCTCCCAGACTTGCGTAGACATCCACCGCACCGCTCCGATCCGGCTGACGCCATGACGAGCATGTCGTCCTTCCTCGAGCTCTCCCACGAGCTCCTCCACTGCATCTTCACCGAGATCGAGCCCGGCGACCTGTCGTCGCTTTCTCAGACTTGCCGAGCACTGCATAGGTACATCAGCGGCAACCGGCTGCTCCACAAGGACCTCTATGTGCGACGATACGATGAGCCCATCGACCACCCTGCAGAGCCCGATTATGAAGAGTGGATGCACCGCCGCGTCAAGCTCGAGAAGCTCTTGGGCACCGACAACAGAGATGCCAAACGGCAGAACCTCGAGTTCGTAGCTGGCGAGATTGTCAGCCTCGTGGCAACAGCCGATAAGGATCAGGAAGCAAGCAAGAATATACATCTCCTCGGCGAGAGCTTCAAAAGTGCAGACAACATTGATACGCTGCTGTGTTCCTCGGCACTTTTTGCGCCAGGCCGAGCGGGCGACAACGATCAGACGCAAGCTGACACTCCAGAGCTCCGTCAAGCAAGTGCAAAGTTGCACTGTCTCTATGGCGTCCCCGTCGAACCCTCTGTGTCTCGAATTCCTTTTCACTCTTTCCTTCGACATCCCCGAGCAGGACTCGCCTTATCGCCTTCGTTATGTACGCGTTCTCACACTCATGGTCGGAATACGCACCAATACGCTCGAAGCAAAGTCTACGACCTGCGAGAGTATTCAGATGCCACTCTCTGGGGACCCTTTATGAAAGATGGCTCCCACAGAGTCGACTGGGAGAAAGTCGAGGCGATCATGATCGTGCTTGGATTCAATTTGAGGCGCTTCACAGACCGCAGCGATGGCAGGTTCCCACTTGTTTGGAAGCACCCATTTGTAGGAGCAACTCCAGGCTCATACAGGACTCCTCCACGTATCGCACCCTCAGAGAAGAAAGAGTTCGATGAAGATGCTGGTGTCATTCGTGAACTTGCGCTCAATCTCGATGCACTAGATCCATACGGTGTGACGGGCTCCTGGATGCGTGTGGTTTGCTTCCTCGACTACAACGACCTCTATGCGTTCAACTTCAGCGACCGCATACCAGAAGATCAACTGCGAGAGCCAATTGATACTGAAGAAGGTTTGATTGAACTTCGTGAAATGGCACGTATTGTTCCCTCACTGATTCTCCACTCTTTGTAGCTATAAGACTGATACGCATCAAGCTGCAAGTCACACGAATCGATGCGCCAAACGAAAGTGGCAGAAGAAGCTCTGGAAGCACGGCGGCGTTCGACGAAGATGACTACGATGATGACAATTACGAAACCGAGGATGAAGAAGAAGCCGAAGAGGACTGGAGTCGTTTTCAAGGCGAGAGACTTCCTGTCGTGCACTTTCGTGGTACGAGTCGCTCGTTGCATGCCAGCTGGGATCCCAACGCAAACAGCAGAATCCGAGGCACAGTCCGACAAACCCCAGAGGGCGAAATCCGATGGACCACATTCTCTATTTTCCATGGTGAAGAACGCTGGAGAAGTGAAGGCATCCAGGTTGGAGGGCTGAAATCTGGAAGAGGCGTACTAGGTAACTGGTTCGATAAGGTACACCTTGTTTCCCATGTGTAAATGACGCCGTGGTGTCTGCACCGTTACTAATTTGTCATGCAGGACTACGATATGCATGGCCCAGCAGGTCCCACAGCGTTTTGGAAAGAGAGCGATGAGCTGGATGACGAGAAGTCGGAGGGTACGCCGGTCGCTTATTTCTGACTATCTACGATCATATCCTGATGAGCGTTATAGAATCAGACTCCGAGACGTATCTTCCGTGGGTTCAAAGACTTTTGGATGACATAGTCTTGGATATGGATGACTGATTACGAGGCACAGACTTTTCGATTGAGAACGGATGTTCATCATAGTAGATGGCATTGACAGGCAATATGATTTGACAGAGGATTCGGCCGAAGAATATGATGGCGCACACATTACAGTAATGACATATCTAGAATTGAATGATTTGCATACGGCTTGCTTGTTGACATTCATTCCCACCGAAGTCGACATGGGCCACTAATTGATTGCTTTACTACGGTGCTGCCTGACTTCTTGGACTTTACTCTCTTTGACCTCCCGAGACCGCTGCCGTTCACAAGATCTTAAACTGACGATGCTGCAGGAACTTTTGTCACAGTCAATCCTAAACACTCAAAACCTCGCACAATATATATTTTGCATCTGATGCATCTACCTCAGCATTCCATTCTATCGATGAATAGGCCTAAGATTTATTGTGACCAGCATACCTCTTACTTCCTAAACCTATATCGATACGCTCCTCTCATTCTTCTACCACGGGCTAGCAACCTGGTCCCGATGATCATCCAGCTTTGCACTAGCGAATAATTGGCTCTTCGAAGGCACATTGCTAGCAGATTCTCAACATCGTATTATAACGACTGCCTGTAACTTTTATATATTTCTATAGGACTCGGACGCAACGGATAAACCGACATGGGGTTCAGAGATAACAGAGAGCAGGGAAGCGGCATAATTGTTTAGCTCCTAGTGTGGAACGAGCTCTATCACAGCCGCTGACAGCGCGATAAAATATGCTGTATCACCTGGTGGAACCCAGTAAACAAAGCACTATCAACAAAGATCGACACTACTATAAGCACTATCACTCGTCCATCGGAAGACCTCGAACCGACCTCCGACGAAAGGGCGGCAGCCAAGATACAGGAGTGGATCACTTCTCAGGGACGTCGAACATCACCTATATCATCATCATGGCTTGCCCGAGACACAAACGAAGCAGACGTCTCAAATGGCAGGATCAACACCCAACCCTCGCATCCTCATCACAGGAGCCAGTGGAGCATATGGACAACTTCTCTTCAAGCGTCTCCTCGAAAAAGGCATAGATCCTTCGACCATAATTCTCGTCTCCAGAAACCCCAACAAGCTCTCCGAAACCTCACCACCCATTCCCGCACAAGTCACTCTCCGCAAAGGTTCCTTTGACGATCCCCTCTCAGACCTCACTGCCACGTTCACCACCGCAGACATCATCTTCCTCATCAGCACCTCCCGCGCCGGCGCCCGCCTTCCCCAACACCAAAATGCCATCACCGCCGCCGTCCGCTCCGGAGCCCAACACATTTTCTACACAGGCTTCATCGGCGCAGATTTACCCCATCCTTCCGCTCTCGTCGTCCGAGAACATCGCGCTACAGAGGAAATGCTTCGCCTCAGTGGCATTTCCGCATATACCGTCTTGCGCGATACCCAATACTCTGATGCATTTGCGGATGTCATTTTACCCGCAGCGAGAAATTCTGGAAGTCTGAAAACGAATTGTGGAAAGGGGAAAATTGCCCCTGTCGCGAAGGAGGATTGTGTGGAAGTTGCTGCTGTGGCGGTCATGAATGCGGATTTGCATCGGAATCGTGTGTATGATGTGACGGGTCCGGAGTTACTTTCGTATGGAGAGGTGGCGGAGATGGCTGCGAAGTTATCTGGACAGGATTTACCTTGTGAGTTTGTGTCTGATGAGGAAATGTTTGAGGATTTTGATCGTTTGGGAATTCCGCGGGAGCCGGGGGATGAGTTTGAGAGGGAGGGCGTTAAAGGGTATAAGTGGAATAGTTCGGATATGGTTTCTTTTGGGACGGCGATTCGGTTGGGGGAGATGGCGGTGATTAGTGATGATGTGGAGAAGATTATTGGGAGGAAACCTGTGGGACTAATGGAAGTTTTGAAGAGTCGGGGTTGATGGAGTCAGTACGTAAGGTGCATGCGTGGGAGGTGGTGGCTACATGTAGCCGCCGTAGATTATGACTTTGTGGCGTTCGACATTTGGGGCTCAAATAGATGTATTTGCCAAGCTGATGAGACGAAATATATGTAGGTTGGTGAGATGCTTTGGGGGGGGGGTTCCTTCAGGTCATATGTATATCAACAGGATAGGTCTGGACTCTGAAGGAGGCACCTGGGTAGGTTAAAGAGTGGATTTTGGATAGGTGAATAAATGTAGTCTGGTAGTTAGGACTTCTACCAACAGCACATCCGCGATGATTGAGCTTCATGTTGTTGTTGTTGTCGTTGTCGATACAGAAAAGATCCGGCGGGGCGGGAGTGAGGTGTGCGCTTTGGGACACAGCTCTAAACCTAACAAGCGGCCAAAACCTTCTCCTGAATGCGCGTATACTGATAGCAGTAAATATGTACACCAGCACGTATACTTTATATATCGCCAGAGTCTCCGAATGTAGCGATTTACAGATGCATACACAAGAACCCTCTATAGGAACCTAAGACTTTAGGATGGAAGGAAGGTTTTAAGGAAGAAGTTTTGGTCGCTTGTCAGGTTTAGAGCTCGAAAATTACTGGAGTCGGGTGCGGGAGCTGCAGGGCAGGCATCCAGCTGGTGACGTTCATGTGCGAGAGCACGAGACAGAGTGAGTGTGAGAGAGAGAGGTCATACCACATAGGTGTAGAAAGAGAGAGAGAGAGAACGAGAGAGAAGCCCTTTTGGCGCCTGCAAACAACACACACACACACACAATGCGCCACTCATAGAACTCACAGCTTCCATGGCGCATCGAGGACGAAGCACGTCGCCGCGGAAGAGCAACAACAGCAACATGTCTCAGCACCAGCACCACGACGACGACGCCGACTCGATCTTGCCGGTGTGTCGCATCCATCACCACCCTCCTTCTACCCATCTCCATCCTCCTCTTCTCGCTTCTCTTCACCAGACCGCTAACAAACGGTAACAGTCGCGCCAACTGGAGGCCTTCAGTCGCACCGTCCACGCCACCGCGTCCCAGCTCATCACCGGTATCCATGGCCATGGCGCCTCTCATAGCGACACCCCAGGCCAGGATCACTACCGCAATGCCCTCTCTTCTGTGCGCCGCTTCTCCCAGCGACCCACCATCCAGCGCTCCGTCTTCTCCTTCGCCAAGGCAAATCCGAGAGAGCTGATCCGATCCAACTTCAACACGAGCGAAATCGAACATCGCGCCCTCACCTTTCTGCCTGACGAGCTGTTACGGAATGTGCCTGCGAGCACCAGCCCCTTCAGCCTGTTTGAAGGCTTCAAGGCGACTCTCCCAGAGGAAGACGATGTGGGAAAGCCGGGGCGGCGGAAGAAGCACGGGAAACAGAACAGCAGAGGACAGAGATTGCTGGAGAATGCGGAGCAAGAGACGTTCCAAGGGCCACCAAAGCTACAGAAGTTGAAGAGAGACAAGGATCGCTTGGAACATCGCTTGGAGATGATGGGCATCCGAAAGACGATGTGCACGAGCGAGATTCGAGAGATTGACAACAAGATCTCGAATCTCAACACCATGCGGAAAGTCATACTAGGTCGGCTCGCTGGACTGGAGGACGAGGAAAGAGAGCTGGAGCAAGAAGTGCTGGAGGCTACCGAGAGGCTGGATGAGCTACAAGAAGAACTGGCCGACGAAGCTGCGTTGGCTCAAAAAACGTCGGAGCTTGCGACTCTGGGTACGAAGCGAGGAGAAGCTGCGGACGAAGAGGAACCGACGAGCGAGGACAGTCCAGGATTCATGTCGGAAAGCATATATGAAAAGTTGCCCAAGGCCAAGGAGACCCCAGCCAAGACGAAGAGGAAAAAGACCACGTCGAGAAGGATTTCGATGCCTGTCTTGCACGAGCACATGCAGCCTGGGTCCAAGATCCGCGAGATACCTGCCCACAACGACATTATCACAGCTCTCGATTTTGATGCGCCTTTCGGGACCATGGTTACAGCTGCCCTGGACGATACGGTGCGAGTATGGGATCTGAACGCCGGACGATGCATGGGCATGCTAGAAGGGCACTTGTCCAGTGTGCGCTGTTTGCAGGTGCAAGACAATATCGTTGCAACGGGTTCCATGGACGCAAGCATACGACTCTGGGATCTGAACCAAGCAGACTACACTCCGGCTGTGAGCTCGAATCTCAGCTCCAAGCCCATAACGGAGGACGGTGAGGGCGAAGATGCAGCTTCTGCCACTGGTGAAGAACTCTACACTGCAGCAGGGTCGGACTCTGGCTCTGCGCCCCAACCAGAGTACCACGGCAACTCGATGGCGGACTGCCACATGTTCACACTCTCCTCACACGTCGCGGAAGTGACGGCGCTCAACTTCCACGGCACGAAACTTGTCTCCGGTTCTGCGGACAAGACATTACGAGAGTGGGATCTCGAAAAAGGACGATGTGTGCAAACTTTGGATGTGCTTTGGGCTGCGGCACAAGCTGCCACACTGAATCCAACGGCTGTTCCTGCGCCTGTGAATGGTGCTTCGATGGAGGGCAACTGGTGGAAGCCGACTGGTGGCAGATTGCAGAGTGCTGAGGCCGACTTTATTGGAGCACTTCAAGTGTTCGATACGGCCCTGGCTTGTGGTACTGCTGACGGCATGGTGCGATTATGGGATCTCCGATCTGGCATGGTTATTCGCCAGCTTGTTGGCCATACAGGTCCAGTCACAGCATTGCAGTTCGATGATATGTTCATCGTCACCGCTTCGCAGGATCGGAGCGTGCGGGTAAGTAATGTCCTTTTCGCCCATTTGAGTGTTGCTTCATGTTACTGATACTACCACAGATATGGGACCTTCGAAGTGGAAACATCCATGATGCTTTTGGCTACGATGCAGGGATCACATCCATGCAATTTGACACTCGCCGCATCGTGTCCGCAGCAGGTGAAAATGTCGTGAAAGTCTACGACAAGACCGAGGGAACACAATGGGACTGTGGCGCTGGTGCGCTCCAAGAAGAGGAAGAAAACACCAGACCATCCATCGTCGAGCGAGTCCGCATCAAGGATGGGTACCTGATTGAAGGGAGAAGAGACGGTGTGGTGGGTGTGTGGAGTTGTTGATCTGCCCCTCCCAGACCTTTTTCCCAGATGATCCTTGATACCTCACGAGGCCTTGTGTGTTTTTGTACATAAGTAGTAAGTTCCAGAAGCTGTTTGTTTGTAGTAGGAACAGCGACGGCGCTCTAGGGAGAAAGAAAAAAACCCCCACAAACGCAATGGCTGGCAACAACGGACGGGCCGCATGAAGATAAGATGCGAAGAGCGCCAACAGAGAGCTAGAAGAAGATGTACATATATATGTAATTCCTTGGATGGGATCCCAATATTCTTTTTAAAACACTTCGCGAAAGTTCCGTAGGCTGTGTTACTGTGTGTTTTGCCTTTCCCACGACGCCCATGATTGGCCTTAGTCAGGAAAGAGAGAGAGGGGGGAGGGCTGGAAAGGTGAATGAAACCGAGAAGACCGGAAATATTTCCAGGGATGATGATGAACAACAAAAAATTCAATTATGCCTTGTGGGGGGCCTGGGGGGTATATCCTTCTCTCTCTCTCTCTCTCTCTCTCTCTCTCTCTCTCTCTCTCTCTCTGGAAAAAAAGGCAAAAAAACGCCTATTCCTCCTTCAATGCGCTACAAAATCAAACCCTTCATGCCTTAAGGTACCGGACCTTTCTTATCATACACAGCAGCAACAGCAGCAGCAACATACTTGGTGCGGCGTTTTCTTCTTTTTCTTTTTCCCCCCAAGGTCGTATCGCGTACATCCAGAAACCCGATTCAATTCTTCTTTTTTTTTCTCTTTCGTACTTGTTCATTTCTACCACGCCCAAGTCCTCGCACTAGCAGTAAACACAGGAGGTCTCCAAATCAATCTCTCAGGATCAATGACTCTCTTTCCCTTGATTTTTTCTTTTTCTTTTCGAGCATCTCTCGCGGCCAAGACGCTGTCGGGGAGTACAATGACATGGTTCTTGTTCATATATCGCAGCATGTTCAAGTTTTGCAAAGTATGCAAGACGTCGTTGGTGGTCATGGCAAGGGACATGCCAATGTCTTCGATCGAGGCCATGCCGCCGGAGCCGCCTGCTTCGGCTTCGCGTTCGAGTAAGAGGTCGACGATGACTTCTTGCCAGTAGGCCCGATAGCCTAGAAGTCCGAGATCGGAGAGCGGCTTTTCGGGAGAACCGAGTTTGGCTTCGATTTTGGAGAGCTCGTAGGAGAATTGGATGAGGAGAGCTCCGTAGCCTTTTCGTTGCCATTGTGGGAGGGTTAGGATACATGCGACATTGTAGCCTTCTGCAGATTCTTTTTCTTTGGAAAAGTAACCGATGAGATGGTGACCATGTTCGTCGCGCGTGGTCATGCAGTAGAAGAGGAAAGGATCCACGTCGTAGTACAATGTCTTATGATCGAGGAAGAGTTTGGATAACAGACAGAGATTGCGACACCAGGTTCGTTGTCTGCGCCCGTCGATTTCGAAAAAGGAGACGTTATCATCCCGATAGATTTCGTTCCCGGGCGGATGTTTGAGCTGACACTTCTTGCGGTGGCGACCGAACTGAAATTGACTACCAAAGTAGGATAGGCAGAACTCGCAGATGTAGACCATATCGCAATCAGTGAACTCGGCTGGATATGGGGAGAAATACCACGGCTCAATCTCGTGCATTCCCATCTGTAGTTTGTCCAAATTTCGCACTCGACTGATCTCGGTTTGGTTCTGCGTCATACTGCCTCCCGTGCGCAGCTTTTCAATCTCCTCTTCTCGAGAATATGGTACGGTTTCGGGAACGGCTTTCGCTGCAGCGGCAGCTTCCTGCATGTCAACCAGATCTACAGCGGACTCGTCATCTGGCTGCGGTGTACCATCCACGTCCTCGGTCAGCACTGCAACATTAGGGTCTCGGTTCTCCTTGCCACCACCCGTACGTTGAATGCTGAGCTTTGCTCCCAGGTCCGAAGGCGCTTCCGAAGCGTCCCGGGTCGCAGTGCCGCTTCGAGGACGTTTCTGACCGACTTTGGTATTCTTCGCATTCTCGTTCTTGGTGGTCTGGGATTTTGACTGAGCTGTCTTTTGCTTCGACTTTTCAGCCTTTTCAGGTATCGGCCATTCGACTTCTTGTGATAGATCAAATCGTTCTGCGGGTACCCATTCATCCAGACGTTTATTGAAGTCCTGATAGTGAACATAAAAAGTCGGATGGCCTTTTCTCGTTTGCATAGACAGAATTTCAGCCTTTCGTTTTTCGCCATCCTGAAGCCAACACCTCAGTTAGCATGCAGCCACTCTGAAATGTAACACGTTGAGTACAATATGATCGAGATCCGCATGTATACACCCAGGCTGTGATATCCGCTCAACAACTAACCTTTTCAACCATTGCCTTCGTCCCGATTCTGCGCAACGAAAGGTATCATCAGCACATCACATCGCCGACAACATGTTGAATCATTCTCGCTGGTCCTGCAGCCATACCTCAAGGTCGACAACGTCGCCATGCCGCGTTCGGCCTTGACATCGTCACCACCATTTCCACCACTTTTCAAATCGTCACGCGCCATCGTGGAGCAGACGACGAACTGACCCTGCAAATTCCGTAAATTGATCGATGAAGGTGGACTGTTTTGACGATGAAAATGATACCAAATCCGAGAGCGGCGGGAGGCTCGTCGTCGTGCTGCACCGCCACAGCAACGGATATCGGCGTTTCTATTATCCTCTGGCGCTAGTATTTTTTCCACTACCTACCTACCTAGGTACCTAGGTACTCGACTACTTCTCCCCAAGAAAAAACACTCCCGACTGTTTGTTGTCGCAAATGATGTAGGGTGAGGAAGCCATGTCAGGACCTGACCCGACAACAATTGGAAGCAATTGGAAAATCCTCCAGCAGCGACTACAGGCTGAGAAGAAGGCAAATGGGCAAAGCACCAGCAATGGCGTGAAGCGCAAAAGATTGCCCGAGAAGAAACAGCGCAACAACAACAACGGCTTCAAGAAGACCAAATTCGACTTCAACTCTGCCAACGGCACATCGCTAGGAAGCAAGCGGCGCAAGATGGGCGGTATCATGTCTACATCTGCTGTTGGTAAAGCAGCAGCAGCAGCCGACGACCTCGTCAACGACCACGACATTTCTCCATCCGACATCACCGCAGCCTACGGCACGACCAGCAGCAGCACCAAACCCCCAACTCCGAAACGAGCCTCCTCTTCCGCCGACGAGATCATCAATGGCGGCCTGCACCCGACCCACAAAATCGGCAAATACATCGCTCTCGACTGCGAAATGGTCGGCACAGGCCCCCCACCCCATCTCGACAACATCCTCGCGCGAGTCTCGCTCGTAAATTTCCACGGCGAACAAATCTACGACTCGTACGTCCAAGCCCCACCGAAAACACGCATCGAAGACTACCGAACCCACGTCTCAGGAATCTTACCACACCACATGAAAGCCGGGTATGCGCGAACGTTTGCACAAGTGCAGCAAGACGTGGCGAAATTGATGGAAGGGAGGATTTTAGTGGGACATGCTATACGCAATGATTTGAGTGCGTTGATGCTCAGTCATCCGAAACGGGATGTGCGGGATACGGCACGATATGCCAAATTTCGGGTCGAGAGTAAAGGCCGGGCGCCGGCGTTGCGGAAGTTGGCGAGGAGTGAATTAGGATTGGAGATTCAAGGGGGAGAACACTCGTCTGTGGAGGATGCGAGAGCGACCATGTTGTTGTTCCAAAAGGAGAAGAAGGGGTTTGAAGAGGAGAATCGGAGGCAGTTTGGGCAGAAGAAGGTGCTGGCGGTGAAGGAGAAGGTGAAGGAGGATACACCTGATGTGGAAGATGACGAGGAGCATGACGAGGAGGACGAGGAGGATGACGACGATCTTGATCTGTTATCGGGAGAAGAACTCGAAGACGCGCTATCGAAGGAAGCGAGTAAAGCAGGCAAGTTGGCGCAGACGAGTAAGAAGAAGAAGACTAAGAAGAAGAAGCGGACGAAGAGGAAGTAGCACCTCTCTTTTACGCGATCAAGGACTATTCCTGACCTTCATACCCTATATAATCATGCTTGCTGCATGTGCTTGACCACCCCCGAAACCATCAACGCATCGTGACACCACCATAACCCCCACCAGTTCGATTTGTGCCCATACCCGCACGACCCATGGCAGCAGCACCACCTTGAGGCCGACCAACGCGCATTCCTGCGCTCATTCCGAAGCCATTGTTAGAGCTGTTGCCAGGGCCGTGCGTCATACTGCCATACCGTCCTCGCAGTGGTGTACCTGTCCGTAGCGCGTCATTGTCCATACCAGGTCCTAGATTGCCTCCAAGCAGACTCTGATTGTAGGCACCAAAAGCGGGACGATTGTAGGCCTGTGGCAGACGCTGGCGGTTGGTCGAAGAGCCCGGTGGAACAGGCAAGCTGTCTGGATAGAGTCAGTGCGGTTGCGCCTGGGGACAGGTGCAAAACTTACGAGATGTATCAACTCCAGGACGATAGCTGGGACCATGTTGGTACATCATTCCAGCATTCTGGTGAGAATAGGCTTGCTGATCACCTTGCGGCCAAGAGTGCGTGCGCTGTTGACGACGTTCCCCGCTGCCGCCGCTACCGTTGCTGCCACCGTGGACGCGTGGCTGATGCTGATGATGATGCTGACTCTGGCCATCAGGACGCTGCGTGGAAATGCGATGCTGAGGTTGCTGTTGAGACCCAGCTTGCATGAGGATATCTTCGGCGCCCTGATCAGCAGCAATTTCGAGAGTCCCGGCTTGCTGCTGGTACTTCAGCTTGTTATAAAGGGCTTGCATTTGCTGCATGTTCTTGTTCTTCTCTTGCAACGAGTGCTGGAGACGATTGGTCTTGTCGACAAGTTCTCGGTTTTCCTGATTGACCGCTATAGCAGAATGTCAGAAGCGGCACATACGTGTGAACACAAAATGGCTACGGTACCTTTGAGCGATTTAAGGATGCGATCATTCTCCTCCTTCAGCGCACGATCCGACTCAGTGCGCTGCGAATCAAGAAGTGCGTACCTTTCGGTAAGGCTGCGAGCCAGATAGTCTTGAAAGGTACTGCCATCGCATCAGCGGATATCTCATCGTCCCACACCTTCCTCGACTCCCACATTTCCTGGACCATCTGGTACGCCCAAAAGGCCAGGCCACGGCCCGCGCATTCCATGATAATTGTAGGACTGAGGCCGCTGAGAATGCTCGTCTTGTAGTCTTCTGTGGGGTTCAGGCTGGTGATGACAGCATCATCTGGATTGACGAGATGAGTCGAACACGCTGGGCATATGCGCTGGCCATCTCTCGGTTCGGTGAGACCAAGACGGCCAGCACAAGGAATGCAGAAGATGTGGCTGCAGGTCGTTACCACGGCTTGGTCGGGGCAGAGGGAACGACACTTGAGGTCGTTGCAGAGCAGGGTGGAATCCATTGCACTGTGCCGCCACTCGTGGATGGGTTTGTTCTGGAGTACAGGTAGTAAGGTATCGGTGACCGGGGCGGCGAGATTTGCTCAGACCGCAATGTGCCTTCCATGCCAACGTACCTACCTCCCAGGTACCTTACCTTCCTCCTATCGGGGGGAGGCACTAACATGTCCGGCTCCTGCGCAGTCTACATTCGTGGAAAACGGGTCTTGAGAAGAGCGCGCAAAGCGGCTACCAGCTTTGGAACCAGCTACATGAGCTTCAATACATATAAAATAGACGCCTGAATGTCGCTGTAAATATCTTGCACCATGTGCCCGTGCTCCTCGTCAAACACCCACCCGAATGAATGGGCATAACATAGTCCATCGCGGCCGTGAAAGAGTTACATTAAATCAGATGGCAAAAGGGAGTATCTCAAATAGCAAAGCCATAGATCGCGTCTGTTGAAAAGCACACATAGCATCTCGCGTCCTGTCAAAGACAGTCGTTCTTTCTTTCTCACTCAAAATCCCGCGCCATCAAAACTGGTACGTATGGACAGGACCGGAAACCGACCATACGAGCGACGTCTGCCACCGGAGAGTCACGCCCGCTCGAGTGGACCGTGATGGTGCTCGAGGCCACGTGTCGCATATTTGGAGACTGGCTCCTCAGCGATCTCCTCGAGCTGGTGGCCACCATCAGAATCATGCTCCATGATATGTGTGGGCACTTCCGGAATAGTATCAGCGTGGTTTTTGTACACGCTCTGCAGGCTGGATCGGTTGGGCGTAGCAGCTGTACTTTCGCTGTTGACGCTCATGCTCGTAGAGCTGCGGTCGTGCACAAGATCCGGCGTCGGTGGCACTGCTGAGGATGTACCAGACGTCCTCTTGGGGTGCAAGTAGCTGCTAGTGCCCTCACTTCGGTTGTCGCCATAGTCCGACTCGGAGTTATTGCTTGAGAGATCGCCATTCTCAGACTCGGGGGCGAGGTGCTTTACTGGTCGCTTCCCTCTCTTCTTGCCAGACTCGGATCTGTGATCTTCATCACCACCATCGCTGCTGGTGGTATCGGCACGGCGAGCGAGGTCAAGACCCTCGACAGCAGCAGCGCACTGCTCGGAGATGTTGCGGATGATGTAGGCGATTGCATCCGTTTTATCACGGAGGTGACGATCTGCAACTTCAGTCATGCTGAGCCCTGACAATCGTTTGGAAATGCTCGAATAACGAGGCTGCCGGAACGAAGAAAGGTCCTCACCATCATTGCGATACTGCGACATGCGCGTGCTTGCCCTCGACGAAACTTGTGAGGCGGGTACCTTTGTGGCACCAGCCTCTACGTCGTCCTTCGCAACCTCCTTGACTGGCGATTCGATCTGCTCCTCCGCATCCATAAATTCGCCATGTGTTTCCGAGTCGTTGAGCGACTTGACAATGTGCTCCATGTGGTGTGCTTGTCCATCGATGAGCGCACGAAGATGCAGCACAACACGTTGAGCTTCGTCCCGCTGGCGAAGTAAAGTGGTATTTGTGTGCTGCAGGGCAGACAAATCCTTCTTGTTCCTCTTGCGCTCCCGCTCCAACTCTTCTGCAATCTCTTGCTGAAGAACGAGTGCCTCTAGAGCATCGTCTCTCTGTTTCTCGGTTCCAGACAAGCGCACCGTAAGTCTGGCAGTGTCGTCCTTCTGTTGGTCGATCATGCTTGTTAGACGGCGGTTCTCGCGTTTATGGCCTTCTATCTTGACCTTAAGCTCATTGGTCTCCTTGGTGAGTTGCTCGGCAAAGGCCTGGAACTTCAAGAATTGCTGCTTCCAGCTTTCCAGTTCCTCGACCAAGAAGTTGTTACGTTTTGTGACCTTGGCAAGTTCGGTGTCCATACGTCCCTTGAGGTTGATGAAATCTTGCCAGGCTTCCATAGCATCGCGCGAGTATTGATTGCGCTCGCGCACAATCTCGTTCAAATGCCTCATGGAGACTTTGGTCATCAATGGCTTCTTCTGAGATCCACCGAAGACAGACTTCAGACCAGTGTTCCTGCCCAGCTTCTCACATGCGTGGTCCATGACCCTCATGATCTGGTCCTGGTTCCACCACACTGGATCTTGCACACTCTCGACCTCACCTCGCATGACGATGATTTGGCCAGCTGGAATGAGCTTGCCGCCTCCGTATGCCGAGCGCAGGTGTTGAGGGACACCAGAGGGTACGACATCACCATTGAGCCCTTGTGTCAATCGAGTAATCAGCTTCGAGCGTTGTCTAGCACTCCAAGCATTTGGGGGGCTGGACGTTAATACGAAATTCCGATCGAGGTCGACGACCAGGGCGTCTGATGGAGCAGTGAACAATGTGCGACATTCGGCGGTCATTCCGAGTATATATGGACCGGGCTCCTGAACAAGTTCCTTGGCGTGGCGGGCGTGAACGACGGGGACGTAGAGGCCACTCCATTCGTAGACACGAACCATGTAGCGAACGGTCTCCGTTGCGACAGTCAGCATGGCTGTGTAATGTGAGATGAAAATAATTCGTCTCGTAGGCGAAACTGCAGCCTCCAGAACGCCAACAATGTTGGGAATGGACAGGCAGCTGAACAGCGGCCACATAGCAAAGTTTTGGAAGCCGGTTGGCGACGAAGGAAACTGGTAACACAGTGCATAGTCCTTCATGTCAATGCGAACCAAATCATTCAATCGCGGAGCTGGAAAGCTCAGGATGCGTGACACCTCCTCGGCGTGGAAGAGATTGGTCGCCTTGTTCCAGTGAATCCACATGCCACGGAGGTAGTCCCCAAGGAGGTTATACAACGGGTATCTGGACAAGAACGAGAGGCAGTACGGGATCCAGTAAGTTTCACCTGGAGTATCATAGTAGTCCGGTTCAGTGCGCTTGCGAAGATCGCGGATGGTCTCAGCACGCTTCTCGTCAGCGCGCGACCAGACACGCAACGCGATGCCATAAAGAGTGTGCGAAGAATCCTGCTGTAGGACGAATGCATGGTGCACGCAGTGTGGCTGACTTGATCCTGTGCATATTTCTACGTCATGTGGAAAACACGCCTACATCCTGTCAGCTTGGAATGAGATGGGTAACGACACCTGTGTGCGTCCAAACTTACCCTCATTGCGGAGTGAAGAGACCTAGCGATCTCATTGTCCTGCTCCAATCTCGGGCTGCTTCCCAGAATCTCAGGAAGCCAGAATTGGCCAACGGCACCTTTCATGTGGCCAATCTTTCCCTGGGCTGGGATTGGTGCCTTCACCCATTGCGATGGCTCCCGTCCCACACCACACACCATGTAGGCATGGGTCAATGTCTTCGGGGCACGAGTGCCAGTCTTCTGCTGAGGCATCTGGCTAGGTATCGGCGCGGCGATGCGCGAGTGCAACGACGAGGTGCGGTTCGGGATTTCGAGGTTGGCGTCGTCGCGAGTCGGAGGTCGAGCAGACTCCCCGGAGCGTGACCGCGACATGACATTGGATGTGAAAGAGGAAGAGGGCGCCATGATGAGCAATGGGAGGAATTGACCGCTGCTGAGCTGATTCCGTACGCGTTTGTGCTCGTTCTGGACGATCAGGCCTCCTGGAGAATTAGGTAGTTGGTGGACTCGCGGCGTGGGTAGTACTTGCTGCCACACAATGGTCAAACGTGGCACAGCATGTGTTCAAACGAAGGAAGGAAGGCTGCTGCCGACGACGACGACGAACGCTGCCCGTCGATAGGCCAGGCAGGCAGGTAGTCGGGGTAGCAAGTTATTAGGAGGATGAGAGAGAAGAAACGGCACGAAACAGTTGCACTAACACAGGAGCTGCTCGGACTCTCCTGGGGCCAGCAGGTCGAAAGCTATTATACCGGAACCCTGTACCTCGTCTACCGGATACGGACTAGAGCCAGTAAACCAAATAAGCGTGTGAGAGGTTCTGCAGGGATGCACATCTTCTGCCATTCGCTGATTCGAGAACAAGCGAATAGACAATACACCCAATTTCGTGTTCATGATGGCGGACTTGTACGGTGGATGAGGAGAAGACGAAAAGTCTCATCGTCAATGATCATGTGCGTACCGTGAGCATCAGAACGAGCACGGTGTTGGCTACAGGTATGGATGCACTGTGGATAATGGCAGCGAATGCTCTGGATGGCGGCGATCACCAAGAGCACTGCATGTGCCACCGCGGAGACGAGCAATGCAGAGCAGAGCAAACCGCAGAGCAGAAGCAGCGCAGCATTCCCAGATTTGGGATGTGACAAACCAGCAAACGCGATTCAACCCACACCCACACGGTTCACGGTACACGGTACACGGTACACCCACATTCACATCCACTGCTGGTCGAGCGTCTGTCTGCACAAGGCAGGGGGACTGTTGCTCTTTCGGCACCCTCCTTCTGGACTCCCCACTAAGAGGAGTACTTACATCGCTACCTACTAGTAAGAGGTAGCTCCCGTTGTAGTACATGTAGCTGCTGCCGCCATGCCCATTGCCCACGGATACATCATAGAGGTACATGTATTATACATGGCCCGTCGCCCGCCGTTCGGGCAACAATCACCACTATGTACCTACCGTCCCTCCTCTGCAGGCCGTGACAATGAACGGTTTGCTGTTGGACGCGCGAGGGGCCGCAAGCCCGCCACAGATAGACTGCGGCGAGACTTGGTTTCACGCTATGGATGCACCATGCACACTCTTCCACGTGCAAGCAAGACAAGAGCTACAAGCAAGAGCTGTCCCAGTCTGCCCGTTTCGGATCGGCTCCGGAGTGGGTTGTAGGCCTCAATATCCGTAGTGGCAGGTTATTACACCTGTCAGACTGTCTCATCACGTATCATCTGGTACAGCAGTACCCGTCGTCTCCATGGTTGGGTATACAAGTACGAGCGAGCTCGACAATGCAATGCCTCAGCGCTTTTTGTGCGGGACTCTGAGGGGTGACTCAGTCAAGTAATAACAATACACAGAATATGTCTATCGAATGGGTTGGCCACATGTAATTGGCTCAGTCGCGATCGGCGGGCCGGTGCGGGCGATCAGGTACACTGCACGAGCGAGCAGGGAAAAGACAATTTATGGTGGTGTGGCGACGGCACCAGGTGAGTCCCGAAGCCAATAGCACTAGAATAGTTCTAGTCCATCTTGTACCTTGCTCGAAGCCGAAGTCCACAATATGAAACACAACCTTCCACCATTTGATCTATCCATTTTGGCAAAATCAGAATGACCTGGTCGCTGTCGCAGCGTTGATGAAATCGGAGACGTGCGGAAGAGTGATGAGTGACGAGTGACGAGTGACGAGTGACTGGGAGTGACGACCTGACTCCTGGGGCGACATGACGGTGCCTCTGTCCAACGTCGCAGGAGATGACTGGAAGTACATGTAGGAGAGGTAGTTCTAATTGAAAGCCGTCATAGAACCTGCCGATCGCCCATCCGGTTCAAACCTACAGTGCCTGAGTACCTGTACAGTATGCATCTTCCCGTTCATGTCCTCGGGCTCGGCAAGCCGTGATTTGCCGTGCCGTCCGCTGAATCTTCACGAAGCTCAAATTCGAGTCAAGATATTCCGAGAGGAGCTACAAAGCACCCACGATCTGCAAAAGAAAAAAGGGTCCAGTAAAAGCCCACCACTGAACAGAGCAACATCTTGACAGCCACCGGTAGTCTAATGACGATGCCCGACGCGGCGCTCCTGACGGACTTGTGCAGCATTTGGTAGGCTCGAAATCTCGCTTTCTCCCTTGCACACGATTCAGTCCACCACCTACTCTGCGTCTGCCCCCGGGGTGGCGTGGCGTGGCGTGGCTGTACCTGCGCGTTGGGCTTCCAGGCCGTGGCAAGACTGGGGCCATGCCATCTGATGTGGCAAATCGTTTGCATGCGACAGCGTCGGACCTCTTGTGGCACTACAGTATGCTGACTGCTACAGTTATGAGAATACACCCAAGTATCGCTGTCCGAGATGCCAGACCAAGACATGCTCTCTCCCGTGTACGCAAAAGCACAAGCAACGTGCCGCCTGCAACGGCGTTCGGGACCCAGCCGAATACCTGAAGAGATCGCAATGGGCAACGCCTGCTGGTATAGATCGAGACTACAACTACCTCAAGGGCGTGGAGCGAAGTATTGATGTGGCGAATCGAGAGCGCGAAGAGCGCGGCGTGGATGTTGTCGGCAGAGCTGCCACCAAGTCACTAGCACAGGCACGACATCCTGACAGCGCTTTGCGCAAGTATTATGTCGAGAATCGCATTGATATCCGTCAAGCTCCAAATGGCATGTCCCGGCAAAAGGCCAATCAGACACGATACACCAAGTAAGCAGTTGCTCCCTCACTTCGATGCTGGCCTGCGCTAACACTTGGCCTCAGGCGACACCTGATCTTGTGGACGGTGGAATGGATCGATTCCGATGGGAACAAGGACATATCCGATAGCTGCCGGCACAACAGTACGATCGTCGATCTCTATGCGCTCAAACAAATAGAGCAGTCCAACGCCATGAAACGCAAGCCAGGCGAAACGCCTCGTGATGCCTCGAAGCGCAGACGAAAGGCCAAACAGGCAGCATCCAAGGAGGCATCAACAGCAGAGGAACCAGAGGCCGTCCCAGACGCCATCGAAACGACTACAGGTTCCGAAATCTTACCGGCTGGTGACTCTCCTCATCAGGATGCCGATGAACATCAAGTTCCGACAGAAAGTAAAAGCGACACAAGCTCCACCCAGCCGAGCCTGCAAGGACCAGCCACGATCGCAGAATCGCGCGAAAACGAAGAAACCGTTGATCCTTGTCTACATTTCTATCTGCTGAAACCAGGAACAACCTCGAAAGAGAAAGTCCTGATTTCTCTCAATAGACAGGCTACTCTCACAAGTTGTCTTCGGGACCGAACCGTGCTAGAATTTCCGACCATTTACGTGTTGCCGCATGAGCCCACGTCGCTCCCACCAGAATACATGCTGGAGAGCACATATTTGCAGCTCCAGAAAAGTGAAAAACAGGAGTTGAGGGAAGCTGTAGCGAGCGCTGAAGAAAAGGGTGCTTTCCAGCGTGTGAGAAGCGCTCAAGCACAAGCTTCTTCTGCCAGACCAAGTGTGCCTTTGGATGCGAATAGCATTCTCAATGTGTTGAAGCGAGATATGACTAGACAATAGACTGAGAAAGAAATATGGATTTGTTCCGTAGATGAATAGCAGCTTATTACCTTGTAGAAATGCATGGCATTCATGGCCTCCTTTTTTTTTCTTATTCAATTCCCAGAGGGATGTGCATCAGAATTGAGAACGATGTCGTATATCACGAGGCAGAGGGAAGAAGAGGCAGTTTTCAAGCTTTGGGCGAGTCTCGCGTATGGAGTGTGCACATGTGATACGATAAACAATAAAGAAAAAGGAACAAAAGAAAAACAAAAATCCCAAATAAGAATCGGTGTATACGGAGCTGATTTGGCCTAAAGCCCTACCTAATTGTCCGATAGATATTCCATTGCATAGGTAAGGTATTATCTCGAACGTATCATCATCTCAATTCTTTTCTCCCCAGCCCCCCAGAGAAGACGCAGCACATCATTCACCTGACTCTCAGAGTATGGGCCCGAGCTTCGATAGGCAAAAGAAACGTGCGTGCTAAGTCGCAGAGGTCGAGGAATCAAGGTCTAGACCAGGCGCAACACCTCGAGATGATCTGACACCTCAGCTCGAGAGAAAAGAGCCGAAGATTGGCGTTCTCTTTTTGCCAGAGACCGTGCCAGCCACGGCCAATCGCGGCAATACCCTCCTCTCTGGAGATCGCAGTGGCAATTGATTGATAGAGGCGGAAGACATCTGCCTACCTAGTAGGTAGTAGTATTCGTTGGCTCAGCGGCTGCGATCTTGGGCTGATCGCGGCAGTATCTGGATTGTCACACGCAGACTTCGTTTCGCACATGCTGGAAAAGTCTTCGACCTTCACCTCTTTTCCTTGTCGCAGGCACAAGAAATCATCTCCTTGCCGTTGCCCGCGTCTCTTTGTAACTCAGAGGCGTTCCCGAGGCGGGCTTGACAGGGTGAAAGAAAGTGGTGTCTGTTGTGAGCGTCTTTGGGAGACCGCCAGTCCTGCTCACTTTCTGTACGTTGATCATAGCTGCGTTTACAGGTATGGAATGTTGAGATGAAGAGCCTATCAATATTGCGTCGAAGGAATTCGGGGGCAAACCCAAATTGCCAGTGCAAGCTCAACTTACAAGTTGCATTGGGTCCTACTGGTTGTCTCCTCGTGCTCGGAACAAGTCGACCAGAGTCGTGCGACGCTGTTGACATGCCTATTCGGCCTCTCCCGTGATTCTACTTTGAACAGGACGCAATGTCTACTTCGCGTCTGCTAGATCCAGGCGTGGTGATACCTCCAGGTCGTCCGCGTCTTCATCCACTCATGAGTACGTCCTTGCGCTTTTCCTGTGCAGCTGCGTTTGGTGCACTGTCCGCGACCTCTGGCATCTTGCTTAGCTTAAGCTCAGTAGCCTCTCTGACTGCATCCGCAAGCACGGTCCTCGTCAAAGTAGCGGCTTTGACGGCACTATCGATCAGAGTCTCACTCTCTGCTCCTGAATCCCCTTTCATCCACATCTCAGTGATTTCGTCCCTTGACTGCAGATAACCCACCACACAAGCAGCCTTGATGTCCTGCTCAGGAGGTGAAGGATCCAGCAGGTACTCCTCGCCGCCGCTTTCAGTCTTGACCAGCGCTGCCACACCTCCAGATACAAGATCGACGCAATCGATTCCGGCATCGCAAAGCGCCGCACTCGCCACCGTGATGCATCCAGCCAACACACTCATCATTCCCCAACCGCCAGCTTTCCCTCCTTCACTCGCATCCGCCCAGAACCCATCCTCCTCGCCTTCGAGCACAGTGATAACAACTTCACATCCAGCCTTAGGCCACCTCTCTCCAATAATTACACCCCGTAATGCAGTCTCAAGATGCACGCCCAAATCTCGCTCACTCGCGTCTCGAACATATCCTCTCCGTACTCGCGTAGCAAACGGCGCAAATTTTACATGGGTTGAGAGTAGGAGGTTCGGACTGAATGCCGCATTTCTGGGGAGAGGTCGTGGGCCATGGACTGTGCATGAGATCTTCAGATTTGAGGATAAGGGCGTACTGAACTGCTTAGAAGCTTCCGAGACATGAGGTGAAATCTCATAATATGCACTTCCGCTCGCTGAAGGCACGACGCCAGTGCGCAGGAATATCTTCCGGTGTTCGTCAGGTTTCCTCGAGCGAGTAGGCTTGGTAATTTGGGTATCCCTAGGGAGTGAGAAGACTGGAGGGGCTGTGCCTCCTGCTGGAGCGTTGATGCGGCGGCGATCGGCCTGCATTGTGATGAGAATAAATCTTTTGTTTGTCTTGGCTTTTGTGAAGCAAGTTGACGTCGGAAGTCGGGTGAATGACCGACGCCACCTCACGGTTCACGGCGGGGTGGGCGCAGCAATCACGAGACCCTTCCAGGCGGCGACATTAAATGTTCAGCAACATCCACTTCCATCGGACACTATTGGAACTGCTTTCACCTCGTCCTCAGACAAACCGCGACGAACTTTCCCCTCAGCACACGCACTCGCACAGCTCTCGACCATGTGCGGAAGCGACATCCTCCTGGGCCTCATCGCGATCCTGTTCCCGCCGCTCGCAGTCTGGGTCAAGCGTGGCCTTTGCAGCGCTGACAGTCTGATCAATATCCTTCTCTGCTGTATGTTCCATACAAGCAACTTCTGTTCCTCTGAATACTGTACTGATGTTCTTCCAGGTCTCGCATACCTCCCAGGCCTCCTACATGCTTGGTACATCATCGCGATCACGCCCGATCCGACATACGAGCGAGTGGCCCAGCAGGACGCCGAGCGTGGCACAGTGACATATTACTATGTTCAAACGAACGGGCAGCCACAGTATGCACCGCAGGGACAAGGAGGACAAAGCTATGGCACTGTAAATGCGAGCGCACCAAATGCGCAGTTCGCCCAACAACAGACGAAACCGCAACCACACCCAGGGGCAGCTGCTGTGCATCCTTCTTCTTCACAAGCAGGTCCTAGTGGCGAGGAAGATGCGCCACCGCCATCGTACCAACAAGCGACGGGAGACAATAAGATCCAACGACCTTAGATGCTGATGTCACGATGAATCATGGAATGGGAAAGCCATACATTTACAAGGGAGGCGTTTTGAATACGAAAGAGCTTCTGGTGCGCATAAAGCGCGGAAAGAGAACTACCAGACGTAAATATTCCTAGGAAGTTATGATGATGATGCATGAAGTATAACACAGTTTTCAGAAATGTGCTGAGACTGGAAACCGCTTGGAGCACCACGAGGAAAGTTCTCCAAGTTCAGCTCACTTTGCGGCTTTGAGAGATGCGCACGGCTACCGCCTTGTGTGTCTAATGATCTTTGCAACACCATACATACATGTATGCTCGCTCGTCAAGAAGTCGCGATGTGCATACGACAGCCAGATACTCGAATCCATTCATCGACCTCAACCGGTCCGTAATCCCTCACCAGTCACTTTCATCTTCTCTTTCTTAATGCTCATCTCATGATATTATCCGGTTCTTGTTTTCCCGTTTATACTGTCGATGTCCTTCTCTTCCTTCACGGCGACCTTTCTCCCCCCATCATGCTCATATCCCTTCCAAATCCCATCATCCTTCTGAACCTTACCTCCCGCCTTCAACCACTCCTTCTTCTCCTTCTGCCACTCACCTTTGAGCTTGAGATATGCCTCATCACTCGTGCACTCTCGCCACAGCGCCTTAAAAATCTCACTGGCTGCTAGCTTGTCCTCCCGACCGGCATGTCCAGTGCTCTTGGGAAGCTCCACACGTTTCAACTTGGAGTGATTGGGGTTACCAACCTCGCCTCCTGACTGCGCAGCGCGTTCACGTTCGAGCTCGAGTGATGATTTTTCGTATTTCTTTCCGCCTTTATGATTCGCATACCTGGGGCTGTCGTGTTAGTCAGTCTGGCAATAAGACGAAAACACCACGTCCAAACAAAACACACGGAGATGATCGCACTGAGATTCCCTCTGTGTCTCTCTCACACAATGATAGACAAGACAGACAGACTAGACAAGCAAACAGAACCAACATATCACGAGGATAGGAGAAAGGTGGGAGTCGTACCGACGAGCCCTCGTCATACCCATCTGTATAAACTTCCTCGCCATATCACTTCCCACAAAATCCTCACACTCGACATAATGATCGAATGCGCGCTTCAGCGTCTTCGAAGACTCTTCTGCAATCGCAACGCTCCGGAATCGCCAATGAGGGAGTAAAATGGACTTGTAGGGCTCGAAAGTCAAAACTCCTTGCTCGCCTCGAGCTATCTCGTAGGACATGCGGATGTGTTGATCATGGAGAGATGGAGTGGGAAAAGCCCTGGGAGCGGATTTGAGAGGTGATGTGGTAATTGATTGGGAGGCAGGAGGGCGAGGCATGGCCTCTTGCTGGAGGAGCGTTTAGGGCATGGCGAAGAGGGTTGTTGGTCTTCACAGAGGAGGAGAGGGGACAAGAGAGGGTGCGGACGTACCTAAAAGTCAGTTGAAGTGACACAGAACTCGTCATTGCATCGACATGCATACACACATGTACGGTACATACATATATGTACATGTAGGCAATCAAAACTACATAATGCCAAAAACCACATCCCATCCTACCAATCTCCTCCAATACGCTCACATTCACATCCACAACACAACAAATCAAATCAACTCACAATCCCTCATCCCCAAGCCCAAAGGCTGGAGCGAGCTACCGAGGAACTGCACGCGTCACAAATTGAGGTATATAAACGCCCAAATTTGCCCCTGCACCAATCAGCAACAGGGTTTTATGATGTAGTGGTTAGCATACCAGATTTTGAGAAGGTTCTACAGTGAACTGATATCGAAAAACTTCTGGTTACCCCGGTTCGAATCCGGGTAAGACCTTTCTCCTGAACATTTTCTTTTTGTTCCTTTTTGGTCATGTATAACACAACAACAAACACACCCAAGGTTCTTTCTGAAAATTTGTGAAGGTTGCCTCTTTTTCCTTTTTTTTCTTCCTTTTTTCTTTTGGAAGATGATGGCATTTTGGCATATCTGATGGTGTGACTGCCGATGTGCCTGCCGTGTGAAGAACACTCGAAATCTTCAAGTTTCCGTTGCGGCCGCAGACCAACTTCTTTTTTTTTCATTCCTCTTTTGCATCAACCTACGGCCCCAGGACACATGGACCGAGAGAGTATGCATAAAAAACTTTGCTCAATTCTATCTAGATTGTCTCTATATCGGTGGTGGTCCTCCATGTCTACCTGAATGTATGAAACTCAACACACGCTTCGCTCAACGCTGAACAAAGGCAATGCCGCAAAGGAAAAAACAAAACGACCAGGTAGGTGTTGCCATCCACATACATACACATCTAGATACCTACCTAGGTAGGTATGTATACCATCTGCCGATGATGCCTTGGGAAAGAGAGAAAACGAATAATGGTCCACGAGATATAAGTCAGTGTGCGTATACGCTCAAAAAAGACGTTTTCACGACAACAGCTTTCCATCTTTCATCATATGACCTGTCAGAACGGTGCAAACAAAAAATCTACTACAACGGCACATCCTCCATCATCTCGATCGCACCTTCTCGCCCGACGGTCAAAATGACATCTCCGAGGGTCTTGGTTGCGAAGCCGGCTTCACAGTATGCAAAGTAGTACTCCCATTTCTTCTTGAAGATCTCGACTTCCTCTTCGGACATTTTCCTTCCTTGGCGTTCCTGAAATTCAAGCATCAGGGCTGGTCTGATCCGAGTCGTGAAGGACTGCATGAAATTCTGTCTCCACAGCCGCAACGTCTTCGCGTAGTGGGGACCGATGTTTTCAATGGATTCTGGTATGAGGCGTGGCTGGACTCCTTTCCTCGTGTTGCTGGATCCCGCTCGAATGCTGTCCAGTAATTGTGTGATTGTGGGCAGGTGTCCTCCGGGGAAGATGTAGCGTCTGATGAAGTCGTCTGAGTTCGCATAGCCCGCGTATCTGCTCTCTGGTATCGTGATGCACTGGAAGCATGCCACCCCTCCCTCGCTCTTCAGCAGCTGGTCGATGCAACGAAAGTATGTCTCCAAATATTCTGCTCCTACAGCTTCCAGCATCTCAATCGACACGACCTTGTCGTACTTCTGCTCCTCTTTCTGGGGCACGGGGAGCGAGCGATAGTCGCATATCAAGACCTGAATGCGATCGCTAAAGCCTTTTGCCGCTATACGTTCGTCTGCAAGCTTCTTCTGCTCTTCAGACAGGGTCAGAGATGTGACTCTGCAACCTGTTTTCTCCACTGCCAAAATCGCGAATGACCCCCAGCCTGTGCCAATCTCGAGAACGTGATCAGAGCTCTTGATCTTACAGTTCCTGATGAAGCGATTGAGTTTGCGGTACTGTGCCTGCTCCAGAGTCTCCTGCGCGCACATTGGGTCAGACTTGGCGAGGAAGATCGGACACGAATATGTCATATCGGGGCTAAGGAAGGCCTCAAACATGGCATTCGAGATGTCGTAGTGAGCCGAGATATTCAGCTTCGCGTTCGTAAGATCGTTTGTTTTCCTGATCAGACCCGAAATTCGGCCCATGATGTTGCTGCTCAAGGTTGTGCCATTGGACAGGTATTTCTTGTTGCTGATGAACAGTTTGAAAAATGCTGTCAGATCCGTACAGCTAACCTCCCCGAGCATGTAAGATTCTGCCAGACCCATATCTGCGAAGAGGAGTAGCCGGACCCAGAACATGTCCTGGTGTACGATAAGTTCTGAATGGGACTTTGCATACACATTCTTCTCCTGGCTCTCGTCAACGAGGCTGGCGGTTTTAGGCGATCCACATACTGTAGTTGTGCCATCTGTATCCGTGATTTTCAGAGACCCGACCTGTATGTTCCTCAAAAGGTTAATGATCTGACTGCGAGCGATCGATAGGAGTGGCGGGTAGATCCACGGAGTGGCATATGAGGCCAATGCGGCCGCACTGCTCTGTAGCATGATTGTAATCTCGAATTTGTGCTGGCAGGCCGAATGAGTGCTGCGAAAGATGTCCTTGCTTTGCGGAGCCAAATGGCGAATCCCACAAAGGCCAATGTCCCCGGTTCTCTAAAGGCTGCTGCTCTTCCCAATCGCGAAGGCGCTCAGTGGTTTCCGTCTACGCAGGAAATCTGATGATCTTTGGGACCTTGCAAGGACAACTGTTTCGGCTTCAATCTGGCGACTTGGCCGAACCTGTTATAATCGCCTAGCTCTTCCTGTGCTTCCTCTTATCACAGTCATGCCCATGTATACCCTCAAAAATCAAAAATTATGGTATACGAGAGAAACGTTGAGGAGAGAGCAAAGAAACGGAAGAGTGGTGCACACATTGTTCGGACATAACAAGCACTCGATGCGGAGCGGAAATTGTAAAGTCCAGCAGCTGGTCGGGGACGTCCAAAATGCTCCACCGCTGGCCAAAGACTGGGTTGCTCATCTGAGGTGCGCCTCTCCATTTTGGAGTTTGTTGATTCGCTGACGTCGTTGACTTCTGCAGGAGGAATGGTTGCTATGCATTTGAGTTTAGTAGCGCCACCATGCCACCTCCTACACATTCTTCCGATCATACAGTACCTCCTACCAGGTAGATATCTGTATCTGTCAAGGTGTGAATGATTGAGCGTGTGACTGGCAGCTGGTTGGAAAAGTGATATATTCAAACCATTGTGGACTGTCTGATAGCATCTGGCTTTCATATGAATCCACACATATATATAGCTACATGTATGCAGTTGTGATCGATGTGTTGCGAGTGTTCGAACTCCTCCGGGCTCCAGTCCAGCCCTCCAGGTGGGGTATCGGTATCCTAGCTGTCTTGGCAGATGCAAATTGATGTTTCACGGGACATTGTCGATCCAATACATGTATTCACTATTCATAGCCTCTGACTCCAGTCACTCCACGATATGGTGTCTATGTCTGTGGTAGCCCGCATACCAACGATTACATCTAGCAGATGGCAGGACAACAGACAATCTCTCATATAGTAAAGAGAAGAGAGGCCAGCAAACAGCCAACCGTGGTATCAAGCAAGCCCTGTCCCATCGTCACCATGTATTGGTCTTGTCATCGTATGCACCGAGGACTACATGTATTACGTGGGACTGCGATGTTGATCTCGACAGGGAGAAGCTCGGGTTCTGATGAATAGTACGAATTGATGTTATTACGAGAGTTATACCATTGTGAGCTGCTGGGCCTAGCTCGTCCTTGTATCTTCAGGAGCTGTTGATTACATACTAGAGAGCCAGCAACCCGAAAAAGCTGATATGGTCAGTAATAGATCGAAGGATGCCATTGATATTGAGGATATTGTCATGTAGCTGAGACCAATAGATAGTACAGACCGATCGACTACAGGGAGGCTTCGGTATAGCAATTGGTTGGACGTGGAATGCTTCCTTCCTGTGATAGTGACCTCTTCACGTGTAGTTGCCAATCGACCCAAGTGAAGACGGGACCTGTATGTGAACGAGGAAATCAGTCACCTGGGTAAAGTATCAGTTAAAAGGTAGATAGGTACCGTAGGTATAGTAGTATCCATAGATGTAATCACCGATGTGGTGACAATTAATTTTCGTAAAGACGCGAATACGACGCGTCTCTCACGTCTCCATGTACCCAGTACCTACCTGACTCCTTCAACACCCAAATCCATACCTACCAGGTACCTTACCTACCTAGATACCTACCTGACTTGCCTACCTACTATACACACCACACCACTGCCACAAAAATGCTCGCCCTCCAACCCTCCTCCTCCTCCAAACAACCCGCCTTGATCCCAAACCTCCTCCCCTGCAAAATCGCACACTCAGGACCCATCCCAACCTCCCAGCGTCACTGGAATCCACTTCCAACGCGCTCTCCCAAACACCACTCCGATTCTCATGAAGTCCACTTTCGAGGCCGAAAACTGCGCTCCAAACAACTCAAACTACCAGAAAATTACACCGGGGTGGTAGCGCAGAAGACGGAGCGAAGGTTATTACCACAACAACAAGAGGGACAACCACAAGGACGAAGAAATGAGATTGAGGAAGATCAAGATGAGGAAGATGACGATATACAACTACCAATAGAAGTCAAAATTCTCGAGACAAATGGGACGTTTGATCAAGTCGTGATATGGGCTCACGAGGCAGTTCCCGAGGGAGAAGATGTATATGTCAAGGGCATAGAGGAGTGGATTGGGTTTGCTGAGAGTGTAGGTCATCCGTTTGTCCGTTGAATTTTGCTTACAACATCTGGTGATATATGCTGGAGAGAAAAGAAAGACAGAGAAGAGGAAAAGAAAAGGAAAACTGCTGACATGGAGGTCACTCATAGGTACATGCTTACGATACAGGTATCAGGACACCGTCGACGTGATGGGAGCTCGATGGTGCGAGTGACGAAGCGAGGAAGCATGCGTGCATGACAGACAGCTGCCTACGTACCCAACCTACGCACTTGGGATTCACGCAGAGAGAGTGTAGGAAACAAAGTGCTTATATTCACGAGCTCACACGAGGATATGATGACACAAGGAGCTCATATTATCGTTCTTTCTTTCTATGATGAGAATGCATGAAGCCCCAGGATGGCGATGGTGTCCGCCATAATCATCACCCTCTCCCCCACCATAGCCCCATGCAATGCTGCTGCTTTTCGGAAACGCCTCTTTTCGTAGCACATGTCTGTCACTGGTATTGGGCATGTTACAAGAAGTAATCTGGCGTTCGGCGAGAGACCATGGGCTCGCCAGCGCGTGGGCATGGGTCGAATTGCAGGCTAGAAAAGGAAAGGTCAGCCAGAGGGACAGCGCAGGCGTTGAGGGGAAGATACGTACAACGTATACTTCAAATGTTCATCAATCTCCATGATGGCGGCTTGATTACCGCATCGGTAGCAGTAGTTAGGTGCTGGTATTGGCGTCAGTACGTGCCTCGCAAACTTGACTTCTATTCCGCGCTCACCTGAAAATATAGTGACCACATTGCGGTCCTGACTCCAGTTGTACCCTTCCATGACCAGTTGATGCGCTCTCGCCACAAGAGTGAGCCCGTTATTGTGGTTGAACGCTTCGCTTATGTCCTGTCCAAACGTATAGCCGGCACCTCTGGGACTGATACCCCATCCGCATCTGTCATCTGGATCCGACCAGAGTAGGTCACACATGGGGCCTTCATGCGGCACCTCCTGGATACGGTCAAGTGCTCGAATGTTGTCTAGCGTGTCGATGCTCGGCGAAAGACCCCCGTGCAAGCAGAAGATCTGGTTGTCAATCAGAGCAGTAAGTGGGAGGTAGTCAAACAGATCGGTGAAGAACTTCCAGACGTTGGCGTTGCCGTACTTGCGGAGGCACTCGTCGTAGAAGCCATATACTTGAGTGATTTGTCTCGACTCGTGGTTACCACGCAGAATAGTGATGCGCTGGGGATAGCGGATCTTGAGCGCAACCAGGAGCGTGACAGTCTCCACTGAAAAGTACCCACGATCAACGTAGTCGCCCATGAAGAGATAGTTGGTGTCTGGATTGGGACCACCGATCTTGAAGAGCTCCATCAAGTCGTGGAACTGGCCGTGGATGTCGCCGCAGACTGTGACTGGGCATTTGACAGGCTGCACATTGGACTCGTCCTGAAGCACTTCGCGCGCCTTCTCGCATAACCGCCTGACGTCGTCCTCAGCGAGCTGTTTGCAGGTCATGAGCGACTCGATCCAGCCATCGAGGGTTGGTATCGTCGGCGGGTCGATGGGCGTGCCCAAGCTATGCTCAATCTTGCCCGCATCCTCCATAGCTGTGTCGCCCATTGCGGGCTGCTGCCTCAATGCGGCAGCCTCCGCCATTGTTGCGGTCACAATGTGGTCGGCGGTGTAAGTGGAGCTGGCGAGGGGTCGTGATCAAACACAGGAGGAGCTGGTCCTTCGGGGAGAGGGGGGAGTGGTGTTGGGTGGTGGAAGTGGGCGCAATGCGGCGAGGGCGTCTCGATTTCAGGGTGCGGCGGTGACGTTCACGTGGTAGAGCAGCTCGGCGATCGCGTGGTGGAGCTCTCAGGTCATGAGCGGGCTTTGCGCAATATATGTGCTGGTGCTGTGTGCTATGATGCAGCGAGGTCAAAACAATGAACAGAGAGTGTTTCGTCAGAGGCAGGAACTGGAGACTTGGCGCTCCCAGAGACACGCGACACCAGGAGGAAGCGCAGCACAACACTCGAAGTGGAACACGTGAAAACAGACTCGACACTTTGACGCAGAGGGAGGATGAACTAGTACACCATGTTTGTGGTATGTGCATGTCTGAAAGCGAGGAAAGCTGCGAATCTCCATCCCAACACTACATGTACCTACCTACCTACGAACCCAATACCCGTCTCAACACTCGGAAGCCGATGCTCAATTAAACCATCACATCACTTTCTTCCCTTTGCCCTTTCCACTGGCCCCCGGTAATCCTGGAAACGCATCCTCATCGCCAGCAGCCTGCTTGCTCTGCTCTTCTGCCAGGCTTAACTGAATGGCAAAGTCCAGATCGCTCAGTTCAGCTGCTTGACTAGAGCCCGCCAATGCCGGCGACGGCTTAGGAGACTCTTGAGCAGATGGTGCACGCTTGTTCTTCGGCTTCGCATGTCTGATAGGAATTTCATAACCCGCAGGCGGCGAGGTGGCCAGGCTCTGCCGAATTGCTTCAGCAATGTCTGCATCAAGCTCATCTTCCGTTTTGGGTGTTGGCCGGTGCGGAGAAGGGCTTTGCGCTGGAGTAGCCGCGACGCTGCGATCAACGCTACTAGCTGCGATACTGTTCGAGACACTGGTATCAGAAGCTCGACGAGCATGGTCTCGCTCAAATGCTTCTTGACTCAACATTGCAGCATAAGCAATCATCTCTTCTTCACTTCCATCAAGTAGATCTGTGCCAAAACGACCAGCGATCCGTTGGGACTCCTTGTTACGTTGCTCCTTCTCACGATGAAGCTCGAACTTCTCGGACTCGATGTAGTTGTTGAGGTTGCTACGCATGGCGCCTGAAAAGCGCTCCGTGGCCGCATTGCTTCCTCGTTCGGATCGGCGAAGCCGGCGTTTGTTCGACTTGTATTGGTCTGCAGCAGAGGAGCTATAAGCCCAGTACAGCAAGTGCGTGCCAAGAGACACAATACCGCGTAGTATGGTGGGATCTGGGTCGAGATAGATGGCGCCTGCCGCGAACAGATTGATGCCAACACCTTGAGGACTAGCCTGAGCTTGGAGCAGCCTGCGACGCGCCCGGGAAGAGAACTTTGAGTTAAGCGTACGGATAGGCTGCACTTCCGATGCGAGCACGTCCCAAGCTTGCACGAGACCATCATTCCCGCCATGCACAAGGCACAAAGAGGAGAGGGCTAGGCAAGATATTTCAGGGGAATCCGTATGTATGATGCGAGATGGATCAATGGTGTTCGTCGTGTCCACTGATCGTGCAATAGAGGCACGCATATCCCATACGATAACAGTGCCAAGTTTGGTGCCAATGGCGAACATACGAGCACGCTGACCCGGTACGTCTGATGAAGATACAGCAGAGTCGGGAGCTATCATCGGCGTGTATGAAGGCGACGAGGCTGCAGATCTGCCGGAGAAGCCAAGTAGGGGGTCTTCGGAAGCGGTTTGGGTAGCGAAGGTCGATCGATCAATTGTCGTGGCTAAAATCTCGACATGCTTGATCCCGCCCATGGAATAATCGGTAGTCCGCCACTCTTCAGCCATGGGCCTAGGTGTGGTAGCTCCATCAAACTCATCGTGGGCAAGAGAGGTGCTCAGCAGCCCCAGAGAAAGGCCCGTAGCAGGGTTTGTGATGGGCGATGGGGAACCACCAAACATAGATGGCGGCGTGGAGGCCTCTGTGATGGCAGAAGTCAGGTTTGGTGGCGGAACCGTTTGCGAGGCAGCACGGTCTTGAACGCGAAGACGACTGTAGCGCCTCACGCTGGCAATACTGCCTTCCTCCCTTGCGCATCCGAATACCACGATGTTCTCGCCCGCATTATTGCCGTCATCACCAGCAAAGTCGACCTCAAGCACGCGGCGCATGTCCCAGCCCGCGCATAAGCGCTGAAAGTCTTTGGGCTTGCGTCGCATGAAGGCCTCAATTTCTTGGGTCTCAGCTGAGATTTGACCAGTGCTCAGGCACATGCCATTCCAAGAAGAGCGCGGCGAGTAGCTACCATCGACGCTCCCATCGGCGTACGGGTCCACTTTAGCAATACGTCTGCTTGGTTCGACGGTGTTCCAATAAACAGTGCGCCCAGTCTGCCATGCCATCCGCTCAATAGCCTCGTCATCGAGTCGGGAACCACGGTCGAGATGCGGCCGCTTGGGAGATTTGGTCAGATAGAAAACTTCACCCAGAGCGTTCAGCACAACAACCCATATTCGGTTCTGTGCCATGCGATTCAAGGTGTGCTCGTTGTCGACGGCGATCTGAATGATTGGCACACCAGGACTAAGCACCCAGCGAGCCGTCGTTTCGCCACGACTGTATCTCTGATTACGAGTGCTGCCACTGCTTGAGGCACCAAGGCTATATGCCGTGAGCACACCAAGTGAAGATCCAGAGAAGAGCCCGATCAGGCCGTCTGTGAGACTGGGAACAGCAGCAGATTTCGCGATCCACACTGCAGTGACGGCTTCATTGTTCGATGCAATCCTCGGGATTCCAAGCTCATGGGCAGTCACCGCAGAAGTAGGAGTCAAAAAGCGGCCGCGCATTTCCTCGGTAGAACGGTAATAGACCATGCCTCCAGGGGCGCCTTCACCAACAATCATGCCATACGGCTGACTGACGTCCATAGAGTTGGGCAGTCCCACCACCTCGCCAGGACCGAGCCCATATTGCGCATCCCCTGGAAACCGATCGGCGAACTGTGGAAAAATTTGCGGATCTGTGAGACCCCAGCTATCAACTTTCGCAGCGTTGGGATCGCTACTGGTAGCAGTCCCAAACTCGTCCGCTCCATGCGCAAAGCGGGGCAGCTTTTTGTTTGTCACAGATCCGAATGTGGCGTGAATATGGTTAATGGTAGTGTAGAGCTGCGAATTGTACATGACGGTCGGAGCAACGGTTTGGGTTCGAGTGGCATGGGAATTGGCCGCCTGCATCGGCTTACCGCGAGACAAGGATCGCAGCAGCCTTGTTCGCATAATGTACTCGCTTCGCCATGATGCCAAAGGCGTAAGACGCGTAAAAGCACGCCTCTCGGACTTGACCACAGCCTGAGAATCGCTGTCATTTTCAAGTAGATCGCAATTGATAGAATCTGACCCGGGGAAGAAATGTGAGAACGCTGTTCGCCACGCGTGAGGTCCTGTAACTAGGCTGTGAAAGCGCTTTGAGACAAGCGAGACGCATGCAAGATCGTTGGGAGCAAGTCGGGCCAAAGCGTGGGTCAGGACCTCTGCACTAATCAGTGAGGCCCATCTGGCATATGCTGTGGTCCCAATCACTTACCATTTGGGAGGTCCTGAATAGGAGAGCTCTTGTCCCCGGGATTTCGAGGTTTCTTGATGACCTCAAATGCAGGTCCTTCTCTCTTCCTGACAGGCGGTGTAGACGCTTGTTCATATTCCAAGACTCGATTGCGCGCCGGCGGCGAAGGCGTAGCCCTCGCGCTCAACCGCTTGACAGAGCTCGCGCTGACTGCGCCGTCTTCTGCTCTTTCCTGCAATGATGCTGCGAGCGCAGCGTCAAGCGCTGACTGCTCTTCTCCGCTAGTCGTCTCTGCATTGGCTGGTGACAGAGCGACTGCGGGTTGGTCGTCGTGGAGAAAGCCATGTTGGGAAGTCGGCGAATTTTGCTCGATAGAACTCTGGATTGTGGCTGTTGCAAGTGGTGTAGGCTCTGGAAGCATAAAACGTATGGTGGTGGTGGCGGGTTCTCTGGGGACTGAGCCAGTAACGGTTCAGTCAAGGGCGGCGCGAGTGGGCTTGCGAGTGCGTGTGGCGTGTTGGTCGTGGTCAAGAGAGATGGGCAAGGAAGGGCAGGCAAAGGTTGGAGAGATAGGTAGCTGGTTCCACAGGTTCTATTCTGGTTCTAGTGCCGCAAGCCTCGCGCCTCAGGCTCGACAAGTGGCAAAACTGATGACTGCACCCGTGTCCTGCCTTTCATATTTCACCTCGTGATTTTTCAAGGCAACAAAAGAGCGCCCATACGCCTCAAGAGCGCGCCTGTGTGAAGTCCAGCCACGCGTCAGGCACCGCTCTGCACAGGGCTTGTCATTTCATCAACTCGGTACAAAACGCGAAGCCAGTCGTATCAGCACTTCGGGATGGATTTGAGGCTCAAGTACGATTGCCACTTCAACATTACATGTAACTGGTATAATTGGTATAATTAGAGCGGCATGTCGTAAGATACTGGAGAATTGACCTTCTAGCTTTACAAATCGTCCGTGGAGCAATTAGGGTGAACAACATATATTGTTCTCTCGGTCCTTTCCAGGCCAGTACCGTCTTCTTCAGCGAGACCTTCACCTTGCACTTTCATGAGCACATTGTTCTGCCAGCAGTTAGTACTCCGTGAACTTCAGCAGGAACCTTTCGCAATGACTTACCTTGACCATACGCTTCAAGACCTTCTTTGCTAGGCTCTTTTGTGCAGAGAGGCCTTCGGTATCATGAATCTCTTCTTCCACCTGTTCAGTATACCATTGTAGTAATTCCATCTCCTCAACGCCATCTTGCTCCTCGTTCTGATCTTGGTTGACCCGCTTCAATAGCAAGGTCTGGATCTTGATGAAGTCGTCGAACTTGATTTGAGTCTTCGGCCGTGATGGTGCGGGTGTTTGCGAGGCTCTCGTCCTTGCAGGCGTAGCAGCATCGCCTTGCTCGTTGCCATCCATTGGTGCATCTTCGTCCTCGGCTGGAGCCGCACCAGCTTCAGTATCTTCTGCCGCGGTAGCCTCTTCATCGTCTTCGAACTCGACGTCGTCCTTCTCTACACTGATAATGCTCTGTTGCAGGAGCTTGAAAGCTTCGTCGACGAAGTTAGGGGTAACTTCGTCAACACAATTTGCCTTGGCGATCGCTTCACTGAGACGAATAAGCGACTCGAGCTGGCGAACAGTGATCCGGTACGAGTTGCGACCAATACCACCTTGCGCGTCGTCTGCTCGTAACTCCTTGTACTTCTGTACGAGATATTGTCTTGCTTGTTCAGTGAAGACCGGCTGAAAGAGACGTGCGAAGCGAATATATCGCTGTAGTTGTTCGGTGCTGAATTCTGGCTCAATGGCGTCGTCTTTCTTCTGGTGGAGACCTACGATATGCTTCGCAAGATGTTCGTCAACATCTTCGTTGCATTCATCGAGTACGACGTGAAACAAGTCGAAACGCGACATGATTGGAGCACTCATGTTGATATTGGCGCGCAGCGTTGTCTTTCGGTTATAGCGACCGCCAACAGGATTGGCAGCTGCAAGAATGGAAGTACGAGCATTCAGTGTTGCCTGGATGCCCGCTTTGGCAATCGAGATTGTTTGCTGTTCCATAGCTTCGTGGATAGCCACTTGATCCGCAATGTCCATCTTGTCGAACTCATCGATAGCGCAGATACCGTTATCCGCTAACATAAGAGCGCCTGCTTCGATAGTGAATTCGCCCGTCTCCTCGTCTTTGACCACGGCGGCCGTCAAACCAGCAGCAGAAGAAGCCTTGCCAGAAGTGTACACAGCCCGTGGTAGGAAAGAGCATACGTATTTAAGGAACTGAGATTTGCTGGTGGATGGGTCTCCGACAATGCAGATGTTGATGTCGCCACGCAGCGCCATGCCTTCTGGAGTAGTCTTGCTGACACCACCCATCATCTGCAGAAGCAATCCCTTTTTGACGATGGTATGACCATATACCATAGGCGCAAGCGAATCAACAAGTCTCATGTAGATATTGTCTGACTGTACCATGTCCCGCAGCTCGTCGATTTCTGCTGGAGTAAGCGTGTCGAGATACTCCTGCTGTGCCTTCTCGCCACTCACGCCATCAGAGCTGTCAACGTTTTGCGCGAGCGAGCTCATGAGGTTGCCAGCCTGGCCCTTCAGATTTTGGCTAGAATGCCGACCTTGTGTCGAAGTGTCAGGAGTAAGCATATTGGCAAGAAAGGCCATCCGGTAGGTGAGATCGCGTACACCAAGGGCCTTTAGTCCAGACACGCCGGCGCCTCCGGTATCAGAACCGCGTGGTGCTTGTGTGTCGCGAACGGCTTGTACTCTCATACCCGGGACTCTGAATTGGCTCACGTCGGGTACTACAATCAGAGTACCAGTGAATATGCATTTCTCTCCAGCCTTTGCACGATCGACCATTTCTCCTCGCAGGATGACTTCCATGGTTCTCGGCATGCTACCGGTCGGAATCTCGGAACTGTTCTCCTGAATCTTGACTTTCTGCCAGTCAATGAACGTACTCTGGCGAATGTCGAGTCGCCAGCCTTGCCGATTCCCGCATGTTGCGTTCGGGCACTGCGTCGGCTCCGAGTACTTGAAGATCTGCTCCACATCTGGTACGAGACTATTGCAGACTTCGCAGATGAATGTTGCCAGGTGGAGTTCGGGTCGAACTTCTGACGTCCTTGTCACTGTCCCGGAAATTGAGACCAGCTTGCCGATCTGTTCAGTCCTGAGCTGGCGCACTCGAGACACCAGAGGTAGGTTGTAGAAGGCAAGTGTAAATATCTTGTCCGTTTGTTGATTCGGGGTCTTGTCATTGAGATTGCCCTCATCATCCTCACTGATGCTCTGTGTAGCTTGCGACGTATCTGTTCTCGCGGTCGTGGAGCCAGGCTGTCTGTGCATGCGATAATACTGAGGCTCATACTTTGCAATGAGACTATTCAAGGCACGGAGCATGTATGGCTGAAAACGATAGAAGTCCCCCTGTATGGCGTTGGCGAGGATGCCTCGCTCGTGGTCCATGAGATGCGTGAAGTCGACATAAAGTGTAGACAGACCGAACTGCGCGAGGCCGTGAACTTGCGCAATGTAATACTTGTTTGTCGTCACTGCACTCGATATTGGCTGTGCTGATGGTGTAGGGTCTTCTGTGAAGTTCTCCAAGAAGCGTTCGAACTGTATGCCTAGTGTCTCTGCCGTCGTGTCGACAACTGGTGGTATATCTCCCGCGCCTGTTGCTGCTCGCCTCATGCCACGTCTTCCCACTACTTCGTCGTCTGCAAAGCCATCGATGTCGCTGCCCATGCCCGGTGTGCTGACCGATGGAGGCCCTCGAGGTGTACCCGTGCCTCTCGGTCGTGATGAAGAACGGGCCTGCCGTCTTCGCCCTGCAGATGCATCACTTCGTGGCTCTCGTGGAGTGGGCGCATTGTCGGAGCTCATAGCCATATCCATGATGGACGACATGATGATGGAGATGCTAGTGGTCTTGGTGAGGAGAGAAGAGTGTTGAAGCCAGGGAGCAGGGCGCGCCAAACAAACTTCAGCCTTCTCGCCTTGACGCGTCGCGACCACCACGTTGCCCACGCGTAGAGTGCGTACAGACGCTAGTGTCCATGAATCCCTGCATTATTTATCAGCCAAGCCTCCAGGGTCAAGGATCGCAAGATCGTCCCATTGTTCCTCCAAAGAGTCGAACCATTCATTATTCGACACTTTTTGAACACCGACTTGTCACCACTCCAATCCACGATCGATTGCTCCCCCAGTGCTCCGTCACGATGACTGCGACCACGACAATGACGCAAACAGCGTCACCATCTTCAGCAGAGAACATCTTGCGGCTGTTTCCCGAAATCAACACAGAGCTCGCAGCTCAAACCCAGTCCGCAACACAAGATGCCGACCTCGCTGGCTACGACGAAGAGCAGATCCGACTCATGGATGAAGTCTGCATTGTGCTGGACGACAATGATATTCCGATAGGTAGTGGCTCGAAGAAGATGTGTCATCTCATGGAGAACATCAACAAGGGATTGCTGCACCGCGCATTCTCCGTCTTCCTCTTCGATTCGCAGAATCGCCTTCTACTGCAGCAACGAGCCTCTGAGAAGATTACGTTTCCTGATCTCTGGACCAACACATGCTGCTCGCATCCACTAGGGGTGCCTGGCGAGACAGGTTCTACACTGGACGCTGCAGTCATGGGCGTGAAGCGAGCAGCACAGCGGAAGCTCGATCAAGAACTTGGCATCAAGGCAGAGCAAGTTCCCATTGAGAAGTTCAACTTCTTGACAAGAATACACTACCTCGCGCCGAGTGATGGCAAGTGGGGAGAGCACGAAGTGGATTATATTCTTTTCATCAAAGCAGATGTGGACGTAGTCCCAAATCCGAATGAAGTGCAGGCCACCAAATATGTGTCGCCAGGCGAGCTTAAGGCAATGTTCGCAGACGGCAAGCTTGCGTTCACACCATGGTTCAAGCTCATCTGCGAGAGCATGTTGTTCGAATGGTGGCAGCATCTGAACAGTGGACTGGACAAGTATCTGGGCGAGACTGAGATCAGGAGGATGCTGCCTGCGAACGTCACAGGTGCGCCAAAGCCTATCGTATGATCAGGGAACTTGTGCGGTGTCATTATGCTTGGGATGCATGGTTCAGGGACGTACACGAGCTGTTGAAGATACCAGAGACCGACAGAATCTCAAGCCATCGCGTGATGCCATGAATACCTATGAACATGAGCAGAATGTGACCGAATCTGATCATCTGAATTTTGAGGTGAGGTCTGTAACTCCTGCCATTCTGAACGCAGTAGCTCCTTCCATTCGCCCGCACGGCAGCCTCGAGGCTTGGATGCATATAGCGCATTAAAGTGTAAGAGGTACCTCTTAGTCGAGCTTCATTCAACTTTCACTGCTATAGTAAATGCGCATTCAGGCCAAACACCTGGCGATTGGCCTGTTGTTGTGCTCACGGGCGTGTCCAGCAACATGACACCCTTTGCGCAGCGACCAATGCCGTTACCGTCTGCAATCACGTACGGGAGAAAGCGGAGGAAGTTGATACCTCTGGCAGGAAACCACTTCATTCGATCAGATTCACTCAAAGTACCGCCTGATGACGGCGACGAGAGGCAAGATGTTCCGCGCCGTGTTGTCTGGGGCAAGGTATATTCCGCGAGAGAGCCAGATCCTGATGATGCGCCGCTTTCCGAAGACGAGCTTGAAGCAGTATACGGTCGCGATGCAGGTCCCACGTCCTCACCGCCCAGACACTTGCCTGCTGTCAGCGAAACAGGCCCCGAGTGCTACGCTGGAATGACTGTCACTCCGCCGAGGAGAAGACGCATCCCGCAGCCGACGTCTCGTGTGAGACGCGCGATTGCGAGCCTTCGTGCATCTCCAAGCAAGGCCTTCGATGCAAATACTCGGCGGAAGCGAATGATTCTCCAGACGACACCGACAATCAGTGATGACGGTAATATTCGTAAACAAGGTATTGCCAAGCCCACCCATCATGCCCAAATGGCCTCGCGGTCGTCAGCCATGATATCAGAGTCTTCCTCAGGCGGCAATATTCCAACGCTAGCTCCTTCGACAGCGGCGCAGAAAATAATACATCAGCCCTTGAGAAGCCTGCCAGTCAACGAGCTCCTCCTGGCGCGGTCGGTTCATCGTGCTGAAGTTACATGTGATCGTTCCAGCCCGCCTGGCGTAGATACGCAAGATACGATAGAGCCTAGCTCTACGGCAGTGAAGCGAGCGGCATCCGCAATCAGCGACGACGAAAATCCCCAACTCAGAGCTCCGCTGACTTCGATTCGAAAACGCCTCAAGACACTCAAGTCTGCCCACAAGTCTGTGGTGGCGTTGCGGAAGAAACGTGATGCTCGCAGCCCTTTCTCCAAGATTGCAGATAAAATTCTGAAGCCAGGAGATGGATTCGAGATATCAGAGCTCAAAATCGCCAATTCCGGGCTAGCAATTGAAAGGCGCCGAAAGTTCAAACCCCTTGCTCTTAGCTTTTCTGCTCTGACTATCAGCTCTGGACCACTACCTGATGTCCAATTCAAAGCGAGTAGCCCGGAATGCAGGGTGGAGCATTCGCGTGACGGCGATGCGTTTCTGGCAGACGATGAGCGAGCGGCTTCAGGGGAAGCCTCGCGCGAGAGTAACACTCCGGACGGACAATCACAACATCCGGGCGTGAGTTTCGGCAATCGTGTGCTAGACGACATGGTAGCGCAGCGATTATCTTCCGTCTCCGCTCCCAAGCGTGTCTATTCAATATCGTCAGACGATGAAGATGACGATGGCAAGGAAGATGACTGGAATCAGTCCGAAGAGGAATCAGACCCAGAAGCCGATGGACAGTTCACTGAACCCGACAAGATGCAGTCTCCAAATAAGAACCAGACGAGCATTAGGCACCTCTCCAGTCACTTCGTTCACCAGCAGGACTCGGCTCATTCCAAATTCTCTATTGAACTTCCTCGCAATTCTGGTGTGACACTCGACTTCCGCAAGCCTACTACGCCCGGCTCAGTGTCTGAAATATCATCTCGACGGCACCTGGTTGAAGTTGACGAGCGTATTTTCGATGGACCCTGTGCCAACGATCAGCCCGTGCCGCGTCAGATCATTGGTCGTGAGAGGGTGGAGCGGCCAATGAAAGTCACCAGGTTTGCGGAACAACAGGCGCCAGTGACACCGCATCGGCCGCGATCGATCTTAAGGTGTAAGCCTCCGATCGTTCAGGAGAGTGATACGGGAGCTGAGCATACGTCTACGAATACCAGACTGAACAGCTCATGTATATTACAAGAGAGTGTGTACTTTAACGCTACCGCAGATGAGCCAGTTGAGAGCAGTGAGCCATTGTCACCAGCTTACGAGACGGAAAGTGGGAAGTTCAACGACGCATTCGAGCTCGACCAGGGCCGCTATTTCAGCACCGCGGCGCGCATGCTTCGAGACCAAGCTCTTCATAGGCCGCGCGTCATCAAGCAGCGCTCGAGCGAAGCCCGGAGAGCCAGCTATCTCCGCCAGCGGGAAGGGTTTGTGCCTGGCAGTGATGCTGTCGTGCTCGAAACGTCCACTGCTGTGCGTGAAACCTCACCCGACCCACCGGACCATGCGGACTTCAGTAAAATGGACATCCCGAAGCGCACTTCGAGTACGATGTGCACTTCTAATCTTCCAAGAATCTCTCGAGATCTGAAGACCCTGACCAGGACGGTGAGTAAAGAGCATGGTACACTCAGTCAGTCTGTGAGGAGGAGGAGGCCGAGCCTGCCATTTCAGTCACCAGTGAAGCAGTCCACAGATAGCCACACGCACTGACTGAAGGTAAGGGTCGTCGTGCGGACAGTCTGACAGGGAGGAGAATGTGTTTGCAAATTTGGATTGGCATATGTACAACTACCTTAGGTACCTAGGTATTTCTGGTCGAGCAGCTTGCTGTCGTGTTATCTACCTGTAGCTCTAGCTCTTGCAATGTCAACTATCCCATATCTTTCGCCACATCAAGCAATGCCAGTGCAGTTTTATCTCCTCTTCTTCGCCGCTGTTCTTTCTCACGCCAGTGAAGCAACCCCGGAGAACCTCAGTATCGCTTTCGACGGCGTATCTAATCCTAATTCGGCAGTAAAAAGACCTGGCCAGCGACAAGCGACACATCCGAAACTGTTACAAGTACATACCTTACGTATATCGCGAACTCCGCCTCCCGGGAAGTCTGTCTTCTTAAGGTGGGCGTTGGGATCTCTTCTTATCAGTCAGGTGGGTGCTGACGGAGGGGAAGTGAGGTGGAGGTCATCGAACTCAAAAGAAACCTGAAGTGTGTTTAAGGTAGCGTGTAGCGTGTGTGAAGGTAAGGTACGGAGGTACCTTACTCTGGAGAAACTTGAACTTTGCACCCTTTCCTTGTGCACCTGGTGCTTTTTGTCCAGAGCCACCGAAAGCATAAAGGTCAGGTGTGAACTGGGGCCGTGCTGGTCATACGTCCTTTCCGCAGCCGGCCTTACCTCCGCCGCCTACCTTACCTTCGCCGTTCGCCTTATCTCCGCCGCCGGCTTTGCCTATGGATCCGTTGATCATAGCAAAGCGGAACGGGGCAAAGCTTCGAAGCGGAGACGGACGGCAAGCCGAACGCTTTCACTGTTACTGGTGCACTTGTTGAATGACCATTCTGCTTCCAGGGCTCTATCTGTGGGGATTTGACAGCAAGCACCCACCGGCTTGGACAAATGCATCCGCGTCGTGTATTCGGCAATGCAATTGTCGGGGCTCTGCGGATTGCGGTTCGTCGCTTTGCAGAGCGCCTTTCGCTAACACCTAGCCGTGTTTCGGGATTTCCGATGAATTCCCGTTTGTAATTGTCGCAGGACACACCGAGTCGGGACCCTTCGGACGGGAGTTCAGGACCCTGGGAGGGAGAGTTTGTGGTAGGCTCACAAGCTCGAAAGCTTAGATTCCTCCCCTTACCCACATATGACCGCAGGGACATGAAATACTGACATTGCACATCACTCGCATGGAAATGCTGAGTGCTTGAAAGGATGTCGGAAAGCCCGGCTGTAGCGCACCTCTGTGTTGCTCGCTTTTGTTGCGTGGTAATCGCTCCCTGGGCCTGCGGAGTGTTTTTGTTACCTCAAATCTTGACTCCCAAAGTTAGGACCCAAGGAACCTCCCCCAGCTTCTTTGGTTCGTGCTGTGCATACTTTTGCAAGATCATGCGTCTCTTGTACGCTTGGCTCATGCTCCATCCGCGGCGTTCCACCTCAGAGGGTATAAGTTCTCTCTTTTCTCTCTCTCTCTTCTTCTTCTCTTCTTTCTTCTCATCATTCCAAACTGCATTTTGACCAAGCCCAGCTTGTTCATCCAACCACAACAGCAACAACAACAATAACAAAAACAACTAACGGTAAGTCTTTCTCCACAGCCTCACAGTCTCTGCACTCATCAGAGCATGGTCGTCATCCTTTGCACTTCGCTAACGCTTGCCACAGACGAAGCACAAGATGTTCTTGTGCACAGAGAGATGGGGTGGCTACAGGCCAGACTTTGCGGTGATTCACTCGCATAAGTACGTACCTCCTCTCACCGCATGCATATCAACGTCTGCTGACCCTGCTGTGCAGTGCTCGACTCTAGTGGTATCAGCATTATCGCGGCAGATACCGTGCCTGGCGTGCACGCCACCGCAGCAGCTAGGTGCGTCTCGAGTTTTCTCTTTTGTTTGTGGGTTTTGGCGCTTGGCGTTTGGTTTTCTTTTGTTTTTGGGTTTTGGCGTTTGGCGTTTGGCGTTTGGCGTTTGGGTTCTTTTCTTTCTGGGTTCTGGCGTTTGGCGTTTGGCGTTTTTCTTTTTGGGTTCTGGCGTTTGGCGTTTGGCGTTTTTCTTTTTGGGTTCTGGCGTTTGGCGTTTGGCGTTTTTCTTTCTGGGTTCTGGCGTTTGGCGTTTGGCGTTTTTCTTTTGGGGTTCGGAGAGGTTGTATGGCTTGAGCCTGGGGCAAAAGAGTCGGCCCCCGAGGTCAGATCAAGAGGGGGGCGCCGCGCGACTGGCAGGCACCTTCTCGTGGTGCGCGGTGTGAGTAGCCCATTGGGTGAAACCAAGACCTGCCTAGGTACCTTTGTGTTGTGTAGTCTTACCTTCTTGCTTCCCACTTGCCATCCTATTGCCGTTCAAGACTCGTTTTTGCGCACGCATGGCGACTGTCTTCTCCAATCCTGCCTCCTCTCCATATATCTTTTCTTCTCCACATCCTGTCTCCCCTCCATACTATCCTTTCTTCTTTCCACACTAACTTCTTTCTATACAGTCTTTTTTCCATACAGTCTATTCCCCATACAGTCTTTTTTCCATACAGTCGTTTTCCATACAGTCTTTTTCCATATAGTCTTTTTCCATACAGTCTTTTTTTCCACATGATCTTTTCTGCTCTCCATACTGTCTTATTTCCATAGTCTCTCCTCCACATAATCTTTTCTGCTCTCCATACTGTCTTATTTCCATGCTGTCCTGTCCTGTAGTCTTTGTACACGACCTTACCTTAGTGACAAACTGTACGCAAGTATGCCACCATGATTACTGTTGTCCGAGCAGACACGCTACGCTGCTGTCTCCTGCTGCCCATCTCTTTCTAGCCCGCCAGCTCCCTCATCAACTGTCGCATCTCCTGCCTGTGCCTGGCGAAGCTGATTCTGCGTCAATGTGCTGATGCAAGACTTCGAGGCGCGCGGAACCCCTCCAGTCGTTCCATCGTAGAGTCATCACCCTCGCCACGTGTTCCGAACGGCAACCTCTTCGTCTCGCCCTCTTCACAGCATGGAAGTACGTCGAGAAGGATCCGCGGGATGCGAGATCTCCGATGACTAAGCAGACATAAAAAGTTCCAGCAACTTTCGCGACATGCAGCAAGCAACCCGGTCAGACACATCCGATACATCTGGTCATGTCTAAACGAGAACGGCAGGAAGATGGCGGCGAGAGAGCGCCAAAGAGAGCGCGGGCTGAGCACCAGCCAGCGCAAGTGTTCGAAGTCGAATATGCGCGAGACCTCCAGCGATATCTCGTCTTTCGCCAAGATGCAGAGCAACAGCAACTGCTGAACGGCATTGCATCCTTCAAGGCATTCCTGGAAAGCATTCTCTATCACAAGGCAGAAGAAGATCGAGGGCGACAAATTTCGATTTTGCGAGAATACTTGGAATCGCAGAAGCCGGCCGATCCCAAGGACACGGAGCATCCATTTCTCACGCAACTCTGGCAAGCCTGGTCTTTTGCCAATCAGAGCAACAAGGACTATCTGGCGTCCAGAGTATGTGCTGTGCTCGCGCTTCTGCTCCGAACGCTGTCTGGTATCCTCGATCTCCGAGACTATGGACTCTTGTTATGCCGGACCGTATTGCAGCATCAGCACCTGCGGCTGGTGAAGCGATGCTTGGACGGGCCTAAGCACAAAGACTTCATCATCTCGCCATCATTGAGACTGCTGATCGAGGTCACCACTTTCGATGGCGGTGTTCTTGCACGCGAAGTCTACAAGCGCCGAGAGCACACATTCGATGTGGCCACGATTCGTCGAAATCTGGGCCTGGTCAAATTTGACATGTCAGAGGATGAGGCTCGCAAGAAGCCTTCGATCCGCATCTTGACGGTCAGGTACATCTTGGCTTTGTTCAAGTATCTGCATGAAGGAGGGAAATCGGACATTCTCAAGAACAAGCCTATCTGCAATGCGCTCTTCCAGTTCATCCACAACGATCCTGCCGACATTGTCTCGGAACTCCTTGCCACAGTGGAGCAGAACGTGCTCAAAGACGAGAGTGTGCCTCGTCACTTGAAAGCTGCGCTGTTGATTCCGCAGAATCTCGAGCGGGTAACTGCAATTGCCACTCGAACTGAAGGACACGCTGCTGCCGATCGAGCATTCACCTGGCTGCACTCAGTCTGTAGCAAAGAATCGTATGGCATCCTGAGGCAGAGTGGCTGGTATCCTCCGGGAACTGCAGAATCGCATTCCAAGCGATCGAATGTTAGCATGGACCTGGGACTGGATAGCCTGGAATTGCACGACTATGGTGAACCTATTGACGTTCGGAATACCACTTTATTGGCATATGTTCTCACACTACGAGCCCATTGCGACGAGCGAGAGCGCGAGCTATTACTCAAATGTTTCACCTCTGCGCCAGAGTTGGTCGCAGCGTACTTTGCGAACAGCAAGCTACAGCTCGACCCAAAGCTTTCCAATACTTGGATTGGTTATGCATCGCTCATATTTGAGGTCGTCAGCCTCAAAACGCCTGTCAACTTCGGCGTGAGGGACGAGTCTCTTTCGAATCCGCCGCAGACCATCATCATGATTGAGAATGTGCTCCCCAAGCCAATCACTTTACAGGTGTTGAATCGCTGCCTGAGCCAGAATGAAGACCTCATTACGTTCTTCGCAGTACGGCTTCTCGTGGTATCGCTACAGAAACTCAGGAGCGTCCTGAGATCATTGCATCAGGGCCCCGAGCATCAATTATGGCAAGAAGCGAAAGACCGACTCATCGAGCGATTTGTCGACAGATCGCCAAAATTGAAGGATGTACTTGCAGTCTTTCGCAAGATGTCCCATGATGACCACTATGCCATGCAGAGAGAGGCTGTAACGAGATTGATGAGACTGTACTACGAGATTATACCGGTTCAAGCGCTCGAAGAGCCGATCGACATCTCCAATGCGCTTACTGCTGCTCTGCTGCGCAGCGAAGAGCCTGTAATTAACGCGCATGATGAGACTCGGGGACTTCGCGAGCTGGAGCTGGAACATCTGCTGAGTATTGCCAAATACAGCACCGGCATGCGTTGGTTTCATAAACAGGGTGGGCTAACCTTGTCGCCTGTTGTCACGTTACTGCGACTGCACCGGAGAAATGTGGACAACATCGAGATACGCTCGCTTCTGTCTGATGTGTTAACAGAGCACGGAATCTTGAATTCTGTGGCTGGAGTCGACCAGGCGTCTCCGTTCGATGCCTTGCTCGGTAGTGTTCTACAGCTGGCAGATGACGATGCTGCATGGGCGTTCATTGATGACTGCCTCGGCCGTGCTACACGCAAACCTGTGAAATACGTAGACGACCTCGAATCAATTCGCGACATGAGCTCGACTGAAGCTGACCGGATACTGCCAAGTGTGCTCGCTGCTGTTGTACTCGAGCAAGCGACGTTTGTCGCTGCAAAGACGGACGGAAAGGGGCAAGCTGAGGCAGCGTGGCTTGTGCTATTCCTCGCCATTCTTCAGATGACTACCGACGCAGGAGATGTACTGCAGACTTTGCTCACACGGAGTACGAAAGTCTTGGGAACGCAAGCGACTATCCACAAGGACCGGGCGCCTGAGCTTCTGATGTCACTCAAGGCAAGTTTACCAAAACGAGACCGCGAGGTCATCGAAGTAAACCCGATCGCAGAGCCGCACCTACCCTCCCTCGGCTTTGAATCTCCACCCATCGAGCGTGACAATCATCCCGAGCTCTTCCGTTGGGCACAGAAGGATATCGATCTCGCGATCGAGGACGGTGACATATCTGCTCTGGTGCTCTGCCTCTGCTCTCGACATGATGAGATTCGACGTCAAGCCCTGATGCAGATCAATAAGGCCAAACTCCAGCTCCGCCCGCAACAGACAATCGATCCCGAAAACATCCAAGATGATCACGCGCACATATCTCTGTTACTCGGGGAGCTGACCGAAACGTTTGAGCTGCATTATCTTACCCGCGACAAACCTCTTCCATACATTGCTGGTACATTTGCAAGTCGGGCGCTGGCTATCCAAGCACAACCCTCACACTTCCTCTATGCCAAACTGAACCAATTCTTGATTCGAGGTGCGAAGTGGGATGTAAAACGCCTGCCCCGGTACTGGATTGAGCAGACTTTCTTGTCCGAACCAGAAGATGATGATTCGTATTGGAAGGAAGTGCAATGGGTACTCGACTGGCTCGTTGACGGCTTGCGCACTCCCGCAGATCTGGAGATACTGAGGAGAGGCGATCAAAAAAAGGACGCAGCGAAAAGACCTGACATTATGGAAATGATCATGGCGGTATGGGCCAGTCCCGGTGCCGACAGGAATCATCACTTGAGAGAAAGAGTTGCCGAGCTGGTGTATCGGGCTAGTTGTGTCGAGGGCGGGAGCGATGTGCTTATCACGAGGAGTGGCGTTTTCAGTTGGTTGGATATGGTGAGTAAGGACAGCAGCTCGACGAGTGTGGTGGCTCTGTCGCACAAAGTGCAGAGCAGCTGTGAGAGGGAGAGGATTGGGGCTTGGAAAGGCTTGAAGATGTTGGCGTGAGGTTGCAATATACGTGAAGACTAACGTGATCACGGTCAGCCTTCTGATCGACATCACGACGCATGGAAGCTCTAGCCTCCCGCATTTGCGGGGAGACGGCAGTTGCTCACGCTTGCAATGACATTTGCCATAGTTCACCACGTGTCACAATACCATTTTGTTTTCACTCTACTACCTGTATTTGGGGAGTGAGCGGTGAGATATGACAGAGCCGCGCTTGTCGCGGAGCCGCAATGTAGATCTGCGATGACGAGAGGTGAGGTTAGGTACCCTAGGTACATTAGGACAATTAGTAGGCTGGGCTGGTAGCTGTAGCTGTGATGATGATGATGATGTCGCTGGGTGTCAGGTGATTACAGGCAGACCGCCTGGGGAGAGATACCTGTACCTCCGTAGCTTGATACGTCCTACATGAGGTACAGAGATACATATAGCAATCCGACTGCATGCCCCCTTTTCCGAGAACCTGTTCGCCATGTCCCGATGCCCCGTCTCCTGGACATGATGTTTCAACACTGCCTTCATTCACTGGCGAACCCTGCAGCGGGGCCTTACTGCCTTGGCAATGACAAAGTGGACCCCGCTAGACCCAGTTCTCGTCCCTCTCGGCCACTGAGCAGCCCACGCCGTCCAACGTCAATGTCGCAGCCTCGCTTTCACCTCATCTCACTCCCCAACAATCCACTTGCCACTCCCACCAAGGAGAAGACGAAGCCGCTCTACTCGAACAACACAAGCACAATGCCACCCCCCGCTCCGCCGCAAGAGCAGCATCTCGATCAAGCCAAGCTAAAAGCCTTCGAGAATGCCGCTGCTGGTCACGACGGAGTGCTATTAGACGAGTCCGGGGAGCTGGTTATCAAGCCCTGTACCGACGCCGAAGTAGCCTTTTATCAGGAATCGCTGAATTTTCACCCCAAATTCTACGAATTGATGCCGACTTTCATGGGAACCTTGACTCTGGGCGCGCCTACGATTCCGCCCGATATAACAACTGCAACCACCCACGAACCGGAAAAGGAACTGTCCCAGGAGCAAAAAGATAAAAGCCTTTTGCATGGCCAGGCACTCGATACACAAACGGCCATTGTCCTTCAGAACCTCGAAGCCGGGTTCAAGCGGCCGAATGTTCTCGATATCAAGCTAGGCGCGACATTATATGATCCCGCACGAACAGCGCCAGAAAAAGCAGCACGACTGGACAAAGTAGCAAGCGAGACAACAAGCGGATCTCTCCATTTCCGCATCGCGGGCATGAAAGTATGGAACGGCAAAACCTTTGACATTTACGACAAATTCTACGGCCGCAAATTCCAGCCCCACAACATCCAAGACGGCTTTGCCACTTTTTTCTCAGGACTCTCCACAAGCAGCGTCTCCAAAAGCGACGCTCGCGATCTCCTCGAAACCATTCTCGCCGAAATCACCAAAGCTAGACATAGTCTCGAACGATCCGAATCGCGCATGTACAGCGCCAGTATCCTCATCGTGTACGAAGGCGACTCAGACGCGCTCGACAATGTGATGGGAACTCCTCCCAAGACTCCACTGGTGGATGAACGTGCTCCGACGACTCTCGAGCTGAAGCAGAGTATTGCCGAGGAAGAAGAAGAAGAGGAAGAAGGGGAGGAGCGGCCGACGACGCATTGTGTGAAAATGATTGATTTTGCTCATGCGGCGTGGACGCCGGGTCAGGGAGCTGATATGAATGTCATTACGGGCTTGCAGAATGTGGAGGAGCAGATGGATGTGTTGATTGCGAGGTTTGAGTGAGTGGAGTTATAGATGAATAAATGAATTGAAATAGAGAAATTACTCTTTACTTGACTTGTTTATATCGGGAAGTCAACTACCAACATTGGTGAATACCCTTGTCTGATGGAGGTTTGGAGGGATCTAGATAAGGAAGGTACAGGTAGTCTTGATGATGTATTGTATATACCAAGGACAAGGATAAGGAGAAGGTGTGGGAGAGAGAGAGAGAGAGAGCGCGCGTAACAAACCCCTTCATTCAATCGTGAGGATACAACCAAAGGCATCGCATCCAACACGCCTGATTCCTTACGTTAAATAATACACAATGGCCATTTCCACAAAAATACCTCGTGTTGAAGTCACTACTACCTCCTCCTCCTCCCCCTCCTACTACTACTACAACAACAACGATAAGTCCCGAACGAGCGAAACGCTCGTTCGATCTTGAGAGAGAAAATGTACTCCGTCAACGACCTCATCCCGAATGAATACGGGATTCTCCCCTGACCCTCACTTATACAACACAACACACAAAAGCGTAAGCCATAAACCAAAAAAAGTGAAACGCCCCAGTTGAGTTGTAGAATCCGTGGGGAACCTGTGTAGCCAACTCGTCCTTTCTGATACAAGATTCCGCGTCTCGGATAGTGGGTTGCTGAACTCTTGTGGCGCTCCACCCAAGGTCGAATGGACTGTCAAATTTACTCCCAGTCAAAGAATCTCTTCGTCATACGGCACACTAAGGAAAAAGGTACGTGTCAGTGGGTCTGATGGTTGAATGGCAAAGATGGATGGAAAGAAAGAATCTCAATTGGCTGGACATACTTTGGGAAGCCTTGCATGCCCTCGTTGGGCCGGCGTGTAGTCCGAGCGAGTTGGTGATATGGTTCAGGCCAAAGACTGGCATTGGCATAGCGGCTGCGGAGGAGGCCATGGCGGCGACGACGATTGCCTTGAAGAAATGCATGGTTCTGGTTCGAAGTGGGTTTTTTGGTGTTTGGGTGATTGGAGAGACTGATGACAACGACAGGTTAGGGTCCAAGACTATACACGTATTAAAAGGAGCCAAGCAGTCGTGCTGCAACTTACGAGTATTGGAGATGGTGTTGGAGCAAGTGAAATTCGCGTGTTGAATGAGTGTGGGTAGCGTTCTGCCTGAATGAGCGTGGGTGGGAAATCGATGTGACAGAGGAGGCGAAGCAAGTCCAACATCGTGGAGGTATATATCTGCCGTCTGGCAGCGACGATAGCGATACTCTGGCCTGTTCGCGGAGATTAGCAGCAACATAGAATACCTGGGGGCTGGTGATTATTCGATAATAGCCTGCAAGGCCTGAAAGTTAGTCAGCCTGTCGCCAATACCAAGTGAGATGGATGTGAGTGGTCGTCTGCCAACAGGGTTCCGAGGCATGCAGGAGAACCCAGTTGTTTGTATACAACAAGCTACAGTATGCCCTAGTGCTACCGCTCGGACAGTTGGAATCTCGATTCGGCATGTGACATCTGGTGAGCACTGAGCGCCAGGATGGCAACAGTCTGGCCTCGAAGAAGCGTACTCACGGTAGGCCAAGGCGAAGCCAGTGAGGTGATCTGGGAGAGATGTATAAAAAGCCATTGGACTAAGAGAGGCTGCCACCAGATTCGCAACAACTGCGGAATCATTGTCTGATCAAGCCACAAGGCATCACGGTTCGTCCTCCGGGCAATGTTGGTGGAATTCCAGCAACTCGTCCAACGTGGTTCACTGTCCGCTTCGAGGTGCCACATCCTGGACAGACCAACAGAATGGCGCGATAGTAGGTCCATGTACCTGGCATATGAGTTCTGCCGCTTCTCCTGATGAGGAGTCCGGCATCAGGTCTTTTTTCCCTTTGCGATAGGCCTGGGCCGCCTGGCTGACCAAAAGGGAGGGTCCTATTGTGGCATGATTGTAGTGAGTAGTGACATACTAGCAGCAGCAGCAGTGATCCCGTCAACAACCAGTATTGGCAAATAGATAGTATGATTGGGCATTGAAGGCTAATGTGTATTGGACAGCCTTTAGATGAAGTGGTTGTTCCAGCAGGAGAGTGAGAGTGTGAGAGTCAGCAGGCAAGTTGAGGCTCCAGCTACCTGACTGTGGAGGTAACTGCCAACGTGGCATATAAGAACCAATAATCTTGGCGCGCCCACAATACCAACGGAATGGCTCAATGAGGCTTCAATAACTATCGCCCATGTCGCTACTGAAATACCAATTCTTCCGCATTCAGCGCCGATCGCAGAGGAGTAGTACACGCAGTATAGGTACCATTGATGTTAGGGGCTCTCCTTACCTACCGAATCATATGCTCTTCCCAACAACCCGGCATGTCCACCAGACGGGTGAGAGTGACCTGTGATTGTATATGCCTACCTCACTATTGGTATGAATGTAGTAAGGAGGTGTCGTTGAAGAGTATAATCTGACCACCCGACCGAAGCCATACCGCAGTCTGCGCTGCTTCTTTTGCCACTTTTGCTTCTACAAGCTTGACATCCACTCTTTCAACTATTTCCTACCAATTGAGTCTTCCGAGTGGAAACTCAACTCTCACTTCAACGACATTCATAGATATAGTCTTCTTCGTCTTCTGATGTAGTACCGACGCTCTCACAGTGTATATCTTCTTACTCAACTGTGTGCACATTGGTGACATTGCTTCACCAATATGCGCTCATGACAGCCCAGCCCACCCATGTTGCAACTTGCAAGTCAATTTAAATAATAAAAGCTTGCGGCAACCCGAAGCCCACAGGGTACCAGAAATTCATATAAAATCTTGCTCCGGGCGAACCCTCGTGAGACATGGGCATAGCTACCTGGTATGCATGTGGGGTATTCTTTTCTTTCCTGTCGCTGGTGAATCATCGGTGTGAAAAAGTCTGTCTCCCCCTTTTTTTCTTTTCACACCAGGAGACAGACGGTCAAGCACGCTCACGTCGCGGATAGTGGCGGGTATTGAGTTGACCTTGACAATGGGTACTTGTTACTTGTTACTTGACATGCAAGAAGGCGGTACTACATTATTGATGAAAAGACTTCCAACGTGAAAGATGAACCGACTGTAGATAAGGTAGTACAGACGCTTAGTAAGATAAGGGTGTAGGAGAACTAGAACTATTCAGGTTGAGTGTCAGTGTCAGTGTCAGACTGTCAGGCCAGGGCTAGCCTCCCTCCAGACCTCTTCCATCTTGCGCTGCGTCTTTATCATCACTGCTCTCATCTTCTCATTGCGGCGCGTATGTCCATTAATACTCCGCGAATCCGCCATGTCACCGAGAAAGGACGGCGGGGAGTCTCTCGCCCGCCTTGGGCTCGCAGTCTGATGCAAAGACTGTAGCAGATGGACGCCGCAATGAATTTCACGACTGGTCTCTCCTCCTGCAACGGCATAGTCGTCTTCAGAGAAGGGGCATCTCAGCACAGGTCTTGGTCCGTCAACGATGAGAGTGTACGGCGTCATACGAGCGAGTAGACTGTTCGCATTCAAGTTTCTCGTCGTTGGGTCGGACGGACAATTCTGTGTGCACTTGTTGTGGTTTTGACCTGCCTCAGGCAGCCAGAAAAAACCCCCGCGGCCATTGCTCCGAATATTGTCCTGGAATACATTTTTGATGACTTGAGCAGAAGATACTTGTTGGCAGAGCCCAGAAGAAAGAAAGGAAGAAAAGAATAAGAAAGGACAAAAAAAGGAATATAGCATAGCCTCTTGCTTCGGGTCACATCATCTGGTCGGGTTTTCTGGTGATCAGTTTCTTCGGAGATCGCTTGAGTCAAAATATCTCGATAGCATAGCCGCAAGAAATCTCATGGGCTTGCTGAAAGTATGGTGATCCCGGGTCTCCAGAGACGAACTGGCAAAAATCATTCTATGTCATTTGGGCAGGCTATCAAGGCATCCTGGCAAGACTTATGAGATCAGATAATCCCAAGTCTCGGGAAACGCACTGCACTACCTAATGTGTATGTCGATGGGTTTGGTACATCATCAGCGCAGCAACCAACGAGGTCTGGAAGCGTTAGAAGAAGGAAGCATCGCGTCTGGTCTTGGAGGTTCAAGTCCAGTCCATTCTGACTGGGCTGTGTTGTATCGCCAGCGCTGCAGTCACATCAGTTCTAGAGGCACCCGGGCCTTCCAGATCGCCACTTCTTCGTCGCCTTTTCACCTGACTCCTCTACGGCTTGACCCTTCCTTGGCGCTTCTTCCGGGCCACATCTTCGGTCCAGGCAATGCAAGATGCACAGGGGGAAGGCGCATTGGCCTGCATGCCAAGCTGGCTCAAGGCAAGCTGGACTGCCCTCTCGCAGTCATTCACACACTTCTGCTTCCATCCTACGACTGGTAACAGTCCCAACAGCCCGTCCCAGTCCGAATGTCGAGGCTTTTCGGTGCAGGTGTGCATACTAAGCTGAGAGCCAAACTTCTGAGGAGACGGAGGCTCTGAGAGCGAATGTACATATTTCGGAAAAATATGTTCGAACACAATCTTCACATCGCTCAGCTTCAGTCCACACTTGGTTGAATGTCCGAGTATGAACAGCGAGCATTTCCGGTAATACGCCTGCTTGCTACCAGTCCACTTAATCTTGTTGGTGTCTCCGGTAAAGCGCTTGTCGCCGAAAGGGATAGGGAGAGCGCCGTCAAGCTTGACGAGAAGTGTCGGGCGGAAGATCGATGGTGTCCCCTGCACTATCCTTTTCGGATGAGTCGCAACCTGCACCTGCGCATCTTCTGAGGTGTCGCCATCTGGAATCTTTTTGACAACTTCTGAACTTTCTGGTAGAGGTCGGCCCACAGCGATTGCTCGTGTGGTTGGTGCGACTAGTGAACTGTGTGGCTTGCCTACCGGTTTTTCGTATTCCTCCTCACTTGAATAGAGACCGTCATGCCTTCGTCCACCAAAGACTGAATCCTGCCTTGGCGTATTTACATGCAGTGCCTGGCTGTGGGCGGACTTCCCAGACGAGTCCTTGGCAGCAGGTTCAACGCTCCTGCTATATCTGGGGACCACTCGATCTGGTACATCCATCTCGTCTGGAATGTGCAACTGGTATTCCGAACATTTCTCGAGGATGCGCTTGTCGGTGTAAGATCTGGCAAGAAGCTGCTGGTGGGTTGGTCCATAGGTCACGCTCTTCTGAGGTACGAATTGTGGCTTTATGCGACGGCGAGCTGGCGGCTTTTCTGGTGGCCCATCTCCAAAGACATCGACCTCACCGCCCGAGAATTTCTCATACCAACTAGCATCGTCGTCCATCCTGCTGGCTGTGTTGATGGGGATGTCCATGCTGTAGCTGAAGGTCGTCTGTGACTGTCTTTAGTATGAGGAAGTCAGAAGCGGTGTTTAAGTTGAAGACGCGGAGTCGCAAGACGAGTCTGATATCGTAGTCCACCCGCGATGTGTCGTGAGCACGTGCGGATCAATGCTGAGCGCCTCCATCCCTCACTGTCACCAAGTGAAGCAGAGAGGTGAGGTGACCAGTCTACATACCGGACCATTCGGGCCTTCACCAGCAGATTCGATCGGGTGCTCTCAGAGGTCTGAAGTTGGTGGAATAGATACGCTGGATGAGATCCTGATGACGCTCAGGGACCATTTTGCAACGGCAGACGATGGAGTTCACCCGCATGAAGTAGACGCAGACCGACCAACTCACGGGACGAAGAAACGACTGGCGACTTGTCGCGGCGGACGACAGCGAACACTGCAGAACGTCGAAAATACCGGGCTCGTGTACGTCAAATCAGACTGAGCAGAGAGTGCGGCGTGTGAAACAGAGGAAACGTGCGAGTGAAGCCCGGTGCCTTAGGGGGGGGGCCACTGCGGGAATGCCAAGCTATTGCTTAGTGCGCTAGTAGTATATGGCACTCATTTTCGACACCCACTGCAAGGCTCCCCCTACCCACCACTACCAACAACACCGACCGAGAGAACGCACTCACAGCATACCTAGCTACCAGCGCTCCCACATCCACCTCGACGCATCGACCAGACATGTCGTTACCACCACAGCAACCGGCGCTTCGGCCAGATTCGAATATGAGCATATCGTTATGCGGGATGTGCGGCCAGACATGCTATTTCGTGGATAGCACTTGGATCTACGAGTGCACCTGCAACAACTTCGACTTCAACCTCCAAGGACCGCAGCAGAGCAACTACGTGACTCCTTCATTTCCACAGATGCCGCAGACTCCACAGCACCAGCAGAGATGGCAAATACCACAGATGCCGCAGACTCCACAGCACCAGCAGAGATGGCAAATACCACAGATACCAAAAACACCACAGCACCAGCAGAGATGGCAAATACCACAGATACCAAAAACACCACAGACACCGCAGAGATCGCAGACACCGCAGACACCAGCGACACCACAAATGTCACAGCACAACATGACTTATCACATTCCGCACTCTTTGCAGCATGAATTTGCTAAGCAGACCTCTGTTCGGGATATGTTCGCGTCGGGATACGGACTACCACAGGCAGTCTATGGTGCAGGCCCATCGCAGCCTCATCTCCAAGACCCATCTATCATCTTCAACAGCCCCGCGCTGACGAGGACGGCGCCGCAGGCTGTTGGCAGTTATGGACCTAGTTCAGTCTCGCAATTAGCGGCTGTCGAGTCGCAAAAGATTTGGGACGCACAAGGCAATGCATTGCATGCCCAGCTCAGCCACGAAGCACGAAACGTTCCGGCGAAAATGCTAGGCAAAAATCGCATGATTTGCTGCCTATGTCACAGAGAGTCACCCATTCGCCCCGCGAAAAATGATGGCATCCACTGCACTACATGCTTCAATCGGCGCCTGTCCTCCGGCCAACAGCTCTTGACCCTCCAACGGCAACGCGAGCATAACACGAAGCAGGCAGCCATCGCCGCCGCCAAGCAACGGAAGGAAGCCCTCATCAACGGCAATCCGACTGCCGCACAGTGCCTTGCGCCGTACGAGCCCGCCAACAAGAGAGTGAAGCTGTCGCCTTCCATGCCGTCGCAGTCTCAGCCCACTCAGGCCTCCCAATGGTGTTCCAACACATCGCTGCAGCCCGCCGAGCTGTTGAGCACGAACGGCGCCTTCTTTGGACAGATGCTACTGCCCGCTGAGCCGACCAGCACGAACACCGCCTTCCATGGACAGACACTACCGAATACCACCTTCCATGGACAGTTCCTACCGTCCGCCGAGCCGTTCAACACGAACAGCACCTACCAGGGACAAATCCCACCGTCCGCCGAGCTCAACATGAATAGCATCTTCCAGCGACAAACCCTACCGCCCGCCGAGCTGTTCAGCACGAACACCGGCTTCTATGGACAGCCACTACCGAAGACCGGCTTCTATGGGCAAACCATACCACCCGCCGAGCTGTTCACCACGACCACCGCCTTCTATGGACAGAGACTATCGAACAACGGCTTCCATGGACAGACCCTACCGCAGGCACCGGCAGCCATAAGCGCTCAGCACTCGTTTTCGGCACCGAGTTCACACCAAAGCTCATCCGCTGGTTCCAGCCTCGTCGAGCCACTGAGAAACCACACCACCCCGAAAATACCTACTTCGATCTCACACAAGCGGAGCTACTCAAAAAATCGGGAATTTGTCGGCCGGGGCAGCACCGCCTCGCCAACCCCTGCTCCTAAGCCCTTGAAAATTCAAGAAGCCCTGAAGAGGGCTCGTCCGATTTCAAAAGTAGCCATACCCGCACGCCACACGGCAATCAGAACGCCGGCAGTCAGCACGCCAGCACTGAGTACGCCAGCACTGAGTACGCCAGCATTTAGTACGCCAGCACTCAGTCTGCCAGCACTCGGTACGTCAGCACTCGGTACGCCAGAAGCCGTTGTCCCTGCACCAAATACAGCCACCATCGCGTCAGATACAATCGCCACCGCGCCAGATGCATTCCTCACTATGTCAGAGGCTGTCGTCGCCATCTCAGACACAGTAGAGCTAGGAATGTACCCGGAGCATCCCGAGACGAGACTACGTCGCGAATCGAGGGAGCAGGAGTCGAGAGAGGCCGAAGATGACGATGAAGAGTTTGAAAGGATACTGCGTCAAGCATTGGAGGAGATGGACTAACAGGATGTGGCCTAACAGGATGTGGCCTAACAGGATGTGGCCTAACAGGATGTGGTCTATGGCGTTGGGAAAGACGGCCTGACAGGATGTGGTCTATGGCGTTGGGAAAGACGGCCTAACAGGATGTGGTCTATTAGCGATGGATACGACTTGATGTGTTTTTCCGCTTTCTTGTAGCCAGGGTCCATTCGCACAGTCCGGCAGTGTGCCAGGCGGATCCTTGCTTAGATACACTGTCACAGAAGCCTGTACTACTTCATCCTCACTTTTTTCAATCACTGTGACCCGATTATAAGTTCACCATGCCATTCCTGGAGCTTTACACGTTGCGAGACCTTCACAGCGCCTACGGCACACTCTTGATCGGCAGTCTCGCCATTATGCCCGAATTAGTGTTTAGAAAGCTCGTGTTATGCCAGGGAACTCTACTGATTTGAATTGCTTTGTCTATACTCTTTGTCTACACAACCACTCTTTGTTATAAAAGTGTTGTACCTCTCACAATGCGATTATGTCCAGCGTGAATATCCCAAATCACTCAGCATTAGGCAGATGGAGGCTCTTGTTATCGACGCAGTCGACACGTTATTTATATTGAATATCAAAGATAAGTATTCTTTCGACACAATGAACATAATATCTTCACTTAACGCTCCCTTCTTCGACACATTCCTACAAGTTTTATAAAACGCGATAGATATAAACACCTATTCACCTTTTAAATGCTCGATATACTCGACAACTTACGTCACTTACATACAAAGTCATTCGAAGAAGAAGTGAGGTTTGTTCGACCTAGTCTAAGGACCAAGTCCTAGATATATAACGAAGATCGACCACCCTACTCGAACGAAGATCGACCACCCTACTCGAACGAAGATCGACCATCCTAGTCGAACGAAGATCGACCACCCTGCTCGAGTACTGTTACTATTTACTACTACCCGAGACATTTTGCTGCAGAGCTGCCTTACCTTACTAGGCTTTATCGACGCCTACCGCTGGGTCGAGACAGAGCAGCTATGGCAGAAATGCAAGACATTGATTTTACTTGGACGGAAGATGATTGGGAGATCTTCCTAACCGATTTCAACGCACAACAAGAACAGCAGATCCAAACAGACGAGGAGATTCGTGCTGATCTTGATCGTCTGTTTAGTGTTGCACATCAGACTACGAACAATACTGATACTACTGCTACTGCCCCAGAAGAAGTACCAGGGGATTCTAGCTTCGCAGGGCAGGGAGCGCAATATGGTCTCACGCAGTCGCAAACATTTGAAGAGTCTCAGTGGATGGGAAACGTGAATCAGTCGGCTTTGAAAGATACTGAGTGCTTCGAGGACTACTTTGCTACGATTCCTGGGCAACCGTCGGGTTCTGGTCAACAGGCAGCACCTACGGGTCAACAACAGCAAGAGTCGTTCGCAAGTGTTCAACAACAGCCACTATTCGCAGGTCAACAACAGCCGTCATTCGCAGGTCAGCAATCGAACCAGTATCCGGCAATGGACTTCGAGCCTTACTTTGGTGGTAATTGGCCGATGAAAGGCTTCCACGGGCTGCCCAACCAAGAAAACCCAGGAAAGCCAGAGGGCTTCGTTCGTCTGCAGCCAGTACAACCAGAGGGCAGCGCATACCGCACTCCATATGCAACACCATTCACGACTCCCGAACCCAGACCACAAGAGCCCCCATTCGCCGAACCCATCGAATACCAGCGCCTATTCTCCAACTTCGCAGAAGCCCACGCCACCATCGAAGCCGAAGACGCACAAATCGAAATGGTCCCTCTACAAGTCCAAAACGACAACTGGTCCACCATCGACATCCACACCTCCGCCCGCCAACTCTTACACGCCACAACCGCTCTCCCCACCCAAACCCCTCCCGTCATCGCCTCTGTCTACCAGAAAAAATACTGGTCTGACCACCAACACCAATCCCTCCTCAGCGTCCAATCCCTCATCCGCCACTCGCCCCCACGCGCCGAAGCTCGCATTCTCCTCCTCATCGAAGCCGTGCTGCACCTGCACCAACACGGCTGTCCCGCGACGATATTGCACCGCAAAACGCTCAAAGAGGGCTATCGCGTAGAAACGGATTTGCGGGCCTCGGATCGCTTAGAGGCGATTGTGGAAGTCGCGCGAGAGGATAAATATGTCGCGCATGATATTCTCACGGGCACGAATTTGGAGGATATTGTGCGCTCCCCAAAGGCGTATATGCGTCGCAAAGCCGATAATTGTCGTGTGAATGCGAAGAAGGCTATGGAGAAGGAGGAGGCGGATCGGTCCAAGGGGGTGGTGGCGAGGAGAAGAGGGGCCGCTGGTGGTGGTGGTGGGGGTGGCGGTGGGGGAGGTACTTTGATGAGGAGGAAGAAGAGGGGTTCGTCGTCGGCGGCGATGGCTGGTGCTGGTGCTGGTACTGGTGCTGTTTATGCGACTCCGGCGCCGAGTTCTCCCGCGGGATTTTATGCGAATCTGGCGCCGATTCCATTTGGATTAGGAGCCGTTCAGGAGTCTTTGGAGGAAAGGGGGGGACAGGGGGCGGAGCGGGACATGCAATTTGGCTTTGAGTAGAAAAAGAAGAAAACTTTGGTTTGGGGGGAGGGGGATGAGGGACATGCGCGCGGTGCAGGATCGGGTTCGAAATCACTGCTTGCTTGTATTTGTAATGTGCGCAGAGATCTTCCGGTGTGAAGAGAGAGAGCGAGAGAGAGTAGATACCCTTAGATGACTCCGCAGCGCATTTTGGCCAGAGCTGGATTCGCATCGGGGACTGAAAGGCGACACAGGTATGTTGCCTATGAAAAGACATCAAAGACCATAGCGAGTGACCCAACGCGATGTGCTTTTCTCAGAGGTGGTGATATCGACATTGCCTCGCTCGTCCCTCCTGAGACGCAGAGATACGCTACGAGTAACGTCAGCTACCCCCTGCGCCAATAGTAGTGCTTCAAGTTACTCTCCTTGTCCTTTGCTTGACGTTCTAGTACTCAAATCGTGAGATTGGTCAACGATGAAGCTGGCTACAGGGTGAGAACACGGGAGATTCGAAGAAATTCTTCTGAATAGGTAGGTGGCAGCTTCGCCTACAGGCGTATCAATGCTGTCGCACTTTGTACACAATGCTTAATGGGTATCTGTAAACGCTCCACATCCAATTGTATACACCAAGTCTCTCTCATGCTACATCACCTCACAGGAAGTAATCTGCGACCGGCTTTTTCGCCGGCATGCCTCTGCTGTCCTGCGGTGCAGCGTCAAAGACACGGTACCTCCTTCCTGGTGCGGGCTTGTTGTCCTGGCGCTCAGACAGAATTCCGTTGGATCTGTTTGCGTCGCCATTGCTTCTCGGCATGTACCCAGCATTAGCGCCGTCTTCGCTGAGTTCCAGAATTGCCGCAACATTGCCACATCTGTAGCAGTAATTCGGCGCTGACCACACTGTGACGATCGTGCTGTCGAACATCTCCTTGAAGCCCTCCATCACGAGCTGGTGCGCGCGGCAGATCAGACTGAGGTCGTTTTTGTGGTTGAAGCATTTGACAATGTCGGCGCCAAACAAGAAACCTGCGCCACGAGGTGATAATCCCCATCCATCGATCTCATCAGGGTCGGACCAGAGGAGATCACACATTGCACCTTCGTGAGGTACTTCTTGCTTGCGGTCCAGAAGCCGGATCTTGTCGATGCTGTCTATCAGGGGACTGAGACCACCATGTACGCAAAGCACTGCACCGCCTGTGTTGTTCGAGCTCCCTCTGCTCGCGCCTGCTGCGCTGGTGCCCGGTGGACCACTTTGCGTCGTCTGTGAGGGTGACGAAGCATTATTCGACACACTGGAGTTGTCCTCTGGTAGTCCTGGAGGCTTGGAGCGCGCATACCGATTCATGATCTGACCTTGGGAATTCAAGATTTCTATTTCAACCTCATCATGTTCCGGGTGGATCATCGATGGTTCTGCAAACGGCGCGTCGGTTGGGTCGATATCTCCAGCGGCGCCCATCACCAGGGCGCCCAGCGCGAGATAGTCAAACACCTCACAGCAGTACCGCCACACATTGGCGCTGCCATATTTTCGTAAGCATTCGTCGTAAAAGCCGTAGACTGTCGTAATTTGCCGTGATTCGTGATTGCCGCGAATGAGGGTGATGCGATCTGGGTAGCGCACTTTCAAACACAGCAGAAGTAAGAAAGACTCCAGGGAATAAAAGCCGCGGTCGACAAAGTCGCCCATGAAAAGGTAATTGGTGTCGGGAACATCGCCGCCAACGCGAAAGAGCTCCATGAGATCATGAAACTGTCCATGTATGTCACCGCATATCTAGTGATATCCACATCAGCGCTTGATCCGCCATAGCCCCATGCTGAACAACGAACGTACCGTTACTGGCGCATCCACGCTGACCACGTTGCCCTCCTCAATGAGTAGTTCTCGCGCCTTGTAACACAGCTCGCGCACCTGGACTTCTGGGATCGGCCGACATGCTCGCAACTGTGCGATGGCCTTGTCCAGATCACTCATCGCGAGCGACGCGCCAGCCGGCGCACGGCAGTAAGGGACGAATGAACAGAGACCCTACCACCAATGAATGCGTCACTGTCTTGCAACTCTTTCTTAGTGTGCCACTTGCTCTTCCGGTTTGCTGCTCGTTCGTCGTTTGCGATTCTCGTCGGGGTGGCGATGGTCGTAGTTGCGGCAAGCCGGTGTCAGAGGCGGTTGGGGGAGGGGCCAATGGGAGCGAGATATTTCTTCGAGTCGACAGTGGTGCTGGTGAGAGACGAGGCGGTCGCTGAGATGGGTGTGTTCACCAAAGACTCTTTTCGACGATGTCTTCGCTCATGTCGCGACGTTCTATCGGCTCGTCCACAATGTTTCTAGCGGCGGCTCAGTCCGTTCCATTTTTCTATTTTAGAACTTAACTAACCCAAACTACACTCCCGCCTCCTAGCTCTTCGCCAAACGGTCCATGATGAATTCACTATATGTCACCGCATCACTTGCTCCCTCTATTCATCATGACGGCAAGATGTGTTATCCACGACATGATTCAGGGCAGACACGAGTGCTTGCAAGCACACTTCGTGTCTTGGGGACAGAGTAGATTGGGAGCCTCAGGCATATCTACAGTCATGATGGAGAAGGAAAGGTGACAGGAGCAGCATTCGGTCGGAGGTAGTCGTGGCTCGTTGCTCTCCTTCGTTCTGTAGGTACTTGTGGTCGTCTTCATCTCACGATCGCTGCACAATTGAACATAGATTCACTCAATCGATCTCCCCGTACACATATATGAGTACGCGGGAGTGAGCCGCTCGGGTGCCCCACTTCCCACGAGCCAGATCCTCCTTCGCGCATGAAGTCATTGCTGATCTTCCATCGACCTGGACTCATGTAAACACCGACTTCCCAGACGCGCCTTCACGATGCCGCCTAAGGTGCTGGCCAAGACAGAGGGCGCCAAGGGCCTGCTACCGGTCAATGCCGCCACTCGAGCAGCAGCAACAGCCCCCAAACCACCAGCGCCTCGCCTGAAACTCGAAGTTCGCCGACTGCCACCGGGCCTGACGCTGGAAGAGTTTGAGGGCATATTGGGCGACGAATGGAAGCTGGGTAATGGGAAGGTGGATTGGCTTGAATACAGACAGGGAAAAGTCAAGTTGTCGCTGGGCAAGGTCCCTGAGCAGAGTCGTGCATATGTTCATCTCGTCGATGAGGCAGCCATTTCAGCCTTCGAGGCGAGATTTCTGGCTGTCACGTTCCAGGACAAGGCAGGCACCTACAGGAATCCCGATATGAAGCATCTCCCGCCGACACTTGGCTTTGCGCCCAATCAAAGGACGACCATCAACACCAAGCTGCGAAGCGACAACCGCCAAGGTACCATCGATCAGGATCCTGAGTTCATTGCTTTCCTCGAAGCCGAGACGCAACCCATAGCACGCTCTGCTGCCATTGATAGTGTCAGTGTAGACAGCGAGACGCCAGAGAAGGTCGTTATCAAGAGTACGCCATTGATCGAGGCTCTGCGCGAGAAGAAGGCCAGCAAGGCGAAAGCGGTCGAAAGTAATAAGAGCGACAAGAAGGACGGCAAGGGCCATGCGCGTAACGAGAGCAAGAATGATGCCGCTCCGGAGAAGCCTGCGAAAGAGACTAAGAACCAACAGCAGCAGCAAAAGCTGGAGAACGCTGCAAAAGAGGCTGTTAAGGCCGTGAATAAGCAGGTAGCCAGCAAGCAGCTGAAGGACCAACAGAGGCCAGCGTCACCTCAGCAGCCCCAGCAGAAGGCCCAATCCCAGGCAAAAGGCAAAAAGGCTTCACAAGCAGTAGCACGAGACGCCGGAGGAGGCAAAGGAGCGGAGAGTGCCAAGGCGGACGCTGGAGGGGCCACTCGGAGGGATAACAATACTCCTGCGAAGCCCGCAGCAAATACGGCAACATCTAAAGCTGTCACTCCGGCAGATGCTGCAGGAGGGAAACAGACGGCCCCAAGAGCGCCACGACAGCGCGGCAATGCTGACGGCATTAAGAAGATGCTGCAGAAAGATTTGGCGGGCATACGACCGAAGAATGCACCTGCTGCCGGTGCCAGTAAACCTACGGTACCAACGACGTCTACGACAGCAACTTCAGGATCTGCCTCATCACCGGCGGCGACACCTACCGCAACCAAGGAACAACCGCAGAAACAATCGCCTAAGCCTCCGACAGCGCCAAAAGCTCTAGCACAAGCCAAGCAACAACAGCAACCACCAGCGACAACTGTATCGACCACAAAAGCGTACCTGAAGCATGCAAATCCTAGCCAAGGGATGACTGAGATTTTGATACAGCAAGCACTCTCACAGTTTGGTGAGGTCGCAAATGTGACCATCGACCCTAGAAAGGGCACTGCCATCGCCATATTCAAGGATCCAGAAGGACTAAAGAAAGCTTTTGTGGCGAAAAAGGTGCCAGTCGCAAATGGCAATGTGGAGATTCTGGAGTGGAAAGAGCGCAGTGCTGGTCAAAGCGGCGGTAACCGCACTGGCGGATTCAGAGGCGGTCGTGGCGGCGGTGGAGCTAGAGGCGGAAGAAGTGGCAATGCTGGCTCGGGGGCCGCGCACGCTTCTGCTGCTTCTGCTCAGTCTGCACAGCCCGCAACCCAGCCACCGAAAGCAGCGAATGGCTCGTGATTCAGGCTAGAATCTTTCTGGAGACACACGAATGACGACGACAGCATTGAGAGGCGCATTACAATATACCCATGGACTCTATATCGCCTAGAAAGGATCCATCGTTCTTTAATGGGCGGAATGATCAAAGACCCAACTTGAGTGGTATTCTTTCGCTGAAAGGTCGCAGATATACCATTGCTTGATACACTATCGGTGACAAGACAAATGTAGTTTTGGCACGCTATAATACACGCGATGTGGCGAAGCCGACGACTGCGAGCTGCACCAGAAGGTTGGTGATGGGTCACGTTGTTTTCGGCGCTTTCGTCGTTCTGAACGGCTAAACAGATGTCGCAACTTGAAACATGCCAAGTCTAAACTCTATGGTTGTGAACGCTGGTACTACTTCGGAGCTACAGCACGACGACTTGGCACATACCACATCTCGTCATTTGACACCCTTCCTACTCCTTCAGGTACCTGTAGGCACCAGTATTGTAGGCTGTGTCCGCTGCATGAAAAGCTCACGTGACGTTTTGCAATGCAGCATGACCAGCTCACGTACATATATGTTGAGGTAGGTCATGTTCTGTGCGATCCTAAGCACTTGCCAATCTGCCTTTCACCAACAATAGAAAAGCAAAAACACTACAAAGATCAAATTCTCTCCGTGCCTCCTTTCTCACTCACTCACTCCTTCGGCACCCATCCCAAGCTGAGCCGCATAACCATCACCATGGGCTGCAGCAGTTCCAAACCCGCCGCAAAGTACGAGACGTATGGAGTGACGCAATCTGCCAGACCCGCAAAGAAAGATAAACGGTGAGTTGGCCACATTTAATCTTCTTCACAAGATCCATTCTCTCTAAGCGGTTTGAAAACTCTGACATCTGAGATCTTGACTAGCTATGGACCCGACGACAAGTGTCAGAGATGGGCAGACGAGGCTACAAGAAAGACGGGCCATAAGTGGACGAGGAATCATGCGGGAGTTGTTTATGGCATATAAGGTACATTTACATGCAAATGTACCTTGTTATTGATGGTGTTGATGATGGTGTGGGTCACTCTGGTTGGGGTCGGATGTGGGAGATTCGTATAGGGGAGAAGAAGGGAAGCCCGGTGGTGGCTACCTGTTTATGAGATGCTGGTAGAGAATGTCGCATGCAACAAGTGGAGTTGCGACAGAAGATTGAATATTGATCTGAGCACTGCTTGAGCAGCTGATTTGGAAATTTTGAACGGATATATGGACTGCAAGGCAAGGCAGATGTATTTACGCACCCAATTACGCCTTCCATCCTGATAGATCAGCTATTGCAATCGACCTCTTGAGGTGAAGTCGATGTTACCTGTCTGTTATATACCGTAGCTGCGTATTTCCATACAGGTCGCTCATTTTTGGTTTTTGTCAAACAAGCAGAACTCACAGCTATCTTGAACGCACTCTGCCATTGTCCATCTCCGAGCGCTCTTATGTGGAAAGAACAGTCAGGTATTCTTTAAATCCTTCTAGACTTGTCTGCCGCGACGGTGTTTTGGGGGTGGATTCTTCCCATTCACCCTCCTCTGCCTCCCCTCTTCTTCTTTTTCCTCCTTCTTCAGCGCCTGTTATGATATCGTCCTCCCTCTTTAGTCTGCTCGTTCTCTTCCTCCTTGCGATCCTCTCCCTCGTCACTCCTTATCACATTTTCACTCCTCTCTCGAACTTCGCTAGCTACTACTACAACAGTACACATTCCATGCCTCTCTCTCCAGAACACATCCCACCACAGGTGCGCGTCTTCCCCCTCTCTCCTTCACAGCTTCCCATCCTTCCCTCCCTGATCTCAAAAAAAAAGATCTTCCTTCCAAAAGAGGAACAGCGAACCATCCTTCCCTCCTTCATTCCTTTCTTTCTTCCCTCTTCGACCCACCATCGCAATGACATGTAGCCAGCGCAGAAGAAACCCGCCGCTACACAAATGAGAAAATCTCCCTGATTCATCTCGGAATTATTTTAGATTCTCAGAGATCAATAGAAGTCCCACTCACTGTGCTTGATTGACCTTGGGCAGCAGACTAGCAACATTGGGCCTTCTGCGCATGGCAACAAGATAATTAGTGAGTGCAATGAAGTAGAACGAACGAGAGAATGAGAGAATGAGAGAGAAAGAAAGAAAGAGAGAGATCAAGCTATTTCCCCAAAAACATAGAAATACCTCTCGAATATCAGCCAGCATAACTGCAACTTCTTCCAACCAGTCAGGTAGTCGCCACGCCACATGTCGATCCAACCCATCCATCACCTACATTGTGTGCACTCGGGGATATATCATCAAACTACAAAATGAACAAATAAATCACGCTTCTCAGCAGCGAACAATATTATATCTAGCATTGTGATGTTATCTGTACTCCATGCACGAGAGATTCACCAAGGTAAATAGATAAGGTAAGATTATGTGCTGACCCACTATTCACGTGACCGCATGGGTTTGAAGCGTCTTGTGCCTTGCCCCCGGTGGTGACCTAGGTACCTCACCTATGCTGAACATCAGTGGTACATATATGTAGACATATGTATGGAAGGGATAATAAGGTACCTTAGTGTTTGCCAGGACGACATGCAGGAGTACTGGAGGCAGGAATTATACAAATGGTTTTGAAAAATTGTTCAAAAGCATCGATTGGAAAAAAGAAGTTGGTTTGGTCAGCTTCTAATCTGTTGTGATGTCAAAGATACTGAACGAAAATCGAGGCGGGTGGCGAGATCTTAGAGAGATCTCCTGCGCAAAGAAACACAGAATGTGCTGTACAGGTTTCGGGTTGTAGGCTGTTGTTCATATACAAGGTGCCAGGGTTTGGACCATCTGTTCAGATGCAATCGGGGGCAGGGATGGGTGCTTGGTGGTGTTGTGTCTGCGTTGTGAACGGGATATGTGAAGAAGGCATGCATGCGGCATCGATCTATGGAGGCTTCACTCGGTCAGTGTCACCCATCATAACGCAATTGCATGCCCGATGTCACGTTTTCTGTACTTGTAATGAGGTCTTGAAGTATACTTGGATGTTTCTCATTCGATTCTGCGCTAGAATCGGCTATGTTCGTACATCTGGGTATCATTCCTGCATCAAGTTCGCTCGCAGGACTGCAATAAAGACCTGTGAGGTGGAGTCGCTGTCGCGGAGCACAAGAAGTGCTCTAGCGTACCGTAGCGTTGATCAGTGTAGACACTGTACACTCGCCTTGCTTTGTTCGCAATTTGGCTACATCCGTCTTTCCACTGCCATTGAGCTTCTCGACCTTGCTAGGCTCGAAAGCGACCACCTTGTCGGCTGTCGTGGTGAAGCCCACCTGGTTGTCCTCCCATACCTTCTTCTTGGGGTTGAGGACAGCGTCGGGCTCACCCTCGAAGCCTTCAAAGTAGACACGCTCACCCGCTTCGGCATCGGCAGGAGGATTGACGAGCTCGACTGGACCTCCGTGGTCATCTTCACCAGGGGCGACACGCGGAGAGGCGGCAAGCACCATGGCCGATGACTTAATTCCACGCATGGTGACAGGCTTGAGATTGCAGACAGCCACAATCTTCCGATTCTGCATGTCTTCGAGCGGTATCAGACCGTTCAGGCCAGAGCAGACTGTCCGAACAATTTTTCCCTCGTACTCAGACGTGTTGTCAGTTCCAGGAGCATCTCCACAGGCGATTGTGCTGACAAAGAGCTTCTCAGCGTCTGGATGCTGGATGGCTTTCAAGATGTGCCCGACTCGCAGGTCAATGAGAGCAGGGCCGAAAGGCTTCTCTGGCGCTGGTGCAGCTTTTGGTGGCTTGGGCTGTTTCTCCTTCTTCGGCTTCTCCTTCTTCTGGCCTGGAGTCGCAGCGGCCACCGCATCTCCCACTTTGTCGCCGAGGTCTTTTGACTTGGGCTCGGCGGGTTTCTGGTTCTCTGCCTGCTTTGTAGCCTCGCTCGCCGCAGAAGTCACAGTACCACCAGCTGCCGCTGCAGCATCTGCGCCTGCCGCCGCTGCAGCAGCCTTCTCCTTCTTCTTGCGCTCCTTCTCAGCCTTCGCATCGATCGGCTTGATGGGCGACACGACATTGCTGGGATCAATCTCAATCTTGTCATCACCACTCAACTTCAGGCCAAACATTTCTGCATTCTGTACAAAGTCGATGAAGCGGGTAATGTGGTGGTATCCTTGCTCGCCAGTGCGCTGCTCCGGTGACCAGCCCTTGACCACCGGCCCAAGCTTGCAGAACAGAGCCACGTCGGCCACGCTGGGCTTGCTGCCGAGTACGGTCGTGCGAGTCGCGAGGTGTGTGTTGAGATGGGAGAGACGTTCAGCGGTCTTGGCTGCGTCTTCGGTGGGCGAGGCAATGTGTGCAGCTGTCGTGGTCCATTGCTCGATTTCGGTCTTCTCGGCAGGCGAGTATTCGATGGTGGTGAATATGGCCGATGTCAGCTTGGCTGGATCACTCTCTCCCTTTGCTTGTGGATATGTCGCCTCGAGCAGGCTCGTGACCTTGCTGTCCAGTGGTGTTGCCGCCATGTTTGCGATTGATCTATTCAGAGGATATGATGCTCGAAGAGAAAGTCTCGATGATGGCTGAATGGGAACGCGTATGGCCCTTGCGAGCGATCGTAAGGAGCGGAAGTGCTTCAGCTTGGCGACTTGTAGCGGAAAATGTTGTAGAAGTCTTCAATGCAGGTATGCCACTGAAGAAACACAGTCATAGTTCTATACTACACTGTTCTTTCCTCGGACCCTTGCAACTTTTCGATCATGCTGAGTCAGCTGTGTAACGGCCCGCGCCGTCCCCGGTCGCCTGTATGACATCGCGCGTCTGTTCTAACCTCCACAACATCAGCAAAAAAGGACAACATGACATGGTCCAGCTGCTGTGTCTCTGTGCGAGCTGACAGCCATGGTCATATCGGGAACTTTTCACTTTTTTTCCGTCGTTGACCATCTCTTTGGGCCATCGTAAAGCCTCGTCTCCCTCCTGATCACTCTCTCCATTGCAAGAGGCATATATCTCATGGTCATACTGGACACTTCTGCCGAACGCCGAGCCATGTGCCCGAAGAGAAAGTCCGTCTTCTTTCGGGGAGTTTGCTGTCTTCATGTCAGGCCGCCATTTCCGCCGCGACCTTCGGAGGCTGGTCTTGAATCACCATTTGCCGCGAGCCAAAATCTGACATTGAAGGACGATGAGGACCTCCTAGACAGGGCTGCGGGCTTGCTACAGCGTATCTAGTAATCTCGCGCGGACCACATGCTCTGTTTCAAGTCAATCAGTAGACTGCATACCACTCGCACTTGAGAGTCGGAGGTGGGACGGGTGACCACTATATTGCGAGAGTTGACACATTGCCCGGATCGGTCTTCTATCCAAGCCACGCTCGTATTGCTTACACAGCAAGTTGACATGATCCAGCTTGTATACGGAGTCTGCCTTTCGAACTCCGAATAGCTCGTGTTCATAGGTCTGCAAGTGGGTCACCGACACTTTTGCTGTTGCGGGGCTCTTCCACTGAAATCTGGCTGCGCACGAGCTTCGAGCATACGGATCAATCCTGCCCATCCCGATCTCTTGACGTCCTATCGTAGCATAGCGTACGCTAGACGGGTGATCCACCAGATGGATCAAATATCGAGCTCGGGTCCTGCTCCTTGCCAATTCGAATTCCGACTGCAGTATATCTGGTAATGCAGAGGTGGCGTCTATGGCAAAGAATCGTAGAGACTTGACAACCGTCGTCCCCTGGTGCAAGCAAACCTGCCCCAAGCTCAAGACACCATGCTCTTCTTCTTACAACGCCCAGCCCTTGTATCTAGCTCATTTGGACACACGAACGAACAAGGGCGAGGCTTTATTCCATGCTACATCGCTCGGCGATCTTATCTGGGATCTCGACTTTCTCGAAACATCTTACGCTGCCTACGCGTGTCGAGTTTGAAGCCCTAGGACGCGTAGTGTACATTAACCAGACTTGGAGCTGGCCTGTGCATAGGTCGATTTCGAACTGTGCATTCATCTTGGCGTTTTGTTCAGGTCACGGCATGTCGAGTGCCCTTGTCGCTCATGACGCTAGAGACGGCCATCTTCGGTTGCTAGGTCCAGGAAAGAGTATCGCTTCGAGTGATTAGTCGCTTCGATAATCTTTCTTGAGCAGGATTCCGATTCTTCCCAATGATTTTCATAGAGGCTGAGGCGGGAGAACCGTCTGCTATTCGGAGCGAGCTCAAACACCTGGTCACGTGCCTGTAGCAAATACCAGTTGCCAGGTTCATATAGACCAAGGGAAAGTAGAGAGGGGCCCTTCCTGAGCCTGTGCTTCTAGCATCTCTTGCTTAACGCTCGATCCCAGTCTGACCGTACCCGAAGCAATCAGACTCGTGGCATGCACTCCACGTTCCGGGAGATACTTATGAGACGTCAAAATCTCTATACTCACGCAGTGTCTCCGTCGGCAAATCTGAGCTAGTCAGAGCATATACGATTACTGAGATGCAGTGTACATCGGACAATCTCAGAGAGTCTTCCTCAGACTCTCCGCTAATACTGATTCACCCACAAGTCTATAACCGATTCAATCACATCTGTAAATCAGAGCGCATAGCCTCATACCACGACATCCGGAGAACGATCCTCCAATTGCTTCCCTTCCATCAAGGACTTCAACAGTCGAAATTTGCCCACTTATGGGAAATCGACCTGGAAAAACACCTTCAACGCAGAGCCATACTGTTCTATCTATTACCCCAGTAGCCTCTCTACTCACCAGATCGGAAGCCTTCCAATCGCTTCTGGAAATCTGGCATCAAAGCTGAGCAGGGGAGACTTTTCCATGTCTCTCAAAAATGTGGATACTGCTTAAAATTTCTATACGAGCACACTCGGCATCTCGATCGCATCAGAGTAGGATACCAAAAGCGTTGTTTCCGGATACCTTGTTTTTTGCCCCTGAGAAGGTTCCAAGTTCTGTTGAAGTCGTATGGGAGGTTGCGCTGGATTAAGTGTCTAAGACATTTGAAATTAACATGCACGTGGAAAAGACTGCTCGAGGAGTCAGTGATTTTTCCGCGAACCTGACTCCAATTGGAAAGGAATTTGCTCCAGGGACTGAGTGGCTTGGCATTTGGATGACCACATCTGGAGCACAGCTTCAATCACATATCGAGGGGTACACACACAAAACTTTCTCGGCGCTGGTAATTTTTCTTCCGTATCTGCTGATGGCTATCGCCTCTATCTGCTTCCAAAACAACACAGATGAACTTGAAGAAGTCCGGCAACAAGCGCGTCAGTCCCCTAACCACGCTTGTTGCCCTTCTTCGTCACATGTGCCTGCCCGGGCCACTTCACGCGGCCCGGGCTCTTCTTCTCGCCATCCCTTTCGACCTCCGAGTTGGTGCCTCTCCCGGCCTTTTTCGCCTTCTTTTTCTTCGGTGCCTTGGGGCCGCTCCGTCTCACGAACGCTCCAAGCGCAAGGTCCACCCCTTCATCGAGGTTTCTCTTCTGCGGAATTTCATCCGCGGGCTGGCGCTCTGGGAGCAGAATGACCTCGTTCGGAACCACAGAAAGATCCATCTCTCCTGGTCGCCATTCCGGCGTTGGCGCGGGGCTCCGGCGCCAGCCTTCCCCTGGCACCTCGGAGTCGCGGTTGGTTGGGAAGAGATCGTGCATCTCGACCGGGTCATTAGAGGCGAGAGAGGCGGCAGCAGGCTCTCTGGGCGTTGATGGTGGTGATAGAACGGCACGGCGCTCTCGCGGCTGCCATGGTGTGCGCTGGCTCACGAATAGATCCTCTGACGACTCCGAGGCGATGGTGGTCCCCTGAGGGGAGTTTGGATGGTCAACTTGAGCCGGAGATGGCTCGAGAGTGAAGTTGCCACTCTCTGCCATCTCCGTCTCCCCAGCAGCTTCCTGCTCACATACGACGGGCGCACTCCACGAAGCAGGAATCTCGACACCTTGGTCGAGAGCAATTTCCTCGAGACTCGGCGCTTTCATATTGCCGGTCATGGCTGGGAACATGCTGTGGCTCATGCTTTCTGTCTCCTTCGCTGGTTTCAGCAGATTCTTTCTCTGCTTCTTGCCAGCTCGCCTCGGTATCGCCTCGAATGCTGGAGTCTCCTCTTTCCTCCCTCCTCTTTCCTTCCCATCTGCTCCCCCGTCCTTATCTGGGCCCTCTTTTCTCATCTCGTAAATGGACGCATTGAACTCCCGAGCAGCCTCCACCCCCACATTGCCACCACTGGTGAGTTTTAACGGGCTGGCCACCAAGAAATTGCCGAAATCCGCCGTCCAGGAGGTCGTCTCGTCGTCCAAGCGCACACGGAGTCTCCACGGCCTTCCGTTCTGACTCTTCTCGAGATACACCTTTTCTAGCTGTCGGTGTCGCTCACGGATCGCTGCCAAATCGCGCTCCACGTTTGTCATCCTCTGCGTATCTTCATCGCTGGGCTCCTCAAATCTATCCAGCATCTCGGCCGCGCGCGCATCCAGCTTGTCGAACTCATTCTGTAGTTGCTTCTCGTAGTCGTCAAGGTCTGCTTTGAACTTCGTGATGGCGCCGTTGGGGTCTTGGGAGGAGGACATCGGGGTATGGGTACGCGTGCGTCAATTGATGATAAAAGGCTGATAGGAACGGTGATGGTGCCAGGGAACGATGTTGATGTCAGAGTGATGGTTGAAGAAAAATTCAAGTGGCAGCAAGAGGAAGTCGAAGTGGGGCTCTGGCAGGTGGCTAGCTGAAGTGAAGCGGGTGCGTACTAGGACAGCGGGGATCTCGTGACCTGTCCGGTTGCTATGCGATTGCGAACGTTGGAGGTGATATGTCTTGTGTTTGCGCAGGAGGAATGGTAGAGGCAACAGTCAAGAGGAGCCGTTCGTGTACTATGCGTAGACTCTGAGTTCAGGTGCTGCTTGCTGTGAAGTCTCCACTGCAGCGAGGGTGTAATGAGTATAGCGGCGAAGAGGGTGGTAGTATAACCGACAAGACGTCTCCGCGAGAACTGGTGGCCGAACCGTCAAGCGCGAGTGTCCGTGGTGCATTAGATATCGTGCGTGTTACTACTGTACGCTGACCAGCTCGCAGACAACAACGTTGACGATGTATATGGCTACCTATTGCTGGCATTTCCACCGCAAGAGCTTACGACAAAGGCTACTAGTGGTATAACGGTCTCTCAGGACCTGAGACGGCACAACGTGAGCAAACCTCGCTTTCAGAGTTGCTGAAGACCTGTTTGCTGAAGCTGGATAGTGCATACATCCCTATCTGTTCTAGATCCGACAGCAGCAAACACGGTCGTAGCAGCACCCCCTGATATCAGAGGACAGCGTCGAGATAAGAGCGAGCGCTACAGACGTTGAGCGCTGAAGCGTGGCGCGAGCCAGATATAAGCGGGAGTTGCTAGTTTGCCGCATAATCGCCATGGCGAGCCCCCAAGGCTTTGTAGGGGGTAGGCAGACCATCAACGGCACGGAAATTGGTCATTGCTTCGGGAGTGATACTCCATATCAGAGTACCGACAACTCGGGGACGTGGAACAGGTGCCTGGGGCACGCTGTGCTCGATGAAAGGGAATGAGGTGGCTCGTAGGAGGTCAGGTAGCACTCTACAAGCCATGAAGGGGAAGATAATGGCGTGCTGCTGCCAGCCTTCAGGGCCGCACCGTAGCAAAATTATGTACAGCCTGTTCCATCACCTGGAGTCTTCAATGCTCTCGGTTGAAATTTCTGACGGCAACGACCAGTTGATCCCTTGACCCCTTTTTTAAGCGGGTTCCATGGTGTTCTATTGCGCAGCATGGAAAACAGCGTCTTGGCGGTACGCACAGAGATGGCAAGAACAACGCGTTGAAATATGCACTTCGGTCATCGCACCAACCTATTCCAACAAAGATCCCAACTTCACCATGAGATCGCGTTTGGAATTCACAGTCTGTATGGACATGGCATGGATGTCAACCCAACACAAAAGAGAGCAGACAGACATCTCGACTTGACGGTAACACACTCCTTTTGCTTCTGAACCATCACATCCAACCACGACTACCATGATGATTAGACTTGCACAACTACATGCGACTTACGACATTGGCAGTTGCGAAGCTCATCTTCAAGACGAGGCCGGTCGGATCCATTCTGGCATTCGCCGAGACCATCGCGTCACATGAAGAGCTTCGAAGGGCTGTCCGCAGAAGAGGAGAAAAGCCCCAAAGTCTTTTTTTGGATACCAAGTCCTCGAGTCGCAAAGATCGAGGCGGACACGGCCTCGCTAGGGCTCTGCTATGCAGTGATAGCTACGGGAGCTAGAAGAGCTCTAAATGGGACCCATCGAGTTCTCATGCGCTGGATAAAGGTGCAAGATCATCGCTGACCTTCTCAATTTGCAGGACTCGAGTTCGTCGATCTACACATTGTCGATAAGTGAGCATGTCAACTGCTTTCACACACTGATGTGACGGCGATGTGACGGCTCACGCGACAAGTAGCAAGGCCCGCAGCCACGATGCTAGATAAGCGGATTAGAGAAATGCCCGCATTATGGACAGTAAGTACACCACCCCTATCAAACCCACTATGCGACATGATGAAAGCGCACATTCCCTTAAGCGGCACATGACATTGCTCGCTGCGGAGCTCGGCCAGGGGCAATCAGAGGCATGGGCTTAGCACTCTGGCTGCACACAAGTCGCAATAAGAAAAATGAAGCCATAACGGGTTCTCACCTGGCCAACGAGCTCCGAAGGGCTGTCCGTACATGAGGAGAGAAGCCAAGTTAAAGCCCAAAATTGGCATGCGGGCTGCCTCGACATGGTTCTGTGCTGATCACTTCCGGTCCACGGGGGGCCCGAGGAGATCTGAACGTTCCTGAATTCGCAAAACACCTCACTTCGACTTGCTAGCATCACGGCGGTCCACATACACTCACTGACATACTTTTTTGGCATCTACAGGCAGCGCCCATAGTGACCCTCCAGTACAGCAAGAACCATGCAACATTAGGTAACTTTTCAGATCAAGACGGTCCAAGAATTGTCAAAAGGTACAAAGATGACGACGATCACTTGTCAGATGACCATATCTCAAGTGGCAGCTCTCTCTTCAATTCGTTCCTTCTCTCCTAGGCAGCAGGATAACAACAATAAAAAGCAAAAAAGATGAAAAGCCACAAAATAGGAAATCTCACCAAGCCAACGCAATTGAGTGGGCAGATCGGGAGGAAGGATCACACCTGGCGCAGAGGGTCAGTCATGAGCACATTTAAAGTTGTGTATCCAGCCCAGTCCAGCCCTAGCCCCTTGCAAAAGAACAGACAGAGAGAAAGAGAGAGAGAGAGAGAGAGAGAGAGAGAGAGAGAGAGATCTCACATGTAGGTAGTGACAACCTATACGGATATCTATCCGTCCTTTGGCCTACTGCATTACCTCACATGACTGCAGAAAACAAACGCGCCAAGAAACCTTGTGCGCCGTCGTCGTCCGTGCGTGTACATACGGTAAGCAAGCCTACCTACGTGGAGTGGAGTAGAGTTGGAATGGACAGGGATGACACCTATAGAAGGGGCGTAATATGAACTACACGTAGTCAGCTCTCAACACCAGCTTTCGCGTCCTATACGTGAGTAGCTGTAAGTGGGAAATGCGGATGAGGCGTGACTTTATACCTACCTACTCAAAGCCGGAGCCGGAGTCGGAGAGGAAGAAGAAGAAGATCCAGGGCAATGCCTCCACCAGCGTCAGTCTGTTTGAACATTTGGAGTCAATGATTCTACATTATATATACTTCCCTTCTTCTTTTAATCAATACCATTAGTGGCAAAAGCCATGTATTGATTCCAAAAAAAAAAGGAACAAATGGTTCCTCCTGCAGGACTCAACCCAACGCCTCGCTAAATCCCACTGTGAGAACACACTAAATATTCATTGACTTTTTTCCACATGTCTCATGCAACAGAGAGACTTAGGTGGGTGTGGGCGTGCTGTTCATTCAGTCCTGATGCAAGACATCGCCCAGGTCTAGTTTCCGGCGTTTTCGTGGTGTTCTGGTTGCACTCTCGCCCTCGTCTGGAGATGCTTCCGTGGACTTTGTGATGTCGGGGGGTCGGGCACTCGAAGTGGCATCAGCAGACGTCGCTCCAATGCTGTGAGCATGTAGCCCGGCTGGATAGGGTGCAGCGCCTAGCATCGGCGGTAATTGGACTCCAGTCGGCTGTATATAAGTATGGCTAGGATGTGATTCTTGCGGCGCTGATCTTGGATTGAAGACGGTGGTTGCTGTCGGTGGCTCGGCGGGAGGAAGTCGGGGTACCATGACGGATGCTGGCATACCGGATGATGTCTGCGGACGGATCGATTGTGAGAAGCGTTCCACCGGCGGCGGCTGCCGTTCAATCTGTTGTTGATACGGTACGTGTGGCTGGGGAGGCGGGTAAGAACGCGTGGGCTGATGACCAGGCGTCCGATGTGGAGCCGGTAACGGTCCCGTTGTAGGATGCGGCATGTACCTTCCAGCGGGCGCCGATTGACTCGGTTGATATCGCGAATATGTATACTGCTCGGGAGGGTGCAAATCCGGATGCAATGGAGGAGACATGAAGTGCGCGTGAGGTCGCAATGGATTCGTGTGTAATCCGTGTGAGAAGGCAGGCTGAGGGCTTGGCAGGGTTACCGCGACAAAATACGCGTTCGCCTTCGCTAACCTCACGCGTGCGGGAAAGACTGGCGAAGAACCCCCGGCTGACGACGGTCGCCACGTATACGTGTGATCTTCGTGGCCCAGGACACATCGGTCGACATCATTCAGTGAAACTCCCTCCAGAAAGTCCTGGCCCGCTTGCACGATGGGTGGCATATATGCAGGAGCCTGATGATCGCGCTCGGCCCTCAGTAATGCTCGTATGGATGCAAAGCTTACTCCGTCGACGGGCACCGCAATCTCACTGAGCTGCCGCCCAGCATGATCCAGCTCGTGGGTCTGCATCATGTGACAGAACGACGAATTGGCCTTGATGATGATGAGATCCAGATCAAGATAGGCAGTCGGCACATCCGAATCTGATGCCGGTCGTGGATATTCCGCCGGCATGTAAGTGGTAGCAGCTGTACGTAGCGGATCGTATGGGTATGTGGGAGGTCCGAGTTGTCGAGGCACGTCGCTATCTTGCGAACGAAGCGAGCGGAACGATTCTGCTCGTCGAGGTCGCGGGACAGCCATTGATCTGGATGATGGAGCTCCTTCCGTCGGCGGCACTACAGATGCAGCAGGTGCAGCAGATGTACGCTCGGGGACCATGCGCTCCCCTCTAAAGTCACCATCTTCTCGAAGCCTCGGTCGTCCGCGTTTCTTGTGCTGAACGTCGAAGCAGGAATCCTATCCCGCTGCATTAGATATGGCATCGACGCGTTTGGGATAGTTTGCCGACCACGTACCTGTTTCCCCGACGACACGCATCGTGCGCACGGTCGATTGATATCGCAGCTGAGATGCGCACGTTTGCAGTTAATACATGCTGAGGCGACATGTGCTTTCGGCTTGCGTCCTCCCTTGGGACTTGGACCTGGTCTCGTCGACGACGACTCCGATACAGCCGTTGATGAAGGGCCCGAAATGGGCGGCGGCTGCCGGGTGCTGAATGTGTGAAAGGATCGCGAAGGGTGGCTCGGTGTTGTGGGATGATATGGGTGCGTAAAGAGGTCCTGCGCTCTCGAGGCATAATTTGACGGGCTATATGCAACACTGGTTGCGGTAGCTGTGGGCATGGGAAGGGTAGTAGAAGTAGTAGAAGTAGTAGTAGTGGCTCGGTCAGCTGTTGCCGCAGCAGCGACAGGAGGCTGTCGAGATGGTGAAGCAGAATGATCCAGAGGAGTCTTCGGCGACAATGGCGGGATTGACATGGGTGGCGAGGGATAGTTCAGATGTACAATGGGATTGAGTTTGCGCTTCGGACATTCAGCGCGCAACAGGCGCAGTCCTGATCCGCGCGACAGGTTGGGCTGGTAGAACGGAGGACGTTCGTTGAGCATTGCTTCTTCGGTTGGTTCAGATTGGTTGATGCAGATGGGAGCCAGAGAGCGAAGGCGTCCCCATTCAGGTGTTGGCGCGCACGGGGCCCAATCGCCATGTGCATAGTCTCATTACGTGAAAGGCGTTGGAGGATGTCTCGCGGAGCTCGCAGGCGCTGGAAGGAGAGCCTGTAGGTAGCCCGCCTGTCGGCCAGGAGCGGTAGGTACAGTACCTGCTAGGAGGTAGAGCGTCGAGCGTCGAGCGTAGAGGGTAGAGAGTAAGGTAGAGGGTAGACGGAGTGGGAGGCAGCAGGCCAGGCTGGAAGGGACGGATGCAGCTGTCAGCTTGGTGGTGTCTCTTCAGCAGCACGCTACCTAAGGTAATGCCGGGGATCCTTTCGGGTGTGTCAATGGCAATGGTGGAATCCTGATATCAGCATCTGCTGCCCGCACATGGACCGCAGCAACGTGGACCACAACCACAATGACAAGCGCAGTACGAACAACAACGACAACGACAACGACAACAACCACAACAATCGGATGTGGAGCCTCAGGTAAAACTGCTGGGTCAGGTCGGTACAGTAAAGAAGTGCTCCTCTAGAGCACGTCAGCGACGGTACCTCCTACCAAGCGCCCGTTCGTGGCAGACGGTGTGATAAGAGTGCGCTTCCGCGATAAGTTAGCGATAGGATGGCCTGAGAGACGACGTCCGAAACACGGCGGGACAAAGCTCCTCCCATATTCCCCACACTGGGAAAGGCTCACGGGAACGAGCTGCGCCACGGCACCGTTAAGCTTTACCAGAAGCCTCCCCACGAGGAAGCATAAGGTACCTGTAGCCTGTAGGAGGTAGGTAGGTATTGGGTAGGTACATGTATGCTCCGGTCCCTGTCGCACCCCATTTCTGGACTGGAGCACGTCCCTCCTACCTGACCTCCTAGGTACTGTAGGTAGGTACTGTACTGTACCATTGATGTGTCGTGGCCCTCTGACAGACACACATCTCATGCGTACGGGAGGGTGACATGGCTGAAACCCGCTTGCTTCTCATTCCCACACCACGTTATCTGCTAAATCAGCCCGTCGACGTTCCATTGTGAGTGATCCAGTAGGTGCTAAGGTAGGTAATGTAGGGACAAGTAATGGACCCGAGTTTGCACGTCCCGGAAGTTCGACATGGTGTATCAGATCGTCCGCTGAGACTTCCATCGCGCCACTCCTGTGAGTATCCCTGCCTTGTGGGAAACAGTGTGCGCACTGCAATATCCGTGCATCCGTGTGTGGTGATGAAAGCAGTGGAGTGCAGTGGGCGTAGGAGGTAGCGAGGCGAGGGCGAGAGCGAGGGCGAGGCTGGACCCGGTGGCCGTTTGCACTGGACAATTACCAATGTCGGAGGGCACGGAGGACCTCACTGCTCACTGCATCCATCGTGCAAAATGCTGCGTCAGACATGACATGACTCATTACATACGCAGCGGCAAATGGCACCGATGAGTTGCTCTGATCAGTGCATGGCATGGCCGATTGGTACATCGTGTTCAACTATCCCAGTAAACCTGGCTGGAGCTCGAGTAGAGTGCTGCTAGTCATGGTCCTCTCACTGATTGCCGAAACCAGCAGGTATGACTTAAGCAAGGCCCCCACAACCACAGACAGTACAGAGTACCTGTACCTACCTGTCTGTACCTACCTGACCTGATGCGCGCCGTTCTGTCGACGAGATGACACTCGTGGGCCCTCCTCCAGCCTGCTGTCTTTGCCTGACCAGCACCCTCCCTCCACACATACCTGTACATGCCTGCTGCAGACCACTTGAAGCAGTGGTACGGCGGGTGCCAGCCACAACGGCGGGCGACAGAGGTGCAGCAGACGTCTCTAGCGCAACGCTGCTGTTATCAGTCGACAACGGTCCACACAACGTCCGTTCCTGCGCATCGAACGGTTGTCCCAAATCGAAAGCTTCCAGTCTGGTGAGCGATTGTCATATCGCATGGACGCTTCGATCGAGTGGAGCGAGTGTGGCGGCAGGATGGAAGGAGGGAGGGAGGGATGGATGCTGCCTTTTTTTTATCTGGGCACCCATCTCGGCGAGTCGAAGCGAACCATTGAAACGGGCGACCTCAGTTTAGCATGCCCGACGGGCCATCTGCAATCTGCATGCGCATTGCACCACGACTGGTCCTCTGTAAGAACTCCGAGCCACGCTACGGAGATGGGAGGATGGCACGCAGCCGGAGAGGAGCCGAAGGGCTCGAAGCCCGAAAGCTGGGAAGGCGGCGGAGATGGGCCACGTCCTGTCGCGGGCACTGTGTCCTTCGAGTCAGCAGTGCAGGCGCGACCCAGCGCAGGAGGGAAGGAAGGACAATGGAAGGCGTGGAAGGCGCGGCCGGGCATGGGAAAGGTGGCAGGACACGGGAAGCGGAACAGTGGTAGAGGTGAAGTCTATGGATGTCCGCGGCAGGAACGCCAAGACGGGAGCCTCCGCTGCCTCGCGTCCTGGGGAATTTCGCATCTCCACTCGCTGCTCTCTCTCTCCCACTCATTCACTCACTTCTGCATCATCATCATCACCACGTCCTCCTCCGCGCAGTGCTCATCCACATCGACATATGTGACGTGTTCATGAGATACAGCCTTGGTCCTCCGGGAATCAGGGTTGCTCTCCCATCGCCGCGACTCATCAGCACGAATGTCAACGCCTCCAGCGGGCCGGCCGTCTTGCTTTGCGAAACTAAACAGTTTATCCGCCCGGAAAGCGAAACCCACTGCATGAGATGGATGTGTGGAAGCGCCGGTCGTCATAGGCAGTCAGACTGCCATTGAATGCTACCACCTACTTCCGGCAGCGAAACGACGCAAACCCCAGATGAGCTTGCGCAGCTGGCGTGCGGACCGGATTTGCATAAATGCGCACTAGCGAGGCTGATCGATCATCCCGATCAATCTCGGAACCTAGTCCTGGCCGACTTCATTCGTCGATTCGCAGAAAATCCTCGTGTGATTGGATTGCCGTTGCGAGCGATGTCCTTTCTCTATGCGGCACCTCAGCTTTGTCTCGTCCACTCCATCACTGCCAATCTTTTTTTTCAGCCGCTGCAAGCAGCCAAACAATGCACGCGATCCTGGAAGTCTGGCGCAATACCAATGCATGCAATATATCAATGCTATTATTGGACTCGGCTCATTTGTTGCGTTACACAAACGACGACGGTCGGTGATCTGAGGAAGAGGCAGTACGTGGCTGGTCAGTGGACGATGGCTTCAACGGGCTCCCAGGACGTTATGTCAGCGTTGACCCGCACCGGTCTGCATCGCTCGCGGCGGCTCGCGAACATGTCACTACACTGTGCTGCTCGCCGCTACCAGACTCCACGGGCTTGATGATTTATTCACCATGACCTTTGGGTCCGCTACAATCACAAGGTTACTGGCGGAATGCATCGCATCTGCAGGTACAACCTTATGCCGCAACTCTAAAATAGGAGCCATGTTGCAATCACTTGCATGTTGCAAGCCATCTTGACAAGCTCCGGGAATAGGATGCTCGGAATTTCACCTCTGGTCCCAACTCATACAGTAACTATGGCGTGGCGAAAACACCAGAAGCGCAATGTGTCACGTACCGGCACAAGGCCACAAAGAGTTCAGAGTCACTTGAGGAAGGTCGAACAAGTCTGCCGATTTTCTTCTCCGGGCCACGTGCCGGAGGCTGGAGTTCAAGACTGTCTCAGTGGTGTGCACCCATCCACGCTACGGAAACTATTGTCTAATCTCCCAGAGTGAATGACGCAAGATCTCAGTTCAACAATGGCACTGCACAAACATCGCGAGTCTCTCTGTATCCCAATCGACGCTCGTAATCTTGGGGGAGATCCTTGTGGTAAACCTGACTTTCCGCCATATTTTCCGAGCCAACCTGAGATTGCGACTGTCGAGACGGAGCTCAACAACCAATATCACAGGCCATGCACGTTGCACGCCCTGGTCATGCTGCGCCGCTATCGACTACCATTCCACGCCGCGCCGCGCGATATGCAGCATCGATACGATATTGATACATCTAACATTCCGATTATAGCAAGACCTCAAACAACGCAGACACTTCCGGTGCAACTGGCACCTAGGATGATGGCCGGCTAGCACGGAGAACCACAAGAGCCTGGTTCCGTCACGACATGGATGGCCTGGTATCAGCCTTGACATGAAGCGAGCTCTCCTCGTCAACGGGCTCCGTAATCCTACTCATGTCATTCATTCGATACCGCCATCCGAATCCCACATTCCAGCTTCCTCGGACGCTATGGAAGGTAAGTTTGCCGGGAGATAGTGGCAGCCCTTTCGATGTGCTTCGTTACCACGCCGATGGATGCCTCTCGGACCATTGTATGTGGCAAGACAGACCCAGCAAAACTCGTGGTGGCACAAGTTGCACGTCATATGATCGCAACCGTGGTTCTTCTGAATATGTATGGTGCATTTCGGGCACTTCTTGGAGTGTGCCTTTAGGTACTTCCGAGAAGCAGTCTCATGTTTCTTGTGTGCACCGGGCTGCTTTCGCACACGAAGTTGATAGTCTCCGCAGGTCTCTCCCTCGTGCATGACGACTTCGCAGAGGATGCAGTATCGACATTGGCAGAGTTGACAACGAAAGATGTTGCCGTCGGCCGCCGTGGTGTGAATATATCCATAGCTGCAGGTGGCCGAGGGACACACCCGGAAGAGCGGATCTTGCTTCATGAACTCGAGACTAGCCTTGTCCGTATATCTTCACACCAAAGTAGTCAGTAAAAATGCTCCGAAGAAAAAAACGACGGCGTCTGCAGAGCTTACTTGTCATAAGTCGTCCGTCCCACCAGGTGTCGGATATCTGCTTCCGCGAGCAAGACATTGCATTCCGCGCACTTGATCTTATCCGTAGATGTCGCTTCGATCTGCATCTGTAGATAGATCTCCCAACACGCGAAACACACTTCCCCGGGGGACGTGTCATGGTGATTGGCAGCATGTCTTCCAGTCCACGACGGAAAGCTTCCTCCGACCTTTTCCTCGCAGCACATTATACACTCTCTCCGAACACCCGTGGTCGTGGTACATGTAGTGGTAGTGGACTCCCTCTTCCGTCGTTGTCGTCGTGCTGCTGATGCTGATGCTGATTCCTGGTACATGTGCTTGTTGATTACGTGACTTTCGGAGTCCGGCTGCGTTTGCGCTTTGCGCTTTTTGGAAGGAGTAGAAGATGAAGGAGTAGGAGTAGGAGTTGACCACCACATCATGATCGTGGATAATGGGAGTGCCTTTTCGTGGAGGGATAATGGCGGGAGGAGAATCAAGTCGTGGTTTGGTATGTTCTGTCTGTCTGGCTGGCTGGCTGGCTGTCTGGCTGAAGTTGGTGTTCGAAGTCTGATCTGGTTTTTTATTTGAAGAAAAGAAAAAGCTTCACTTGATTGAATACATTACGACACATTCATTTGACTTGGACTGTACAATAGCGTGATGGAGTAATGGGACATGATTTTATTTTGTTGTCTAAGACATTTTCCAAGGTAAGTAGGTAAGTACATACCTATATATATCATTGAGTGTCTTTCATCGATGATACATGGACCTACATTTTGATGCAAATAAAGTAGTTGTAGGTTATGCATACAGAATACTTGAAGACTTTTTCTAACTAGAAGTCACTTTTTACTATTATAAATACATGTAAATGACAAAGTGTCTGGTGATTGATGTTGTTGACTTGACTTGACTGGTGCGTACGTGTGTAAAAAAAAAAACTTATATTCGTACATGTATTTCATCTATACCTGTATCTATCTGCAACTCCGGATCCTGCCCGAGTTCCCATCCCATCCCATCCCATCCCATCCCATCCCGTTCCATCCTATCCTATCCTATCCCATTCCATCCCAATCCCGATCCCGATCCCTATCCCTATCCCTATCCCTATCCCCATCCCCATCCGAATCCCAATCCCTATCCCCATCCCCATCCCCATCCCCATCCCCATCCCCATCCCCATCCCCATCCCTATCCCTATCCACCCACCACCCATCGCCCTACCCAAACCCATCAGCGCAGCGCAGCGTACTGTACAAAACAATCAATACCACTCCCTCTCAGTCATCCAAACCAAGTCCCTCGGCCACAAAGCCCCATAACCGCGAAACCCAGCCCCAGCACCTTCCCAAGTCTCCCTGCGAAACAACCGTTGCACCCATTCAAAGCAAACACTCGCCGACCTCCCCACCTGTCTGTCAAGGTCAAACGAAAGCTCACTATCCTTCCTCGTCCCAAAACTCTCCCCCAATTTCTCATAAAGCCTCAACGTATCCGGATCCGGCCAGGCCGTGGTGCAAATCATGCCGGGAAACGGGACCGCGTGACCGTCGATTTCGTACAGGCGGCCCAGGTGGGTGCGACGTTGATCATTGTGATACATGGCTGGACCTTGCGAACGATTGATCATGCCGCCCAAGGTGCGAGACTCCCATTCGAAGCCGGTCTCGGAAACTGGAGAGTTTTCGAAATAGAGATTTCCGAGGCTGGTACGGTTGAGGTCGAGTCCGTCGCCGAGGACGACGGGGCGGCGAGCGACTTCTGCGGCGTGGGCGAGTTCGTGGACTAGCGTGATGGCGGTGGCGAAGGCGCACCACTGGTAGCTCAGGGGGTCGGTGTCGGGGAGGTGTTGATGTCGTGCGAAGTTTTCGGCGAACGTCTCTTCGAGTTGGATGACGGATCTGCGGCCGTTGAAGAAATCGGCTCGTGAGTCGTGGTCGGAATGGATCCAATCTTTAGAGACGGTCCAGGCGTTTCCGTCCTCTTCTCGTTCCTCCTCCTCCTCCTCCTCCTCCTCTTCATCTTCCTCTTCTTCTACAGGTGGAATAAGTACGTATGTAATGTGTGCTGCAAGCTCAATCAGTCTGATTCGGACATTCACCTGCTGTGGCAGGGTCAGTGCTTCGGGTATTTCATCAGTGTACTTTAGCTCGTTGACAATCTCCCATTGTAGATCGTGACGAGGCAGGCCGTCACGGCCCTCACTCACCTGCCTCTCCTCCATCATTCTCATTTCTCCGAATAGGAGGGAGTGCCAAAAGGGTAGGGAGGCTTCGATCAACATCGTGGCTAGCTGCAAGGTATGGTCCAGGATCGCTGGGTTGTGGAGCCGACTGTAAAGGCACGCAAGCTTTTCCCGAGCAAAGACAGGGTGAATCCGGTTCCTTAATGTCGGCATTGGTATGTTGGTTAGCGACTCTTTCCGGAAGAAACTTCTCTCACCATTGCAGCAGGGACGGGAACAGCCCTCGAGGCGGTCGACCGGCCCGAGTTTGGTCTGCATCGTGTCAGTGGAATCTTACCAAAGGCTGGCTGTATGTGTGTAGTATGTGGGTGTATGTGTGTGTGGACTTCTCGAGATGTTCGACATCTGCGATGCGAATATATAGACAGACCCAGTAAAAGACAATAGAATGCTGGCGCTTTGTTGGTCTCGGTCGTCTTTGTGATCTTCTCTGCTCAAGACAATAGCATTGTATTCCTTTTGTCCCCCATCCCAGACCTAACAAAAAGAACCACAAAGCAGAAGCAATCAACCCTATTGTCTCACGTTCTGGACTTTGCAGGCTAGCAGTATCGTCGCCACCCATGTTCAGGGGCTCTGTAGCCTTCTCTTGCAGATCAGGATCGATCTATTATTATGATTAAGCCCAGTCTTCACGAGCTTTTCAAAGATGACGATTTGGGAGAAGGGGACGGGAGGGACGCCTTGATGAGCAAGGAGGCGAGCCAAAGTGCTGTCCCGAGCTCTGCTGCTGGGGCGCGGTTGTTTTCTTTTTTTTTGGCGGCGAAGACTAGAGGGATATTATTGTCAAGATGAGAGACTCGAGTTCCAGAGGGAGTGATTTTTTCCATTGCAGCAGCCGTCCATACACTGGGATGCATAGAGAATACTCCCTGTCCGGTAGCTAATGGAATCAGTAAGGCCGCTCATTAAGTCCGGCATGGAGATTTTCCCGCCAGGATGGCTATGATCAACCAGCGAATGCGAGGGAGGATTTGGTTCGAAGAGGACAAAATGTTCCGCTCGGTCTGGACCCCGATATGAGGTGAAATTCGTCTTGTCTTCCGCGGTTAACAAAGCAGCGCAGCCTCCTCGGTGTCGTACCCACGCGCCCAATGCTCTGCTCTCCTACAAGCCGCCTGCGCTTGTGTAAGTATAAGGGTACCTTCGAGGGTAATGGATGCGTTGCGATTCACACAAGATCGCAAAGCCAGGGATCACAGCCGAAAAGAAGACCAAGATCAAGGTGAAGTGGCCTACGTACGAGGTTCGCGCCCTGCTAACTAGAGTTGTGATTGTGTAGCATATATCCATGCTTCGTTCACTCATTTGTCCCGCCAGCGACCAATAGACGTACAATTCTATAGGCGGTCAGTATCGATATGAAGGTATGTCCTGAAGTTGCCGGGCCCATCGCTGGTTGGAGCGCACCAATTCAGGAGGTGAAGCTACCAGGATCTTGATCGATATGTCGAGTTATAAGTCTCAAAGAGGGTCCCATCGTCTTGCATTTGTTATCGTACTGTCTGGACAGTGTCTGGGATCTGGGATCACGGCCGTCTCGAACTCTGTTCAGCCTGAGAGAAGATTGCCCCGTAGATTCGACGGCCGTTGTACGCACCGTTGGTCCTGGCTGAAATCACGCGTTGTCCGGAGCACTCCTGGCTCGATTCTCATGCCACCAACTCGTATTCTCAGGCCTTCTTCAACACTAACAACACAGTCAACCATGGCGTCTTCCTCGTCGCCACCACCAAGAGCGAATCCGCCTGCTTTGGCGGCCAGCCCCAGCGAGAAATTGCGAGTCTGGCTTGGAAAGAGCAAATTCACGCGAGGTTCCTTGGCCGCCATGGTGAAACTTGCAAGCGAAGAGGGCTGCTGGTTATCGACAACCAGAAGTCGTCGCCAGTGGCACCTCCACCAGCGCGAGCAGTCAATCCGTATGCTGCTGCGTTAGTGACTTTGGCTGCTTTCGTGCGAATCTTCACGAAAGAGCGGAGTACTTCACTTACCAGACCCTCTGAGAGCGCTTGTCACCGCCATTAGGCCAGAATACAGCGATACCGCTGCGTCAGCGTCCCCACGACAAGCCCCCGCTTCACCAGACATCGACAGGCCAATGACTCTGGCGAGGCAGCAGATTGGACACACAGAAACGCTGATGCGCTCGCGTGGAATCGACTCCCATCCACCAGACCACGGAGACCCGTATGATGGAGATGAGAAGCTGTCAGACGAACCCGAGGAATTTGGAGGTACGGGGTTGAGTGTGAGTGTGGTCCACAATCGCGCTTATGCTGACTTGATAACTACCTAATAGACAGCACTCCGCTTGATGAGCTCACTCGGGAAGACTAATAATGACCGAATACTCCTCTGAGTGGATAAGCAGGAGGGCTTGTTGATGCCATGTGATGGAGAAATAGCAGCGTAGGGCAAGACAGATTGTGCGGGCTCAAACAGGCTGCAAGCCCATCAAATGCGCGTCTCTTCCCGGCGCCCAAAGATGTATACCCACGCTAGGAGCAGCTGCGATCGTCCCTTGCGCACTCGGTTCCTCGCTCTGGTCCGCAATCCCGTCGGCTTCAAAGTCACATTGTCATGCGTTCTCGCCTCTTTGTAGTACTTGTGGTTTCTGACCCATTGCACAAGGTGATGCATCTTGGTATCGTTGGTGCCTTGGAAGCCTGCCATATACCCCCAGTTGGTGATGAGATCGAGGGTGTACTCGGATTCCACCGTATGGGCGATGATCATACCCTGCCATGACTGCCCGTGCTCCCTGCACAGTACCGGCGCGTGAAGAGTAGCGGTATAACTGTATGGCGCAGTCTTCTTCGATTGCCACACGTTCTCAAATGGTCGAAACGACTCGCCTGCAGGACCACGATGTGCCGCCCACCATTCTTTGCCCCCTTGCATACGCAGCAATGGATTGAACCCATACGACGCGGAGACGCTGAGATCTGTGACCTCTGCGAACCACAGCCGCTGCTGCAGGACCGGCGAGTGGCCGATGGCGTCTCTGAAACTCTTGTTGACGCGCTGTGAGATGAGCAATGTGCGGACAGGCACCGTGGCCAAAATGCGCTGCAGAAATGCTGTTGACTCGAGGACCCTCCTGACAGCCGGTGCTGCCTCGCGAGGCGTGCAAATGGACGGAGAGCGGGACTCCGGCGACATGGAGATGTGTCTGATGCTGCGTATTGGAGGAGTGGCGGCGGCGGCTGTGACATTGCTCTCATCGATTCTGGGCATTTGTCGCCGTTCCTCTGCTGGAGCGTGCTTCAATTGTCTTTTTTCAAGTTGGTATTGGCTGCATTAGGATGAAGGTGAGATCTGGCTCACAGTCTGCGCAAGATCGGCCCACGTTGCAGCAGGCGCCTACTCTGCACAGTTGCACTGAGGTCGAAGAAAGCACCACTTTCATCATGGACACCACTACCATACCGAAGAAACAAGAGAGGAGAAGTCGCTCAGCGACCTGTCTTAGACGTCCTTTGCTTCTGCTACTGCCTACCGCGTCTGCTAGGATGAGCTCTACAATGAGCTTCACCTGTAGGCCATACGCGCCCAAACATTACTATAGAGCTCGCTTCCTTCGGCGTCACCTTACACGAAAAGATCATTTGTCCTTGCTCCTTCCAAAGCCGAAATGATGCTTCTTCTTATCCTTCTTCTCTGGCTCCTTCGTGATCGCTCCCGACGACGAGCTTGGCCCAGTTCCGTGGGGCTTCCCATTCAGATTGATGGCGCCCATTTGCTGTATTGGCGGCTGCGTAACAGGCGCTCTCTGGGGCTGCTGGACAGGAGGAGCAGCCTTGGGCTTCGGCTGCTCGTCTGGCTCAAACAGATGCCGTGGCGCCTGTGGTTTTGGCATTTCTGCAGGTATGTTCAGCCTCCTTTTATCCGCTGACAGGTCGCCTACCTGCCGTATGAAGAGTCCGGGCGTGAGCATGTGCGATGTGACCAGGAACGTCTCCCGCCCCGTCTGCCTTCCAACATCATAGCACGCTCGCGCTTCTGAGTATGTTGCGCCTCCCGCCATGAAGACGATGACCCGCTGCCGGTTCTCTAGGCCAGAATTTGCGGTTCGCGTTCGGGCCCATGTAGGTTTCGCTGAGCGTAGTGAGGCTGCAGTCTCTTGACGCTGAAGCCCATCGCCCATGTCTAATGGCGGCTTTGTGTATGGGAACACTGTAGGGTCTAGCGTATTGCTTGCATGTGCCTCCAACAGATTCTGTAGCACAGGTTCGTACCTGCTCAGTGCATACTCTTCCTGTACTGTCACTGGCGGCGGCTTCTTCGGGAATAGTGGCTGGGGTATAGGCCGAGAATCCTTGATGTTTCGAGTCGTTCGAGCGCCAAGGATCTCGAGGTTCTGTAACACTTCACCGTCCTGTGGTGAGAGTTGGGCATGGGCAATCAGTTTCTGCAGGTCTGCCGGCACCATGCCATCTCTGAAAAGCATGAAGAGCATCAAGAGGCGTAGGCGATCAGGTGGGACCACACCGCCTTCGTCAAGTGTAGCAATGACTTGCGCTGCTACGCCTTTGGGCTTCTTATACTCCTCGTCGAGGCCAGTTGCAAGGATCTGTGTGCAGCGTTAGTATATGACTCGCAAAGTACAAGCGGGAAGTGCGCACCTGCTCGACCGATGCCACATCAGGCAAATTTCGCTGCTGAAAACGATTCATGCTTTCTTGGGCCATACCTAGATGTAATGAATATGCCTCCTTCATCTGCTGGAACTCCGGAAGCCCTGCCATCATGTCCTTAATCGTGTTCAGGTGAACTCCCTCTGCCTCCTTGTTGGTGAAGTTTGCATTGTTCTTCAAGAAGTTCTTGAAGTCAGATTCCAACTTGGCTATTACATGGACCATATGTTGATGTCTGTTTTCCGCCCATATCTTGTCCTTTTCGGTGATTTCGACGTCCTTTTCTTCTTGATCCAACTGCCCCTCGTTGACCATCATCCGGTATGTCACTTTGTCGCCCTCCTTGATGGGCAACAGATCGTGTGCCATGGCTTGGTATGTGAACTCGTGTAATATAGGCGCGTAAAGATCCATGGATCGATCAACGATGTACAGTGCTCCCCGCGGCCGCGTAGTGGGCGGGGGAAAGTCTTCGTGGAACTTGGCATACAAATCGAGCTCATCTTGCACGAAGCGAGCCAGATGTGAGCACAGTATGCTGGCTTCATGCGTGGGCGTTCGAGGTCGATAGTAGCGGATAGTGGGATATTCTCCGAGCGCTACGCAGACCCCTACAACCTGTACTCATGTCAACCTCAGCCTGTCAGAGCTTCTGGGTCGAGTCTACCTTTTGCGCCAAATCCTCCAAGTGCTGCCTGACCAAAGTATTGCAAGCTGGATGGTACAGCACCGGAAAGCTCCATGGGTCTCTGAAGGTGATCAAATGTGACTCTCGTGGGTAGAATTCCACATTCAAAACCTTGAAGAGTGCGATCTGGTCTCGAAACCGCGACTTGTCTATACGCTCTCTAAGTGCCGGTGGTAGCACTACCCTTTGCCGTCAGCATAGTTCTGCTGCCGCCCCCGCCGCCATCCCCCCTCCAGTGCACTCACAGCTCGTCCAGACCAGATGTGATCTCCTGTACTTTCTCTTCTCGAAATCGGCCATGATACAATCCACGATGTAGGCCTGGGGCGAGATGAGGTAGATTGCATCGGCATCGCGGTTCGTAGATCGTCGATCAGTGATCAGCTCAATGCCTGGAGACTAAGTCAGGTCGGGCGAGGCTCTCGAGGTAGCAGTGTGAGGGGCGCGCGTACTCATGATATTCTCGTTGAGGATCACATCTTGATCAATGACATTATCGATCAGCTTGCGCGAGTCTGGATCAACGACCAGCACTTTCCACTGTCGGGAGTCGTGGTTAGAATGATCATGAAGTAGGCGGCAACAGCATGACTGGAGGGGCATACATCGTCGCGAGTTATCTGGCGGAGCACATTGAGGATGACTGGCGAGACATCAGCATACGGGAAGGAGGTCGCTATAGCACCAGCAGGGCTCACTGTCGCGCTGGGCGTCTATAATCGAGACGCCCATATCGTCGGTGCTAGAGCCGAAGCTGAAGCTGAGACTCAAGCTCTCGCTGGCGACAAGGTCGGTCCAAGGGTCAATCAGGGGTGTAGTTGGCACATCCGGTCGGCTGTATAGGGTGTGTGTGCTTGGGTGAGGTCAGAGTGAGAGCGAGTGACAGCGGCCGTGATCCGTGGAGGTAGGTTCATGTACTAAGCTTAGTGTCTGGCAAATGAGGAGGAGGAGGAGGAGGAGGAGGAGGAGGTTGCAAGCTGTACGGGATTTGGTAATTCACGCGAGCAACAGCAGCTTGCGACAATAATACTGTGATCAGGTACCGTACCGTGGAGGTAGGTAGGTAGTTCTAATGGACGTGGGTAGACACCCGCCCCGCTAGAACCAAACATTAACTACCAGGTAAACTATTCGATTTTTGTCCCTCGATGGAAATTACCAGTGGTGTCTTGACAACTCCTATCGCCTCCCGTAGAGATTGTTCGGTGGTCTGTACCTTACCTGAGGTACCATTTGCCTGCCTACCTAGCTAGGCTAACCTAGCCCAGGTGTCCAGGACATTCCGAAAAACTTATCCTCACAAACAAGCAATCAAGCAACCAACCATTCCATCTCGACTGTGGTCAGGTTTTCCGATAACGGGTTGCAATGATCGTTTCAGCTCGGACGGGGAGCCGCTGCATCAGATGTGTCTACCGAGCCCACCTACGCGGCCTGCAGCAAAAACGGTGCAATTCGACTACGCCTGAAGACTGGCAGCCATCGCCCGAGAAAGCGAATCTGTTCCGCAAGACAGGAGGTCCACGAAAGAGCGAATATGATGGCGGTCTATCAATCGGCCGGATGTCGCAGGACAATGGAGAAAAAGAATATAGCTGGCCGGACCCGCCGAGAATTGCGAGGAACAGAACCGATCCATTGTCTGGAAAGGGTAGATACGGCAGAAAGGAGGGGTTCATGGCGGTTCTGCCACACGTTCTGTCAAAAGTGAGGGAGGAAGTCAAAGACGCGCCCGTGTTGAATCAGGTGGCGAAAGACACGCAGGAATGGGATGGCAAGAGCGCGAGAGACCTGAGCTTCAATAAGCTGTGGAAATCCTTCACCACCAAGATCATGTCTGGTGCGACGAGCGATGGCATCTCGCTGGGCCGTGACCAGACGTTATACGAGGATCTCTCCAATGTGTTTCGAGAACGAGGCAGGCACGGGCTCGATGACAGAGTCAAGTACGCCTTTTACGGACATGTCACGGGCTCGCGCTTCACATCCTCTGACATCAGGAATCAACAGACAATGACTGATTTGAGGTATCCTAATGAATGGTTTCCTGCAACAAGAATGATGCACCGGACAATTCATCTGCATGTGGGACCTACCAACTCTGGGAAGACTTATCATGCTTTGCAGAGACTCGAGCAGGCCAAGACTGGAACATATGCTGGACCTTTGCGACTCCTGGCCCACGAGGTATTTACCAGGCTGAATGCCAAGGGCAAGCCGTGCGCGCTTGTGACGGGCGAAGAGAGACGTCTACCCCCTGGCTCCCAACCAGACGAACCGATCGAGGGGGCCTTTAACATGACGGCATGCACAGTGGAGATGATGCAATTAAATAAGCCCTTAGACGTGGCGGTCATCGACGAGATCCAGATGATCGGCAATGCTGAAAGAGGCTGGGCCTGGACGCAGGGGCTTTTGGGGGTCATGGCAAGAGAAGTGCATTTATGTGGTGAAGAACGAACCGTGCCACTGATCAAGGAGCTCTGTGCCAGCGTGGGCGAAAAGCTTGAGATTCATCGGTACCAGCGTCTATCGCCTCTGGCCGTCTCGGACTCTTCTCTCGATGGCGACCTTCGCAAGCTGCGCAAAGGTGACTGCATCGTTTCCTTCTCCGTTATGGGTATTCACGCTTTGCGCAAACAGGTCGAGAAGTCGACTGGCCGTAAAGTTGCAACTGTCTATGGATCACTCCCTCCAGAGACCCGTGCACAGCAAGCTCGACTCTTCAATGATCCTGATAATGATTATGACTATTTGGTTGCCTCTGATGCTGTGGGAATGGGTCTCAACCTGGCCATCAGGCGAATCATTTTCGAGTCGTCCTCGAAGTTCAACGGAGTATCTCGGCAGAGGCTCAGCATAGCAGACATCAAGCAGATTGGTGGCCGTGCAGGACGTTTTAGAATTGCAGAGCAAGGCAAAATAGGAGCGGCATCTGCAGAAGAGCTCGCTGCTGCGAAGGGAGAAGCTGCTGTGCATGACTCTGATATGGACGCCTCCCACGAAGAGTCTCAGAATCTCGGTCTCGTGACGACTCTGGAACGGTTCGACTTCCCGGTCGTGCGGGCAGCCATGAGCGCAGAACCCGAGCCCATCAAATCTGCCGGGCTATTTCCACCCGCAGCGATTTTGGAGCGATTTGCTGGCTACTTCCCCCCGGGCACGCCTTTTTCATATATACTAACGAGATTGCACGAGTTGAGCCAAATTCACTCCCGCTTTCACCTGTGTGGGTTGAGAGATCAAGTCTGGATCGCGGATATCATTGAAGGCGTGGAAGGTCTTTCAGTATCCGATCGAAACATTCTCTGCTCTAGCCCTGCCGCCAAGAGCGATTTGGATCTGTGGAAGCAGCTCATGCCTGCATATGCACGATGCATCTCCACCCAGTCTGGTGGCAACATTTTGGATATCAAGGAGCTGCCGCTCGAGATCATGGAGGCCGAAATTCAAGGCACAAGGGAGTACTTGCGCGAGCTCGAGAGACTGCACAAGGGCATCGTCGTGTATCTGTGGCTCAGCTACAGGTTCGCCGGTATCTTCAGTACTCGAAGCCTGGCTTTCCACGTCAAGGGATTAGTGGAAGAGAGAATCGAGAAAACACTCAGCCACTTTTCTTTCTCGGAAGCCCAGCGTCGTAAGATTGCCGCGCTGCGCGAGAAGCAAATGCTGCAATCGCTGGTTCAAGAGTCGGAAGATCAGTCTGACAAGATGGAAGTAAAAGCCCAGTCGACTCGTACTGACCAACTAGGCGAGACAGAATATCCTGCCGCTGATGGCGCCGAAGAGGAGAGCCTGCACAGGCGGCGAGTTGTCTCGGCCGAACAGGTGGATGACGATAACTTCGACTTCGGAGCTCAGCTCGATGGTCTCGCCGAGCAGCCCATAGCGCTCCAGCCCCGACAGCTGGATGAACAAAGCAGTCAGCTCGCCGGCGGTGATCACTTTGGTGGTTCAACAGAGGACATAGAGCTCGAAGAGCCCGGCCTCGAACCAGACGGCATAGATGAAGATGCGAGGACGCCTAGTGAGGAGGCTGCCGATACTAGTGAACAAGCTGAGCAGCCTGCAGTCGATAAATCTCAGCAGAAGAGCTCATCCGCGAGTGTATAGTTGGGATTGTATAACATATACAGTGTACAGATAACTATAAACACATGCCACTGCTGCTGGCTTAGTGTCGCAGCCTACAATGTACAACACTACACTCTTGACCGCATTCGATTCTCTGCAATCTTGCTGATCTGTTTCTTCCCTCCCTCTTGACATTTTCCGCAGCAAAATCAACAGCCGCCCATACCAATGCTAAAGAGGTAGGTAGTAGAGATACACATAACAGGCAGCACACGACAAAGACCACCCACTTCATCTCGCCCTCTGGGTAATACCGATGCGATCAATCATAATCTTTCTCTTCTCCAGCCAAGTCCAGTCTAGGTACCTTACCTTACCTTACCTAGTAGACCTAGTAGTCATTCTTTTTCGGGAATACATTGATTTATACCTTTACAAACATCATATCCGGGCACGCGAAGCAGGCCCCTCCTGATATCATATTAGCGCATGCAAATTTACTAAGTACACAACATGTACTTATGGAGTTCTATAAAACCTACGTCCCAAGGCAACAAATTAGGTACCTAAACATACCTACATGTACCTGGCCCGTCAATTATATCAAACCACTCTTGATTCGCAAACTCCAGCAGCAAACGCGCATTCGCTAGGCCATGGCAACGAACATCGTAAGAAGGCAAGGTTACCAGGAACTGCAATAGCTAGACCTGAGTCGAGCATCACCAATAGCAAGTCTAAGGTAGGTAGGTACTGATTGTATGCGAAAGAGGGCATGTTGGGGTGGTATTGTCATCAAGACGCAAGTATCTAAAGGTATGTATCTCATTGCCGGGCATGTCATTGCGTACGATTGCCAACACGACGACACAGTAGAGGATTGTTTGTGAAATCCCCGCCAGATACAGTACTCAACGTCAATCCTTCTGGAACAGCTTTTGTTGCTCGAAGGAGACATCTGAGGGAGGTAAACAGCACAAAGAATGTCTGGACAATGGCAGCATCGCCAACGAGACAACCCGATAAATGGGCTTTGTGTCGAGTTCTTGGCATTCACCGCTTGAAGAGGTCGTATCCTTGAGAGTAGACTGGCCACTACAGCCAATAAGTGCGACTTCTTCTTTTCCCCGAAGCGCAGGACCGCACGATATCAACCTTGTGATCATGCGCAGCCGAGGCCCTACAACCAGCATAGCATTTGCATGCGATAACACTTTTCTAAAGTTCTTCGCAGCTCCACTGCGCAACTATAAACGGCAGTCCTCCACGTCTAGTCCAGTTCGTGTCGTGTTAAGTCACCATGACGCCTAGGCGAGGGTCGCAGGCTCGCGGAAATAATAAAATGAAGGAATGTTCACTTTGATTGAAAGATTAATCAGATATTGATAGAGATAGAGATGGATCTGGTCGCCTGCTGCCAGCAAAGGTCGGACAGGGGAGGGAGGCTGGCCATACATGCCATGTCGTAGCCGCGCAGGACAGGTGGCGGAGACGATCGACTTCCGAACCCATAGAAGAGAGGCATCCGCAGTCGGATCCGGTGGTATGGTTGGCAGACTCCGCATTGCGATACCGTGGACCTTTAGGAGTAGAGATCTGGCTGGCCTTTCGCGGCTGATCAGTGCGCAGAACTTTCGACGGGTACCGTGCTGTGATGTCCTGACCCGGCCTAAATTGCTAGCTGCTGTGAAATGGGCAGCGTTGTGATCATCATGTGCGCTCAGTATTCAATTCAAGGCCACGGCTGTTTCAGAGATTCGGGACCCGCCGAGCCACATCCTGGGCCGAGACTCACAGCGCCGCCAACCATGCCTGAGGTGTCTCTGTACTGTCGTCAGCAGACACGGACACCTTGACTATGTCCTACCTCGGAGGTGTGGCCTGCACATTGCTCTTCAAGAGCACGTAGTAATCGAAGCGCATGACGAAAGCAGCATTTCATGTATCATGTGTTGAGAAGTTCAAAGGCCATGTTGGAGCCATCACAGTTTGCGTTCGTCTTCCATTGACAAGTCAACTCTTCAGCGCCTCCAGTCTGTTTCTCATCTGCGCCAATGTCTCTTCTGACTCGAAATCGTCTTCCTCGGGTTGCGCTTCCACAGGTCCCAGCGGCTCACTCGGCAATTGAGGAGCAGCAGTCTTATCCTTGAGCACCTCTCCCAATATCTTGTCAACCTCGGCCTCGGCCTCTTCATCCTCCCCTTCCAGCAACTCTTGGTCAGGTAACGAGTCGCCTACCATTTCTTCGATGATTCCGGCCTTAACAAGCTCTTGTGATAATTCTCTCATGGTTCCTGTCAACTCAGGCAGTTTCACCAGCATATTGACATCCTTCATGATTCCCACACTATTCCTGATGCCTCCTTCAATCTTCTTCATTGCAAAGGCCTCGTTGACTTGCATGCCGACGCTTTGCAATGTAGCTTTACTCGTCGCTAGTCGCTGTGTTTGTCGCCGCACTCGAATCAGTTCTCGGGCGAATATTCGTGTTTCTGCGGAGGCTTGCTTCGCTTGTGAGGGGTTCTTTTGGGCGCGTTTCGAGGCTTGGAGGATAAGGGACTTGGTCTTCGATTCGAGGGCTTTCAGGTTTTGCAGATCGCGATCAAGCTTACGCGTGTTGGAGCGGAGAAGGGAGTTGCATTTTCGTTTCTAGAAGACCATGTGTGAGAGGAGACGCGCAGTTGGGTGCACAGGCAGGTAGGCAGGCAGGCATACCTGCTCCTCGGGTGAAGGTCCATAGAAGAATCGCCGAGCGGCGTCCATTGCGTGCGCTTGCTACGGTCGTACCAGGAGCCGGCTGTCGCGATGTAGACTGGGTGTGGTATAGACCAGTTCTGCCTAGCGGGAGAGGGGGACGAGGAGAAGGCGAAGGTGTCACAGTTGGCACAAGACAAGCATGTGACAGACTTGACACGAGAGTCAGGTAGTGAAGTCCGATCGTTAGCGCCAAGAGACCGCGTAGTGACGATGTCTGTCTGTGCTCCTTCGTGGGGCCTGACCTGAGCCTGAGGAACGTCCCCGCTTGGAGAAGATGCTGTGCCCAGACCAAGAGCTTCAGCTCATCGCTTCCATTCGATTCGGACCATTTCCAGCCTAGCAAACGCTCACGGCCTTCACATTCACATCCACAACTGTGACTTCTAATTCTTTTGCACACAACAGCTGCACCACTCGTCCACCATCCCACATCTACCACATATACCACGAGCCCCGTACGACAGAAAGCTACAGCAAATATGAGCGCGCAGCCCAAGGACACCACCGATGCAAAGATCGGGTCCAAGACGTTGACTCCAGAAGGTGAGCATATGCACTGAGAGGGCCAGCTAATCGCATTGGATGGAGCCATTGGGATGCAGCCACGGGAAGGAAACAACTACTGACAATACACCTATAGTGACCTGGGCACAACGCTCAAGCGCATCCGAGGCCGAAAAGAACCACATCTTTCTGACCATCGCCGTACCCGATGTCGACCCCAAGAAGATCAAGCTCGACATCCAACCGCAATCGCTCTCCTTCAGTGGATATAGCGAGTCGAAGAAGGCTGATTACGCCGTGACCCTCGAATTCTTCGCCGAGATCGACCCGTCCGCAAGCAAGATCCACCACTCTCCTCGCGCCGTGGAGCTGGTTCTGCAAAAGAAGGAGCTCAAGGCAGAGTACTGGGATCGCCTGCTGAAGGACAAGCAAAAGGTTCACTTCCTGAAGACTGACTTTGACCGCGTAAGTGCAGCCTATTACTGAGCCTAGCAAGACGATTCGCACTGACACGAGTCCTCACAAACAGTGGGTCGATGAGGATGAACAGGACGTTGCAGCAGATGACGATGACTACATGTCACGCATGGGTGGCATGGGCGGCATGGGAGGCGGCGCAGATGGCGGATTCGGAGGTATTGACTTCTCCAAACTCGGCGGCGCAGCTGGCATGGGAGGCATGGGAGGCATGGGCGGCGAAGATGATGACGAGGGAGACGAGGACGACGCCGAAGAGATGCCAGAATTGGAAGGCGAGGATGATGACGCGCAAGGCGGCGCCGCTGGTGCCACTGCGGATAAGGGAAAGGCGAAGATTGAGGAGGTCGAGTAGAGCGAAGCCGACTGAAAACTGCTGTGTCGCTCGTGCAAGTCCGGAATGGCGCCGATGGACCCTGAAGTGATAGCTGCGTAGGAAGCAAAGATTGCTTACAGCCGCAAAGCATTCGTCGATGCCAGCGGGATTAAGTGGAGGACTACGATAATGTGGTCCACAACATGGAAGGGTCGTCGGAAAATGGACAACTCTTGCGACCGACACGGTCAAAGCCTCGATCGTTGACCTTCTCCAACCCATGAGGGGAGTCTATTGCAACCTGCTCCTGGTCTAAGAGCATGCATTGCCATTGGGTGGCGCTTCAGCGAGCGTGTGTTGATGTTCAGATTAGGGCTCTATGCATGCCAAAAAAAATTATAGTCACATATGCCAATAGAAGAAATTGGAAGATACATGACTTTCTTTTGCCCCTGAAGGTTTCTTCTGCTGTGGATGATTTGGAATACGGATATCTTCCGAATTGAACTTAGAAGAATTTGGAAATTGCGAGCGCTTAATCCAGGGTGGTCCCCAATCAAACCAAAGTGAAAAAAAGTCAAAGATTGATTGATTATGTAATCAGAGCCCGAAATATTGATTAAGCTTTGGTTAACCCCCTCAAACTTTGATTGAGTTTGACAACTTTGACTTTAACTACCCTTTTTGGATACCCCCCCGGAACGGCCTCTAATTGGCTTAATTATATTACGTACTTCCTATATCTGCCTAAGGCAGTAGGCTTATCAGGCTTATCTTATTCTTAGATATCTTATTGTTAAGTATCTTATTTATTTACTTACTTATTTATTCCTTACTTCCGTAAACAGCTAGGCAACAGTAGTATTTATTTACTTAATTAGGTAGGAACCCAATTAGGCAGTAGTGTAGTAGGTTCTATAAAGCAACTTATTTCTTCTTTTCAAACCCTCTTCTTTACAACAATATCTACCTACCTACCTACTAACCTACCTACCTACCTACCTACTTACCTACCTACTTACCTACCTACCTACCTACCTACCTACCTACCTACCTACCTTACTAGCAGCCTTAGCAACAGCCTTAGCAACAGCCTTAGTAACAGTCTTAGCAACAGCCTTAGCACTAGTAGCCTTACCTTACTAGCAGCCTTACTAGCAGCCTTACTAGTAGCCTTACTAGTAGCCTTAGCAATAGCCTTAGCAACAGCCTTACTAACAGCCTTACTAATAGCCTTACTAACTACTACCAACTAAAAATCAGAAAAAGCAAGGATGTTATTAGTCAAAAAGGGAAACTAGAGCCTCTCCTCCCGCTCTAGTAGAGGTACTAGTAGCTAGAATCTAAAGAAGCCTAGTAGAGATAGTCTAAAAGGCCTAAAGTAGGGCAAGATAAGTAGGAGAGAGTTAGAGATTAAGCAGCTTGTTAGTATCTAGGGAGAATACTTTAATAAGGACACTAACAAGTTGATTATTAAGAAGTATACTAGTCTTTAGAATAAGGTCTCCTAGGCTTAACTCAATTAATTGTTACTTACCTTCTAACAAATTCTTAGAGAAGATACTAGCTACTTGTTAATATTTGCTCGTAACCCTTATAGTAGTGTTTAGTTCTAGTAAGGTAATAATAAGGTATTTCAGATTCGATATAGAATTAAGGAGGTTTTAAGAAGGCCTAAGGGCTTTAGCTTTAACATTAATAGTAGAGGATACTACCTCCCCTCTATCCTAGGCTTAATTTCTTAAGGTACTACTATTTAGGATAGTACTAATACCTATACCTAATACTAGAGAGGGAGGGGCCTATTTGCTAAATACATTAAGATAAATAGTAGTAATAATAATAAGGAGTAGCTTTAGGAGGGTGTATACACAAATTGTGTATATACTAATTATTTTAGTAAGTCTTACTCTCTAATTAATCCTTAATTGATTGTTTGTTTTTAACTAATATTTTTATAGGAGATTGCTTATTCTATCTATTAGCTAATAGTAGCTAGGCTCCTAATAATATATAGGATAATAATCTGGATATCAATACTATTAGTCGCTTTAACAGAGCTGATTAACGCCTTCTACCTAGGCAATTTACTATTACCTACCTAATAGATACTAATAAAGATCAACGCACTTAGTTAATAAGGCTTAATTAGGCTTTCTAATTTGTCTATCTGGATGTCTAGGAGGAGATTAGGGCTTTTAATGCTTAGTAGCTAGCTAAGTATTAAGCTAGTAAAGGAAAGGATAGCAAATAAGATAGTAATAGAGTTAAGGTATAACAAGGAGTTTAGTTAAGAAGTAAGGGTTTTTTAATAATACAGTCTTAGGTAAGCAAAAGTTAGTAGAGCTTTAATACTTTGTTTTTAAGGAGTTTGTACCTTTTGAGTCTTAATACCTTAAGGCTTAAAGATTAAGTAACTGTCTCTCTTTAGCCTTTAGGTATTAAGACTCTAATCAATTTTGAGTATCTTAGTATTAAAGAAAATACCAGATCCCTATTAATAATAGTAGTTTATATATTCTTACTACCAAAAATGTTGTAGTATACCTAATATAGTTGATATATGTCTTCTAAAATAAAGGCAATTCTAGGAAAATAAGTAATTCGGTTTTTTGATTACTATACCTCCAATTCTTGCTTAATTAATATCTTTCTCCTAAGGAATATATTGTTTGATATTGCTAATCTAACTATTAGACTGGTTAGAGATATAGGTCTATACTTACAAGTCTTATATATTTTGGGCAACCCTAAATATTATAGTATTAATACTTGATAAAGTTATAGAAGGAGGCTAAACTTAATTTACGGGCGTAATCTGAAAACTCTGCACTCTATACTAACTAGTAATAAGAATCAATCTATTAAGGATACTATATTAAATAGATATAAGCTAGGAACCTACTTAGTAGGAGTCAAATCCTTAACCTCCTTTAGAGGCATCCCTCGCGACTATCTCTAGTATTAGCTATAACAATACTAATTAAGTACTCTATTCTAACTCTAGAGCCTTAGCAATCGGACTAACAACAGACATCTAAACCTATAATATCTTTAGAGATATTAAGAAAGGAGCAAGTAGTAGTCAGCTAATGCTTTAATAGGCCTAATATATTCTAAACAAAGTACTACCCTCGGAAATAAGCTATCCCCTAGTAAGTTAAACAAGTGTTCTCTCTGGTTTTAATATATTAGACTTAATTAGCTAGGTTGCAGTAGATAATTAGGAAGATAAAAGCCTAGAGGGCTAGGAGACTAAAGAGAATAATAATATTCTGAAAGAGATAATTAAAGAAACAATTCAAGTTATTAATAAGAGCTAGGTATAATAGGGTACAAAGTACTACTTAATTATGCCTTTAAGAACTTAGACAAGCTTTATTTGGAACGAATCTAATAGTTTCTAACTTAGTAATAAGGACGATGCTCGCTTCTAGATCTATACAAGATATGTTTAGGATAGAAAGAAGTATACTAAAGACTCTCCTATTATCTTTTCCTACAAGCAACAAACCAACCCTATAACAAACTATCTTCTAAATAAGTACTTTATTAATAAGTTTAGACTTATTCCTCCCTTAAAAAGGAAGGGAATCTTTAGGAACTAAGGTATTATTGCTAAATACAAGCTTAATCTAGATGTTTAAAGTACTACTGATATTGCAACTTATCTCTTAAGTAGCTTTGATCTAAAGAAGTTCTTTCTTTTACTTCTCTCCTAGATTATTCTAGACAATATTCCTTTTAGAACTATTAAGACCCTATACTTCAAAACCCTTCTTAATTACCTTAACCTACTTATTGTAGAATTATTAGTTAGTTATTAAACAGTTAGAAGATAGGTAATAAAGCTTTTCTATAACTATATTCCTATTGTCTAGGAGATGCTCTCTAAAGCTGTCTTAAAGATTTATATTAGCTTTGATCTCTAGTTATCTAGCAACAATATATCTTTAGTAGGTATTATTGTTTACTTTATAGATACTAATCTTCGCTAATAGAACTTCCTTATTAGTATTCCTACCTATTATAGAGGCTATAAGGGTAAAAATATTAGCTAGACTATAATAAAAACCTTTAAAATATTTCAAATTCAAAGTAGGCTAGGATAGTTTACCTCTAATAATATAATAAACAATAATATAGTAATAGATGTACTTACTATAGAGTATTATTTTGATCCTTTTAAGAGAAGAGTCCGCTGTATTAGCTATATTCTGAATCTTATTGCTTAAAGCATTATAATTAGTACTTAATTGAATAATAATAGCTTACCTCTTACCTAATAACAAGAGAATCTTCTTAAGGATAATAAGACTTAGGCAAAGCTTTAGAGAAGTAGGGGAAGTGTTAGCAAGCTATACAATATTATTATCTATATTTATAGTTCTATTTAGAGGATAGAAGTATTTACTACTCTTTAACAATATATTAAATAACTTACAAAGTATACTAACAAAAGCTTTAATAGTATTCTCTATACCTTAGTAAGGGACAATAATACTAGATAGAACAGTATCTATAAGATAATTACTAGGGCTTTATATCTTTAGGATACTATTAAGTAGTTTATTGCTACTAAGAAGCGGAAATAGTATAACTATAAGGAGTAGTATAACGAACGAATTCGTAAGATTAAGAGAAACAACCTAAATCGCAAGATACTTCCGAAGAAAAAAGATCTACCTAAGATACTAATAAATAAGCTTTCTCCAAATAATTAGCTTGAATTAAGGATATATTAGAAGATTCTTAGACTAATTAAGGATCTTACAATCAAGCTTTAAGGTTAACTAGGCAATTATAGTTATATCTATTATATTATTCCTAAATTCTTAAAGATTAGGGAATACCTATAGCAAGTACTTTAAGAGCTTAGCAATACTAACACTCTAGGCTATACTAATGAATCTTTACACTTTACTAGACTAGCTACTTAGGATCTTGTTAAGGACTCTATTTACTAATCTTCCCTACCGCTTTTAACTAACAACCTTCAGGCCTTTCTAGATACCTTAGAAATCCGGATAGAATCTTCTAATCTTAACCTATTCCTTACTAAAGCTAATAATATCTAGTTCAACTAGTAGGGTAGTAATAAAGATAGGTTGAGAAATTCGAGACAAGGCTAAGCTTATAAGTTATACTATTAACTCAACCTTAAGCGTAGTCTTAGGAAATTGGAAGTATATTAGGAAAAGCTCTTCTATTATCAAGTTTATATAGTAGCTATTATCTTAAATCTAAATAACAATATCTATTAGTTTAGGAGGACAAGAACTGTTGTAGGCTTAGATAATTAGCCTTCTATTACTTAACAGAAGTTTACTAATACTAAGATCAAAGTTGTTAAGGACAATATTAGGGTATTATAGCAAGAGTATAAGGATAAGGAGAATCCCTATATTATTATTCCTTTATTACTAGCAAGAAAAAAGGCTAAGACAGATAAGGCAAAGAGGACTAATTATAATATAGATATTTATAATTTAAGTAATAAGGAAGAGTAGAAGGTAAATCTTAGTACCCTAGATAATAAGCTTAATTAGTATCTAAAGCAACTCCTATTTTCTAGCAAATTCAGGTTGAAGATAGAGGATATTAAAGGTAATACCTCTCCTCTTATTGTATAGTAGTAGGGGAAGCGAAATAAGTAGCCCTTACTATTAATAATAGCTATTAATATCTTGAGTATCCCTCTAATATCTAATAAGCCTAAAGGAACATTTAGTAAGACTAGGTATATAGTAACTAAGTAGAGGAATCGTCTTAAGGAGGGAACTATTCAATCTGTTATAGTATTAAAGAGTTAGCTAAGATAGGAGGTTATTAAGTTAGACAATCCTGAAATTAGTAAAGCTTAGGATATTAAGGAATTCAAGAAATATAAGAATAAGGTATAGGATACCTAGTTTGAAAGCCTAAGTTTGCTAGATTGAACACTATATATAGGTACCTTAGTCAGAATTTTTCCCTTCCCCCCTACCCCTAGTCAAACCTTAAAGTTGTCAAAGTTAAGGCCCCCTTAACTTTGATTGCTAAGAGTTTGGTCAAACCTAAGGTCTCTTAACTTTGATTGGTTAATTAATCAAACTTCAATCAAAGTCTTGGCATAACTTTGATTGGGGACCACCCTGGCTTAATCGGACAGATAGAGTCAATCGCCTCGCCTTTTGTAGACCGATGAAGAGAAATTTAGACGCTGACTACATGTATCTACAATTCTTCATGTACCTACCTACCTACATGTGCCTGGTAGGTATGTTTGCAATACCTAGGTCGTTCATGCCTAGGTAGGGAGGTACTGACTGACCCTGGCCAGCCCCTTCGCCGAAGAGTAGGTATACCTTAGTTCACGTCGCCGTTTATTCTCGGGGACTACCGTGCATCCTGTAAAGTGGACTCCCAGTACTAACTGTCTTTGCAATGTAAGAAAAAGAAGAAAGCAAAAAGACTTTCACTGCAAGATCAAGCCCATTCAACTATCTGAGATAGCGTGTAAACATTGTAAAGTAGGTAGGTATAGAGATATAAGATTGTACTCATTAAAGATGAACAGCTACAAGAAGTTATCGCTATGCTGCTTCGTAGGTCTATGCAAACTGTACATTTCTGTAGTCGGGCACTTTCCTGTCTGCCCATCTCGTTTGGCTTGCTCGGGGGAAAATTAAAAAAGAAACTGGGGACGGATATCACTCCATTCATGCCATGCCGCAATCCAAAATCGACCACCTGCCCTCCTTTCCATTCCCTGGGACCTGAAGCGTGTCATCTTAATGTCATTATGTTGCAGAGGCGCCATTTCCTGTTCCTGTGAGAGACAACGCTCTGTTCCGCGCCAGCCAAATCGCCAGTGGTGATTTTCTGGTCAGTCGTCGCCCACAGCATGCCTTTCTCACAATCCCATCGGAGATACTATTCGGGTCCTTTGGTAACCTTGAGGGGTAGAGGTGGACCAGTCCCGCTGCGTGCTCGTCTCTCACGCTCACCTACTCCAGTTTCGGGTACCTTGATGCGCAGTGGCTTGCCGCCATTTCTCCCGCTTTCGAACCGACCACTGGTAGCTCGTTCCCATTCGCTCTGATTGTCGGTCTCCTCCCGTCCTAGCCAGTATCTCTTGCTGGGAAGTCTAAGCATAGCCCTTCCAAGCTTTCCTGTCCAGCCTGCGCCTTCCTGTCGGTCTAGTGCGAAAGGCGATGGCGCCATGGTGGCATCCGCAGTCTCGCTACTGCTGTATTGCGGGCTGCTCGAGCTCGCCTGTGCGACGTACTGCCTGAGCATACTCCTGGCGTAGCTCATGACCACGAGGCAAAAGTATACTCGCACCACTGTGAAGAGTGCTAGTAATGCAATGCTCGTCATGCTATCGCTTTGTAAGACAGCCCCGCCGATAGCTGCTGGACCTGACCCTGCGCCGAATACAACCGCCTCTTGTCCCGGCAGAATGCCCGAACCCGGCTTTGCAATGACATTGACTTCGGTCACGTTGTGTTCTGGATGCGTGAAGCCTGCTGTGTCTCCCATAGTGCTGGCACCTCCGACGTTGTGGCTTCCATTGAGGGGGTTGTCCTTGCCGGGCTCCTCGAGGTGTTGCGAAAGCAGTAGGAACCAGCCCATGCTGAAGAGGGTGGTATAGATGCCGTTGACAATGGTGTCGATCACGTAGACATATGCGAGGGCGACGTTGCGGAGTGGCTGATCGGGCCGCCGTATGCTGGGCATGAGGTATAGGATGAGGCCGAATACGACGAGCGAGTAAATGTAGTGGCTGAGCTGTAGGCCGTTGAGGTCATATCCGGTGAAGAGGGCGAGAATGCCATAGAGTCCGGTGACTTTGTTGATCGCCAACGTGAAGCTGATGAACTCTGTCGCGGTCCGTAGGGAGACGAAATGGAGGAGGCTCTGGAAGGGCTTCTGTCAGTACGGTATAGCCAGTCAGAGAGAGAGGGGGGATGAAAAGAGCAGCGCACGCACCCTCGGCTTGGGGAAGCGTAGTATAGTCGGCGCCATGTCGCCTACTCTGTGTGTCTGGGAGACTTCGCTGCCCGAAGGTTGTCTCGCTCGGGGCCCGTCTCGCGTCGTCTGGTCCCGTCCAGTGCAAAGCTCGTGTCGCGAGCCCGAAGGCGAATTTGTGCTTCGGAGGGGCGTCGTTATACTGAGTGGGTGGTCAGGAGTACAGTGGCAGCGCAAAGAGGGTTTATTGGGTTTGTTGTGCGGCGAAAGGGTTGTGGACGAGGTGAAGTCGGTGTTTGTGTTTCAGAAATAATCATGGTCGAACAGGACAGGGAGGCTGGAGGCTGGAGGGTCCCAAGCAGGAGTGCACAGGCAGGACATGCACGATGAAGTGATGCACGGCGCTCGCGGCTGCGGCTGCCTCGGAAGACGGCCTTCCGTCTTGACGAGCATCAAATTTGCGTTTTTGTGGGCTTGGACGACATCACTTCTTTCATCTTCGCCTTCTATTCTTACCGCCTTCCAGTACCTCCGTATACCGACTCTATACAGCGCATTTAATGTACCTACCAATGCAGGATACACCGCTCGCGACGTTTCCGTTTCCGCCGACGTTCCTCAGACACTTCTTTGCTATTCTCACCCCTGCGGCGATCCGACTACCCGATGTGCTCATGCTGCGCCTGACCTGATCTGCTGATGTGGCGGACGAGAGAGTCGTCCGCGAGGTTTTCGCCCATGCCCATCACCGTCAACGACAGCGGGCACCTGTCTCGCTTATACCATCGCACTGATGGAGGAGAGGCGCGTTCTTGGCGACTTTTTCTGCCTGCAAGCAAGGGCCAGCATCAGAACTAATCCGTCGCCGTCAGTGGTTTAGTGCTAGCGCCCGAGACAGACAGAACTCCTTCACCAGGACAAACCATGATGAATGTAGAAGCGGCATCCAAAGAACCCACAACGTGGCGCCGCGCCTTTGATCCCAAAAGGACAATGGCTACTATCTGAGAGCCATACCTCTGGTCTTTCAAGCGGACTGTTTGCAATGCTGAACTTGCTGCATGTTCTGTGCTCCGCATTGATCAACGCGCCTCGAACGAGCCAGCCGAGATTACCAACCAGTAAAGAGACCCTGTAGCGTCTCACGATAGCGCAATGTTCGTCGACACTACTATCTACTAACGCCAAACCCACATGACTGCAACCGAATATCTCCTTTTAAGGTTTGAGACTCTGAGAGTGCAGACTTCATTCTGCGACTTTCCATTATCGTCTCCATCTATTTTCCACTCCTTTCATTCTCACCCTCAGTCGCTCGCTGCATACAAACATTCTCCAATCATCGCACTGTTGTGCATGATGCGCTTCGCAGGTTGGCCGATCGTACTTTCGGCATGCTTACTGTCAACTTCCTCTGCATGGCCTGTGCAAGTTCGCCAGCTTTCTGATCTTCTGAGCCCGGTGCTCACTGCTGTTTCGAAACTCACCGGTCCAGTTCTTGATACAGTCGCTTCTTCAAATCTACCTGGATCTTCTATCCTCAATCCGCTCTTGGAGGTCGTCCAGCAGACGGCTTCGGGCCAGGGCCTCGTGCAAGGTGTGCTGGGAGGCCTCGATGGTGTCTTGGGCGAGGAACAAACATTCGATTATGTCATTGTGGGCGGCGGTACTGCTGGTATTCCGGTCGGCGTGAGACTGGCCGAGGCCGGCTTCACAGTAGCGATTGTCGAGGCTGGACTCTTCTACCAGCTTGGGAAGCCTGTGCTAGGTACGACACCAACAGGCGCATTCTTTGGTGCAGGATGGAACTCGCTCGATCAGTTCCCACTTGTGGACTGGGGCTTCACGACGGAACCACAAGAGGGCACGGGTCAGCGACGATTGCATTATGCTCGTGGAAAGGCACTAGGGGGCACGTCCGCTCTCAACTTCATGATTTATCACCGATCGTCCTCCCAAGCCTACGATATGTGGGCTGACCAGGTCGGGGACGACAGCTATCGGCTCGTGAATCTTCAGCCTTACTTTGAGAAGAGTGTCAGTTTCACGCCTCCCAACACTGAAGTTCGCCCGGCCAACGCGACTACCCTGTACGATGCAAACGACTTCACCACTCCCGGAGGGCCAGTTCAGGTAAGCTACACGAATTTCGTCTCCACCTGGACATCGTGGCTAGAGCAGGGCCTGAAGTCTGTTGGGATGAAAGTCACTACAGAATTCAACAGTGGTAAACTACTCGGGTATCACTACGCGCAGGCAACCATCAGACCGGAAACACAGTCCAGGAGCGCTTCGGATGATTATCTTCGGCTTATTGAGGATACCTCGAAACTCAAGGTCTTTACGCAGACAACCGCGAAACAGATCATATTCAATGGAACCACTGCTGTCGGCGTCAAAGTCAATACCCTTGCTCTTCTCGAGAGAACAATATATGCCAGCAAGGAAGTGATCCTAAGCGCAGGCGCGTTCCAATCGCCCCATCTACTCATGGTATCTGGTATTGGGCCAAAAAGCACTCTCGACTCCTTCGGAATTCCGGTCGTCTCGGCGCTCGAGGGCGTGGGACAGAACATGTGGGATCATATATTTCTAGGCCCAACGCACGAGGTCGCTTTCGACACCTTATCAAAAGTCTTCCGTGACCCTGTCGTACTGGCCGAGACTTTGGCAGACTATCTTGCCGTGCCGCCAACAGGCCCGTTGACATCCAATGTAGCCGAACTGATTGGCTGGGAGAAACTCCCCGAGAAATACCGTTCCACATGGTCCGAAGAAACTAGAGCGGCAATGTCACAATTCCCACCAGACTGGCCCGAAATCGAAGTCTCCACAGCCAACGCGTACATTGGTGATTTCATGTTCCCATTACTCCAACAACCGCTCAATTTTAACCAATACGCCACCATCTTCGGCATCATGAATGCACTGACATCGAGAGGAAACATCACCATCACATCCTCCGATATCAACGATGCTCCCATCATAACTCCAAATTACCTTACCACTAAAGCAGACCAAGAAGTCGCCGTCTCCTGGTTCCGTCGCATGCGAGAGATCTGGGATACTCCCGAACTCCAATCCATCACCATCAAACAGGACGACGGCTCTGCAGAATACTGGCCCGGTCCCGACGTTGACACTGACGAGGAGATTTTGGACCTCATTCGATCGAGTTTCATGACGGTATGGCACGCGTCGTGTACGTGCAAGATGGGCAAACGCGAGGATTCGATGGCTGTGGTGGATAGTGGTGCTCGAGTGTTTGGCGTGGAGAAATTGAGGGTGGTGGATGCTTCAAGTTTCCCGCTGCTGCCGCCAGGACATTTGCAGAGTACAATTTATGCGCTGGCGGAGAAGATTGCAGATGACATTGTGCAGGGACGCTAATTAGAATGGGCTGCATCTAGACTGGACTGGGCTGAGCTAAGCTGAGCTGTAAAGGTGGATGCCATGGTGCCAAGTTGCATGAGCCCAAGCTGTTGATCCCGGCACGTTGTGATGGCGGTAGACACATTGCTTGATATAAGGATGAGGAAGAAACCACGGTCTTCTGTGGAAAGTCGCATATCAGCGGCGTTGTAGTCTGCCCAGTGAATATCGTGGTCACCACTGTCGCCCATGTTCCCTCATACATGTACTTCCATGACAGCTACCATCAACAGCACATACCTAAATCATCATCGTGCATTCCTACCTTGGGCATCATCCTTTCTACTTCCATCGGTTGAGTGTCTCTGTATCATTCTCGCTTTCTCGTGGGTGGTATTCCGGAGCAGCTTCTCGACGCGGCGGGTGACTTCGCTGCATCGCGACAATGGCTCGTAGGGGGGGGGGGGGGGGTTGAGTGCGCAACAATGGCAACATTGATTAAAAGTTTTATCTCGCTGCCTAAGAGTCCGTTTTCAAGTACCTTAGTTAGTACCTCGTTACCATCGCGGGATGTGTCTGGCTGTTCGCCAGTGATTGCTTTACACGAATCAGTTTCATTCGCAGCTATGCCGCACCGTAAGTACAAAATCTCCTTCATTTTGGGCGTATCAGACTCAAGCGCCTCGAGCGCCATGCTGCATTACCTGATCATACCGCACAATCACTTCTGATCAAATTCTGACTAATCACTCTGTACATTGATAGCAATTCGTCGCCTAGCAGTTGCAACCACCTTCGCTCTCAGGCTTTGCCGCGTTGACATTCACATCGATGGCTGCATTTCATGTTAGCTTATCCTCACCCACCATTATACATGTTCGACACTTACTGTTCGCGGGCCCTTGTTGACCTTCTCCCTCCATTCCAGGTAGGGCCTGAGCGATCTTCTTGAACAGCCCTTTTACGTTGTGCCCCACCTTCGCGCTCGTCTCCACGAACATGCATCCCAATCTCTTACTCTCTTCCTCTCCCTGCTGCGCCGTGACCTCTCTCTTCTCGCCCAAGTCGGTCTTGTTGCCCACCAGCACAATAATCACATCACTTCCTCGTTCACCTCTCACGTCATCCACCCATTTCCGCGTCTGCTCGAAGGACTTTTTGCTCGTGATATCGTAAACAACAACAGCTACGGACGAGTCGCGGATATAGGATGGGATGAGAGATCGAAACCGTTCTTGGCCTGCTGTATCCCAGAGCTGCAGGCGTACGGTTCGGTCCTCGAGGTACATGGTTTTGGAGAGGAAGTCGATTCCTATTGTGGCTTGGTAGGTACTGTCGAAGGAGTCGTACATGAAGCGCGTGATGAGGGATGTCTTGCCGACTGGCAGGTATTGATTAGAGAGTGTGGAGAAGGGGTAGTGTTAGTAGTGCAGTAGCATGCATACCAGACTGTTCGCCCAAGAAGACCAGCTTGAACTTCTTGAGCGGGTTCGTGTAGGAGCCCACTGCTTGTGCCATTGCGGCGATTGCGGGATTGTAGAGGGGTGGCGTGTGTCTTGGTGCAGATGTACTGTGCGATATCGTGTGTGGCTGGCGGTTCGGTGTACGATGCACTCCTGCTCGTGCGCCTGGTTGATGTCGACGGTGTTGCTTCTGTTGCAGGCCGGATCGGGAATGGGATGTCTCAAAGGACGTGAATCGTCTTTAAATGCGATCGACACAGTCAGCATTCAAGCAATGCTATTCCAAGTATGCATGCAGCGTATGTAGTGGTAGCCGGCAATGGTTGGGACGTCCAGCGACGCGGCCAGAAAGGAGCACTGGTCGTGTGGCAGCCGCGCAGATCCCTGTCAAGCAATGGACCCTGAGTCAGCCCGAGAAGACCCCTCGGACGGAAATAATATTCTGTTCGCCTCCAGTCCCGTTCATGTCGAAAGAACACCACCGCGTCTTCCCGCCCCATTACCACACCATGGCCGACGACAACAAGACTGCGGTCGCTCCGGCGACATATAGCCAGCCATCGAGGAAGGGCAAGAAGGCGTGGCGCAAAAATGTCGACATCACCGAAGTCTCCGCTGGTCTCGACAATCTGCGCGCAGAGATTATTCAGGGCGGGCCAATCAAGGAGAAGACATCTGATGAATTGTTTGCGACGGATATCACTGGTGATCCGGAGATCGAACGCAAACAGAAAAGCAGGAAGGTGCTGAAGGTCGACGAGATCCTGGCTGCGAGAAGCAGCAAAGTCGATCCGTTGCAGCCAGCGCGGAAGAGGAAGGCAGAGGACCACTCGGGTAGCGGAGTGGACGGGAAGCGAGTCAAAGCGAACGGCAAGTACATCTCACACCGGGAATTGGCACGACTGCGCAAGGTGGCAGACGGGGGTCAGATTGGCATCATTGTGGACGATCAAGCGAGCAACGACCTGTGGGGAGTGCCAGAACCACAGCCGGAAGAACAGTACACTTTTTTGGAGAAAAAGAGAGACAAAGTCGCGCCCGCCTCACTCAAACAAGCACCGACCCCTCTTACGGCATCTGGAAAGGCTGTTGCTGCGGTCCTCAAGCCGGCGGGCGGGAAGAGTTACAATCCCCTTGTGGGCGACTGGTCAGCGCTACTAGAGAAGGAGGGAGCTGCAGCAGTAGAAGCAGAAAAGGCACGACTTGCGGCTGAACAAGCTCAGCTCGAGTACGATCGAAAGGCGGAAGAGATCGCCGCACAAGTAGAGGCCAATGAGAAAGACGAGCACGCTACCGACTACGAGAGCGCATGGGAGAGCGAATGGGACGGCATCCAGTCCGAGGGAGAAGCTGAAATACACGTGCAAAAGCAGAAACCGCGAAAGACACCGACTGAACGCAACAAGGTCAAGGCGAGAAAGGAGAGGGAAGCAAAAGAAAAATGGGAGAAGAAGCAAAAGATACGAGACGCACAGGAGCGACGGATCAAGCAAATTGCAAGAGAAGTCGCTGCAAAGGAACGAGCTCGCCAAGGCATTGTCGCGGTGGTGGACGATTCGTCTGCCAGTGACGAGGATGAAGACGGGCTCGAAGTGCGGAAGCGGAGATTCGGGAAGGTACAGGTTCCTGATGCCCCATTGGAAGTTCAGCTTGCAGACGAGTTGCAAGACAGCCTGCGACGACTCAAGCCAGAGGGATCACTCTTGACGGACAGTTACCGGAACAAGATCATCAATGGGAAACTGGAACCGAGGAAGAAAGTGGGACAAGTCAAGCAGAAGCAGACTATGCGGAGGGAGAAGTGGACGTACAAAGATTGGCAACTCAAGTAGATGTCGTTTGATATCTGACATGCGTCGAATAATAATGGCTCTAGTAGATTTGCCAGCACGATCATCATTCCTTGTAATCAACACCCGCGATGCATGCTGTAGAAGTGAACACACGCGGATATTTGTGAACACAGGCAATAGCAGACATAACGGCAGATGCCATGACATAGACGGAGATGTCATTGGCGTGCCGTCGTTGGCTGGGGGGAGCGTGGTGCCACAGACCAAGGTTTAGTTCTAGTTCCACGCCTACCTCCGTCGCTGTTCAACCTTCGCGCAACTTCACTTCATCATCTTCTTTACTCCACGCAGCAGTGTGAAGTGGTCGTTGTCAGTCTCTTGCTTGACCTGGCATTCACCGACTACAGGTACTCTGTGACCAATTAAAGGCAAGTCGTCTCGGTGGGCTGACGTTGTTTGCTGTCTTGTTCCTACCTACCTTAGTTTGTTGCACTCCATCACCACCTATATCTCCCCCCACCCCTCTGCCTCTGCCTCAGCACCTCCCACTCACCACAACAGCTCCGAACCTCCCAAAAGATGTCGACAGCACCAGGCAAGCGCAACAAGCGCTTCATCCCCCTCGAGGCCAACCCCGAAGTGATGACCTCCCTCATCCACAACCTCGGCCTCTCCAAATCGCTAGCATTCCACGACGTCTTCTCCATCGACGACCCCGACCTCCTCGCCTTCATTCCGCGCCCAGCACACGCTCTCCTCCTCGTCTTTCCCGTCTCGGACACGTACGAGAAATTCCGCACGACCGAAGACCTCGACAAACCCGAATACTCCGGCAGAGGCGAAGCCGAAGATGTCATCTGGTACAAACAAACCATCGGCAACGCATGCGGTCTCATCGGCTTGCTCCACGGCGTGAGCAACGGTCCAGCACGTACATATATTGAACCCGGAACAGATTTAGATGAGCTCGTGAAGAAAGCTGTGACATTGGATCCTAGGGCCCGAGCGGAATTACTAGAGGATACGGAGGCGTTAGAAACTGCACATCAAGCTGCAGCTGCAACAGGAGATTCGGCTGCGCCTTCGGCAGACGATAGTATTGATTTGCACTATGTGTGTTTCGTCAAGGGGAAAAATGGTCATTTGTGGGAATTGGATGGGAGACGGAAAGGACCGCTCGATCGAGGCGAGCTAGGTGTGGAAGATGATGTGTTGAGTCCGGCTGCGCTGGAGAAGGGCGTGCGAGCGTTTCTGAAACGTGAGGAAGAGGCTGGTGGTGGAGAGCTGAGGTTTAGTCTGATTACGTTGGCAGAGGGGTTGGATTGAGAAATACGAGGAGGGGAGGGTGGTTTTCCATAAAACTTTTACATGCTCGTTGAGAGAGAGGGGGGGTACAGAGACTGTGTTGCTCTACTTACTGTAGGATGAGCGATGGGAACTTATTGAGGAAAGGACTCCAAGCTCGGCAGAGAACGAGACAGAAAATATTTCGCCATGCCATCGAGCACGATACCACGACTCACATTCGTATACGTCAAATCAATCCGAGCTCTCTCTCCGTCCATTTCGAACGAACGCGGACGAGGAGGGGCAGGACTATATACGAAATTCGAGCTGTGGGCATGGAAGTGAACAAGAAAGAGGTAATGATCAGTTCATCTGAACTTGGAAGAAAAACTTCATAGTTTCCGAGTGTATCAATCTACTCTAGGGGGGGTATCTTTTTCGTGCACTGTCACCAAAAACAGGACAATGCACACCTACACATACAAACGCTTGTAAACCGCGCCACGCTCTGATGTTTCCCAAACGCGCCCCGTCGCTATGCAAATGACAACAGGCCGTTCAAATCATGATGATGATGATGATCATTGCGGCATGGGCGTCGGCGTCGGCGTCGACGTCGGCGTCAACTCTGTCATGGATTCCACTGGCACAATCCCCAGCATTTCATTCACTTCCTCCTGCGACATTTCTCTCCCGGCGTCTTCCTGCCCAATATAGAGCTGCGGACCCTCAAAAGCACCACACATGTAATTCCACGGCACGTACTCGCCCGTATCGATCCACGCGCCACCTTTCTCCTGCTGGCCCGCCAGAGTCGCAGGTCTGGGGCTCGCCATGATGGGGAGGGCACCTCGCCACGTCGCTCCGGCGGCTGTGGCAAAGACGTATTGGCCATCTCTCAATCCCGCTTTTCTCGATTGGGCAGTGTTACTCCGCGAGTGCTGGTTGTGTTTTGTTGCTTTCAAAAGCAGTTCTGCGTGAGGGTGAAACCACATTCGCGGCCACCAGCGATCACGCAGGGTCTTGTCTCCTGTGATGTGGAAGAGGGGGTATACGAGTTGGGTGACCACGTTGGTGCCTAATAGTGCTTCGGACCAGCTTTGCTCGGGGGGCGTGTCTGTCCATGAGGAGTCTATGGCGGCGAATGGGGGTTCCGAAGCCATAATGTCGTCTTGCAGGAGCCATTGGTCGATTCGGAGCTCTTTGGCTGGTCCCGAGGCGACTTCTGGTTCAGGGTCATCTGGGTTTGTTGTCAGATCAGGGTATGCTTTGGATGTCTGGTTATGTCGCATCCAAGTCAGGTGGCGCTCAAAACCGGCGGCTGTTTGGAATAACTCGAGGCTGTAATCGAGGCAGACGTGAAATTCGGTTCGACGGCCTGGGGGAATGTCCGGCACGATTCCAGTGACTCCGTTCCCCACGTCGGGCTTCTCGTCGAAGTCGGCGCCATCGCGCAAACGCGATCGTTGGATTTCTTGCTCGGCCCACACTTCTGCGAAATAGTATTGATCGCTCGTGCGGAACTCGTAGTTCGAGTCGTATTTCCGGCTTAGCATGTCTACCGTGGCGGAGAAGTAGTCTCTGATATCCTTGACGGGTCCCATGATGGTGCCACTGTTCAGCCATCTTGGCCTCGCTGTGATCATGTTGTGGTCCGTATCAGGTCCGAATGCATTCTCCGGCAGCATCGACACTGGGACTGCCCACGTAGCTGCGTCCTCTTCCCCTTGCGGCCAGTGAACTTTGTCCGGGCCTACAACAATGGAGTGATGGATGCGAGCCCCTCCGTGAAACCTGTTGAGCAGTCCTTCCTCCTTCACTCGTTGGTCGTTTTGTTTGAGCACATGATAATACCTCTCAATCATGATTTCCGGACGCAATTGCAGCCAAATGTCATATGCGTCCAGCAACAGCACGAGATCGCTGTCCGCGCTCGGGGGAAGGGAGCGCAGATAGGTCAAGGTCTCCGTGATCTTGAACAAATGCGATTGTGAGCCATTGTAGATTCCCCGGCCATCCCAGCCGATGAAGATGGGTTCAGGGTAGCCTGTGACAGCGGCCGAGAGCAGCAATTTGCAGAAGTCGACGTTCGGTCCCGTCGCAGGCAGGAGCAGGTGGAAACTTCTTGATCGGGAAGCATTCTTGATGTATTCTAAAGAAACATCCTTGATGGTCGTGAAGTGGTAGCCGAAGAGAAATGGGATCAGAAAGACGATGAAAGCTCCCAGCGTCAATAATGCGAAGCGCTTGGTAGCAATCATCGTCGAGGTGGAGGCGCCGTGGGAGATGTCATGTGCCTTGCGTGAAGTCGGGTGCGCGTTGACAGTGCAGTCGGCTGACAAGTGAAAGGGAAAGCCGAGGAGAGTTGGAGGAATGTGGCGCCGGGCGGTATGGTGAAGGTACGGTACGGTAGTCTGATATCGATAAGGTCGGAGCGCGATGAACGAGTGAGTACTAATGAAGTTGGTTCAGCAGTAGTGTCAGGACATAGCACAACAACAGTAGTCGCCCGTGCAGTGGATAGTCCCGCCAGCGGAGCCTGAAGAGAACATGGAAGGTAAGGTATAGACCTGCCGTCCTGCCCAGCATCCCAAGGGCCAGGGCTGAAAGCAACTCCAACGACTGCATACCAAGACTGACGAGATGATATCCGGCCAGCGGAACTACTTCCCCCGTTCACAATAGCGTGTCATGAGACACTACTGCAAACGTCACCGGCGACCGGGGCACCGAGATAAGCGTGGCATGGAGCAAGGGGAGGGCGTCGGGGCCAGCAAGGGGGGGACCCGGAGGAGTCTCATCCTCGTTTCCTCGCTTCCAAGTGCCTGAACTCCATCATGTCACATGCGTGTGTGTGGCCTCGGACGAATTCTACTATCCGAGCAGGGCAGGTCGCAGAAAATAAAATTGTGGATACAGAGAGCCTAGAGGACTAACTTAGTGTGTGATGGACGAACGACTGGAGTACAAGAACCTGGAAGCTTCCTTCGCGTGCCAAGTGGTGTGAGTACGATAATAGGTAGCCAAGGTGATGTGGGCATGTCGGCGAAAAAAGGGGATCGCAAACAGAGGTCTGCAGGAGGTACCTTGTGCAAGGATCTCAGTCGGGATGTGAATCTCATGTGATTCGCGTTGCCCGACTGGCTAATAATAACACACAAAATATATGTGTACGACATGAGAGAGCTGGGCCCTCATCAATACCTCCTACATCTATATATCATTGATCAGATCTTCAATGCAGTGGTATTCTCATGTTTGGAGTAAATCGTACCTGGTACCTGTACCTGACCTCATACCTAGTTGAGACCTCTACCACTTAAACTTCATACCAAACTTAAATTTCGCCCGATTGTAAACGCCGAAAGGGGTCAGCGAGCAAGTTGATAGCGTATTCGGCTATTCGCAAAACCTCGGAATGTGGATCGTTAGATTCGAAACAGTTCGTAAAGAAAAGGCTTGAAAGCGGCTATTTTAGCTGTAAATCCTTCCTCATCCTAGGTGTGCAATAATAATATTCCGTCTGAGTCTCTGAGAGTCTGAGACTAGATAAGGTCACCCATGTCCGCCATATCGAGCCGCTGCTGTGCTCGCGACAGCAGGAATCATCACATTCCAAGTTGTTTCTCTGTCGATATTACAACCCTCTAACCGGAAGTAGCAAGTACAACCCAACCAATCGTATTCGGAAACGCCTTCATCTTCATGTGTAACGTCTCAGGTGGCCCCGTGGGGAATACCGAGTTCTGTCGTCATGCCTCTCGTCCTCACTTGGTCTTCGCCAAGTGCCTGCACCACTTAGTAAGGTACCGCTCGCGGAGTGCTATAGAGAATGATGCCATGAGGTGGCATGGGAAATCTACAACCGTCGCTGCCTCAAACCCGGCTTGCCGATACACTCGACCGTGAAGCCCAAACTGGCGAGTTTCTCGCTGCTGACGACGTTGCGTCCGTCAAAGACCAGACGCGGTCGCTTCATGGAACTGGCAATCTGCACCCAGTCTACCCGTTTATCTGCAGGGTCGACACTCTCGACATACTCCGACTTCTCGCGTTCAACTGGTGCAGGAGTTCCCAATGCGCTGTCCATGAAGTCGCTTTCCGCTTCAGACGTTGATGATGCCGACGATAATGATGATGATGCATCAGATGGTCCATGAACCTGAGGAACCACGACCTCTCTCCTGGTACCGGGAGCATCAGGCAGTGGCTTGACCTGATCCGTCTTGAATTCGTCCCACTCAGTGAGGATAACTACAGCGCTGGCGTTCTCACAAGCCGAAATGGCATCTGGATACACCGTTACGCGCTGCTTAACCACGTCTGCTCGGTGCTCACGGATCAGATCCTGCTGAATGGTTGCTTCCGATACTTGCGGGTCGTAGATAGCAATCTGGGCTCCCTCGGCGATGAGCTGGCCAACAATGGTGATTGCTGCACTCTCGCGCGTATCCCCAGTATTCTTCTTGTAGGCGAAGCCAAGAATCGCAATCTTCTTTAGGCGAAGCGTATTGTATAAGCGCTTGGTGATCCTCTTGGCAAAACGTTCCTTCTGGTATTCATTGATATCCACAACCGACTTCCAGTATGCCGAGACTTCTGGCAAGTGCAACGTTTCAGCGATATACGCCAGACTCAGCACGTCTTTCTTGAAGCAAGAACCTCCGAAGCCCGCCGATGCCTTGAGCATTTTGGGCCCAATGCGTGTATCTTGTCCCACCGCGAATGCCAGCTCTTCAATGTTGGCTCCTGTTGCTTCACATATTGCGCTCAGAGAGTTGATGCTCGATATTCTTTGCGCAAGCATGCAGTTAGCAGCTAGTTTGGCCAATTCCGAGGACCAGAGATTGATGGTGATGATGCGATCTCGCGGGACCCATGCAGCGTAGACGTCGGCCAACGCAGTGGCTGCAATGAGTGACCGGTCATCCTTGTGGGAACCAATGAGCACGCGATCGGGCTTGAGCAAGTCATTCATAGCGGTGCCCTCGGCCAGGAACTCGGGGTTGGACAGAATGTCGAAGTGGACATTGGGGGCGGCGTGAGCATCGAGAATCTCCTGGATGTTATCTGCGGTGCCGCACGGGACAGTACTTTTCTCGACGATGATCTTGTCGCTGGTGGCAACTTCCGCAATGTGTCGCGCAGCGGATTCGACGTAGGCCAGATCTGATGCGCCGCCTGCGCCGAGCCCCTCGGTTTTCGTAGGAGTATTCACGGCGATGAAGATCAGATCGGCTTCATGAATGACGCCAGCGACATCGGTGGAGAAATGCAAGTTGGGGAGTCGACGTCCATCTGTGCAGTCGCGGGCGACTTCCACGACCTCGAAGAGACCAGGCTCGTATATGGGAAGAGCGTTAGACTTCCAGGCTCCAATACGTGCTTCGCTCAAATCGACCACCGTCACCGTGATATCCGGGTTCTGTTTGGCAATTACCGCGCTGGTGGGTCCGCCCTGTAATATCGTGTTAATATGCGATGAGCACATACGTGTGTACCTTTAGTCTTGGTATGTGCCAATGCCAGTGGGGGCGGGGGAAGACTCACCACGTAGCCCGCTCCGATGCAGCAGATTTTCTTCACCGTTTTGCGTTTGCCCTGCTGGGTAGCAGACATGGGTGGTGTCATCTTGACTCGGTCTGGTGACTGGTGAGAGTGCAGTGGTGGGGAAGGCCTGGAGAAGTGAAAGGCTGGCAGGAAGCAAAACACACGCAGGTGCGCAGAGCTGAGAGCAGCACTGAGCAATGCTTCAATAGTCTGCAGCCCCCTAGAGATACCTATGTAGTACCTTCAGGCTCAAGTAGATCTTTGACCGCACGCCGATCAGCCAGTCTGAGCCAGAGGAGCGGTTCGGTTGAGCAAAGGTTAAAAGGTAGTGGCCGCCACAAGATAGCTGCGAATCAAAACGTGGCTCAAGCCGTGGTTAGGGAGATGTACGGCAGAGGTGAAGAAAGGGAGGGGCCAAAACTGTGCCACAACACATGATCGCGCGCGCACATTCTCGTCCGGACTTTGTCAAGTTACATGTGTTTTATAGTGCATGCGCATGCACCTACTGAATGTACGTACCTACGACGTACCTACTACTGTACCTTTATTCCCTAGGCTACTTTCGGGGGTTGATATTCCCAACTGGGACTGCCGACAGCCTCATCACGCCATCACTAGACGGAACCCAGACCGGCTCGCCAATAATCCGTTATGGGATTCTGGAAGCGAAGGTGAATCGCACAGGATACCTGTATGATAGGACTACTACTTCTGTATCACGCACACACCAGCAACCCCCCCTAGTCCTGCTCCTCGTCCTGATTCTGATCCTGAATTACTGATCCTGATCCTGAACCTCATCCTCATCCTTATCCTGGTCCTAGGCCCTGATCCTGCCGTACTCGGTCCTGGTCCTGGTCCTGGTTTGGTCCTGGTCCTGGGCATTTCATACTTACAGGAGACTGAAGATGATGATGACAGCCAAGAAGACGGACAGTGCATGTACCACCATAAGGTTAGTAATGCCATGGCGGTTCAGGCTTGTCATCGCGATGTTGATACAATTTCTTCAGATTGATGAGAAGATGAGATGATATTGCTGAGATGCCTTACGGAGATGAAGGTGAATGAGCGGCCGGTTGAATGGGGCGACTAATCGGGCACTTCATCATGCTTCTCCCATGTGCTGATGAGTGATATCGGCTCCTATGAGACATCACGGTGCCCTCACAATAATCTCATGCACGACTCGCCTAGGGCTAGGGACGGTCTCAGCCACGTAAGGCGGGAGATGGGGCTACGTATGTTTTTTTTAATGCCACATTGGCCGAGACACACGGACACGGCAGTGCTTACCGCCGCGCGCAGGTACACCCGCGCTAGAAAGTAGCCTCTCGCCGGGTGCAGTCCAGATTGGGCGTGCTCCATAAAATCCATTCCAGTTTTTCCCACGAGAATGCGATCGCCGTTCGTGCTAGCTATCTAGTGGTGTCTAGTGTGGCTGGCCTGCCCGGCACGCCGCTCCCCTGCCGCTCGACCCGGACACCAGCAGATCTTTACTCACCTAGTGCAATTTTCGATACCACATGCTGCTCCTTTGTTCGCACGCCATGCATACATGCTTCACTTCGGCATGACTACAGGAAGTAAAGTAGAAATCAGGAGACCAGTCTTGCCTATGGACAGCCAGAGGGAAACGCGCGAATCGACCGAGTTCAACGACAGAGCAGCAGATATGGAGTCTCGAACAGACGATACCCACGAGCTTCTGCACAAGGACGAGCGAGATGTGGAAGCACATCGAATACCTCTCAATCCGACAATAACGGCTACGCCTCTGGAATACACAGTCTCTATGAGCAAGAAACTGACATACCTCGCTCTGTACTTTCTGCTAAACCTCAGCGTAACGCTATCGAACAAGGCACTGCTACGAATAGTACGTGTTGGAAAGAAAGTCCCCAACTCTCACAGTGATTGACTATCATCTAGGCTTCATACCCATGGTTACTGACGTTCTCGCACACATTTGCTACATCGATAGGATGCACCATCCTTCTGGCCACAGGCCAGATGAGGCTTTCGAAGCTGACTATGCGCGATAACTTCGTACTAATTGCCTTCTCTGCGCTCTTCACTGTCAACATTGCCATCAGTAATGTCTCGCTGTCAGTATCCTCCATCTCAACGGTTGACATCTGCACGTTCTGATTCAAATTGCAGTGCACTGGTATCTGTACCCTTTCATCAGGTCATGAGGAGCACATGTCCGGTCATGACGATTCTTATCTACCGCATCGCATACGGGCGAACTTACGACCGCCAGACGTATGTTTCCATGGTTCCATTGATCGTCGGAGTCGGATTGGCCACCTTTGGCGATTACTATTTCTCGGCCATGGGATTCGCGCTCACTCTCTTGGGCGTGGTTCTCGCAAGCGTCAAGACCGTCGCGACGAATCGACTCATGACCGGATCTCTGCAATTGCCTGCTATGGAAGTGCTATTCCGGATGTGCCCCTTGGCTGCCGTGCAGTGTTTGTTCTACGCGGCCGGAAGTGGTGAGATAACCAGACTAGGATCCGCCACGCCTACGACTGTGTTCACGACCCCCTTGCTGATTGCCATTGTTGGCAACGCAGCCATGGCATTCTGTCTGAACCTCGTCTCTTTTCAGACGAACAAGGTGGCTGGCGCTCTCACTATTAGCGTGTGCGGCAATGTAAAGCAATGCCTAACTATCCTCCTTGGAATCGTCTTGTTCAACGTCAGAGTCGGTGTGTCGAACGGGTTGGGGATGGTCGTAGCAACTTTAGGCGCTGCGTATTATTCCAAAGTGGAGCTTGACCGAAAGAGGGCATCCATTTGACTGGGCGCCTTCCTCAGGCGGATACACAAAAAGTCACGAAGCTTTGCATGTATCCTCCTTCATCGCTCCCCCCGCCCCCCACGAAAGAGCCAACATGTTATCTTAGTCAATCGGAAAGCAATGTGGGATGTGACGGCGGACCCGGCAAACAGGAAGTGACGGCATTAACTTTCCGGTGCTGGGCCTGACCCAACTCATGACAGGGCGAGGGTTGGAGCCAACCTGGAAATGCTGCACCAGACTTTTTAGCGATAGGCATCTGCCATCAGCCCAATGCCTCCACGATGCACAGGTACGATAAGGCACCAGCCACCCGCCCTTCCTTCACCAAGGCTCATGGATCGAGACTGCGCATACTATTGTGACTACGAGCGGTAAAGAAGGCTCGTGTCGTGATATCGCTTGCACACAAGCCATCATGAATCTTCCAGCTTGCTCTCGATGGCTGCGAGAGGCACTAAACCAGCTGCTGCTCAGACCTTTGTGGCCCCAACAAGACGAGGATACGATCGGGTTGTTGTCGGAAAAAGTGCTTCCACCTGCCTCGTTTTGCCGCGGCTTTGTTCCCAAGCAGATCAATCGCCTGCGTGGAGCTGTCATTGCTCTGGCTGGCATATCGTTATTATTTCTCGGAGCATCGGGTTCAGCCCGCAGATACAGATACCAAAACAGTTTCCACTGGGCCGAGAATCTCGCGCGGATCTCATGGACAGGACAATCGCAGGACCACTACTTGCACGTTGTCATTGCTGCTGAACCGAGCTATGTTGAACTGTGCAAGACGATGTTGTCCGGCTTTGTGTTGAGCTACCCGTCACCTTGGGTCGCTGTACCGAAGTCAACGCGAGACGAGCATGGCCGCGAATCTAGTGCTGTAGTCAGAAAGCTGGAAAGCATTCTAGAGTTCCTCGAGCACGAAAACGGGAGTAGAGACAACGACACAGCCATTATCCTCGGCAATTCCTATACCTGGTTCCAAGTTCGCCCAGAAGTACTTCTGAAACGATATATGGACATTCAACGTCGGCATGAGTTGATGCTATTGGACGATTTTGGTCCCAAGACTGTTGCAGCACACCGCATAAAGCCCAAAGTGCTCTTCGCTAGTCACTGGACATTTCCATCTAGCAACAATACCGCCGAGAACTGTCTTCCTATACAATCGACTGATGGCTCGCCGCGATATCTGAGTCACGACTTGGTGATCGGCCTGATCAAGGATTTGACGCCACTCTACCAATACGCTCTCGACCAGGCCATCAAGCTCAATGACAGTATCGCCTCCTTCGATGAACATACCATCTTCAGTGACATGTTTCGAGCTCAACAACTCCATCGCCAATCCTTAGCAAAGCTCGGCGAAGAAGTACACGACGCAGCCGAACTCGATACTCTTCTCGATGAACACGACTTCGACTTTGGCATCACTCTCGACATGGACAGCGACCTCCGTTATCACCTATCTTCTTCTAGCACTAGTAGCAACAACAATAATCCCCACCCCTCGAACTGGACGCGATACGACCTGCGAACGGATCGCCACAGCCCAGCTTTCCCCAAAGATATCGCGCTATCAGCCCCACCATATTGGACTATAACGGGCACTCTTCCCAGCAAAACCTGGGAACAAGTCTCCCTGTTATCAGTCTTCTCCAACCATCCACAAATTCCCGCACTCATTCAACATGATGAGTTCTCCTCCAATGATAACAATGATAACAATGATAACAATCCTTATCAAAACGCTACTGCTGCTGCTACTCCCCCCATCGCCCATTCTTCCCAGAAATGGTCCCAATACCCCAACCTGTGGTTCCACCCATATGGTCGCGCGTTGCTCGATTCGGAAGCTCTGACGGGTATCGTACCGATTGCACGACTCGTAGATCCTCGGACGGGCATCAGGCAACGGTTTTGGGTGCAAGGCATTGGGAAAGCGAGCGTCAAGACGGCCGAGGTCGAGAGGTATGAGTGGGATGATGTGTGCGGCGATTGGGATGTTGCAGAGGAAGTTTTCCGCGATGGGAAAGGTCCGTGGATGGACCCGAGGTGATGAGAGAGAGAGAGAGAGAGGATACGGAAATTGTAGAGCGTTACTTAACTACAAGGATGCAGACGGACAGAGGATGGGTGGACGCGTGGGTATTGATCATGATTCCATTGAGCTAGCAGACTCTAGAGCGTTCACTCCCATCTTCATCTGAGGCCATGCTTGTCTTGTAGACAGATGCATATCTGGCACTGGCACCAGCGACGGACCGTACGCAAGAGGACTAAGGTACCAGTACAACCTAAGGAAGGAGAAAAATATGACAAAAGTCACTCCATCTTCTGATTCTCTGCAGACCTTCCCAACTGTACTGGATCGTCATCCTGGTCATCATGTATGCACTCATGCCGCTGTTGTAATGCTTACTATCCCATCAAACCCTCGACAGGTAGGTATATAGTCTACCTCACGACACCCTCTTCTGAAGTACCCACCGACTGCTGTCCAATCTGCTGCTGACCACCTTGATTCGCATATGCAGCCTCTTTCGCCAGCTGGTCTTCCGTCTTCTTATTGCCGTGCAGAATGAGCTTATTCAAAAACGTGCCCGGTCGACCGGCATCGTGACCTTCTTTCTCAGCCTTTTCGATCTCGCGATGCAGGTGTCCCGTCGTCTCTTCGTCGACATCCGAGGCTTCGTCGTAGTCGTCGACATTGACTTGGGGGGTTTGTTAGCATACAAAGCGTGTCGGGCAGCCCTCCCATTGAACTGGAGGGCTGGTTATGCTGATATGTACCGTCCTTGTCACGCATCGACAACTTTCTTTTGATCTTGGATCTGATATTCTGCATTGCGGAGGCTCGGTGTGTTGGTTTGGTGGGTAGAGGTGGAACTGTCTCTGGGTTCCGACTCGTGGTCGTGCTGGAGTGGTGCACTGGTGGTGGTGATGATGATGATCTGTGACGTTCGAGCTGTGAGGCAACCTGAACTTGGAACTAGATGGAGGCTCTGCTAGATTGGGCGAGGAGGTGGACGATGGGGAGGAGAGGGGAGGGGACGGGAGGGGAGGAAATGGTTCCAAGGTTAAGGTAGGTAGTGTAGTCCTGGGAGGTAGGCACGGCTAAGGTAGCTATCCAGCAGGCTTGCAGTGCGGCGTGGCCAGAAGACAAGACAGCATGAGGACAAGCACCAAGAGCAGCCCAGTGCCCAGTACCTCCTCCTACCTCCCCTCCTACTTCCTACCAAAAGCAAGCACCGCGCAGCATGTGGGATGATGCAGGTGCACTGGTGGTGGGTAAGGTAGCAGCAGGTAGCGTTGTAGCTCCCCACCCACCACTCCACAGATCCAGATCCAGATTTCGGTCGCATTGGTCCGGGTGGAGGCACGCCGCTGCGGGAAGCCCACCAGTCACCCCTCCTTCGTCCCGCTTTCCAGAAGCTTGCCTAAAACAGACATGTAGACGAACGTTCTTTCCTCTGTGGCCGTCAACAAACAAGACAACAACAACAACAACAAACAGGCAACACCACCTCACCACCACCAGCCCATGTGCTGTCAGACTGCCCGGTCTCGAACACTTCGTTAGCTGACTACCTAGCGACGGTGTCTGATGTTGGTGTGGGCCGGCACATCTACATGTAGTGTGGCCGACCACGGCACGAGTAAAGGTCCACAGGTCTCCATCACACGCGTCAGGTTCTCGGTGGGCGGGAAGCCTGTTGCGCGTGTCGTGTTGGGCAAGAACAATGCTGCACGAGCTCCTTCTTGCCCTCTCTGGCCACCCCTCGCCACTGTTCGCCACATCCGCTCAAGACAGTTCGAGCCCACGTGCAGCTGAAGACTTTCCGCTCCTCTCTCCCTCCGAGGCCGCTCTGCTCCGGTCCATAGCATCGCTCTCAGAAGTCCATCGCAAGCTCAAACGACACCTCCAGAGTATAGCATCCACCCACGACTCCATCATCTGTCGCGCTGCTGCTGCTTCCATACTGCACCTCCATCTCGCCAGGTTCCAACAGCATATCTTGCAGGTCGAGAAGAAAATTCTCACCAAAGATGCTAGCATCGTCGGCGCCTACGAGATTGTGCCTCTGGCCGCCGTTGTGGGTGAATTCGACGACTGGCACAGACTCATGAAATGGTACTGGAACCTCTCGGAATTCATGCTTGGCACGCCTGGCAGCGGGCATGGCAGATGTACTTCTGCGCAGTTGATCGACAAACTACGAGTCGAGTCCCAGACTGGCTATCCAGAAATCGAAAATGCTGCCACTGAGCTCGCGCGAGTCGCTGAAATGGCATGGCTGAGGCAATTGACGTCTTGGGTCGTAAACGGCAAGCTGCCCCCATACGGTGGAAACGATTTCTTCATCCAACGTGCCGCTGCCGAGGAGCCCAAGTTCACAAAAGATAGGAATTTGTTGCCTGGCTTTGTAACTGCAAACACTGCTGCCTCTATACTGTTCGTCGGAAAGTCACTGCATCAAGTATCCCATCATCAACGGCTAAGTCAAACCACCCCCGCTCTGTCCACGCCGTCTGTCAGTGATGGCGAGTTAGCATCCTCTCATCTGCAGCACCTCGCCTCTCTCACGCTGCCCATCGCATCTTCACAGTTCTCTAGGTCCATTGCGGATATTCGACTATCACTCTCGCAAAATGTCCTGCAACATCTACTCCCTCTGAGGGATACTGTCAGATTGTTGAAGTGCCTACGACAATTCTTCCTGTTAGATCGAGGCGACTTTGCCATGGCCCTCATTTCACACGCCGAAGAGCGCGTGCAGGCACGCCAGCAGAGTATGAGTAAATTGCTGGCCAGAGATGCGGTCAAAGCGTTGCAGGGCTTGTCCATCAAAGACGCGGAGCTTAGTCAGACGCTTCGGCAAGTCTGGAGGTCACTGATGGCAAAGGACGACGACGGCGAAGATGAGGTACTGGAGTACGCACAGAGCCATGTCTCACTCATCAATCCGAGGGCCAATACGTCCCGCCCATCGACCGCTGACAGTGCGACTGAGGACGCGCCGGAAGTCTCCCCCATCTCATTCAACAACCTTTTGTTCCCGAACCCCACGGAACTGAACTTGAGGATTTTACCACCAATGGACCTCTTTCTCTCCACTCGCGATACAGCCACGTACTCCTCGATCAGTTCGTATCTGCTTGCGATCCGCAGAGCGCATCAGCGATTGAACGAATTGTGGAAACAGACTGCGGCGCGACGAGATCTGCAAGCGTCTCGCACTCAGCACGCTGTCTATCGGTCGAGGAACACTCTCCGAGCCACTGCAGTGAGAAAAGTGTGGGCGACATGCAGTGCGGCCATCTTCCTGCTTTCCGAAACTGCTGCCTTTTTTGAGGGTGAGATCGTGCGTGGCTCATGCGATCACTTCCAAGAATGGGTCCAACAGTCGGCGCCAGATCTCGATGACTCGACGACCAGCAACACGTCCTCACAGTCTACCAGACATACCCAGCGTGATCCAGAAACGTTGGCAGCAGGTCATCGAGCTTTTCTTTCATCACTGATCTATGCTCTGCTACTTACTGATCTGCCGTATACCAGTCAGCTACGCTCTCTGTTGGGTAATGTCGACAATTTGGTAGCATACTTTGTCCGCCTTCTGGGAATACAGCAAAAGATGGATGGCGAAGAAGAGGCCACTGGTGAGGCTTCTGCTCACCTCATTCAAGAAGAGGCGAGGATTAGCTCAGAGCTTGAACGGGCGAGAAAGAAGGTGGACAGCGACCTGAAGTCTGTTGTCAGCAGATTACGACAACTTGATCAAGAGCGAGTAGGGTCGACGAGATATCTCGACCTCAGGACAATCGAAAGAGGGGACTTTGAGGTCTGGAAGGGAGGTGGGGTGGACCGGCTCCTGATGAAGCTCGAGTTCGGGCGCATGCTGGCCGACGACTATGCAATCATAAGAGGCAGCATCGAATGAATGTTTTCTAAAGTTCTCGGATATCAGCCAATCAGTGGTCTTCATATCAACTCTACGCTAGTCCATGTACGTCTGCCAAACATCTCCTCTATAGGAACATGGCAAGCACAACACAGCTCTTCTCAGACATGGCTGAACAACATCAACTGCAAAGCTCAGAACACCCACCCGCACAGCCAGCATACATTCTCCGAGGACATCCTGCACAAATTCACGCTGTACACTTCTTCCGCGGCAACTCGCGTCTGCTCACCGGTGACGCAAACGGATGGGTTGTACTATGGAGCACTTCCACCAAGCGAGCAGTGGCGGTATGGAAGCCCCATGCGAACACGATTCTGGGGGTAGGAAACTGGGGAGATGACAAGATCATCACGTCAGTATTATCTCTTTGAAATGTTCAATATCACCAGCACTCTCACACGGTGCGCAGGCATGCCCGCGACAACAAAATTCACGTTTGGCAATTACGAGCAGACGACGAGAAAGATTACAACACAACGTTGCCTATCGACAGCCCCGAGTCCGCAGAGCTCAAGTCGCCATGGCTTTTGCATACATTGCCTGTGAACGCACTCAACTTCTGTGCATTCAGCATGACTCATGCTCTACGTCAAGGCACACACGACGTCCCAGTAGAGGGCATCTTTCTCGGTACGCCGGGACTCCAAGACGGCAGCGTCAACATCACATCTTTACCAGCAGAGGGTCGGGTCGCAACCATCCCCAAGCCAGCAAGCATCGAGAATGCCGGTATGACAATGGCGATTGGACTTACCTTCACGACCGAAAATGGAAGTTCTACAAAAGACCTTATCGCACTGACGGGATACGAATCGGGCCATGCTTGTATCTGGAAGCAACCATCTGCTTCTTCTTCTTCTTCTTCCAATAAGAAATGGCAATGCATTTATAGCGTCAAATCTCACGCCCAACCAATTCTTTCTCTGGGCATCGCAGCGCAATCCGGCGTATTCTTCACATCTGGCGCTGATGCTATCATTTCTCGACACCCCTTGAAACCAAATATGGCATCAACAATGACGAGTTCGTCCCTACAGAGTAAGCACGCAGGACAGCAAGGTCTCACCGTACGCAATGACGAGAAGATTTTCGCAACCGCGGGCTGGGATGGGAGGATGAGAGTGTACTCGACGAAAGCGATGAAAGAACTCGCCGTGTTGAAATGGCACAAGGAAGGCTGTTATGCACTCGGGTTTGCCCATGTGCAAGACGATACTCGAAACTCTGATGCTGATGACGATACCATGGTGCAGAAATCCATGACAGTCGCGGAGAAGAGGGACGAGAAAGCTCGAATGACACATTGGTTGGCGGCTGGTAGCAAAGATGGGAAAGTCTCGATGTGGAATATTTACTGAAGAAGGAAAAGAAAAGAAAAAGAAAAGAGCTCACTTTCGTAACAAGCTTATATAACTCCGGGGGTTCTCTTTTTTTCAAAAAAAAAAAAGAAAGAAAAAAGCATCCCACCTCTACACGCAGCTTCTCTCCTAGTTAAACCCCCTCCTCTTCCTCTCGTTCATTGACTCCAGGAGATAATTCTCTTCTAACAGACAGACTTGCGATTCTCCAATTCTCCAAATCAACCAAACCCTCTTACCATCTCATATCTCATCTGATAGATAGCTTACCAAACCACACGAAAGAAGAAAAAAAGCAGAAGAAAGAAAGAAGAAGAAAAAAGACAAAAAGACAAAAAGAACATTCTGCGCCTTTCCTCGTCATCGCGGTTGCTCACAGACATGACCCACCCCACCTATCCCTCTATTATCATTTCGAGCAACAGCGATGAGATGCTTACCTTACCTACCTGTACAAGAGCATTCTTATCGTAAGTCAAGCTATAAGGTAGCTAGCCTTCCCTATCCTAGCCTCTCTTCTTTGCTTTGCCCTTGTGGAAACTTTTTTGTTTTGGTGTTTTGGTGTTATTGTGTTCTGAAAATTAGATGACAATCAATGTTGATTAGAAGCGGAATAGACGAGATGGATTTTGTATGAGCTCTTCTTCTTCTTCTGTTGTTTTTGGGCGGGTGAGGTACTAGTAGGTAAGGTATAGAACAAGCGGCATTTAAATATCTGTTTTCTTTTTTCTTTAAAAAAAAGTTCTAAACCTCCATCTACCTTGGCTCATTCAAGACCTTTCGCTGACGTCTCACCCCGAGACTCGTGTGTCTCTGCGACTCCAGCCTTATTACCAACTTCAGGATCCACGACCGAATTACCTCGACTTGCAACCGCACTCACCAGATCCGGATTTTCCTCCTTCAGTCGCTTGAAATTGGCTTCGGCGTCCCATACCCAGGGGGAGTCTGCTGCAAAGACAAGGTCCATTTCTTCTAACGTTCTCTGGTTCGTCTCGGGGTATAATGCCCACACCATGGGTATGGTGATGGCGTTGCAAGCGCCAAAGATGTAGAGCGTCTTTTCTCCGATCGCGTTGAACATGACGGGACAGAGCAGCGTCAGCCAGCCGTTGCCGATGGACCATCCTACTACACCCCAGGCATTTCCTTTGGCTCGCACTTCGAGGGGGAAGATCTGCAGGGGGAAGATATTTGTTAGTCGGGGCTGGAGAATGGAGGATAACATGATTAGTGCGAGGAGCAATGCTCTGCTTCATACATACCTCAGCGGGATATAGCCAGGGAACGGTAAGCCTATGGTAATCAGGTCACGGAGATATCTCAGTCAGCGAACCGTCTTCCGAAAGAGGTAATCAAAGAAAAAGTCCTTACCATGTCGCACCAAAAATGCTGGTGAAGATGAAGACAAATGACGCAGCTGCGATACCGTAGGAAGATGCACTGGACTCGTTGCCGGCTGCTCGAGCATCGATTCCACCTCTGGACATGCCTCCTGCAAGAAACATGGCAATACCCATTCCCACACTGCCCCAGTAGAGCGTGTACCGCCGTCCGATCCGGTCGAGTGTGAAGACGCAGATTAGTGTCGAGAACATGTAGAAGATATTGTTCAATCCAGAGATCCATTGACTCTTTTCACTCGAGAATCCGGCGATTCGAAAGATGGTCGGAGCATAAATCGTCACGCCTGGATGAAAAGATTGAAGTCAGTAAATCGTGTTCAACTCGCCTCCTCGTCGTTGTTGTTGTTCGTTAGTTCTGAGGTACTCACCCGCGATTCCGATCCACTCCTGCATAATTTGCAGCCATATCACCAACTGCACCCTCCTCGCCGTATGAAGATTTCCCGACCCAATGCCAAACAACATACTATAATAACTATTCCGACTCGCCGTCTTCCTCTCATGCACCACAATATTCCGAATATCCCTCATTTCCGCATCCGCCTTCGCAGCACCCACCGCATCTTCCCCTCGCAACCTCCCCAATAGATATCTCGCCTCCTCATTCCTCCCCACTTTGACCAACCACCTCGGACTCTCGGGAAAAAACCACACAGAACCCAACAAGACCAGCAACGGCAGAATCTGAAACGCAATGGGAAATCTCCATCGCAATTGCGAATTCCCTCCATCAACAAACGACAGTCCAAATTCCAACCAATACGCCACCACCACTCCAAAAATATTCAACGTAAATTCCACGGCAATAAATTGTCCTCGACTCGTATGCTCTGCCGTCTCGGTCGCCCACACGGGGACAATGGCATTTAAAATTCCTGTGCCGATACCATTGACGAAGCGAGCGCAAATCATCCATGAGGCATTTTGTGCGCTGCATTGTAGTGTTGCTCCGAAAATGGCCCATGCGGCTCCCAACGCGATGGTTTTGATGCGGCCGAGTTTGTCGCCGGTCCAGCCGCCGAAGAGGCAGCCGATGAGTGTGCCGAGGTAGTAGACGGAGACGATGCCGCCTTGGAGGAGGGAGTCGGTGATGACGGGGTCGTTGGTGATGGGGTCGATGTGGCCGAATTTCATGAGGTGGATGTAGTCTTTGGCATTGTTGACGCCGCCCATCATGCCTGTAATTTTTTTAAAAAAACTTGTGAGTGGATGTTGCGGAGGTTACTACCTTGTTGGGGTTTTTAAGGTAGAGTTGTAGTTGTTGTATTTACTGTACCTTGATCATAGCCGAAGAAGAAGCTACAATGGTGATGTTAGTACTGCTCAGGTTGAGAGCATTCTTTTTCAGGGAGGATGATTACATGGAGAGTGCGGCAATGGAATTGATTGCGAGCAACAACCTGCCTTTTTCGAAGTGTTGCGCTACACGGAAGCCGCTCATCTGGTCCATGATGGCTTGTCAATATGTGTCTGGCTAACGCGCAGATAGCAGGGGAAGCAGGGAACCAGAACGCTAGAGATGAAAGTGTGTCTATAGGTATCCTAGAAGAGGCTGGGTGAAAAAAGTCCGGGAAGACCGCAATATTGGGTCCATTTGTTCACTTATATGCTACCATCGCCCCATGCGGGAAGCCAATGTGATGTTGCAGGAACTTACACTGCAGGCGTAACACCGTACCACCCTTTTCACGCTGTCCGACGTGCCAAAGAGGAAAGCCGACGAGACTTTCCCCACAGGAGACGGATAAAGTGTGGAGTCTCCACAGACTTGACCATAAAACGGCTTCTGTCGGCAACTGGACCAAGAACCAGCTTTTGTGTGGATGCATCATTACTTCTCGAAGCGTCAATACCTCCTACACTCGAAATGGGCATGGTGGTCGACTGTCATTTCTTCCGAGTATTGCGCGTCAAACGCTCTCAAGGCCGATGTGGTAGCAGGCATCCGTTCCTGTCGTGACTCTTGTCATGGTTTGCTCATCATGTTTTCGTCCATATTTCAATTTCATCTTGCAGGAAGAATGAAGTTGTCAATCAGGCGAACTGGCACTTTATCATCCCCTAGTCCCAACATCTCTCCTTCCCGCGTCGCCTCCAGAGGCAGCATCTTGATCGCACCACTCAAGACCGCACCCTTGCTGACATCGACATTGTCCACTTCCTCCATGGTATCTGGATCTGCGAGCGATACGTAGTCCACTTCAAACATGGCCCTTTCCGTCGGTGGCTTCACCTCTTGCGCCTGTTGTCTCGCATTGATTTCAGCCCACGCATGCGTCAAGACGTCGTTACGCTTTGTAGCGCCCTCGTGATACGCTTGTTGTGCCTTGTCGAGCGCTTTGTATAATACTAGGCCAGCCTCCCTCCTTCTGCTCCCAAGATAGGCATTCCTGCTGCTGCGCGCCAGTCCGCTTGCTTCTCTTTCCGTAGGCAAGATCCGAACTTCGCAACCCAGATGAAAGTCCTCAACCAGTCTTCGGATGACCACCGTCTGTTGCACGTCTTTCTGGCCAAAGTAGACGCGATCCGCCTGGACAATGTTGAACAGCTTCATACACACGGTAGCCACGCCGCGGAAGAACACGGGTCGAGACTTGCCCTCGAGGAGATTGCCGAGAGGTGTGATGGTCACGAACGAGCCCTGGCCAGGAATACTCGAGTCCGGGGGCGTCGTGGGATACATTGTTTTCGTGGTGGGCGCGAAGACGGCCTCGATTCTACCGTAGCCCTGACCCGTTTCTTTCTGTGTCACCTTTAGTTCCTTCTGCAGTTCATGGAGCTTCGCCATATCGCTCTCCCATGTCTTCGGGTAGCTGTCGAGGTCCTCGTGCAGGCCAAACTGCGTGGGATTGACGTAGATGGACACGAAGACGCTGCTGTTTTCTCGCGCCGCAGCTCTGACCAGCGACATGTGGCCCTCGTGCAGCGCCCCCATCGTCGGCACCAGTCCTACCGTCTCTCCGCCTTGCTGAAGACCTCGACGGCGCCTGCGAACGTCGGCAACATCGCGGAAGATGTGGATGCTTCTTCGGAGAACATGGCCACGCCCACTCTCGACGCCGTAGACTGTTGGTGACCGGAGTAGAGGACGAGCGATCATGGTGAAGGCGCCGGCAGCTGCCAATCTATTCGCCCAAGATGACAGAAGAACAAAGGTGCGACTCCATTGGGAGTCAGACGTGGTGAACACCTACCGACGGAGGAGACGTCGTCCTCATCATGTCTTACTCACTCCAGTCTCCGGTCAAAACATCAATACCTCGAGCTATGACCATGAGTCTAAAATTAGGCTTTTCGCTAGCGGCTGACCCTGCAGATCGGATCTGGAAAAAGTCGAGAAACATCCATCGCCGCACGTCTTGTCTCTGCGAATATCAAACAACAATCAACGATCATATCATTCGACATGGCCGATGATGGCTTCACCCTCAACTTTGAACTGCCCAGTGACGCTTTCACTGTGCCGACTACCAAATTGAAGGGCGGGAGCTGGAAAGACCGTCTTACTGCGAGAAAATCTGCCGAATATGGACGTAAGAAGGCCCAGGAACGAGGTGTCTCGGGTGTGTCCTTGCCAGATCAGTCTGGAATCAAGCTGTCGAGGGCGAAAGGGCCTGCTGCAAGTGATGCCGATGCTCCAGAGCGAGTGGATCGATACGCTGCTGAAGGGCGACCGGCCAAGCGCGCCCGAGTTGGCCACGATGTGCTTCCCAAAACGAACGATGGCCAAGTGATTACCTCTCTATTCTCCTTCAATAAGGCTGCGACAGTGCCCAGGGAAGCCAAGCCAGAGACCTCGGAAGAGACCACGGTAGAAGCGAGTAACGCGCCTCTGGAGAACGATGAGACGGCCAAGTTCACATCGCTGGGTCTTTCACCCACTCTGGCCGCTCACCTACTGAAAAAGCTGAATATCACTGCTCCCACCGCCATCCAACGTAAAGCAGTTTCTCAACTTGTCTCTCATGATACCGACGCCTTCATTCAGGCTCAAACGGGATCTGGAAAGACATTGGCATATCTGCTACCCATTGTCGAGCGCATCTCGCTCATCTCGAGGCGCATGAAAGACGAAGGTGCCAAATTCGATCGACATTCTGGCTTATTCGCAATCGTCTTAGCCCCTACACGAGAATTGGCCAGGCAGATTGCTGATGTGCTGGAGTCTCTTCTGTCCTGCTATCACTGGGTTGTGGGCGGGACGGTGATAGGTGGCGAAAATAAGAAAAGTGAAAAGTCACGACTCAGAAAAGGACTGAACATTCTGGTAGCCACGCCTGGGCGTATGGCTGATCACCTGGAGAATACTGAAGCACTGGATCTATCCAACGTTCGTTGGCTAGTACTGGACGAAGGTGATCGACTCATGGAGTTGGGTTTCGAGCAAGACATTCAGAAGATCATAAGCGTTCTGAATCTTCGATCTAGGAAGCGAGTAGAGAAACCTGTGCCTGGTATGTTATCCATGCTCATTCTGCTCACGGTCAAGTCCACACGTGTCGTGAGTCAACGCTGACCCCAATACAGGACTCCCAGAGAGGCGCACCACAGTGTTGTGCTCAGCGACAATCAAATCAAACGTTGAGCAACTACGAGCAATCTCACTCAAAGACCCAGTATCGATCGCGGTGGACAGCGATCCGACAGCAGAGGGCGACGGCGAAGCTATAGAGAACAACTTCTCGGCGCCAGCTCAACTCAAGCAAGGCTACGCGATCGTGCCACCAAAGCAAAGACTGGTCACGCTCGTTGCTACTCTCAAACAACAATTCAAGCGCAAAGGCAGCGTGCTGAAATGCATCGTCTTCATGAGCTGCGCAGACAGTGTCGACTTCCATTTCGAGCTTCTGACTCGCGGGGACAAGACAGCAGCTGTAGAGGACGAAGTAGCGAGCGTCGCTAAGCAGCACAAGCCCGGAAAGCACAGCAATTCGAGCGTCGATCGGAATAAGATTGCTCAAGGAAACACCATTGCAGAAACTCGAACAGAAGGCACAGCTGCGTCTCTGTCCAGCCGCGAGTCGGGGGATATCAAAATCTTCCGCCTGCACGGCTCCCTGCAGCAAACCACACGAACAAGCACGCTGAAAGCCTTTTCGACGTGCGAGGATCCTGCTGTACTGGTATGTACCGATGTCGCCGCACGCGGGCTCGATCTTCCGAACGTCGACCTCGTGATCGAATACGACCCTCCATTCAGCAAAGACGACCACCTCCACCGAATCGGTCGTACCGCTCGTGCCGGACGTGACGGCAGAGCCATGATATTCCTCCAACCCGGCTGCGAGGAGGGCTACATTGAGATTTTGAAAGAAGGCAAACCCAAGAATCTCACTCGCCACGAATCCGAGGAACTCCTGCGCAAAGGCTTCTCTCCCACCAGCGGCGTCGTCCTAGGTCGCGAATGGGAACAGATCGCCACAGACTACCAACTCGAAATCGAACGCTGGGCGCTCGAGAACCCCAAACATCTCGAACAGGCACGACGAGGCTTCCAATCTCACGTACGCGCATACGCGACTCACGTTTCTGCCGAACGCTCGATTTTCAATATGCAGGAATTGCACTTGGGACATTTGGCCAAGGCGTTTGCGCTCAGAGATAAACCGGGTGCGATCAAGGTACCGGGCTTACGACCCGGTGCAGGTACGAATAAGAAAGGAAAGTCACATGCGATTCAGAACGGGAAACGAACGGTGTCGGGTGCCATGGATGATGTCGAGGCTGTTGCGGATGCGGATGCCGCCAAGAGAAAAATGCAACAAATGTCGAGGAAAATGGGTGGAGCGAGTGAGTTTAATCTTGGTTGAGGAGGAGTTCATGTTGTGTAGAAATGAGTCTGCTACATATGCACTGCTCGGATCGTTCCCTTTTTCCCTTTTCTTTCTTCGCTTTTGGTTTCGAATATACCTAAGATGGTAATATCCCGCCCGCCTGCCCGTCCTTGACTTTCCCTTGAAAAAAATTGACCTGGAGTGGTCTATACAGAGATCTCACCCGAAAGTCCTACAAACTCCCTGATACTATCAAACAAGAAGTTGTTAAGAGCCTTCTGAGATTACACTGCCTTGCCTGAACCGTGAGCCAAAACCCTCCCAGGCTACAGATGCCATCCCATCGGGGGGGAAGAACCTACGAGAAACGAGGACAGGACAGGACAGGACAGTACACAGATCAAGAAACTTGGGAACCAAAAAAGGGTACGCAGGAAGCGATAAGATGCCCACAAACAACCTTCCCCTTCCCCCTTCCCTTGACCAAATCGTGAAAAGAAAATACCTACCAGGTACCTTTAGGTAGACCGTAGATGACTTGAACTTGACTTGACTTGACTTGACTGTGCAAGCAAGCAAGCAAGCAAGCAGACACACCTATGCAAGAGCTTGACCAGGGCGCCCCCCTTGTGACAACCTACCATACCTACCATACCTAGGTAAGCACGTAAGTCACTTACGTGAGAATTGGAAACACCACCTACCTAGGCATCTCACCTCAAAGGACTGTGATGGATGAGGTGTGATGTGATGTGATGTTCGACTTTAGACCTCCTTTTTTCAAGGTGATGTGGTTGTTTATGCCGATCGATCGGATGATTTACATACTGTACACCTCGTCTATGTGTATGTGTTTTCTATAATTCGCACTGGACTGCGAGAGAAATGGATTGTTGAGAGACATTTATCATTTGCTGGTTTCCAGTTCACCCAGTCTCTTGGGGATGGATGGATGGATGGATGGATGGACCTTGCGAGGGCTGTTGCTGCTCCTGCTCCTGCTCCTGCTACTGCTCTGTATACTGTACATGACCTTACCTACCTAGTGATGTTTCTCATATGTGAAACAAAAGATGGACAAGAAAAAAGAAATCCTTGCGCACTCGGAACAAAGTAGTCGGGAAATACCTAGAATCTTGAAGGAGGAAGGACATGGGCACACGTAGGTACACGTACACGGACATGTAGCTACATTGCAGGATGTACATGTATGTATGCGCAGGTTCGGAAGGATGGATAAACGTTGTGACCTTGCAACGTGAAGAAAAAACCCGGGCACATCTAGTGTCTACGACGAAGGTTTTACTATGTGCGTCTGCTACATGTGACAACAGTGTAGTGTGTACCTACATACCTCTAGGAGGTACCTCTAACCTCCCATTTGAGTCATGGTGTAACTTTTCACACACCCCAAATGCTGGCAGAAACGCTCATCGGCTTGCGCAATTTCTCGTCAGCCTCTTCTTCTTCTTCTGCTGCTGCCGCTGGTGTGCAGTGGAGAGGTGTCATCTCATCTTCCTATCGGAACACGAGGGCTGGAGGTGTAAATTAGCTCATTGGGCCGCGTAGAAGTCGTGTGGCGTGCAACTTTTCTCAGCTCCCCCCAAGCATACTCCCGGCGCATTGGTGATCTGGTTGGTACTCTGCATCTGGCACCCGTTTCGCCCAACTGTTATTTGCTACCATGTTTTGAGGAGCGCTCATTGCAACATCTTTGTCATGGAAAGGTATCAATCACGACCCACTTTCACCCTCGCCATCGCCTGAGACCAACACGAATGCTGGACGTCGCTATCGCTTACGATGTGATGGATGAGACTGTTGGAATCGGTTCCCGTCGGCACGACTATCCCTCGTACAAAAGGAGTGGTGGGCCCTGAAAAAACACCCAGGTAAAACACCAGGTAGAGCAGTCACGGTGGAACGATGCATTCATGGACCGGTGCAAAAGAGAAGGGCTGGCTTGAACTCGTGCCTTGCAGCGGTAGGCGTTTCTGTGTTCTCCGGATCGCCAGACATAGCCACGAGCAGCATTCGCGGAGTTCTGTACGACTTTTTCATGCCCGATCGGCTGGTTTCTTGTCATCCAGGGACTGCGAATGGTGCCTGCTGATCACTCTCTTTCACATGGCGATCCGATCGGTGCATAACGATTGGAGGCTCAGCTTGTGGTATGATATGGGAGCGAGGCAGGCACCCGCCGTCGCAGAGGCCGTTCGGCTCAATATTCCTGGTCATCTGCTTCCATTACAAGCTTCTCATCGGTGAGGGACGGTACCACAAAGCGTTGAATCGAGGCCGGACAACTGGTTGCACAAACGTGGAGGTGGGTGGCCCTTTGTCTTGAACGCCTTGCGTGCGGCAGCTTTCCGCCGGCTAGCGTTTGTGCTCATCATACTGCGAGCCCCTGCAGCGATACAGAAGGCAGTATGAAGCTATAGGAAAGTGACAGATGCATGTTCCCGAGTGGTAGGTAGGTTGCATTTGCAGCAGCGCGAGACACTAACAAACAGGTTGACGCCATCTTGCTTTCAGCTCGAATGCCAGCCGCCAAGCGCGGGTGAAAGACGATGATCGTCTGCAGTGTGTTGGTGAACAGGCATCGAGCGTTGCACCAGACTGAAACCTGAGGTGTTTGCCCGACTGCTGTACGTACCTTACGTACCTCCACGATACCTACCTGACCTGACCTACCTACGAACGTGGGACTGTTGTCAGCGCTTGTGGGAGTCATCGCTGATGAGCCATGGGCGGAGAGCTGAGAAGAAATTTTCGCGAGCTCTCATAGCCTGCAGCAGCAAGCTGAAAGCACACCGTATCCATAGCATCTGCCCACCGCCCTAGTGTTTGCAGCAGCCAGCAGGACGTGGTATACTTGGCATCGTCTAGTTGGGCTATAGTGCATTTCAGGTGGACGAATCCCACACGTGAGAATAGGTAGCGCGGTGTGATTTAGCACATTCGGTCCAATCACCCACCCTGCGCAACGCCATACCGTCTTATGCGACGGTAGGCTGCAGCAGCATGCGTTACCGGTGCTTGCTGCGCTGTTCGTCGACTTTGGGATTCACATGCACACGATGAGTCTGTTCGATACTTGATCTCAACCGGTTTTTATTGGGACCAGTGGCAGCAGGCGATGGAAACAGCTCGAATGCCACGGAAGCTGCTTGCGTGGCAGCACTCGTGCTGGCGCATGTCTGAGAGCAGTGCTTCGGCGAGACAAGGCCCGGGGGGAAGGGGAGGGGAGGGGGGAGGGGAGGGGGGTGTTGGTGATCGTCCTTTCCAATCAAAAATTAATAATGGCCGTGTCAACAAAAAGGAGGAGAAAAAAGGACACACGCAGAGGACAGTGTGCAGGCGAGCGGGAGTGTGGGAGCAATCACAATTGTTGCCAATGTTGCTATGAATGATGAAGCAGCCATCAACCTCTGACGGGCCGTGCTGTCGGAACCACGAGGCACAGGGAGGGAGGGAGGGACGGGAGGGGAGAAGCTCGCATATAGTTCTACAAAATAATTCCCAGCGGACCACAGCGGGCAGCTGCCGCCGCCTGAAACTGTGATTGGGCCGTAGTCGAGGCCTTCTGCATGCGTGAGCTGACCAGGAACGAACGACATGATTCGATCTCTGCAGGCTGCAACCGGCTTTCATTGCTGCCGTCCGTCCCTTTTGTTCTCCTGCGGGAACAGCGGGAACAGAGGAGTTGGTAAGATATGCTTCGGACAGCTGCAGAGGAGCCTCCGATGAGCGTTCGCCATCCAGGGAGAGAGAGACAGAGAGTTTGGAGAGGGTGAGAGCAGAGTCTCGTTTCCCGCCGTTCGCCGTCCCACGCCAGCAAAATTCCCGAATTTCCACGTTGATGAGCTATGACTCGTCGGATGCGGAAGTGCAGTAGCGCGCGGAAAGCGTAAAAGCGTACTTCCTCCGCCACAGCTTACGAGAGCTGGCACGGCTGTGGTGCTGAAAACAGCAGCCTGGCATATCTCTCGGATTCGCCGCCGTCAGTTCGTCCGGCGCGAGGAAGAAGAGGGAGAAGAAGGAGAAGAAGAAGCAGAAGAATTAATAATAGTAGTGCGTCCGCCAGGTCCCGGGTGCCGCTGTGCAAGTACAGTGCAGTACACTACCTACAGTACAGTACATGTATGTGTATGTACTGTAGTCATGGTCAGCGCAGGATGGACGATGGATGGGTCATATTTCCTACAGTAGGTAGACGACATACATCATCGTGTCATCCTTCCTCCTCTGCTTCTGCAGTGGGATGATCCCGTCACTATATTGTGATGTGGAATAGTCACCAGCACCTCAATCTACCGCGCGACTAGTGGCTGTCACTAGCAGCGTGGCTCGCAAGGCTTGAAGCTTGAGTCGTGACGAGGCTGGGCTAGTGGACAAGCCTGGATGCAGGCCCCCGTCGCGCAAAAGTGGAGTCTAAGCAGGCGTCGGGCAGCCATCCCTTGTCGGCGAGCCATCTCCTGAAACCCTGCCCTGCCCGCCGCTGCCGTCCTTTTCTACCTCCTGCACCGACCATCTCACCCGTCGTGGCTTTGACTGCACTGCGACTCACTCCCAGCGTAATAACCCTACTATTATTATGATTACTCCCACGAGCCAGGAAGAGGTCTCTCTCCAATAAATACTACTTTCTCAGGACTTTCTCGCTTGTGCTTGAAATTCGGCTGTGTGCGAAAGTGGTCCAAGTGCCCCCAAGAGCCACCCAGCCTCCTTCTGCTGCTTCTTCTTCCATTCTTCCATCTTCGACTTTCGTCTTCCACCTCTCCAGGCCACCACTCCCAAAACCAATTACTAAGAGATCCCACGACTGCCTAAATCGACATCACGAGATCTCCGGGGATCTCGACCTGACTTGTAATTCTACAAGTCGCTGCAACAACATCTCCATGTCCGAACAAAGGAACCAAGGGACTCGATCTTCCTCCCCTCACTGTCGGCCTCGATAGACACGACTACATTCGCAGACACCAACCCTTCAGACCCCGACGAGACCACAATAACCACTCTTGAGGCGCGTCTGGACGCCTCGCCATATCGATGGCAACCTTCCAGACATACCCAGCGCCTCCCCCAGGCTACGCGGCATACCACTACCGCTCTCCACCGCATACACCTCCTCCGGCAGCAGGATATGCCTACTACTCTCCAAGAAACTACTCGTACTCCGGGCAGCCTACGAAAGGCCACACGCGTCGCGCCACCGGTGATGGCGCCACCTACACCTTTACATACAGCTCGACTCCACCTCCACGCAAGACGAGCCACTATGCGCCCACCTACCGTTCCACCCCGGAGCCCACATACCACACGTCGGCACAGTCTACTCCGCAGCGGAAATCCGACTACGTAAGTGACAGAACCAAAGGAAGCGCTCGATACTACTCGTATCATGAGCCTGCCGACACCTCTCAACAACAGCGCACGTACTCCAGCAGCAAGCAATATGCCTCGCGGCCGCAGTACGTCCCAGACGAGCACTACTATGATCGCTCCTATGAGGAACTGCCACGCTATGAGAGATATGAGCCGCGACCACCGCCATACAAGCCACAACATGCATACCGCGGCGCCCGTACTGATCAACACTATCGTGATCAGGTACCTATCTTCACTGCTGCTGCAGACACTACCAATACGAACCGACCACGACGAGCTTCGCACACCTCAAAGCCGACTCATGCTCCGCCTCCGCGCCGGCCGAGCACTGCTACGAAGCCGCCACCGAAGGCAACAGAAGAAGACGCGCGTCGCGCTGGCATTCCTGCCGGCTACTCATACAAGAACTGGGATCCTACTGAAGAGCCAATACTGCTGTTAGGATCTGTGTTCGACGCAAACTCCCTCGGGAAGTGGATATACGATTGGACAGTCTTCTTCTACGGTCCGGCCACTCCCATGTCTGAGGTCGCCGGCGAGATGTGGCTATTACTCATACAACTCGCGCATAAAGTGCGTCGCGCCGAGGAGATCATGCCGCGCATCCGTGCGCAGACATCACGCGACCTGGTCGAAGACTTCCTCGAGTCTGGGGAGCGACTATGGCAGCGATTCAACAAGCTTCTCAAGATCTGCGAAAACTACATGTGGAAGGCCGCAAAGAAGGAGAGTGGCAATGCAAAGAACATTACAATGGGAAAGAGCAGTGGAAGCGAGTTTGTGGAAACCATTTTTGGACGTGACAGGGAGTTACAGCGCACCGAAAAGTTGATGACTGGCATGCGTCTTTGGAGCATGCGATTCGACGCCAACTGCGAAGAGATTCTTCGCAACCCTGGCAAATAAACAGGCTGCAGTCGGACACGACGCTGCTGCTGCTGCCTGGAGTGGCGACCCGGCTGTCGGCATGCAATGGTCTCGTCTCTTGGACCTTGTCGTTGCATCTCGATACGCCCTCCGCCACTCGTTCTCTTCTACAAAAAACACCATGGGAATATACACGGGCATACTGGCGTTACTGGATCCTGATTTAGCATCATGGATATGGATTATTTACGTTCTTCGATCTGATTGGCAAGGGGACTGTGTACGAATATGGTGATCACGCGCGTTACAGGTTGCAGGCATGGTAGCATGGACCGAAAAGTGTTGGTCTCCGATGGCAGGCGATATGAGTCATTGTTTTGAGCGTAGCACTGCTGCTGCACCGCGTCTTGGGCTGGTCATGGGAAGGAAAAGCTGACGTGTTATTAGCGATATACCCTTTTGCGACATAGTACGGTGTCTGGGATCGACTTTAATTGTTATTGATAGAGAAGACTATGTGCTTCCACGTTTTAAATATACTCCAAACAACTTGATTATTGGTATCTTCTTGCCTCTTTCTCCATCTCCGTGTTGCATGTAGCGTCTTACGTTGCACAATTACCCCATCACCATCACACTACCTGAGTACCTATTTGACAAAAATAAGAAACCCCCACGTCGCGTCGCGTCGTGTCGTGCCGTGTCGCATGGCTTTCCAACAGATCCTCCGTAAGGTAGGAACAAGGTCCTGGTAAGGTTAAAAGGTACATTGTACCTTACATTCGTTCAGCCTTTTCTTTTCCCTTTTTTGAAAAAAAAAAAAAAAAAGGAGAACTGTATGCTGAACCTTCCCACCCACGTATGGCTGAGGACACCCGCATACCTTTTCCAGAGCTGCTGGG